CCCCCCCTCTCTTTTACCCCTTTTGTCTCCCCCGTGATACTCACATCTTCGTCATCCAGTACGCAAAGTTCATGTACGACACCAACGTGTCCCAAATCCCCGCCTCCTGGTCCACCACCCCGCCGCCCACGCCGCCATCCCGCAACGGCGCCGATACCAACGGCGCCGATACCAACGGCACAAACATAAACACCAACGGCAACGGCCACGGCGGGCACAACGGCAACGGCACGACCAACGGCGTCAACGGCGCCAACGGGCACGGCCGCTCGCCCTCGGCCGCCGGCGGCGGCAGCGGCATCCTCTCGGCGCTGCCGGAGGCCTTCCTGCGCGACAAGGCGGTGCGCACCGTGTACGGCCTCGTGCCGCTGCGCCTGGCGCTCGACTGGCCCGTCTTTGCGTCGTACGACGAGCTCGCGCGCTGCGCGTCGTGGATGGGCGGCCGCGTGCCCACGTTTGAGGAGGCGCGCAGCATTTATGCGTATGTGGATGCGCAGAGGGAGGTGTCGACGCATAGCAAGCTGGCGAACAAGGTTCCTGCCGTGAATGGGTGAGTGTTGCGAGTGTGCTTCTTTTTGTTGGAACCCCTGAATCCTCTTAACGTCTTGGGGGAACCCCCTCTCCCTCCCCCTTTTAAGATCTGTTTAGGGGCCATCAGCAGTCCGGCCTTCACTCTTCCACCATCACTCTCTTTCATCACACGGCCAGGCAGAGCATTGTAAACAGCAAAAGCTAACTTTCCATCTCAGTCACCTCGTCAACGACGGCGTCGAGGAAACGCCCCCATCCCTATCCCCCGTCGACGACAGCTCCTCCGCACAGGAGCAGCTGTTCGTCGACCTCGCCCGCGCCGGCGCCAACGTCGGCTTCAAGCGCTGGCACCCCGTGCCCGTCACGCACTTGGGCGGGCGGCTCGCGGGCCAGGCCGGCATGGGCGGCGCCTGGGAGTGGACCAGCTCCCCGCTGCGCCGCCACGAGGGCTTCGCCCCCATGGCCCTCTACCCGGCCTACACGGCCGACTTCTTCGACGGCAAGCACAACGTCGTCCTGGGCGGCTCGTGGGCCACGCACCCGCGCATCGCCGGCAGGCGCAGCTTCGTCAACTGGTATCAGCGCAACTACCCCTATGCGTGGGTCGGCGCGCGGGTGGTGCGGGATGTGCAGTGAGAGGGCACGTCATGAGCGAGCACATGGCAATGGCACATGTGTTTGACTGTGTGGCGTGGCGTGGCGTGGCAGTCGTGAGTAACAAGGGGCTCTGGGTGCGTGAAACAACGACTAGGGATGCAGAGGTTGTAACAGGGGGCGGTTCTTCTGTTCGCGAGTCAACAGTCTGTGGCCTACTGCCCGACTGCCCATTCCTTTGAGCAAGCGCGCGACATATCCCGCTCACCAAATTGAAAGAATGCGAGCGCGGCTTTCGCTTCATGTGTCTATTGTGGACTGTTTTGGCCTCTGGGCTATTCTGTCTGTCATTCTCCATCCTGGTCACGCACAGTTTCGTGCGTAGCTCCCATGTTCCGGGAATCGAAACCTTTTACCCCCTGTCACATGTATCGATGCCGCCCCCCGAGTTCTAGGCGTAATCACTCAATGAGTAGCCACAGGAAAGTAAGCTGGCTTCAGACCCTTTGTTGGTCAGGATGCCGGGTATCTTTTTAGCCCTACGTTGCAAGTCTGATAACCCGAGGCTAGAGGCCACATAATGACGTGAAGGAGGGCGCTGCCGCTCGGTCAGTAAAGTGTCGACTACTTGCGCTCTTCATCCGTTCAGACTGCCGTAGATGTCGAGGAGCTGCTCAAAGACGTAGCCGGGCAGCTGGACACCATTTTCCGTCACCAGGTTGGAGATGAGCTCGGGCGGCTGCAGCCAGTCAGCAAAGTCCTATGGAGCATAACATAGTCAACAGGATCCAGCCTACCGTATAATCGACAGCGTCCGCCGGCTGCTTGCTGGCAGCGTCGGTGCTAAAGTCGAGCACCTCTTGCGTGAAGCCAATGTCCCGCTGGTCCAGGGGGAACTTGCGCACAAACTTGTGCGTCTCGACGGCGACGTAAAAGGGAATCTTGGCCTTGGACGCCAGCTGGGCGATCTGGTAGGTGCCGATGCGGGAGATGATGCCGCCGTTCTGGGTGACGGCCTCGGCGCCGACAAAGACCATGTGCACCTGGCGCAGCAGGCCCATGACGTGGGCGACGGCGGCCTCGGGGATCTCGGCGACGGGGATGCCCATGCCGCGCAGCTGCTTGACGACGACGTCGCTCTCCTCGGGGCGTGTCTCGTCGCGCACATAGACGACGCGGAACTTTGCGTTGAGTGCCTTGGAGGCGCGCTCGAGGACACCCGTGACGGAGCGGGAGGCGCCGTGGGTGAGGACGCACTTGCCCTCGCCGACGAAGCGCCAGCCGGCCTCTGCGACGCCGTTGCGGGCGTCGATGGCGCGCTCGGCGAAGAGGCGGCCGTTGCGGAGCAGGTGCTGGCGGACGGCGTCGAAGCTCCCGTCCTGCTGCTTAAGCGAGGAGACGAGATACTGCAGGAAGAGGTCGGTGCCGGCGGTGAGGGGCACGGGGTTGGCGACCGAGGCCTTGAGGCGGTCCGAGTGCATCTTGACGGTGTCGAGGGTTTCGTAGACGGTGGTGGAGGGCACTGAGTTGAGGAGGACGATGAGGGACTCGATGGCGGCGACGGGTTTGGTCAGGTCTGGGTCGGAGGCGAGCAGATCGCGGTATGTCTTGACGATGCTGAAGCGGGCCTTGGTTAGATGGGAGTCGTTTCGGCAGGGCGGTGGCTTGAGGGACGTACTCGAAGTTGGACGACGAGACGGAGTGTCGTCGGATCGGGAGGTCGCCCGAGGGCGCCGCATGGACGGCCGCTAGACAGAGGACTTGGGTCAGCAAGCAGGCTCAGAGTCGGGTTACAGGAGAGTAGGGGCTTTTTCTCACCATCGGCCGGGTCGGCAGAAGCCATTGTCGGTTGCGGTGCGTCTTGTGCGTGCACTGCGATGGGATGAGGTCGACGACGAGACGATGTCCAAGGCTAGCCAGCCTGCTGTACGGCCACGGCGGAATTTTGGAGGTGAGTCAGTGGAGGCTGTTTGCTGGGCGCGAATCGGCAGAGGTGCCCGCCGAGGGCCAGCCCATGGAGGGGCAGCCAACCTGGAACTGACTGGCCACCTCGCATAGGTATGTTGGGTCCAGCTTGCCCCGCCATCCACGGGGCGCCGTCTGGCAGTGTCAGTCAGTGGACACCCTTTGAGAGTAGGTACTGTGCCGTTGAAGCTTCAGAGCTGATGGGGGCAACTGCCCAGGTGAGGTGCAGTGCCTGCCGTCTCCACCGCTGACGGGTGAGCCAGGGCACTTTTAGGTGCAACGGGAGCTTCAGGGTCGTCCATGCTCTTGGGCACCACAAAGGAAGTGGCCCTTGATGTCCCATGTACAGAACAAAGGAATCTTAATTCTTCACACCTAGAGGGTCTCCTCCACCGGAAGCGCATATGATCCCAGTTATCCTCGTCTGTACACTTGTCAACGAGCGGGCACGCAGTCAAACGTCAGCCGTCGCGGGGCTCGTCTTGACAGCCCTGGGACATGCAATAGCCCCTCCGTCGACCACCACCGCCAGCACCCACGGGACAGCAACCCCTCCATCCCTCCCCCGGCCGGACCCTGGACTCGTCCCACACCAGCACCAAGCTAACCACCACGAATACGACCTCCCTCCCCATCCCGTCCGTCCGCCCCGTCACGGCGGGCTGCCCCGGAGCACACACTCGACGACGATCGTTGACCGCCTGCGCGTAATCTTCCCCCGTCCTTCTCTCTTTCTCTCTCTCTCTTCATCCATCTCTACATCTCCACCACCCGTCGTCGTCGCGTCTGATACCTCGCCCGCCCGCCCGCACGCAATGGACCTCGTCGACCCGGCCACCGGCCGCCCCCTCCCCAGCGACGCCATCCAGCGCGTCCTCTTCGTCGCCAACACCGTCCACGTATACAACATCCCCCCGCTCACCTCCATGCGCGGCCACAGCGCGACCGCCTGGACCGCCGACCCAGCGCGCCACATCTTCACTGCGCGCCTGCGCGTCATCGAGACCTCCTCTTCCTCCTCCTCCTTCGAGCCGCTATCCACTTCCTCTTCGCCAACACCATCATCATCATCAGGCTCGCCCTCGTCGCACCTTAAAGTCGACCTCGTCCTCGAAGACACCTCCTCGCCCTCCACGCCGCAGCTCTTCGCCGCCGCGCCCTACACGCACCCCTCCGCCGTCGAGCCCGTCGTCGACAGCAGCCGCTTCTTCGCCATCACCGTGCGCGACGACCAGGGCCGCAAGGCCGTCCTCGGCATTGGCTTCGAGGACCGCTCCGATGCGTTTGATCTGGCTGTTGCGCTGCAGGAGGCGCGGCGCGGGCTGGGCCTCGACGCCGATGCGCAAAAGGGCGGACAGCGCGGCGCTGGTGTCGGCGCCGACGCGGCCGGCGAGGGCAAGGACAAGGAGCCTGTCAAGGACTACAGCCTCAAGGAGGGCGAGACCATCACCGTCAACCTCGGCTCCAAGTTTGGGCGGAGGCGGCCGCAGCAGCAGGAGCAGCAGCAAGCCGAGTCGGCGTCCCTCCAGTCTTTTGCGCTGGCACCTCCTCCGTCATCATCATCCTCGGCACAGACGGGCGATGCGGCCGCGGGCGGCTTCGCACTGCCCCCTCCTCCGACCGCCGAAGACGTCAAGCGCAAGAGGAGGTCGCTGCGCGACCTTGGCTTCGACGATGGCCAGTTTGGAGAGTTTGCATAAGCAAGTCGAGCCACTGCATCAGCGTCCCTACGGCACCACGTTCCGCAAAAGTTCAAGCGCTCCGTTGAAGACAGCGATGATTTCATTAAGTGGCATCTCAGAGGTGTGACGTGACGAGACCGAACAAGAATCCGAAGCCGACCTCCGTACATAGCAAGGTATATCAGACTTCATACAGTACGCATAAGCCAGGTTCCGCCAAGTTGAGATTCTGACACATGGACCCCTCAACCTGGCCACAGTGACGATAGGTTGGGCAAGCTCGGCCGCCTCTCTAGCAGCTTTTCAAAGTCTTCGTACAGCGATGGCATTCGTCTGGGAACCGGCCTCAACCGCCCGTCATCGTCTGGTGTCACCGCAAACTCGTATTTCAGCCCATGATTGCAGTCAAACCCGGCGCGGCCCCCGCCCGCGGCATGCGAGTCGGTACCGCCGTCCCTCGAAGAAGTGGTCGTCCGTACTGTCGGATTCCCCTTCGTCGCCATCAATGTGTCCACTGGATGAAGTGCAGCATTCATCATCGACTCGTCACTCTCGCGTGGGTCGGTGTCGTTGACGTTGGGCACGAATTCCAGGGCTTCTGCATTCAGCGGCGTGCCTGGTCTCGACCTAGTGTTCAAGGACGACGAGGATGTGGTGGGATCCGTTTGGCTGTCGGTGGAAGAACCCCCGCAGCTGCGATCGCTCCCGACCTTGGACTGCTGCTGTCGTCGCGTTCGCGTCTCGCGGCTCTGTGCCTCCATGTACAACTCGCTCAGCCGGAGAAAGACGGTCTGCTCCTGCGCTGCCGCCCCATTGATCTGCACACGCAGCAGGTTGAGCTGTTTGCGTAACCTCCTTCGCTGCTTACACCACACGTGCTCCAGGGGCCGCAGCTCGTCCTCGGCCTGCGCGTACCGACGAATCAGCTCCCTTGTGTTGCTCGAATGTATCTCCAGGGAGGCGTTGAGATACGCAATCTCCGCTGCGATCTCCTCGTATGGCCGTGGACGAAGAAGAGCCTCGCACGTTGCCATAGATGGTCGTCGATCCCGGTATTCGCGATGCCTCTTCTCCTCAGACGGAATCGAGACGCGGCCGTACGAGCGGCCTTTAGTTACGCTATCGGAGCGTACTGGCGATGTGCCCTTGGACGAGCTCCTCCCAGGCGACTGTGATCCTGCTGGCACGTTGGGCTCGGCCATGTTCAGGTGCTGCGGGGGGGACGGCGGCGGCGTTGTCATAGCTGCAGCCACAGAGGGCGGAAGTTCATGGCAGTCCTTTGCGGGAGAGGCAGGGTTACAACCGCTTTGCGCGTGTTATGTTAGTTGGACGAGATAGACAATATAGGGGAGAGGCTTTATGACGCATACAGCAGCGTCGCCATTGCCACGATGGGAAGTCTGTCAAGAGGACCGAGAACTGGTGTCCGTTGACGAGTTTCACAAGAAAATTGTGGCGAGGAGAGACCGTCTATGAAACAGCCGTGTCCAAGTTGCCGGCGAACAACTTTGATATAATTGCCTAGTGCAGGATGAAGCGGGACCCCAGGGGGCTTGCTTGCTCTGTTGCATGTCTAGCCTGGTTTGCTTCCGAGACAAAGAAGGTGGTGTCGACTATTAGAAGGTAACCGCTTGTGCGGTTCCAGGGGCGTCTGGCACGCCGCGACCCGCGTCCATTGAATGCGGTTGGGCAGGCCCGGGCGACGGGCGTGGCCATTGTTCGATGCTGGAGATGTCGCTGGGTCAGCCCATTCGTTGGTGGGAGCGCCTGTTGGTCGTGGCTGCGGTGGCGCCTCAGACCACCTCAAGCGACCAGATCCACCCGCCCGGTGTGCGGGCGTGCCAGGCTTGGTGCACTGCTTGAATAGGAATCAATCCATTCATATCGCGAAGCCATCGTGTTGTGGCGACTCATTGAACCGCCAAAGCCCTGCTTCGGTAGCGGCTTGGCGGATGGACAAGACTTCGGCATCCGCAACCGGTCGATTGATGTCGGCGTACCGGACGCCATCGCTGGCGCCCTTGCCGCGCTTGCGCTTGCCCACGTGAGCATCTGGGCGATATTGCTCCATGATATTGACGAAGCAGTCGGCAGACACCTCGGACGCCAGGAAGCGCATTATGTCAGAACCCTCGGCCTCCTTGCCCGGCATGGCCAAGTGACGGACGAGCAGGCCCCTCTTTGCGATTCCGTCTGCCGTAAAGCACAGATCACCGACCTGCGCGTGCATGGCGCGGACGCTCTCGCGGGCGGTAGCGGCGTAGTCGTCGGCTTTAAGCAGGCGGTTCGAGGTTTCGCTCCGCCACACCTTGAAGTCGGCCAGGTAAATGTCCACCAGGCCGTCCATGAGCTCGAGAGAGGCCAGCGAGTCGAAGCTCGACGTGTTGTACACAATGGGTACCCGCAGGCCGAGTTCCCGCGCATGCAGGATGCTCAAGGCGACCTGCGGAACGACGTGCTCGGGCGTCACGATATTGATGTTGTGGACCCCGCCAACCTCCTGCAGCTTCATGTACCACTCGCCGAGCTCCTCGGGCGTGAGGTCCATGCCGTTGCGCCGATGTGAGATGTCGTAGTTTTGGCAGAAGACACAACGCAGGTTGCAGCCGCTCATGAAGACGGCGCCGCTGCCATTGTGGCCCTGGATGCACGGCTCTGTGTAAGCAAACAATAAGGTCAGCATTGATCCCATGTTGGCCGAGCTCCCCACGCCGCGCGCAGAGGGCCGCCCGGGCGGGACCAACCTTCGCCAAAGTGCGGCGCAATAACGTTGACCTTAACGTTATGTCCTATCAGACATGTGCCGGTCGTCTGATAGCGGTCGACTCCACACATCCGGGGGCACAGATTACAGTTGCGGAGGTGCGCGTAGGCGAGCGACCGCTTCTTTGCGGCGTCCCGGGACGTCATGGTCTGGTAGCGCGGGACGTAGTCGTCGAGAAGGAAAGGGGGGGCGAGGTGCAAGTTGCGGCGTTGCAGCGCCCTACGGCGAGGCGCTCCCACAGGGCGCAACACCGCCTTGGCCCAGGCGAATCTCATTATGCGAAGTTGTCATGCCATCCCTGGATGCGTCCTCGGTATTGTGTTCGCCGTTGGCTCTGGTAATGAGAGGTGTTGCGGTATGTGTTTGCGTCCAACCGGCGTCCGGGCCTCGTAACCGGCAATGCGTCCGGGAACGAGGTTCCTGGAGTCGAAGCAAACTTTTGCGCGAAATATATCAAATACTGTACAATGCAGGGCGGTACTGTACTGTACAGTTTTGTACTGGACACAGTCCGAACTGCTCCGCGCATCCGTGAGCCGGGAGAATGGTATGCAGGTTGGAGGCTCGATGTTGGCTCGGCCGTGGTCCGGGGGGAAGGATGGACGTCAGTTTGATTGATTGCTTGACAAGCAGCGCATCACGTGAGGCGGCCCGCGAGCTCATCCGTCACCGAAGCAGTTGCCTCGCCTATTACAGTACTCGGCCCCTTCCTGCTTCGGCACCTTGCTCGTCGTGCCTCATCCCACAGACTTCAATCTCATTCAACGCTCCATTTTGCGGGCTGCGTCCTGATGCCGCGAACAGCCAGCGACGGCCTGCCCCGTATTGTTAGGGCTGAGACCACGCTCTGCTCCAGCGACGGCAACCCCACGCATGATCCCCAATTGGGGAATGCATCAGACCCGCTGGCCAGGGCTCCGTGGGCTGCTGACTCCTGCATTTTTCCTTGTCGACCCAGCTGTTCGGGACAGGCAGCGCTAGGATCCGACTCCGCGGGCGAACTGCCTTCTTCGCCGCTGGGGGCAACATCGACTGTCTGTTGAGCTGCCGGTTAGCCGGGTCCCGCAGCCGCCACTATGCTCGACATCCTGTATGAGAAATGCCTTGTTCCTTTTCCCTACAGTGGCGGCGGCCGAGGCCAACCAAGACGCAGAGGATGCAGCCCCATGGCACGTGAGACGTCAAGGTGAGAGGCTGCGAATGCCTTCATGAATGGAGGCCCAAGACTCAAGAGCCATCTGTCTGACGCCGTGGCTAACACCAGGCACAGGGTTCCGGCGTCGAGGCGGCTTCGCCCTGATAAAGGCCGCTCGCGCGTCCAAGCCCTGGGCTAAATTGCAGTGCCATAGATAACAACAGCAAAAGACAAAAAAAGCGACCTCCCGCCTCGTCTGCCGCCGCGCCTGGCCGGCCAACTCACGGGCCACCGACTGGCCGAAGGGTTGCGAAGCCACCACGCCCCGCGGCTCGACAATGGGTACATACGTGTCTGTCACAAAGTCTGCCAAGACCGGCCATATGGCGCGGACTCTACCTACCTGCAACACCTGTGTAGGTATTTAGCCAGATTCTGCCGTCGGGCATGAATGCCCAGATGGCGGCAATGGGGCGGGTCGGAGTCTGAGGCAGTTCTGTATCCAGCTGGAGCCCCTTCTGGGTCACCAATCCGGCCAATTTCTCTACACCTCTTGCACCACGATCATCCGCAACCCACATACGCGTGTCTACTCAAGGACAGTCACCACAGGTCATCGGATGCCCGAGCAAGGTTGGGCGGCTGTGTGCCGGCGCACGCATGTAGGTGACGCCCGTCACAATCCAGGAGACATCCAACAATGATGTGAGTAAACGGCCGTTGCCTCCTTTCCTTGTCCAGCTCAGTTGCAGCCCATTGTGACGCAGCCTGCAGGTGGGCGGTTTATTGGCGAGCCTCAACGACACATACCAGCGGTCCAGGCCTCGGCTGCCTGCCCATTCAGGTACCCACACGGTTTCCAGTTTACAGCCTTTGGGGCCTGTGCCACTGCGGTGCTGCATGCCAGCATGTGCGCTGCTTGAGCGGCTCCAGGGCGCTTTGCAAAGTCGACCCTGGATTAGGAGGCCCTGAGCAAGACGCCTCGGCGCCGCTTTGAGTTTGCTCCGGCAATTTGTCCATGGCCTGGCCGATAGGTAGCGAGCGAGCTACGTGGAGGCGGGTCGTCGCGGTCCTGCTGGTACCGCCGCCTTTTGCCGCGTAGTTGCAATACTAGCGGACCGTGGGATGAAGTCTTCCGCAGCAGTATGCTGGTTCGTCGTCGACTGGCGCAAAAAGCACCAGCTGCCAACATCAGGTGTGATGCGCTGTTCCCAGCAGGACATGGGGCATTGGACGACAAGCGTCGTGCCAGCTGATGAATGAATGAAGGGCTTGGCTGCAGGGTGGTTGGGTGAGGACAACGGGCGCAACCGCGCAAACGGCGACTACGGCGCGGACGGCGGGCCCGGTTGGTTGGACTGCGCATTTCCGCCTTCAACACGATGAAGCCATCGTCACGCACGACAGAGGCGTCGTAACTATTGTTACGTGGGGCCATCGTCCGCAATACTGCCAGTACTCAACAGCTCGCTCTCTTGCGCCGGAAAAGACAACGGCAATCGGACGACAGACTGCCTGCCTCCGTCATCTCGTCGATCGTACGACGGTCAAAAGGGGGGCGTTGCCAGCATGCAACTCTGCAAGTGAGGGGGAGGCAGCGCGCGGCGCGGCGCTGTGACATCACCATGATTGGCGACGTGCCTTGCTGGGCACCCTCTGAGTCTAACTCTCGGGGTGGCCAAAGCTAATCGCCGCCCGGCAATACAATCGATTGTCGATGGATGGACGTCGCTGAAGATTTGGGCAAACGAGGGGCGGGCCTTTGCTTTGTTCGACGTCGTGCAGCGTTCGTCGTCTTGGAGAGAGGCGTCGCGGCAGCGCATCACACATCACATCGACACAAGCATAAAAGCACGGCCGTCGCACAAGTACCGAGCGAGAGGACGCGGTGCGACCGACGGCACGGCAGACAGCAAGATTCGTTGGCGACGCACGCACCATCTCGTCGGCCCACAGCGATGGAAGCCACAGCTGGACAAGGGTCGGCAGCGTGGGTCCGAGCCGGGGTGCGTCGATCATGGTGGGCGCCTTTTCAGGTGGCGGGTGATGAAGAGAGATTGCGCATTCGAGTTTTTCTCGGCTTGTTCCCGCTGGGTCGCCGTCCAGGTCGAGCGACGAGGAGCCGGCGCGGAGTTGGCCGTGGACGGACGACAACGGACGCGCCCAGGTGGACAGCCGGCGAGGCATCGTGATAGAGACGAGGATCAAAGCATACGGAAGAGAGAGGACCGCCCAGCAACAGGGCGACGCCGCCGCGCGAGGCGAGACAAAACAACACGCACCACCCGGCGGCAGAGACATTTGTTCATTCGCTTGGGGCGCGCCTGGCAGGGATCGCCAAGCCACACTGCAACAGCTGGCCGCGTCCAGATCGCCGTCGCCGAGGGTGACACACTGACTTATTAGCACCGCCAGCATGAGCTACCAGCCCGCTAGCGCATCCGATCCATTGGGGCCCCATCGTCATAGGTGCCATCGCGTCTGCAAGCCAAGGTCTAAATTGATGATAGCTCGGCTCGACGGCGCTGCGCTGCGCTGCGCTGTGACGCGCTGTGCTGTGATGCGCTGCGCTGCCCCCGACTCGAACCAAGCTGGGTCGGCTGCGTCTGCTGCGTGCCCCTGCTTGCCTGAGCTCTCTCTCGGTGTTGCCCGTGCCGTAACTAGCTGTAATACTTTGTCGTCTGCCGCGCCCTGCCGTGCCCGCCTGACTGAACCCGATCTGCTGCCCTTGCCGAGCCGGGTTTCGACCATTTTGAGTTCGCCCGCCCTGCCCTGCGACACCTCGCGGCAAGATCCCCCCAGGACCCAAGGCCAAGCAACCTTGGAACCGGCAAGGTATTAGTAGTAGAGCCATTGGCATCCTGGCAGGCGCGGCCCCTCCCTCCGTCCCTCCCTTCGACTTGTGCTTCCGCCCTTCATCCACCTCTCGCCAGCCGGCAACCCTCCTCTTGCATCGGCTTGCGACGACGACGACAGCGTCACACCGCCAGGCGACGAAGCAAGCCTACGATCCCACAAGCGACAGCCAGCGCCGCGCGCACCCGCCACCATGGGCGCGTTCATCAGCTGGATCAAGAAGAACCTTCCCGCCGATGATCGGGAGGGTTCCGCCAACACGCCGCCGCAGTCGGCTTGGGGTGAGTTCACGATGGACCGGCGCATGATTGATGCTGTGAAGCGCGCTCGCTGACGCTTCGCAAACAAACAGCCATGGTCGATACCCTCGTCCCGGTCCTGGTCATCTCAGCGATATACATCATCATCTTTCTCATCTTCCGCCGATCGCAGCGGCGCTTCTACGCGCCGAGAACGTATCTGGGCTCCCTTCGTGAAAAGTAAGCCGCGCGCGCGTTGTACTCGGCGCACAAACTTGATACTGACCATATCGACCAGCGAACGGAGCCCCGAACTGGGTACCGGCTGGTTTAGCTGGTTCGGCACTTTCTGGAAGCTCCCGGATGCGCATGCCCTGACCCATCAGGGCCTGGACGCCTACCTCTTCCTGCGCTACCTGCGCGTCGCATGCATCATCACTCTCTTCTCGATGGCCGTCACCTGGCCCATTCTGTTCCCCGTCAATGCGACGGGCCATAATGGCCAGACACAGCTCGAGGTGCTGTCGTACAGCAACATCAACCCTGACACCGAGGGCAGCCGCTACTTTGCCCACGCTCTCGTCGCCTGGGTCGTCTACGGCTTCGTCATGTACATGATTATGCGCGAATGCATCTTCTACATCAACCTGCGCCAGGCCTACCTGCTCACTCCGCACTACTCGAACCGCATCTCCTCGCGCACCGTGCTCTTCACCAGCGTGCCCGACGAGTACCTCAACGAGGCCAAGATTCGCGAAATGTTCAACAACTCGGTCAGGCATGTGTGGATTGCCGGGCAGACCAAGGATCTCGACAAGCTCGTCGAGGAGCGAGACAAGGTCGCCATGAAGCTCGAGGGCGCCGAGGTCAAGCTCCTCAAGCTCGTCAACAAGGCCCGCGTCGCGGCGGCCAAGAAGGGCGGCGCCCCGCCCGCCACCAACAACGGCCACAGTGAGGACGCCCCAGCCGACACCGAGGCCGGCAGCATCGCCGCCCGCTGGATCCCCGACAAGAAGCGCCCCTCGCACCGCCTCGGGCCCCTGGGCCTCGTTGGCAAGAAGGTCGACACCATCGACTGGGCGCGCGCCGAGCTCCAGCGCACTGTTCCCGAGACCGAGAAGATGCAGGCCGACTGGGCCGCCGGCGACTTCAAGAAGGCCAATGCTGTATTCGTCGAGTTCATGAACCAGGCCGACGCCCAGGCCGCCTACCAGGTCCTCACCCACCACCAAGCCTTGCACATGACGCCCAAGGTGGTCGGCGTGAAGCCCGAGGAGGTTGTTTGGAAGAGCCTCTCGATCCCTTGGTGGCAGCTCGTCATTCGCCGCTACGCCGTCTACGCCTTCATCGCTGTGCTCATCATCTTCTGGGCCATCCCCGTCGCCATTGTCGGTCTTATTGCGCAGGTCAACACGCTCAAGCAGCTCCCCGGCCTGACGTGGCTTGACTCCATCCCCAAGGTAGGCACAGAATTCCCGTGCCGAATTTTCTGAACCCTTTCGCTGACTGAGTCTCGTAGCCCATTCTTGGTGTCGTCTCTGGTCTGCTGCCGTCGGTGGCCCTCTCCATCCTCATGTCATACGTGCCCATCATCATGCGTGCCTGCGCCAAGCTCGCCGGCACGCCGACGCTGTCCCGCGTCGAGCTCTTCACCCAAAACGCCTACTTTGTGTTCCAGGTGGTGCAGGTCTTCCTGATCCGATCGCTCTTTGATGCGGCCTCGACGGCGCTCGTCAAGATTGTCAACGACCCCAGCTCCGTCTTCACGACCCTGGGCCAGACGATTCCGACGTCATCCAACTTTTACATCTCGTACTTTATGCTCCAGGGCCTTACGATCGCTACTGGTGTCGTGACGCAGGTCGTGGGCATGTTTGTGTTCCGCATCCTGTACAAGTTCCTGGCGGGCACGCCGCGCGCCATGTACAACAAGTGGACCACCCTCAGCGGCATTCTCTGGGGCAGTCTTCTCCCCGTCTATACCAACATCATCTGCATCAGTAGGTCCCAGACGCCGTCCCTCGGGCTGCCAGGTCGCTGACAAGACGCCAACAGGTCTCATCTACTCGGTCATTGCTCCGTTCATCCTCTTTTGGTCCTCGATCGCCATGGGCCTGTTCTACCTCGCCTATCGTTACAACATCCTCTTCGTCTCGGAGACGTCGGTCGACACGCAGGGCCTGATTTACCCGCGTGCCTTGAAGCAGCTGTTCACGGGCGTCTACCTGGCCGAGATTGTCATGATTGGCATGTTTGCCGTCACCAAGGCTCCCGGTCCGGCCGTGCTGATGGCTGTCTTCCTCGTCTTCTCGATCCTCTACCACATCACCATCTCCAGGTACCTCGATCCCCTGCTGTATGGCCTGCCTCGCAGCGTCCAGTCTCGGGAGCTGGCAATCCAGTCGGGCAACGCCTCGCCCGCGTCGCCGGCGCATGCGGAGGAGGGCCTCGCGCGCAACAAGGAGTCGAACGAGAGCGCCCCGACGGAGAAGAAGACGGTGGTCAACCCCGAGCCCGCGGCGCCGAAGAAGGAGGGCAATGTCATTACCCGGTTCCTCAAGCCGTGGATCTTCTACGACTACGAGAGGCTCCGCAGCATGATGCCCCGGCATGACGACATGGACTTTGACAGCATGTACTCGGAGGAGGTTGAGCGGACGGCGTACATGGCGCCGTCAGTGACGAGCAAGGCACCCACGCTGTGGATCCCGAGGGACAGCGCGGGCGTGTCGCGGCAGGAGGTGGCGCTGACAGGCAAGGTGATACCCATCTCGGACGAGGGCGCCACGCTGGACGAGAAGAACAACATTCTGTGGGACACGGAGGGCGCGCGGCCGCCCATCTGGGACGAGAAGATCTACTACTAGACGACTATCGGACGCACGGTGACGGTCTACTCGAATTTGATACCCCCGCGATTGTGGTCGGCTTGGATGGCGGAGTTGGGTTGCGTGGAGGATGGGATACCCAGGCCGCCGGAAGACTCCGACGGCCGATTTTCTTGCGTATGGGCTGTACTAATGTGTGGTTGAAAGACTTTGTGTGTGTGTGTTTTGTACGGTCTCGGCCAAGTCTGTGGCCTGGAGCACCAGTATAGATATGTGAATGGCTACATTTTACGTATATCTTCACGACGCTCGCCTTGACGATGGCTCAAGCGAAGGTTTCACATGCTTGATGCAGTCTACCCTGGCAGCTATGACGTGCCGTTTCGACGGCGCCATGCAGGCCATACCAGGATATGCGGCCGTTGCTGCGGCCGCGGAAGGGGGGGTTCCATCCCGTCTGACGGGAGTCACTTTGCGGATATGGGCCCGGCAAAATCCAGGGTCGCGTACGCTAACTGCGCAATGCATGTTGAAGTTACGTAGAGGGCGCCATACGTCCTATCCTTTACAGCAAAACATCAGTTAGTCCACTCCTCCCTCCTGTCCCGACCCCCAAACCACCCTTCCCCATTGCCCTCTTCCCGCGTCGCCTCTACAGCTCATCGTGCGCATACTGATCTTTCGGATACCGCGTCACACCGCCGCCGCCGCCGCCGCCGCCGCCGCCGTCCTTCCCGCCGGCCAACGGCGGGCCCGCAAACGGGCACAGGAACCGCTCCGCCTCCGGGTCGAGATAGCCCTCGCGGAAGAGAAGCTGAGGGTCCTGGTGGCTCACCATCTTGGTGGCCTGTCCGCTGATGAAGGGCTCGGGCTTCCACTCCTGCCGGCTGGGTCCCAGGTACCTGTCCCTGACCCACTGCTCGGACGTCACCTGCGCGCGGATGAAGGCCTTGGCCGCGTCGTAGAGCGCCGCGTACGTGGGCACGCCGCGTTTCTGCCGTGCGGCGTTGCGCACGGCCGCGACGACGCCTACCATGAAGGGATCCCGGGTCCCGATGGCGGGTACCTTGACGTTGAATTGGGTCTCGTGGCAGGAGGCGAGGAGGACGCCGGGCGTGCCGCTGTGGGTGTCGAGCATGCCGCCGCCGAAGCACGAGGAGCTCAGGATGGTGAAGTTGACGCCTGGCGCGAGGTTCTTTTCACCAAATGTCAGCTGTCGTACGTGTGTTTTCCCGTGCGCCGCCTCATGCTGCCCGGGCCCATGGATGGGACTACATAGGGACAAAGCAGGGGCAGCAGCAGCAGTAGCAGCAGCAGCAGCAGGTCTCCTACTCACCGTGCGCAGCGTATCCGCCACCCAGTCGTCCGTGACAATCTCCTTTTTCGTGCCGTCCTCGTCCTCCGCGAGGATCCAGCCCTCGTCCTCCTTGTCAGGCTCGCCCTCGCCGTCCTCGTCCTGCCAGGTGGTGCCGTGCACGTCGACGTACACGAAGCGCACGTCCCCGGCGTCGGCACTGCACAGCCTCGTGAACCTGTCCTTGAAGTTGTCGGCCGTGGGGGGGTCCTGGCCGAGGGTGCACTTCTTAGGCCCGTCTCCACGTTTTGGGTCCACGTCAAAGTATAGGACCTCGACGTCGTTGCTGGAGAAGCCGAGGTACTTTACTAGCATGTCCTTGACCATGAAGATGCCCTCGTCGATGCCGGTGTTGTAACGCACGATCAGGGCCTTGTATATGTATGTGTCTGTCAGCTCCCTGATGTGGCCGCCCTCTGTTCACTATTTAGGGTAGAGTAGCAGTGTGTAGTTACCTTTTTGTTGCCAGCCTTGGCATTGCGAAAGTCGGTCTGCGTCAACTTGTAGGGCGAATGGGTATCGGATTTCCCGTCCGGGTCCTTCATGGTCATTGACATGTCCGAGTCTGAGCTTCCACATGCACTGAGGAAGTCAAAGGTGTAATAGCCATCGTCGAACCGGCCGGTAAAGCGGCCATTGTCACCGAAGCCCACATCCCTCAAAGTTGCTAGGACGACATGGTTCGCCTTGGACTCGCCGGAGTCGTCCTCGGTCCACTGAAAGCACAGCACGACCGGCTTCCCGCCCTCTATCCCCGCGGGCAGGATCAAGGTCACCATCTCGTTGACGGCGTACTGGAAATAGTCCAGCTTCCCGGTGAACACCGAAGTTGTCAAGACACGCGAGCCATCGCTCGACTTCAGTGCCAGGGACGAGATGGCGTGCGATTGGTCCGGGCTGGAAACTGTCACGCGCAGGGACTTGGGGTCATCAGCGTCGGTAGTGCAATCGAATGTGTAGTAGTCGCCTTCGAACTGGACCTTGAAGCCGTAGCCGGCGCCGCCGCCGGCCTTTGTCACCGTTTTGATGCGGCCATGCAGCACGTTGTTCTGCTTCTCGTTGCCACTGGCGTCTACGGTTTACTGCCAGTAGGCTGAGACGGGGTCAAGGAGGGAGAAGCCGGCGGGGAAAACGACGGTGATGAGTTCATTCTCCGCATAGTACGGCCAGTTGAGCTTGCCTACGTAGATGTACATTTTGCCTGAGTTTGTCTATGCGGTTTGGTCTTGGTGCTTTGCGGTCCGAATGGGTTTGAAGCCGGAAGGGAAGAGTTCACTGCCATCAATCACGCCCGAACGAAATTTTTATATCCCTATGAGGTCGTTGGCTTCGTGTCATGTCCCTTCCCTCCATTAGTGTGCGGCACCAGACTATGTGCTCGATCATGTTTCTCTCGTAGGTGCCAGTCGCACGCAGCCTTTCAGCTCGGCCGCCATCCGCGGAGTTTCATTGTTCACCGCATCTTGCAACCCGTCCGACGGACGAGGGCAGGCCATACCGAGAGTCTGGCTCAGATCGAATTAATAAAAGAAACTCCCTTTTTTTGGAAAAGAGACGAGTCGCGGCGTTGCAGTATCTCTGGTGCCACAACGCGAGACGAAACCTGGAAGGGCAAGGTCCCACCAGACTCAACCACTCCTACTGATGTGGCGATGCTGTGTTGCAAAATAGTGTATATGAACATGTGCGCCATTACTCGCCAGCCAGACCAAGATCGTAGACAATGGACCACGGGCTCTGCACATGACATACCAGTCAGGTCGTTTTCCGTGTAAGTCCGCGTATAGACGGCATCACAGCCAAGAGAGGACGTCTCGCCGCCTGATGGTTTGAACCTCAACGGCCAATATGCGACCTTGATAGGTAGGGTCGTGTGCAGACGAGGAAGCAGCGGAAATGCGCTCTTCTGAGGGAACTGAGCCCTGCCGGCGCGGCGGCTTATTTGTGACGATATGCTTCAGTTGAGATGTTCGACGTGTCATGCCTGCACACCTGAAATGGCTGGCGCGGGATGGGGGTGGGGCGCGGGCCTTGAAGACTATAGATTATCGATGCGGTCATGATTAATGCCTGACATGCGGGCAGCATCAACGATGGTGAAGTCGGCGCGGCGGGTCAGACATCATGGAGGGCGGGGAAGGACCGGAGCCCAGTGACCACCATGCAAGCGAGCGAAGAGCGTCATGCGCGTAGTACATTACGGGGCCATGTGCATGAACGGGGCGGATAAAGCTGAGCAGGTTTTCTGCTTGTTTCCTTGCTTTGCGCTTCCCTGCGGGTTCGCCAATCTATTTGTTCGTGGGGACCGGGGGGGCTGGTTGCATGTGGTTGTCCCGCCTAGCATGAAGGGGGCGAGGAGGCTTGGAGTTTGCGCGGGCGAGTGGCGGGCACTCTCGTCGTTGGACTCTCGGCGGGATAATACACCTTCCGCCCTTGTTTCAGTCACGACTCACCAGGGTACAATTCTACTACTAATCTTTGCGCATTTCGGAGGCGCCATGGAAGGGAAGGGGAAAGGAAACGTGTTATGTTGCGTTGCCGATGAATGCGGGGGTGCTGGTTGTATGCTGTACTATGTCCGATTGTTGCATCTGATGATACATGTATTATGTACGTAGTCGAGACAAGGCGCGCGGGACAGTGACCTTCTGTATTGGTGCGTAGTGTTATTAGTTGGTGACTGGAGCGGCCCGGATGAAACAAGACAAGACATATTGGCAGTGTTCACTGCCTCCGGTGGACCTCGATGGGTGCCTTGCATGCTGTGCTCGCCGCTGACTCAAAGAAAGTCTTCTTCGTAGCAAAAAGGTATCTTCTTCAGGTATTGTTGTCAGACAACATGACGATGTATTCATCACACCAGGTTCAATATGTTCAATGTTGCCAAACTCCATCACGAGACTCGTCGGGAAAGAAAGAACCAGCATCGAGCTGAATGAGCCACGCTCCCAACGTCTTTCGTCTGCAGAAAGCCAGCCGCCCCCACCAAACAAAACATGCACACACCAAGCCAAGTAGTCACTGGTGGTGCGCCGTCGAAGCCACCACCACCGACCGGTCAGTTGCGCCAAAACGCCGCGACCGCCCGCCCGTCCATCAAATGTCTCCACCAACGCCGGTTGCCCCGGCGACAGAGCCGCTGCCCCCACCACACCTCCCTTTGCTCCCGACAACAACACAGGCAGAGAGGTAGGCAGGGTCCCCTTTCCACGCCGATGGTTCGGTGGGACGCAGGCAGGCACATGGGATGCGCCACGGCGCACGGCGGGGCGGGGTGTTGCCTCGTCCGTTACGCGCGTTGCTCTCTCTCTCTTCTCATGGTGGCTGAATCGAATCGGCCCATTGGGCGGCCGGCCTGTTCTGATCGTGAGAACCTGGGCGCTTCCACGCTGCCATTCGCAGGTTGGCTGGGGAAGAGGCAGGGAGGGGCTGGGCTGGGTGTGCATGGCAACTCTTGTCGCTTTCTTGGTCCGCGGGGTCCAGTCAGGTCACTGCGTGTTGCGGTTGTGGTGACCGTTCCCTTGGATCGATAGTTAGTGGGACACACACACAATATCATTGTCCCCTCTGACCATCACCACCACCACCTCCTCCTCCACCACCCGCCCGCCTACCGCCGTGTGCGTGCTCCTCCCTTTTGCAGTTCTCGTGTCCGCCTCGGCGCTTGTTCGCTTCGTTGCACATATCCTCTTCACTTCGTCTCGTTGAGCGCGCGCATTTGAGCGACGCGGCTGGTAGGGACAAACACATTATCAGGAAACGGTCTTGCTGCTTGCTGCCAGTGCCGTTTCGTCTTATTTACTTCGTGGGCCCCATCGAGCACCGGCCGCCTTAGAGCCCGTTGCGTAGCCAGGGACCGTCTTCGACGTCGATCCGGGCAACACTTCCGTGGCTGCCTCTTTCGGTGCGCGATTCACTGCTCGCACACTCGCCTCACAATCTGCTCGTACTTCGATAACTACGCACTCATCGCACCACGCGGCGCGGTACACGCACGACCCTTCACGCAAACGACGGGGCTCGGGCGCGATGATGTGATGTGAGGACAAGCACAGCCGAGACCACGGTGCATGCGGCCGACGCCTACCACTACGATTTGATCCCAGTCGCATACAAGTTTATATCGAGAAACCATACCAGAAACACATCACACCGGCCTCATGGCCGCCACAAGATGGAGAACGAGGCGGCGGCGGGCCGTCCCCGGCCTCGTCTCACTCCTCCTCCTCGCCGCATTCCAGTCCCCCGCCGCCTCCGCCGCCGCCGAACAAGCGCACGCCTTCCCCTACATGCCAACACAGATCCTCACCCCCAGCGCCTGCGTCAACCAATCGTCCTGCCGCGGCCGCGACGTCGCCTACCTCTTCAGCCCCTCGAGCGACGGCGTGCGCTTCCTCGCCCTCAACTACTCCTCGGGCATCGATGCCAACGCGGAGCCCAAATCCGTGTCCACGACGCTGCCCTTTCTCGAAAATGCAGGGTCCACGGCGGCGTTTGGCGCGGCGAGGGCGGCCAACGGCGAGGTGCTCGTCTTTGCGGGCGCGTGTGACGGGCCCGGCGGCGATGTCTGGAGCTACACACCTGGTGGCGACGATGATGCCAAATGGGAGCGGAGAACGACGACGATGGATAAGGGAGCGCAGAAGGGAAGCACGCAAGGGCCATACTTTTTAGGCGGCACGCTCGCCTTCTCGTCCAAGCTGGAGCCCACCATGGACGAGCCAACATTATACACATACGGCGGCATGTGCACGCCGCCGTCGACGGCCAACACGCAGGAGTGGCAGTCGGACGCAAACTACACCAAGACGATGACGAGGCTCACGCCGGGAGGAGGCGGCAGCCAGGACAGCTACAGCCTGGGCGTGGCGTCGGTGTCGGGCCCGCGCTCGCCCTTTGCGGGCTTCTCGGTGACGCAGCTGCCGCCGTCCATGACCAACATGTCCGGGTCCGTGGCGCAGCAGGCCAGCTTCGTCTTCCTGGGCGGGCACACGCAGTGGGCTTTTATCAACATGAGCACCGCCGCCGTCTGGAGCCTGCCCGAGGAGACGTGGTCGTACATCAACGTGCAGCCGCCCCTCGCCACGGGCGAAAAGATGCCCGGCAACGAGCTGGCCAAGAACCAGAACCAACAGAAGCAGGGTCAGGTGCAGAACCAGGACAGCAGCAGCGATGGTGCGGGTCTGAGGAGGAAGAGGGACGGCGGCGCGGCGCCGGACAACGTGTATAGTCGGTCGGGCCACACGGCGGTGCTCAGCGAGGATGGCAGCTCCGTCGTTATATTGGGGGGCTGGGTCGGCGACGTGGGCACCCCGGCGGAACCGCAGCTCGCGGTGCTCGAGATGAGCCAGGCGTATAGCTCCTGGCGGTGGCGCATCCCCGAGAAGCAGCCCGACGGGGGCATCTACGGCCACGGCGCGGCGATGCTGCCCGGCAACGTCATGGTCGTGTATGGCGGATGGGAGACGAAGACGACGACAACTAAGCAGAAGCGCCAAGACGCATCGTCACTGCGATTCTACAACCTGACGTCCATGGCGTGGACTTCATCGTACACGAACCCCAACGCTGGCAGCGGCGACGGCTCCGGTGGAAACGGCGGATCCCACGACGCTCCCGGGTCAGGCGGCTCCTCAAAGTCGAAGCGCCTGGGCCTCGGACTGGGTTTGGGTCTGGGCCTCGCTCTGCTCCTCGGCATCATATTCTGCTTCCTGCTCTGGCGCATGCGACAGCGCAGGAAGCAGGCGCGGCACGACGAGGCAGTGCGGGCCATGGCCGAGGACGCGCGACACTTCCTCCACGACACCGACATGATTGAACGCGACGACTTCCTCTTCGGCTGGGGCGGCCAGCGGGACTGGCGCAGCAGCGGCCAGCAGCAGAGTGGCGGCCGATCGCTGGGCTACGAGAGCCTCCGGGGCGCCGGCGCGGGACGGAGCTCGCTCGACGCCGGGGCCGGCGGTCCGGGACCCATCGCGCGGAAGCCCGTCGCCGGCGTCGCCCGGGGCATGCGCAACGGCTACCAACCGGCGCTGCCCGACGCGGGACGCTTCAGCAGCACGTTTGCGTCGCCGCCGGGCGTCATCCACCCGATCCTCGAGGATGACGAGGACGAGTACTACAGCCACCACGAGCACGAGCACGCGCACACGGCGCCCCTGACGCCCACCTCGGAGGCGCACTCAGACCCCTTTGCCACGCCCGTCACGGCCACGGCCCCGCCCGTCATCTTCTTCCCCACGGGTGCGGGTATCGCGCGAGCGTCCAGCCCGGAGCGGAGGAGCAACAGCAGCAGCCCGGCGCGGCGCACCGACCCGGACGTCCAGGACTGGGTGTCGGACGTGGACGCCGCGGACGCGCTGCTCGAGCGGTACAGCACGACTCGCCAGCAGCAGCAGCAACAGCAACAGCAGCAATCACAGGGCCGTGTGTCGCCGACGCGCCGGGGCTCGAACCGGTCGACGCTCACGCTCGGCGGCCTGCGTGACGATGACTCCCGCACCGGTTCCAACCTGTCCGAGTCGGCGCGCAGCGCGGCCGACAGCCTACGCCGTTCCGCCTCGGGTCGCCGTTCCGCGGCCGGGGGCTTCCTCCTTGGCCTGGGGCTCGGCGCCGGCGCGGGCGAGCACTCCAAGCCCAGCAGCAGCTCCTCGAGCAGCTACAACACGGCGCGGTCTGGCTTCGGCGCGCTGCAGGCCGAGGCGCCGGGGCTGCTCATGGGCGGTAGTGGCGGCGGCGGCGCACGCACGCCCGCGAGCCCGACAGGATGGGGAGGCGCGGCCGGTGACGACGACGACTACGCGCTCGTCCCGCGGGAGCCCGGCTCGCCGTCCAAGTCCAAGCCCCCGTCGCGGCGCACCTGGCTGGGCTCCCTGCGGCGCGTCTTCTCCGGCAGCAGCAGCAGCAACGGCGCGTCGCCAGCCAACGCGTCGCGTGAGGAGCTTGATCACCAGCACCAGTGGGACCATATTCAGCAGGGCGGTAGCAGCGGCGCGCTGATGACGGCCGGAGCGGGGGCGCTGAGCGGGGAGCTGCTCCGCCGGAAGCAGGGCCGGCACGACTGGCAGGACTCGGGCGACGAGGGCGGCGGCGGCAGCGCGCTTGGCATGGCAAGCGGAGGGGGCGCGAGAGGAGGAGGCGGAGAGGGTGACGGCGCGCGGGAAAAGGACGAGTGGGATATCGAGAGAGCGGTCGAGCAGCGGCTTGTGCAGGTAATGTTCACGGTGCCTAAGGAGCGCCTGCGCGTGGTCAACGCCGATGACAACAACGACGATGACGCGGACAGGCGGTCGCTGGGCAAGGGGTCCGGCGGCGGCGGTCGAGACGCAGCACCCATGGCGACGACGGCTCAGCAGCGCGGCGAGGAACACGTCGCTCCGGCGGAGGCGCTGCGGGAGCCGCACGTCGCGGAGCTGGTTGACCCGTCGAGCACGGACTCGAGCACGGATACGACGACGACGACCAAGTCTTCGCTACGCTCGGCGGCGTCGCGAGAGGGCGGGCTGCAGCAGCAGCAGGCTGATACGACTACGCAGAGAGATGCCAGCATCACTGCCACCGAGGTTGTTGCCCCCTCTGCCCCCATCTTCGATAAGCACGAAGAGCCTCACGGCGATGACAACGACAACGACCATCATCATCATCACGACCACCACCACCACCATCACCACCACGACGAAGACGAAGACGAGGACGACGTCCACGACACCAGCTTCCTCAGCAGCGGCAGCGCTGGCGGCGGCGGCGTGCGGGCCAAGCACCAGAGCCACAGCGGCACCGTAAGCAGCAGCGGCGGCGACTACCTCGGCGTAGACGGCATGTCGAACCCGCGGCTGTCGCACTCGACGGACGGGTCGGGGCGGCGCTCGTCGGGCGTCTTCATGACGGCCGAGGCGGTGACGTTTGAGCGCCCGCGCATGACGATGCGCACCACCACCACCACCACCACCACGCGCGTGCGCGACATGGTGGACCGGTACGAGACGCGCAGCGCGGAGGCGAGTCCCGTGCGGAGCCAGGCGGATAGCCCGACGAGGGGGATGCGCTGACGGTGATGGTCCTGCCGCTGGCTGTGGAAAGGGACTGATATTGCCGTGAGGGGAGATGTAGCTGGGATACGGGAGAGAGGTTGGTCATGCGGTGACGGATGGGAAGGGAGAGGGACACTGACTGGCGCATGCGATGGGGGCGGATTGGCCTTTCCCACAATGGAGTTTTCTGCTTTTCAGTCTTTTTTTTTACTCGTCTGCGAATGCTTTTGGTCGGTCCGCGGGAATCATTTGGTCCTCGAGAAATAGGTCGGAAAGGGGAGGGGGGGCTTCACTCGGTGCGATCTGGTGCCTGGCATGGCGGTCTGTCGTTTATACCACGAGATGATGTTTTGCAATGGAGGAGAGGAGAGGCGCCCGGAGGACTCGATGACTCGATCGAGTCGAGTCGAGTTCGTCTTGGGACGACACGACGGGACGGGCATGAAGGACAGAGACACGGCCTTGGGATGCGAATCATGCTGGTCTATGTATGTATGTATGCGTGTATGTATGTATGTATGTACATGAAGAACCAAGGAAGGGGCCCTACGCTCGCTCATACATATAGCCTTGCGTTTTCGGCTCTAGGATCCAGGGTTGCACGTGCGGTGCAATGAGCTGTCTCGCTGCTGTGTTTGATGTGCCCTCCGTGTGTCTGTGCATGTCCTTTGTAGTCTCCTCCCAGCTGCAAGTCTCCCGTGCTGTATACCTTTCCCGGACTGTGTAATGCCCTGTCTGTCTGTCTGTCTGTCTGTCTGCAGCGTTCCTCCGTGCGTCTGTCTGTCTGTCTGTGTGTATATCCTAGCAGTCTCTCTATCCTGAACGGTGGTGTACTGTATAATAAGAACGCAGCTAAACCTTGACCCCCAGCTTCTTGTTCCATGCGAGGACCGCCTCGATGGCCTGCCTGCCCGGAAAGTCAAAGATGACGACACCCGTGCGGCGCGCCTCGGGGACGCGCTCAAAGTCGCGCACCCACTGGCCTGTCATGTCGTTCATGCCCGTGACGGTGCGGTTGAGGGGGCCCGCGGCGGCCTCGACGGGCAGGACGCCCACCGACGCGGACACGTGCGCGAGGTACAGCTTTGCGTTGTCGAGGGCGTCGGTGGCGGCCCGCTCGAGCGCCGTGCGGATGGCCGTCCACTTCTCGGCGAGGTGGTACACGTCGGGCACGATCCAGGCGTCCTCGAGCGCCATCTGCGGGCCCTCCCAGGCGAGCCCGTAGGGCGGCGCGTCGGCCCGCGACGCAAAGTCCTGCAGCAGGAAGACGCGCGAGCGCAGGGCGCCGAGCGTGGGGATGGGCACGCTGCGGTTGTACAGGTACAGGTGGTCGGCGGCGCCAGGGGTGCGCTCGCGGTAGCCGACAAACGTCTCCTCAAACGTCTTGGTGTTGTTGGTGCCGAGCGGGCGGCCCTCCTCCTTGAGGCGCATGACCAGCGCCTCGGAGGGGTTCGCGACGAGAAAGGCCAGCACGTCGCGCAGCACGTCGGCGAAGCTGAAGCCCGTGTAGCCGTCGCCGTGGTAGATGTGCAGCTCGTCGTCGCGCAGGCGGGCGCGGATGTCGACGTAGCGCAGCCCCGCGTCGAGCTGGACGCTGAGGTTCCAGTTCTGGCAGTTGAGCACCGGGTCGGGCCGCAGCAGGCCGTACGTCATGGTGTCGTGCGTGCCGGGGATGCTGAGGCTCGTGAGGTTGGTCTCGTCGGGGACGGCGGCCATCCAGGCCGGGTGGTGCGCGGCGTGCGCGTCGAAGCTCCACGCCGAGCGGTAGCCGCGGTAGCAGCCGCCGCGGACGAGGCACGGCGCGACGGCGAAGAGCAGCATGTACAGGAGGGCCATGGCGGCGACGGCGGCGAGGGCGAGGAGCGGTGGGATGCGGCGCGCGCGGACGGGACGGAGGCGAGGCGGCGGCGGCAGCGACAGGAAGAAGGGTGCCGACGGTTTGCCCATGGTGACGGATCAGCGTGCGGCAGCGACGATCGCAACCGACAGTCGTATAAGGGCTGAGCAAGCACGGATCCCCCCAGCGACGGGGCGGCTGCGCGCGCACGCAACACGGCACCGCAGGGGGTGGAGAGCGGCAGGGGCGGTGAGGAAACGAAGTCGAGGAACGTGTCGCAACGGCCTTCAGCTCATGGTGAGGCTGACGCGGAGGATCAAGTCGTCGGCGGTGTGGGCGATGCGAGGTGCAGCGAGGCCATCTGCGAGAAGGCACAGCCGCACGTGGGGGGCCTGCGAGGTGCGGTTTGCCTGTCGCGGTCGGGTCACGGGGGTGATGATGACGGGTGGATGGATGGATGGATTGGCAATGTAACGGCAGAGCGACTGGGGTTCACGTCACGGAGCGGACGGAGCCCGCTTCGCCCGGCCCGGACTTGACCCGGCGTCGGTGACGGTGGGTGGATGCGCCGTTGCGGCCCCGACACCTCCGAGCAGCCGTCCGGCCGGCGCGTTGGCTGGGCCGGCGGTTGCTCGTATCTCGGAGACTTTAAAGGGTCCAACGTTATTGTCCTGAACAAGGTCTACCAACGGCCCATCTCTCCCCTAATCACTGCTTGCCCTGGCCCCTCCGAAACGATGCCACCCAAATGCAACCACAGCAACCGGGCTACCCTACACCAGGTCGGCCGCCTCGATCCAAGTTCGCAACTTGCCCTCCTCATCGTCGACGCCGTCGTCGAGTCTCCGAGACGCACGCGAGAACAGCCTCTCTCCCCTTTGATGCCTCTTCGCATCTAGTGAGCAGCTTCCGCCCGAGGCTTGCCGACGAGCCCGAAACCCCGCTCTCAGCCGCTCCGGCTGACAAAGTCCGTCCTCTTTCATGTGCCATTGTGAACTCACCACCAGCAACGCCTCAAACACGCGACGGAGACAATGTCATGACACATCTGCGTCGGAACCTCGAGCTTGCCCGCCCGCTCGCCAGCTCCAAGCTGGCCCCTCTCACGCCTCGCCGACGCCAGAAACGCCCGTCCTGTCCACGGGAGGCAAGCGCCATCGCTCGAGGCCAAATCCGATCGACAATCGCGCGGCATAGAGTTTGCGCCATCGCGCCGCCACCCGGGCCCCAGTAGCAACTCAATTCCCGCGGGCGCACAATGCAATGAAGAAGCAAGCACCCCCCGGGGCCGGAAGCAAACGACCGGGCTCGTCTCAGGTAAATTAAAGGGGCGTTTTCCCGCTCGCCGGACTGTACCCGCAACCAGCTCGCCAGGGATCTGCCGTCTACGGAGATCCGGGTCCGTGTAGATGATCTGCCCGCCGGGCCGGGGGACCACGGCCATCACCACCGCATTTTTTTTAATTGCATCTGTCATTTCACCGTAGTCAATGCCTTGGACCTAACGTGGCCGGAGCGAGTTGAGCAAGGTCAGGTGCGCTGCCGGGCAGCATATCGTCCGTTAGAGTTCAAGCCTCGGTGTTCCGTCTCCTCTCGGCGCGCCGGTGCCCGCTCTCAGCCGCGGGCGGGCATCTGTCTGGTGTCGCTCGACACTTTGAACGGTCCGGCTCGGTCATTGGTGCCAATCACCGACGACGCCGCCGACCGCCGTGACCGGTCCAGGCCCGGAGCATTCTGCGTGGTTGGCAGCGAGACGTCGCCGATGTCGTGCCCTCCCCCCTCAAGTGTGTCGTCGCGGAGAGCGTCACGGGTGCTGTCTCACTGGGCGGCGTGACGGCTCCCCCGACCTCGTATTACCTCGACATGTGGGAGAGGCCATCCATCCGACCAGCCGGCCTGCAACGCCACATGCATCGCGCCGTGGCCAGTGGCAACCGGCGTTCCTCACGGCGCGGCCAGACGTGCTGCGTATTTCTGCGGGCTCTGCATTTTGCATGAACGCGGCCGGCCGGCCCACGCACCGCATGCATCTGCACTCTCCGCGAGGGGTCACCCAACCGCCAGACTTGCCCGGATGCCTCAAAGAAGAGAGCGTCAAATGAGTGAATGGCTTGGGAGAGCGCTCTTCTGCCGAGACAGCGACGATCCTTGGACAATTGCCCGGCTCGCCCGGTGATATATAACGTGATGATGCTCCGTTTTGACTTTCCCTGTCACGTTGATGTGGGACATCCGGCGGCTGGTCTTCCTTTCTACGAGAGGGTGTCGAGGGTCCATCCACGGCCCGTGCTAAGCCCGCCGGCTGCTTCCTAGTAACACTTGCAACAGCTCGTACAAAGTCCCCGCGAACAGGTGTGGTATGCCATGCCCATGTCGTTGGCAGAGTGGAAGAAGGGAAGGGTCGAAAAAGCAACGTCTCAACGTCGCAGGGCGAAACAATCGGCAACGACATGTCTTGCCGTCCCGCTGCAGCTGCCGTCGCGGCGTCAGGCAAACGACACATACCATGAAATAAATTGGATTGCGAGCCTCGACCCCGCCCCTTCTGTTGTAAGAGTTACGTCGTTTGAGACGGACTGGACGTGAGCGTCGATGGGCTTTCGGTGGGCGCGGCGCCGCCGCCCTCTTGGTTGTAAGCGACATCGACAGGACGACGCCGCAGAGGAGGCTGGGGTGAGGGGAAGCGAGGAGGGGGTACCCCGGGCGCGGACATGGCAAAGCGGCATGGCTGACTTCCAACGTGTACATGCCCATGCATCCTGGGATCGTTGTCAGATGAACATCTTCCCTTCGAACGTCTCTGATCCGACTTGTTCTGTTTGCCAGGGAACGCGCAAGCCCAATTGTCACGCGGTGGTTGAAGGTGGGCGCACGGCGCACGCTGCTCCCAAAGCCCTGGGACTCAAGACATTGAAACCGGGCAGGGCTTGAACGCAAGTAGTTCAAAGGCGTATACTCGGCAGCAAACGAGCAGAGGTTGCTGTACCCTGAGGGGTCCACCGCCTTGTATCTTCCTGACTGGTGGTGTGTGATGGCGGCCACGAGCACCCAGTCAAGTCAGACGTGATACCCACGGTGGTATACCCTTCACTTCGTGAAGGACAACGTCGTACAGCCGACGTGCGGCTCTGTACCGGGGGCGTGCGGGGCAGCATGCCCTTGTCGTCGATAAACAGCCTCCCGTCCCGTCCATCTCGACACAGAGCGTCGCGACGCCTCTTGGTGGCTTGCTCGTCGTGGACCCCCGGGACCTGTGATGAAGCAGCTCGACAGTCGCTGTACGGAGACTGTAAAACTCGACAGAGCACCTCAAGTGCTGTAATAGGAGACAGCGAGTGGTTACGGCGTGATTACTCGTGGCACCTTGCTTGTGATCCACGGGCTCCTCCACTCCATCCCCACCTCGTTCCTTGCTCCCGCGCAGCCGACCAACGCGGCCCAGCTCGCCAGGGATACCTGCTCGAGCACGACGTGTCCACCCATCCCCGCCGCCTCGGGGCCAATCCCCCGTGTGCTTTGCTCTGATCGGCGTGCGAGGAGCCAGCCAGCTGGTCGACTCGGCCCTGCACAAGCGACAGCAACGGGCATGGTCAACACTGGCCCTCTCTGTTTTTGCGCGAAGTGTGACCCCCTCTCGCCCTGCGTGTGCGTTTGCGTCTCACTGCTCCCGCGCATGCCGCCGCCGCCGCCCATGGCATATGGCAAATGGCCAGGCGACGAAACACGGCCGATAATGACGTGTGGGCGGGAGAGGCTCAGTCTTCGTAGACCGTGCGCAGCGCAGCGAGGAACGGGGACCTTTGGCGCCTCGCCCCCTTTGGGCGGCTAACTCTGGGCCGAACTCGGGCGCCTCGTCTCCTTGTTTTCTTCACATGTGCGTCTGTCTGTGGCTCCCCGTCTGCCCCCAGGGGCAGAGGCTCGGCCAAGGAGGAAGAAGAATTAAAAAAACCCTCGCTGGTGCTGAACGTGCGCATGTATGAAGACACGACTACGTAAATGGCTGCCAGCTCTTTCCACAGCTGCTGCGACTCTCCTCGGGCTCCTTTGGCCGACGCGGTACTGCAATAATAATCATGGGGATCCGCTCCGTTTGGTGTGCCGGACAAGCGGGCTTCCGAGGGCAGGGGGGTGTGCGGGCTCGATCGCGATGGTGTGTTGCAAGAGAGATGGGGACGGGGGGGAAATTGAGCTGGGAGTGGGAGGGTGGAACCGTGGACCGACGACATTCGCCGAAATCGACATGGATCTCGGCAGAAGTGCCATGATATCAAGATTCGGTCGTCGCAAAGAAGTCGAGGCCGCGAGAGAGTCTTGATGTCGTGGACAGGATGGATGGATGGAGGACCGGATGGGCGTTTCTTTAAATGTGCCCAATGTCGCTTCGGACGCGACGATGCCGATACGATGCCGCGACGGGGGGCCAAAGCAAAAAAGACACAGCCGGCTCGTATTCTGGCCCGGGCGGCTGCTCTGGCTGGCACCCCTTCCGTAGAGAGGGACTCGAGTTGACTCGAATCACAAGGAGCAACCCGTTGGAAGCCCACGGTCGGCGACGCAAAGTGCCAGATAGTATGAGCAGTGGCCGGCTAGCGCGAGGAATGCAGACGGGACCGGCACCCCATGGCGATTCGCATTCCAGCTGCCGGGACATGGCGAACCGCGATGCCCTCTCCGGGGGTCCATCTCGCGGGGTAACGGACGGGGTAGAGTAGATCCAGAATAGCGCGCCAGGTGACCGACGAGAAGATTCAGACCGAGGTCATGAGGCGCCGGTTCTGGACGTGACAATGTCGCGGGCGACGGACCTGGTCTCCCGCCGCTGTTTGCAGGATGGCTGTGCCTGACGACGGTTTGAACGGACCGCGCTCAGGCCCGGACAGGGGTAAGCGCAGTTGCCTCCCGCAAGATTTCCTACGTCTCATTACGCACTCTGTACATACTAGACCGAGTCTCTATCCGGGGCCCGGGTTGCGCCTTGAAAGAGCTCAACGCCGTGAGCGGCGGCGGGAGGACGAGTGTTCGTGACACGTAGCTCCACGGTCGGTAGCAAGCACCATGGGGAAACATGTTTTATCCCAGATGCCCAATTGTTTATCGCGTTTGCTGGTGGCACCCCCCTTGTCGATCCCTCGGCTCTTGGTGACGCCATGGGGCCAGGGGTAGCGCTGCACCAGCGCAAGCCCGTCACAGCGCCGTCGAGACGGCATGGATCCCAAGGTTTGGATTTTTTTTTTTGTTCGGTCCTCGTTGCCTGCCCTGTCCTGGCCTTGGTTCGTGCTGGTGTGTGCGTCGCCCATCCATCTTTGCCATCCATCCGTCCATCCCCTGGCGCAGGTTCGTGTTGGCACCCAATCTTGCCAGGCTCGGGGGGCGGAGACTGGGCTGGGCTGGGTTGAGCTGGGCAGCCGGCGCAACCTTGCCGTGGCGGCGCGGCGGCGGCTCCACTGACGCGGCGAACGGTCGAAGTGATGGTTCTTGGGGCAGTCTTGCTGATGCTGATGCTGATGCCGATGTGAAGGCCCGTATTTGGCCGCCTAAACGGGGGCTTGCGCGCACCAGAGAATCGAACCATCCGGCCAAGGCAGTGCTGCGTCTTGTCCGGCTGGCCCGGCGCGGGCACAGAGGGATCCGGCGTTGCATTGTCCGAGGATGAAGCTTATTGTCCGGGGCAACGGGAGACAATGCAGTCGCCGAGCTCGCAGACGTGCGAAGTTGAGTCTGGAAGTTGAGGAATGAGGAATCGCAGGCGTTGCCCTCCCAGCCTTGAAGCTAGCCCTGGAGGACAGTACCTGCCCAGGCGGGCAGCAGCTTCCTCAACCACTGCCGGCTGCCAGCGCCCTGCGCAGCGGGCGACGCGCTGAGCGCCTCACGCGAAGACGCCTTCACAGCTCGAGCTCCAGCGGGGGGCGTCCCCCGAGCCCCGGGCGGCTCCCACTGATGAAGTGAGTGGCCCCACGACGGACTGCCCCGGCTCTGCCCCGGCGCTCCTGTGCTTCCACCTCACACCCACTCACCCCCCTGGCCCTGGAGCCGCTATTCCGTTACGGCAGCCCGGCCGCCCATCCATCCATGGATCCAGTCCATCCATCCATCCCATGCCACCCCCCCTCGGGTGGGTGGTGGTGACGGGGCGGGAGTACGAACGGAGAATGGAAATGCACGCTACGCATCCGTGGGCCGTACAGGTGCCCGCCGCCCAGTGAGGCAGCCGCGGCCGCTGCCGCTGGACCGCCTCACCGCAGTGCTGCGCTGCCCGTATCCCCCTAAGCTCAGTGAGGTCGAGCGCCTCCAAGCTCTCCCTAGGTGCCGCTGGACCGGTCGCAGCTGCACCGCAGGCCAGGCAGGCGCCCGCCGGTGCATGGCGCGGGAGCCATTGGATGGTGCCATGGGCCGGCCTGCACTGCGCCTTTTCCTCTTGCTCCTCTTGTTCCTCCTCCTCCTCCACAACCACCACCACTCTCACTCTCTTGCTCTCTCGACTGTCCAGAGCCTATCCTGCTCTTCACTTTTTGCCTCATTGTTTGTTCCTCCTCCTCCTCCACCCCCCTCCTCTCTCTCTCTCCTTTGTCGCCCGTTTCATCGGCCATCTTGGGTATCGAGACACGCACCGCATCACAGACTCAGGCACACAAAGAAATAACCGCCCGCCACATCTCGAGTAATCCATCCATCAGGGGAAACCCGCCGCCCCTTGGAGCGACGCCCTCTCTTTTTCTTCGATTTCTCCCGCCTTTCCTCGTCCGTCGACGTTCGCTTCCTGACGGCCCGCCCGCACTTGCAATTCAATTTTTGGCGATTGCATTTGGCACCGCTCATCGACTTGACCCAAAACTCTGTTCTGCTTGCGGACCAGCCACTGCATTCCAGTCGGGTGTCCACCAGGTCTCGCTCCCACGCCGCCGCCCTCTCCCGCACGCCGACACGACAGGACGGCCCAGACAAGGCACCCGAGGCCCTGCACGCGTTCCATCGTCGCCGCTTGCTTGCTGTGAATATCAACAAGCCCGCATCCGCCTCCTCGCCCCATCCCCCGTCTCCATCCCCCCCTGGTGTTGGCCCTCGTCCGCCTCAGCCAACGCCGCGCACGCACCAACCAACACGTCGCCGTCGGTGCTCGTCTGCCCACGACACGACTCGATCGCTTCTCGACGCCCTGTCCTGAGTCGGAACTCATCTCGGCCATCCGGGAGACGTCTTGTTGGTCCCCCCCGCGTTCAAATCGACGCTCGGCAACGATCGTCGACTCTTGCCCGCCGACTGGCTCTCCTGCAAGCAAGGAGCCACGACTGCCGAAGCCGACCAACACCCACATCGCCGTGCTCTCATGGCTGCGGGCCTCTAAGTCGACCTGTCATCCGACTCTCTGAAGCGTATTATGTGGTAAACCCTCGGTTGGCCACGACTACGCTCCCGTGAATGTGTACAGCTGGCACCAGTGAGTCCCAAATCCCCCCCAGACCCGATCTCGGTTCCTCACCCGATGCATCTGCAACCACCCGCATCACCCGCAGCAAAGCTGACGATTCGTAGCCTCGTCCAGGACGACTTGACTCTTCACTTCTTGCCACAACAATGGGCTCCCTTCTGAGAGGCGCCCGCCAGCTGGGCCGCGTGCTGCTCGTGGCGTCGGTGCTCTCGACGGCCGTCTCGGCCATCGAAATTGACCTCTGCGCGAGCTTCAACACCGCCGACATGTCCAGAAGTACGTTCTTCCTCCCCCGTTGCAGGTGTATTGGCGCCGTCATGCATGGCTGACTGACGCGTACTCCAGACATCAGCATCTACCAAACCAACGGCCTGTGCCACGACTTCTGCCTGCAGAAGAACCAGGCCTACGCCATCACGCAGGCCAATGGCTGCTGGTGCTCTGACTACACGCCCGCAAAGTCTGTTCAGGTCGGCAAGAGCAAGTGTGACACGCACTGCCCTGCTTTCCCAGCAGAATTCTGTGGCGGCGATGGCGTCTTTGGCTACATTGCCCTCAACAATGTTCTTCCCTCGGGCACGCGGGGCGGCTCCGACCCAACCTCGACCTCGTCTACATCCAAGGTGAGTGCCGCTCTCTCTTTGACGTTATCCATCTTTCTGCACCGCATTGCGTTTTGTTTCCCTGCATCGGTTGCCCTTTTCTACCTAACCGCCCGACGACGCGTCGTCTCCATGGTCGTCGGGCGGCTGGTCCTCTGTGTAGTGGTTTAGCCTCAGTCGTGCCATTACGTTTCTTGTTGCTCCTTTGTTGCATCAGGCGTAAGACGGCAGGGCTGAATTCGTTGCATCAGGCCGAGATTCCAACAGCGACGACGTGGGTGACTAAGACTGTGCAGGACACAGTAACTTCATCATCTTTGCCTTCTTCTTCTTCTCCTCCTCCTCCTACCACTACGTCAAGTAGTAGCAGGACTTTATCCGTATGGCGCGACCCGACCCTCTTCCAAGCCCTCTTCACAGGCCCTAGACCCCGGTGCTGGCTCGAGAGTGAAACGACAGTCACCCAGTTGTGAGAATGCCCGATGCTAATGCCCGCAACTACAGACCTCCGACAGCTCGTCGGATACACCCACCCCAACGACCTCGATGGTTCAAACTGTCACCGCCGGCGGTACAATCAAGACGGTCACCATTGTCCCCACAGCGACGGGCGGCACCGGTGGCGACGCCTCTAATGAACGCACCGGCTCCACTGTCCAGAGGAGCGGGCTGAGCACGGGCGCCGTGGTCGGCATCGTGGTCGGCGTCATCCTCGCCGTCATTGCCGTGGTCGGCATCGCGCTGTTCTTCTGGCTGCGGCGCAGGAGGCAGAACCGCGACGACTATCAGGATGACCCCAGCGTCCGGGGCAGCTCGTCGGGCATGACGGACGGCCGCCCGGAGATGTCCGGGGCTCCTGGTTCTCCGGGCTCGGCCGGCAACCGTAGCAGCATGTTGCAAGTTGACCCGCGCATGGACCCGTTCAAGCAGGGATTGTACGCCCGCAACGGCAGTCATGAGAGCGTCAACACGCTGCGCGACGACCACGACTACTCGCGCCGGATTCAGCAACCCAAGGTGCTCCGCGCGATGAACCCCGATCCCGAATAAGCCGCAGCAGCGGTGGGTTTCCTCTTCTTGGACAACCATTGTAGACGATCACACCCGGTGTCACGACGTACATGAAACACCTTTCCTTTGACACCCCCAAAAGAAACAATTCAACACACCACGACGACGTTTGGTTCTTCCGTTGCATTTTCGAGATACCAGGATGGCGTTGGCACATTCAGAACAACATTATCGGCATAGGCGACGGCCTCTGCGGCTGCGGCTGCGGCGGCCGAAACGCGAAGGGCATCTGCAGCAGATGGAGAGGGTCGAGGCAGCGCCACGGAGCGGATGCGATGCCATGCAGGTCTGCGCTCTATGCTCGGGCCTCCATGGCCACGGACAGACGGACGGCGCCTGAGGGGCTGCACGGCCGGCACGATTGTCCTGGTGGCATTCGAAGACAGACACACTTTTATGGGTCCGAAAGCCTCGGCGGCTTGGAGACACACGGCACGGCCTTGAATAACGAAACGCGATCACGGCAGGCAGTCTCTACCGGCTTGTATGCGACGCGACGCGGTGCATGCACGCGGGGCATGTATTGGAGCGCTTAGATTTGCCCGATACATTGCGGGACAGCGGGAGACGAGCGCTGGCCTTGTTGGCTTTGATGTACATATACCGCAGCAACGAAGGATACAAGCGTACAAATGATGCATTGGCATTGCGCGAGGACGGCACATGGCTCTTGGCGGCGCCAGGTTTCGCTGGCATAGTCGCGGGAGCGGGATAATGGGTCCTCCTACGGATAGGTTTATATGAGCATTGCACATGGAAGGAGAAGCACCGGGCCTGACCGGTCTCTAAATTTGTTTGCATGTGTGTTGCGTCTGTGCATGTGTGCCGGCGTACAGGTACTGTAGTCCGTACGTGGCTGGCCAAGGCAAGGCAGCCCGCTTGGTTGGTGTATCCGTGTATCCGTGTATCCGTCCAACCCTCGCCCAATGTGCGAAGCAAGATGGGAAAGTCGGTGTCTGGAATGTTACAGTCGCACCGCGTCGGACGGCCTGGCAACGCGGTGGCACGTCTCAGACTCGGAGCCATCGGTCCCGAGCGTCGGAGGGACGGACGACGTTACGGGTCGCGCTCGAGGCCGGCCGACGGGGTCACGCAACGGCACTGGGTGACACAAGGCGGCTTGCATCACACACGCATCGAGGGGCGGGGAGGGGGGGCAAGCAAGCAAGCAAAGCAAAGCACGAAGCGAGGCGATGGGGGGAGACAGGGTTACAGGGTTCGAACAATCACGTCACGTCACGCGGCGGGGGGGCGCGGGAGGAGGGAAGCCAGACCCGCATGGATGGACGATGGGAGGTACGTCGCACGCGGTGAGGCATCGGAAGGGGCGCATTGGGTGGGTGAGTGGGCGGGCAAGCAGGCGGGCAGGTAGGTAGTAGGCAGGCTGGGGAGGGAGCAGGCCGATTGGAGTGGGGAGGACGCGGGACGGCGGGCTTGCTTGCTTGCTTGCGGCGTTTGGTCACTTGCGCGCGTCTGTGGTGTTTTGAGTTTAAAGGGTCGTATATGAAAGGAAGATAGATACTAGAGCTGTATGTGTGTGTGTGTGTGTGTGTGTGTGTGTGTGTGTGTTTGGCATGCCCCATGTTTGCGTTGTATGTCTGGTGATGAAGATGATGTGTAATTCAGTATATGGCCTGTAGGTAATTTACATGGCCTGGGGGAGCCCAGACCGAGCGGGAACATGGCCTTGAGGAGGCGACAGAACGCCGTTGTGGTTCGATGCTTGCTTGGGGGTACGTATGTACGTATGTACATATGAATAACGGATAGCGGAGAACGGCGCGAGCGTGGGCGTGGGCTTGGGCGTGGACCCTTGTGGAGGGAGGTGGAAGAATGGAAGGGCGGAACATTAGGCTGACGATATGTATGTGATGACAATGATGATGACGGCTGATCGTGTCGCGGGAAAGGGCGGCAAGGAAGGGAGAGCAAGGGGACAAGGGGCACCAGTCAAAAATATCAGCGCGTGCACCCCGCTCTGAATGAGCATGTAATAATATAGATGCTCGTCGACGACGAACGATGACAAACGAGTCGGACAGACAAGCAGACAGACGAACAGATAGACGGACGTACGATGAAAAGGGTTTCTCCATCTCGGGCTGATGGGCCGAAACGGGAAGGCGACGCAACGTCAAAGCGGACAGACAGCTGAACGGGGAGGAGGCCCTTTGCTCGCTCGCTCGCTCCTTGGAATGGAACGGGCCAACAAGGGAAGGGCGGATATCTGAGACTCGTCGTCGATTTCCTCGTCGCTGTGCGTGTCTCGCGGGAGCATCGTGTGTGTGTGTGTGTGTGTGTTTGTGGCCCTGCCGCGGTGCAGCGTAATAAAACACCCCCCCGTTGCACATGCGCTCTCGCCTCATTACTCTGACAGCATGCAAAGCCGTTTGCTGATGTTGCGCCCGCGTGGAGGTTTGGCGGCGATGGTTGATACTCGGTCCGTCTGTCAGTCCGTCCGTCCATCTGGGAGGCTAGGTATTTTTTTCCTTTAAAGAAACAAGGAGAAGGAGGGAGTCGAGGGGGGGTGACTGGGCGATTGCGTGAAGGGCTTGTGCCTGCGCCTGTGCCTCCAGGAGCACAAGGCGTCCATGCCATGTCCATGCCACTGGAATAGTGAAAATCTACCAACGCATTGAGGGATTGAGATGATCAAGAGTGGCTGGTAGTGAGTAAGTTCGGTACTACAGGTACGTGTATGATACGACTCGGAGTCACCCATGGGGCGAGGAGACAAATCCACTGGCATGGCATCTTCACACATGCAACACGTTAGTTTAGTAAGAGAACTCGCGGTGCGGTAAACTTCGGTATTCATTTGGCAACAAAATCTCGTGGTATCATGTCAAAAACTAAGAACCGCCTCCGCCCATCGGATTCGGCTCAGGGGCATATATATCCGCCCGACTCGCCGGGTTATTCCCAACCATGGGCGCCTGCTCCCTATAACCAAGTGCGACGTATGCCAGACCAGAATACTCTTCCTCGGTCCAAAACACCGTATCCTACACTGGCGCATGCCCCAACCTTTCCGTTGGTGATGCAATCGACTATTTGAGGGGTCCCGCCGCGGGGCGTCCTCATTGCCTCGGCGGCTGTCCCCAGAGCGCGTTCGCCACGCTCGCCTGGGCGCGCGTCCGTCCCGGGTCTTGCTGCCGATACGGATCGTAGTGCTGGTCGTCGCCGTACCCTCTCGGGGACGTGTCTCTCCGCGGCCGCCGTGGCGGGGACCGCGAGTCGTCTCGCCGGTATGCCATCGTCTCCGGGTTCGGCTGCGCGTTGTTGATCAGGCCCGCGCTCTCCTCGTGTGGCGCGCCGCCGACCACGCCGCTCATCTGGTATGGGCCGCCTGGACGGCTGTACGGATGCGTTGGCGGGACGTTGCCGGCCCGCATCGCATCGTACGTGCTCGCGCCCTCCTTGCCCTCGGGCAGGCTGTCCATGTCTAGCGCATCGCCGTGGTTCAGCTTGTAGCTGACGTCCTCCTTCCGCCGCTTGACGCCGCAGAACAGCCAGCGCATGCCGCGCCCAAACGCCTTGACAAAGTCCCACAGGTTGAGCGCATCGACCACGGCCATGATGCCCATGGGGCCGCCGCTCGGGGCCGACCGCTGGTTCTCTCGCGAGGGGCCGCCCTTGTTCGGGTCGGGTGACGGGTAAAATGTGGCAGGCGCACCGGCCACGTAGGGAGCGTAAGGGAACGCCCAGAGATGCAGTATGGCGAACAAAGCCATCTCCACGCAAAGGAGCATCGCGGGGATGCCGACCTTCAGGTCCGGGTACGCGAGGACCTTGTTCGCATGCACTATGTTGAGCGTCGAGGTGCCGACTGAGATGGCGGCCGACTGCCAAAAGGAGAGGAAGACGACAAGCTTGATGGCGACGATTTTGAGGAAGAGCTTGTGCTCGGCGAGGGCCTCCTTGAGCTGCACATAGAACTGGATTAGGCAAAACATGGCCACGGTGACCGCAGCCGCGTTGAGGACAATAATCTTGACAGGGGACGTCAGTGCCAAACAGAATTACACATCGTGCAGGGGCCTTTGTAACTCACCCAAATGTGCCCAAAGACGGGGCTGTTGGAGCTCTCGCAGTATCGCTTAAAGTACTGGGACACAACGGCCGAGATGGTCATGGCAACTCGGATGAAGCAGTAGTGGTAGATGCCGATCCAGATGATGTTGAACCACGTCAGGCCGCTCTTGGGCGTGCGCCAGGGGCCCCTGTCGCCGCCGCAGCACTTTGCGAACCAGTTGAGGGGCCAAACCCAGGGCTTCACGGGGCGCATCTCGCGGAAGAAGTGCTTCTGCGTATGCAGGTCCGGGGCGACATAGTGGCAGATGAGGGCGAAGAAGGAGGCGATGGCAAAGGCCTCGTAGCAGTCAGAGATGACCTGGAAGTAGATGGCGTGCCAGTACCACTCGATTTGGAAGTAAGCCGAGATGGCGTAAACGGGGACCATAAAGAGGATGCGGATGATGCTGCGGCAGTTCCTTGTCAGCGGCCCGGCCGTTGAGTACGGGCAGGGGGGATTCAGAGGGGACCTACTATCGCTGCTCGCGGGGTTGTGTGTAGTGGATGGCGTGCATCCATACGAGGTAGAGGCTGAGGACGGCGGCGATGAGGGTGCAGGAGGCGGAAATGATGCGCGCCAGGTTGTGAAAGTTCAGAGGCCCTATGAGGATGATTTCGGAGCCCGGAGATACTGTCGCCAGTCAGCGTCGCGTTTTCGCGAGTCGTTGCGCTGCCTTGCGCAGCATCGGGGCAACATACTCCTCAGCTCCTCCAGCGTCGAGTTGCATGTCAGATTCATGATGGCGATCGGCTACGAGGGCCGGTGTCGTCGGTGGTTGAGCGTTCGTCGGCCCGCCAGGGGCATCTGGGGTTCTCGTTCGGGGGAGAAGCCCAGGGGACGTCTTTGCCAGAGGTCGTCGCGCGACAGACGTGAAGTGAACCCTTCTTTTAGTTCGAAGCGAAATCGAGGAGAACAAAGATCCGCCGCTCGTTTGCCGGCGGAGTAAATTAAACGAGGGCCGTGCCGGGCCAGCAGCTCGTAATGAATCGAGGGCGGTGCTCGTTCGCCGGGTCGGCCAATGCCTGTGCTTCACTCGTTGATCACGGGCCCGAGAGGCAGGCCCAACCTCGACGTCGTTGCGCGCACGTCTGCCCGTCGCCAAATGCTACGCGCGCACGAGGTGCTGCTCCTCGCTCCTCCTCCAGGCCTACCAACCAACCGGGACCTCTTTGGGTCGGAAAGGAAAAGTCCTCCCACGTGCTTTCGAATCCTTGCGGCGCGTGTGCTCGTTTACGGCAGTTTTGGGTGTCGCAACAGAAAAGGAGGCGGCTGTTCGTTGACGTCGGGTGTGCTTGGCGATCGGGATGGCGTTTCTCGGCGACGCAGGCTTGCGGCGGGCTCGGCTGGAGGGAGGGTTGACGGATGACGGATGCCGGTGGTGGTGGGAGCAACCAAGCTGCAGAGGGTCCGTGACGAAGGCGCACCGAACAAAGAGAGACACCAAGAGAATACAAGAGGGGGACAATCTACCCTCGAGCCAAGGAAGGTACTGCGCGCGCCGACAAGCAACAGCAGCGGCGGCGACTACGGCAAACGGAAAAGAAAATGAAGACGTGAATAGGAGAGAGAGGGAGAGTAGGTGCGTGAGAGGGAGCGCAAAGGAGGGAACCGCCGACGAAATGTCGATGAGCACAGCTGCTGTGAGCCATCAAACCCACTGGTCCAGGAACTGGCGGGTGCAAGTGGGGTGCCCGTCTCGGGGGTGGGATAGGGGACGCCGGACCAGGCGGGAGGTGTGCTGGGGACCGGTTTTTAGTGGCCGCCCACGGAGCTGGGAGGGCCCTGCGGCGCCGCCCTCTAATCTGCCTTGTCGGGGCCTGCTCTCCAGGAGCTGGAGCCATCCACAGCGGCCTCCTGGCGCCTCCAGCTGTGCCTGAATGGACCTATGGATCGACCTATTGGCCGCCTCCCCCCCCGCAAGCAGCCACTGCCGCCGTTGGCTCGCTCGGATGCCCCCCTCCCCTCCCCTCCCAGCGACCTCGGGCCGCCCGAGGCAAACCTGAAGGGGACCCGGACGGGGGAGGGAGAGAGAGCCCCAGCGAGTCGAGGGAGGGAGGCAGTGCAGCTGCCCAAACACTCGGCTCAGGCGCTAAACGGTGACCCAGACGCCAGACGGGACTCTCCCTCCCTCCCGCCTGCTCCTGACAAGGCCGGACCGTCTTCATTCCGGGTCCTCGCGCTCGTCCACGGCCCCGAGGCAGGCAATCAATGAGCGTTCGTCGTCTCCATTCTTCAAACGGGCAGGGCAGTGCAGTCGCTCACTCAGCAAAGCAGCCAGCCATGCTTTGGATCGCTTCCGTTTCAGGGAGCATGGACGTGGCATCTCGCGAATACAAGTTGACCACCAGGTACGAGGTACATTTTCCACCACGGAACGTGCGGTTCGGTTCGCATTTGCTTCAAGCCCCACGCCATTCATGCCAATGCGCAGACATCCGAAAAGCACCATCGTGGGCCATCGCCTCTCGCAATTCGTTTGCCACGTGTATCCTGCTACGTAGGAAGCCTCTCCACAGACACCGCAGTTGTCTGCCTGCCTGTCCCGAGTCACTTCACATGTCTGTGGCGCATCACTCATCCATGTCCATGCGCCCGCGAGCCAACAGCTGCCGATCAAACCGGCACAGCCCGCCCTCTCTGCCGACCCTCGTTGCTCTCGGAAAACTCCAGGTCCGCATTATTTACGCCCTCTCGTCTCATGGACCTCATTAAAGTTACACGTCTATCGTCGTACATTGTACATGGTATCAAGCATCATTTACCCCATACGCCGCCCAACTCCCACCTCCCATGCTGCCCATCACGCAATGTGACAAGAGGACGACTGGTTCGACGGAACCACGTCGTGTCGAGCCCAGTCCCTCACGAAAATCAAAAGGTCGCGCTCGACCTGGATGTGACCGGGCGAGGTGATTCGGGTGTGTGCATCAATGGAAAGTAGTAAGATTGGTAGAAAGTCGCAACGCCAGCCATTGCAAGCTGCTTGGCGGCTAACAAAGGACGAACGAGCCGTCACGCGGCGTCTTCCTGTTGCTTCCTCCCGACTGCTGGTCCATTTGTTTTTGTACATTCGCGCCCATCGAGTATGGCGCTACAAGCCGTCTGTCTGTCTTGGTGTCGCACCACAATCTCATCGCTCGTGATCAAATGCGCCGAGTCGTCTGCGCATCGCATTCGTACACAACTAGCCTCGCCTGGGTCGTTTCTCGCGCTCACTCGCAAGGTTGCCCACTCCCTCCTCGCTGCGGCGCTTGTGCCCGCGATCGTCTCGGCCTTCTCGTCGCTCTTCAGGAGGCCGGTTGCCCCCGTCTCTCGGTCCTCCACGGCCGCTGCTTCGATGGCCGCTGCCGCCTGCGGCCCATTCGTCCCCTGGCCTGGGCCCGCCGGAACGATCGTTACCGCGGTAGCCCGCTTCCCGTCCCATCGGAGCATCTCTCGCCCCAGGAGGGGCTAAGCCCATGGCATCGCGGCTGCTGCCGTCTCTGCCGCGCTCCTTCGCACTGCCTTCCGGCCCACCCATTGACCGTCTCTCGCGGTAGTCGCGGTGCTCCTTTGGCTCACCTTCACGGGGCGGACGTGGGCTGCGCTCACGCTCGCGTTCCCGACTGCTTCGTCTCGATGATCGGCTCGGGCGGTCGGTTCTGCTGTCCCTTTCGGTGCGATGCTCCCTTCTAGACGGGCCTTCCGCTCCGTTTGCTGGACCACGATTCGCCGACTCTGGCCAGCCCATGTCTTGTCGTTCTTGTCCGGGCGTGGTCGCTGGAGAGCCGCCCGTAAGGACTTGTGCATCCGAATTACCCAGCAGCTGTCGTGGCTGGCGAGGGCCGCTCATCCTGCCCATGTCAGGGCCGCCGCCCTGGGACTGCTGTAGCATGTTGTTGATACCGACTAGTTGCCGTCTGTTGCCTCCTCCGCGAGGCCGGTCATTGACAGATGACGGACCAGTTGGCACACCAGCCTCTGCCGGGGGAGGACCCATGTTTCCTCGAGGACCGGGGGCAGGCCTGTCGCCGGCGTTCGGATATCGGCTGTGGCTATGCGCGGGTGGTCCTGCAGGTGGCTGATGGGGCGGTCCAGATGGCCCCATCTGAGCAAGCCGATCAGGGTGAACTCCGCCTGAAGTAGGAGTGGCATTGGCCGAATTGGGTGTTTGGAAGTCCGACCCAGGTCCAAAGTTTCGTTTTCGATCAGAGTGTGGCCCGCCCGGCGTTCCTGATGGCGTCGCGGGACCTGGACCATGTTCGTAGCCACCACGATGGCCTCGCCCAGATGCCGGGCCCGTAGGAGGGAGACGGTCCGGAGAAGGCGCTCGTGGGGTCTCTGGCCCGGCCAGGCGACCATCAGGTCGGCCCGGAGTTCCCGACGGTCCCTGGTGGCCACCCCGAGCAAAGTTTCTGCCGCGACCGCGCGGCCCTGATGGGATATCCGACGTCGAAGGGATCGGGTTCAGCCTTCCGTAGTTCTGGTCTTGATGAGGCAGTCTCCCTTCTGGATCCGGGCCGCGAGGCCCCGCACGGGGGAAATTAGAGGCATCGCGCATAGGTTCCATGGCGCCTCTAACATCGCCTTCGCGCTCAGCTGGTCGTTCACCCCGGAAGCCTGCGCTGGGGATCGGTGATCGGTCACGAGGGTCTCTTCCGGGTCCACCTCGAGGATCTTGTGGGAAGGGCCTGCCTTGGCGTTCATCATGACGTCCCCGCGGAGGGCCTTGATCTTGGCCGTATCGAGGACGCCCTGGCGATGGCTGTCTGGGACCTCTATCACGCGTCTCATCCCTTGGTAGCCGGCCGGGAGGCATCTGGGCACCATCCTTTCGGTCATCGATGAGCGCAGCGCGCGCGGGATTCACGGACTCCATGACATCTGCTGGGGGCTGCCCTCGACCTCTGGCGTGATCGGGCTCAGGCCGGCGTGGTCCCCGCTCTGAGCTGTCCTGTGCGAACAGCGCTGCCCTCTCGGGGTTCATCGCAGGCTCCGGCGGCGGATTTGAGGCAGGTGGTGCTTGGGCTGGCTGACTCGGTTCGTCATGGCGTTCTGTGAGTCGTCCGACCCGTGCCTCACGATGCGGCCGTTCTCGCTCATGTTGTCCAGGCCGAGGAGGCAGGTCGTGGCGGACATCGCCTGGGCTATCCATTGAGCGTCGGTCGGGATGCTCGCGCGGCGGTCTCCCGGGCCGATCCTGCTCAACGGGCCGATCGCGAGCGTCGCGTGGCTCCCTGCTGTCTCGACCATCTCGCGGAACTTCTCGAGGAGGTCGTGGCTCACGCGTGTCTCGAGGATCACGGCGTTCATGAGCCCTCGGCTGTCCGAAGCGCTCCGAAGGAAGGTGTGTCGGGATTGGCACATCGGGTCTGCTCGGAAGATTGTGAGCAGTCGGGCGATCTGGAAGCTTGTGACTCCGTGTGTCAGGTTTGGCCTGGCCTGGGCCAGGTCGGGGGGTTGAGCTCCGGGATGGGCCCGAGGTCTCGTCCTTCCTTGATGTCGAATCCCTGGTCGAGCCCTGCGGTCTCGATGGCAGGGCCTCCTTGGGCGTTCCAGTGCTGGAGCGGCCCTTGCTGTCCCTACCGTCCCGGACTTCACCGTCCTCTTCATCCAAGGCAATGGGCCTGTTCGTGGAGGGCCTGTAATAGTCAGATTTACGACGCTATCGTTTTCTCTGCCTCGGGCAGACATACTTGGGCGGCTTGGGCTTAAAGTCGGGAGCATTTGGTCGCAATCTTGACGCTGACGATCTGTCGGCTTCAGATTGCGGGCCGGGAGCCTAAATTTGTGTTAGTGCGCGGTGGACAACTCGGGGCGGAGCACTCACGGCGTTGGATCTGAAGGCCTGGACCATCATCCAATTGGCCTTCTTCTGTTGCAGTTGGGACATGGCGCCTTGCGCTGCGACGGAAAGGTCGACTCGGCCACCTTCTTCGCTGTCAGGGGTTTCCTTGGCGGCCGCTTCTCGCTTCGTGATCTTCTGCAGCTGTGTCGTGAACTGGGATGCCATGAAGTCGACGGCAGGGAAGTAGTTCAGAACGGCCTTTAGAACAGTAATGGCGTTTCGGATGTGCATCCACTCAGAGCCGCCGAGGCAGTTCTTCAGCGCCGTGTTGATGTTCTTGTGCCACCGGAACAGCATGTCTCGGAATTGGGCATGCTCAACGAAGGTCTCGGGCTTCCCTTGCTCATTGACAGTGAGAGCGAAACCGAGTCGAGGCTGGTCGCTGGGGCCTTTCGCCTCTTTGTCGTACGGGCCGAGGCGAGGAGCGTCTTTGGCTGCCTTGGTATCCTTCTTGTCGTCTTCAAGAGGGACATTCTTGTGCCATCGCGACAGGTCTTCCAGGATGAGCTTCAGAAACCGGCCCAAGTTCTCCGCTTCGCGCACGGTGCACGTGAATATCAGCGTACGCAGCCGATTTGCGTTGAACAGTCGATCAAGGAATGCCATGTATTTGAAGACCGGGGCGTTCCATTCGTGCAGGGCCTTGATGAAGCGATATGTGTATTCTGCGTCCGCAGGAGAAAGGAGGAGTCGTGGCAGAACACATTGCTCTAGGAGGATGTCGGCAATAGCTTCGGGTTTGGCATCGGGATTAGGGAAGGACGTCTGGAACTGCTTGGTCAAGTAAAACTTCCACTTGGCCTTGCGAAGCCCATGGCCGCTCAACTCGGCGATCATATCGTCGGAAGTGTCCATGAGCTCCTTCTTTCTTTGCGCTTTGCGGTCCAGACCCCTGCGCGTCATATCGGAGCGATCGTTGGAGATGGCGTGCCACTCTGCCATGAGTTTGTTGCGCTCATCCACATAGGCCTTTTCGGGAAAGCAGAGGTCTCCCAGCTGCAAAGCCCAGAACGTCGCGTAGAGCTCCGGGGTCATCTTCTCCCAGACTTCGGGCTTGACGGTGTCTCGGATAGCCTCTACGACTGGCTGCAACGCAGTCGACGCCGTATATGAGAGCGAGGTGTCGTCCGTCTTCTGCGGTCGAGCGGTGTTAGCTCCGGTGTTGTCGGTTGTAACGTTCGAGTCAGGTCCTACTTGTTGGTCCGCCGCGTCTACGGCCTCCGATGAAGACGAATCCTTGACCGCCGAACCCTGAGGTTTGGCGTCAGACATGCTCACATCCCCTTCCTTGTCGACCACCGGCTTGGCATTCTCGCTCGTCTCGCGCTTTGACTTGGGGGACTTCCAGGGAAACATCTGCTGTGCCAGGCTGGCTCGCCCAATCAGAAAAGCAACATCCACACTCAAGCCAAATGACTTGATGAGCGCCGGCACCGATGGCACCATTGCGTCGAACTCCTGGGCGTCGAGATTGCTCCAGAGGAAGTCGAGATATTGGATCAGGGTCTGCTGTGAGTCGTCGATGATTGAGGAAAGGTATTTGATGTGAGCCTCGTCTTCAGGCACCCGGTAAATGGCCGCTTGTCGATACTGAGCCAGATTGACGAGCAGGCGGGCGGCAAGCTTAGAGTCGGACAGAGCCTGCATGAGACGAGCCGAGCTCTTGATATTTTCGAATCGCTTGTCTTGGGCGCGGATGAGTGTCTGCCGCCGAAGCAAGGCTCCACCAGCCATGCCTAGAATCTGGTCGTCTGTGAAATCGATAGCGTCGACGATGCCGCCCATCGAGGTGACAAACTCCTTCAAAATGATGAGATCTGTGGAATTGCCGTGAAAAAGCTGCTCGTCGACATATTTCAGGACCGGGATGGGGTCCAGCGTCGGGTACCGCCGAAAGACTTTGCCGCAGAATCTTGACAGGGCCTGGAGCCACTTGCTGGTTGTGAGGGCGTGGTTCTCCTGTGTGCGACTTCGCGATTTGCCCAGCGAGTTCATCAAGGACCATACGAGCACATCGTAAGAAAGGTCGGTGAAGTATTTTGCACATTCCACGAACGCCTCGATCAAGTTCGAGTAGACTTCCAGCTGTTCAAAGGCGACCTTGAACACGATGCCGGGGGAGGCGTAGCTCGTCTTGGCAAGGCGCTTCGCCATCTCGCTCAAGTTGGTGAGGGAAACACGCTTCATCGTGGCCCTTGTCTCGGACGCTGACTTGGCGAAGGCCAATTTCATGGCCGGCAGGCGAGATGTCTGGCCCTCGAACCATTCTGCGTACATGGAGTAGCGCGTAGTGAGCGAGAACTGCTTGACGAGGTCCCACACTGCGCCCACTACCGAGCCATTGGCCTTGGTGTGACTGAGAGCAGGAAGTAAGAGGCGGCGAAGGAGATCCTGCCAACGTGCACGGTTGGCGTCTGACTGATCCTCTGCCAGGCTTTTGGCGCCAATACTGGCAAGCTTGGAGAGCAGGACCTCGTCCTTGCCGATGTTGACGCCGGAGATGTTGAGAAGCGTGCTGCAAAGGGTGAAAACATCATCCACTGTCTGGCAGACAGGTACGTTATCCGACCATTCATCCCAGTAGAAATGGTAGCTCTGATTCTCGTTGGTATCAGACTTGTCAGGGAATGGCCAGCGCCAACTTTTCTTGATGGGAAGCGGATGGAGTCGCACACTGCCCTTGGGCATGCCCGTCTGGTCGATGTCGGGAACGTTCTTGGTCGGGAAGTCGGTGGTGACCGTCGTTGGTGATGGCCGGCATTCGTTGAATACCTTGCTCAGGCAAACATGCAAGATGCGATGCACGCGTTGGAGAACCTCCGGGCAAACCTCTGTGACCCAAGGAAAGCGGCCGATCAGGAAGAGCGACTCGGGCAGAGCGCCAATTGTCAGGAGCTGGATGAGAAGAGCCACCTTTTGCTCCAGTGGAGCTGGCAGCTTGTTCTTCTCGTCGACTTCAGCGTCCTGTTTCTTCTGTTCAGACTCCGTCTTTTTAGCGGGCTCCCTCTTTGCAATGCTCGACGCTGCCGGATTGTCATCGTCGCCTTGAGGGAGGACGCCAGCCATGAGGAGTGCGTTCATCTGGCCACCTCGGGACGCCTGCTCTGCTTTTGCGAGCTTCTCCGCTTGCTCCTCACGGACTTTGTCCATGTCCGCATCGGCAGGTGACAGGTGAGGGTACAGGTCGGTCAGCGACAGAAATCCAATCTTGATGAGAAGAGCGGCCAGGTAGAGGAGATTGGCGGGCAGGACATCCTCCTGGTCCCGCATCTCAGAGTTGTAGAAGCGTAGCTTGAAGCCGAGCAGTTGCGCAGCCACGCGGTTTCCAGGGGCAGGGAGAGTTTTCGTCTCTTCAATCCACTTGCGCTCGGCATCCGCCGTGGCGTCTCCGCTTTCGTTGCCATTACTTATGAGGCGTTCGAGATGCTTCTCCGTCACCCGTCTCCCGCCGAGCTCGAAGAAAGCCGCAAGATGCACCTCGCGGGCGCGATCCCAGAACGCGGTATCACGCTCCAGCTTGCGCTGTGCGTTTCGTTCCTCATCCTCTTCAGCGGTTGACCAATGCGGGTAGTCAGGTTCCGCCCACATTGGCAAGCCGCCGATGAAGGGCGAACCGTCGTTGTCGCGCTTGGATGGCCACCAAGAGCTGATCCTCAGGAATTTGACGAAAAACTTGTATTGCTTGATAAGCACGGCAGCCGAAACGTCCAAGGTGACGTCGAGTGTCCGCCCAACGTCGAGGTCAAAGGTACCAATGAGCGCCTTGATCTTCTCAAAGGTCTTGCCGGGAGCGGGCGGGGGAACGCTGTTGGTCGAAAAGAGCTCGGTGATGAGCTTGGAGTAGCCTTCAGACTCCTCACGGAGGAGGTTGTAGTTGGCTTGGCGGTAGAGGAGGTTGGTGGCCTGCCGAACTCCCAGCCTGGCAAACGTGTCCCTGATGAGGCCAAGTTGCTGAAGGAGGGGTGCGTCGAGAACTTCCCGCATTAACGCCGGAGAGACAGCGGTTGCAACGAGGAAGTCGCGGAGAGCTGGACGGTAAAGGTCCATGTTGTTGTCCAGTACGACGGAGAGCGTGTCGAGAAAGAGGGTGTGTGGCGCAAACACGTAGGAATCCTTAATTACGTCCGACGTTTGCTCCCCGAGAATGTCTTTGACGCACGTTCCCGCGTCGGCGGCATCTATCCTGCCAGCTACCACGGCGTGGATGAATTCTTGGAATAGAGTTGAGAGTTCCGTGATGTCCACGTCTTCCCGCGACTGGATGCCGTGTGTGACGATCTCCTGTCGGCCCCGTTCGTTCCAAGCCCGGACTCTGTCATCGGTGAGGTTCTCGTAGTGGTAGTTTGGGTTGACGGGCTCCGCAGTTTGCTTCGAAGCAGGGGCATTTGGGGGCGGAGGAGCTATCTGTTTGGCTGGGACTGGCGAGGACGAAGGCTTCTGCTGCTTGGTTGCCGTCGGCGATAAGGGTCTTCCTTGCGTAGGATTGCTTGCGCTCCGAGAGGGCGTGGGCGTCTGCTGATTCTGTGTGCCGGAGGGCGCGTTCTGAGGGCCAGAATCTCTCCGCCCATGGCCATGGGTCGAGTCACGTCGCTGGAAGCTGCCCCCTCGGTGGCCGCCACGAGGTCGGCTGCCGTTTCTATTGTTGGCATCGTCTCTGTCGTGCTGGCCCAGACTGGAGTCGCTCGGACGGTGTGGAGATGGTCGCCCGCCTTCGCCCGAAGGCCGGTCGGGTCGCTTGCGCTTGGGGGGCATGATCGCGACGACGACGACTCGTTTGCACGCTTCGAACCCTCGTTATCTCATTTGCGGCAGAGGGCGGTTGACAGGTCGGAAAAAGCCGGCGGCCCGCTTCTCGGGAAGAGAACAGAGGCAAGCAGAGGCGATAGGGACCGAGAGAGGATTTCGATGAGGCTTGCTCAACGCCTCGGTGGTGGTAGAAAAGAATCGCGGAAGGACAGGAAAAACGCCCAAGTCGGGCTCGAAGTGGTGTGAAGCGGAACCAAACGTGCAATGATCGGAGAAGGTCGTCCAGCTGGCGCTGCTCAAGACGACGGCGATGTCTCTGCAGCTCGTACACGCGACTGAGTCGAACTGTCGGACAGCTGGCGACGCGAGGGGGGTGGGAAAGACGATGCTCCAACAAAGGGAAGCGATACGAAGAGGTGAAGCTCCACGTCCACGGCCAGCCTTGCGAGGATCCACTTGCGCAACAGCGTTGAAGGCTGCAGTGCACGGACCAGTCGCGCCGTATTATGTCAGCCGGCTCAATGGCTGTCGCGCGATTGTGCCTGAGCTGTCAATCGCAGTCCGCTGGAGGGCAGCCGTAGTCACGTGACCCTTCCCATCTCCGGCTCCGGGGAGACGAGAGTGCCAGAGCGCCACTGGGGTCGCCTTTGACACTCCCAATTGGTTGGTTGAGTCACATCTCTGTCCTCTATGAGCAGGATCTGAGAATTGCGCCATTCAAAGAATCTCAGCCCGCTAACACCTCGACATTGACTCTAGACGTGGCAGTTACCGGCTGCTCTTCAAGGGTCGTTGCTGCATTAGGGATATTCGGATACTCTTCCGGCCCTCTACTGTGTTTTTTGCAAGCGTCATCTTGTTTCATCATATCCATACCAGACTCTACGCCGCTCCTCCGTTGTCGGGCTCAGCAACGGCCGAGTGAGGCCCCTCACAACACAAAAATGGCCCAGGAAACAGTCACGCCCGCCAACGGCAATGGTCGGACACAATACGGTCAGTAGCACACGCGTTCATTATCCTGTCAAAGTCTGTGTTGCCGTCGTCCTGCCTGGCGTCTCACACATGGCAAAGACACCCATGTGAATGAGAATGGTGGCTGAATACCTGCAAGAAAGAACGCAATCCCAGCCAGAGAACCCATTTGCGGCTCTCATCCCCGACCAGCAGATAGCGATCATCCCCGAGTTCACCCTTGAGTCGGGTATCACGCTTTACAATGTCCCTGTCGCATACACGACGCGGGGCAGACTATCCGCCAACGCCGACAACGCCATGGTCATCTGTCATGCGCTCACTGGCAGCGCCGACGTGAGCGACTGGTGGGGACCGCTGCTTGGAGGGCCCGGGCGTGTCTTTGACACGTCTAGGTTCTTTGTCGTGTGCATGAACAGCCTGGGCAGCCCGTACGGCACGGCGAGCCCCGTCACGGCCAAGGACGGCGACCCTGCCAAGGGACGTTATGGACCAGAGTTTCCCTTGACGACCATCCGCGACGATGTCAAGTGAGTGTCATTGGTCGCATCCGTGTTGACTCGGCTGACCCATCCGTGACAGCTTGCACAAATTGCTCCTCGACGACCTCGGCGTCAAGCAGGTGGCCGCCGTAATCGGCGGATCCCTCGGCGGCATGTTCGTGCTGGAGTGGGCGTACTTTGGCAAAGACTACATCCGGTGCATCGTGCCCATCGCCACGTCGAGCCGGCACAGCGCGTGGGGCATCAGCTGGGGCGAAGCGCAGAGGCAGAGCATCTATGCGGACCCCAAGTACGACGACGGGTACTACCCCTTTGACGACCCGCCGTCGACGGGCCTGGGCGCCGCACGCATGTCGGCGCTCCTGACGTACCGTAGCCGCAACTCGTTCGAGGCTCGCTTCGGGCGCAACATCCCCGACCCTTCCAAGGTGCAAACCATCCGCGAGCGGCCGCGGCCCAGCACGCCGTCCGAGGCGCACTTCCACATCCACAACGACGGCCACAACGTCAAGCGGACGGCGCTTTCGCGTACGAGCAGCGGGGCGAGCGGCTCCCCGGAGACGCCGGGGGCACAGGGATCTGGAGGAGCCGCAGCGACGGCGGCACAGAGTGCAACGCCTGCGGAGTCGCCTGATCCTCAGTTCCACGGTCCACAAAAGGGCAGCCTCACCGGGGGTGAGAAGCTGCCGACGTCGACGTACTTTTCGGCGCAGTCGTACCTGCGATACCAGGGGACAAAGTTCGTCAAGCGCTTTGACGGCAACTGCTACATCGCCATGACGCGGAAGCTGGACACGCACGACGTGTCGCGAAACAGGGCGGCGACCATCGCCGAGGCGCTAGCGCTGATTGAGCAGCCAACACTGGTGCTGGGCATCGAGAGCGACGGTCTTTTTACCTTCGCCGAGCAAGAGGAGATTGCGCAGCACGTCAAAGACGCGCGGCTGGAGCGCATCGACAGCCCCGAGGGCCACGATGCGTTCCTTCTGCAGTTTGAGCAGGTGAACAGCTACATCCTGGCGTTCCTTAAAGAGGTTCTACCGGATATTATGAGCCAGGCGGGTAGCGCGCCTGAGGAGACGGGCGTCGGACAGCTGACCAAGTCGAGCACGTTTGGTGAGGCTGAGGTCGAGGACATTACCGCGTGGTGAACCTTTAGGCCTGAACAAAACGACGGACTGGAAGTAAAAAATACAGACGAGTTGGAAACCTGGATGTACATACCATGGCGGGTTAGACCGCTCGGGCCTTGTTAGGACTGCACAATTAATGGCATGGTAGACCATGGTTGCCGCATCTCAAACGGGAGCGTCGGTAACCATCTCGGCAAGCAGATCCTGTCCCGTCGGGTTTCAGGGGTCATCAACTCCACCAGCCCATCACCGAAGTGTCGCGACCGATGAGTCTTTGAGTAGAATGGCATCACGACGGTCCGCGTGGCGTTTGTCGTGCCCATAAACTGCAAGCGTCGACGCTCACGCCAAGCTCGAAGGCCCCAGCACTAAATCAACGTGCTCACCGAGCACGGAATACTCCGCAGATGCTTTTCCAGATGCCGCACTCGCAAGGCAGGGATGTGAGAGACGGTGCCCAGTAACGTGGCGCGCCCGCTCCCGCGGCCCGCTGCCGTATCTGCAATGGAGGCATGGAACTTCAGCACTGCCTCGCCTCGGCCGCGCCCACGCACAACGTGTTCGCCAAGATCCGCATAGGGGCGCATTCCCAGCCCCCTGGCGCCCGTGTCATGCCACGGACAATACATTGTACGTAAACAATGGACCGCGGCCTTGCCAAGGACCGGAGATGATGACAGCGCGCTGACGGTACATTTCACAAGGCAGAGGTCCACCAGCGCTCGGCAATCAGAGACATGGCACGGTCCCGCTGGTATCGCGTCCGTTTCAGTGTGATTCACGTCGCAGATGCTTGACAGATTGGCGGTGATAGGCTGGCAACAAAGGCAAACGTCCCGGGATGCTGGAACACGTCGAGCGACGGCCGGGTCACAGGGGGCGAAGGGAATGGGGAGTTTCAGGGTCCGCGCACAAGGGTTGTTGTGCTTGCCAACAAACGCTCACCGGCTCCCGTAACCATCCCACGCGCCTCGCACGGCTTAACCTTTACTTCGGTGACAGTGCCGCCGGTTGTGGGCGGACGCACGAGGGCGGGTTTGCGACAATGATGATGATGGCGCAATGGGAAACCCAATGATCGCTCGAAAACAGGCCAGCAGCGCAAAGCGTGATCCGTGAATACGGTCGCCAAGCTGTCGTTGGGGTTCGTGTAGGGCGGGCGAGAGCGTGCTTCGTACGAGAATGAGCAGAGGCGGCCCTCGGTCTTACTGTACTGTTGGGGCAATCCTGTACTTTCGCTCCGCACAGAGTGCCGCCCAAAACCGAAGGCAATTTGGAACCTCCGCAGGAACTGGTGATAGTCACTGGTGGCGACGACGATACGGGGGTCAGTCTGTCGGCCGCTCGTCGAAACGAAACGCGGCCCAACGACGCACCATGAGAGTAAAGTTTGCAAACACTCGTTGTTTCTATGCGAGACGAGGGATGGATGGATGCGAAGATGGATGGCGGGCGGTGAGAGATTGATGAATGATTGATTGATTGACAGGCCCGATTGACTGATTGATTGATTGCGGCTGAATTGGCCTCGGGGTTCCTTTGCGCTTCCATCCGGGCGCCTCCTCGTCCAAGCCGGGCGGCCGCAGAAATGGTGGTGTTCTGGAAGGCCGCCAGAAGCTCGCCCAGGCGCCGGAAAATGTCTCCACGGGGCCTAGCGGCTGATGTTAGTGGGTGGGACCCCTGTAGGGGCGCATGGGGCCCCCTCCGTCCTCGGTGACTCGCCGCGGTCGCTGACGCAGGCACTTGCGGTGCCCTGGGCCCCCACCTGGCTGCGCGGGCTGCCCACCAGAGCCAGCCGGGCCCCTCGCCCGCCGGCGGCGTCCCTCTGCGCGTAATCGAGAGCACCAAGGAGGTCCCGTCCCGGCAATAATGACTCGGGGCGTCAGCCACAGGGCCTGCGCCGATCCGCCATCTCCGTCGCCGTCGCCGTCGCCGTCGCCGTCAGACTCGACAACCGTGGTGTGTTTCGAGAGGGAAAGCAAGCACATGGCGACTGACCGCAATGCATGCATGCATGCATGCCCCATGATCCATCCATCCCCTCTCCTCCTCCCGCGTCAGGCCAGCAGCACGCACGCACACGGGCGGCTCCATCCACTCGCTCCCAGCAGCCCCTCTGTACCAAGTCCTGTGCTGCAATGGGTCCCCCTGCTTCCCTCAACTCCATCCATCCATCCAGGTTCCAATTGGAAGCCAAGCCCCCGCCAGCCCCCAGGGCACAGCACCACAGCGCAGCACAGCACAGGCACCTGCTGTACCGGGCAAGGTATTGGGCCGCCCGAGGGCTCCAATCCTTCTGCGCCGCCTTCTAGCACTGCAGCCCACCCCGCTAAAAGTCCGTCCCCACGCCCTGCCGTTTGTCATCTGCAGCCAGCCAGCGGGGCTTCCAAGGGCTCGCAGAGCGCGGGCAGCGCAGCGCAGACTGACCTATGGAGTGGAGGGTGGAGGCTCGCTCGCCCGACCCGAAGCATCCAGCCGGGCATATCCACCCACCCATCCATCGTCCATCCATGCACTGGGCCGGTCCCTCTCCCTCGCCCAGCGACGGACAGACTGCCTGAGCCGCTTCCTCCTCTGCTCAACTTGAAACACCGCGCAACTTCAACTCGCATTCCGTCCTGCCTTTCCGCCCGCACGCCGCGACGACGCCGTCGTTCGATCTGCCCGCAGAGTCGACTGACGATTGCTTTGTCTGCCCTGCCTCAGACGGGTCCCGATTCGAGCCCCCGACACCAGCCGTTCTCGCTCCCGGCCTGCCAGTTCCTCTGCGCATTGACGACCAAGCGACTGGGGCATAACGCAATCGGTCCTCCACCTCGACGGTCGATCATCGCACTCACGACCGCACGCACGTACACCCTCGCAACTCCAGTCCTATTGCTGGGACTGCTTCAACGGACGCCGCGTTCGACTGTTCGACTGTTCGACTCCATGAGCAAGACAAGTCACCGTCGCTGCCTCCGAGTCTCCATGTCGCCTTAGACCCCAGCGCGAAATCACTCATCTGTCATTGTCTCACCCGCGCCGAGCGACCCTGACCCGCGTCCCGCTTCTCATGTTGCCGACCGTGGGCACGGATAGCCTTTGCTGGTGACAGTCGCAACGTCGCCGCCTGCGCCATGGCGGGCTCTGTCGACGATATGCTGCCCCCGCCCATGGCCTCGACGATTCGCGAGCGGACCCTGGGCGGGAACCGCGCCTTTCACAACTTCTACAACGACTACTCTCACATACCCGATCCCAACCTACGAAGACGGCTCGCCTTGTCCGAGATTGACAAGGTACCCTTTGGACTATACCGTACGTCGCCCCCCCTGCCTTTCCGATGCGAGATGCTAACTTGTCGTGCAGATGTTCGCGCAGTATTAGTTGCCGGTGTCGGCTTTCTCCTAGATTCTTACGACATCTTTGCCATCAACCTCATCACAACGCTCTTGGGCATGGTCTTTTGGAGCGGCAACGACGATGGCAACGGATACGGAGGAAACGGTGGGGTCCTGCCCGACACGACCAACCAAGCCCTCAAGGCCTCCACCAGTGCCGGCATCGTCATCGGCATGATCCTCTTTGGCTGGTTGGCAGAGTAAGCGGCCTCTCCTGATCTAGACCTAGACGAGCCAACTGCTGACATCGCTTCCTAGCGCTCTCGGCCGCCGCCGAATGTACGGTATAGAACTCGCCATCATCATTTTCTGCACCTTTTGCTGTGCTCTCGTCTCTGCGAGCCCGTCTGTGAGCGCCTCGGCGCTTCTAATCTTCTGGCGCGTGGTTATGGTAGGTCTCACGTTATACCAGCGCCCAATAAGGGAAGCGAGCTGACACGGGCCAGGGGATTGGAATTGGTGGCGACTATCCGCTATCATCCGTCATTACTTCGGAGTGAGTTGTACCGAGTCTCTGCTGGCAACTTGATGCTGACGTGCCGCAGATTTGCCCCGACTCGCTGGCGTGGCGCCATGATCGCTGCCGTCTTCTCCATGCAGGGCTTTGGCCTGCTCATGTCGTCCGTGGTTGCCCTCATTACCACCGTCGCCTTCAAGGACGCGTACATCAACATCAAGGACGAGACGCAGTGCGACACAGCCTGCCGAATAGCTGCCGACCGGTCCTGGCGCATTATCGTCGGTGTGGGCGCCATCCCTGCGTGCCTCGCGCTGTACTACCGCATCACCATTCCCGAGACGCCACGATACACCTTTGACGTCCAGCACGACGTCGAAAAGGCCGATGCCGACATCCGAGCCTACGTGCAGAGCAAGGCCAGTGGCGACTACGAAGCCAACCGTAACTCGGGAGCTAGGGTGGCCGAGACAAGCCTCAATGTCCCACGAGCATCCTGGGCTGATGTCTTTGCGTATTTCGGCCAGTGGAAGAACCTCAAGGTGCTCATCGGGACGACGCTGTCTTGGTTCTTCTTGGTGAGTGAACGGAGATTGCCCGCCGCTGACGCCAGACATGCTGACTTGGGCGCAGGACCTGGCGTTCTACGGCCTTGGATTAAACAGCAGCATCGTTTTGCACGCTATAGGATACGCCACCGGCAACAACATGTACGACAAGCTGTACAACCAGGCTGTCGGCATGATCATCCTATCCTGCGCTGGCTCTATCCCTGGATACTGGACGGCAGTCTTCACCATCGACACTGTGGGCCGCAAGCCGCTTCAAATTTTTGGTTTCCTGTTTTTGACCATCATATTCTGCATCCTGGGATTCAGGCTTAAACACTTGAGCGAGGGGGCGATGCTTGCGCTCTACATCATCGGGCAGTTCTTGTTCAACGCAGGTCCTAACACGACAACCTTTGTCGTCCCGGGCGAGTGCTTCCCGACGCGGTACCGATCGAGCGGCCATGGACTGTCAGCGGCCATGGGAAAGATTGGCGCCATCGTCGCTCAGGTCATCAGCATCCCATTGCTGAAGCGAGGACCGGGAAGTGAGGGTTGCGTTGGAAACGCCTGTTCGCCCAATCTCGATGGTCTCCTCAAGCTATTTGCCTTGTTCATGCTGTTGGGCACCCTGGTTTCCTTCCTTATCCCCGAAACCAAGGGAGTAACTTTGGAGGAGCTGTCTGGGGAGTCGAGAACCAGCTACAACGCTGGCTGCAACGGAAGCATCAGCTTGGGCTCACCCAAATTGCGGGCTTGGAATCCGTTCCATGGTGGGCAACCGGCTGGCTTTATCTACCCCCGGACGCACGCGGGAGCTTTCGCCAAGTCAAAGCGGTCGTCACGGTCGGGGGTCGTGGCATCGCCGGAGCTCGCCGACGAGAATTCCCGGCAACAGAAGACGCGATTCTGGCGACGGCATCGAAAGGCTCGTAGCACCAGCGACGGATCCACCGAACTTGCTCTGCGGGAACGAAATGGCGCAAACGGCCAAGCGGATGGCGCATCAGCAGACGGGGCAGGGAGCACGACCAGCCAGACGATGCTGCACCAGCAGCAACTGCCGACATGGGGCGCGGGCTGGGGCAGAATCGACCGAGGCGGCCCACCGCAGGTGGCTGGCAACATGCAACTGCAGGACGTGGGCATGTTGCTGCGGCCCAACTAGGGAGTGCATATGATGTGTGTGGTTGAAGACAGCGGACATGGTTGGGCGTTGGGTTCATGCATTTGCACTTTGCTTTCGGGCGCTACACGGGGGCACAGGGCCATGGGGACACCACTAGACGATGATACCTCTACATGCATTTCCACTGTTAGATTAAGGGTATTGGACAGCTAGAGAGGCTGTAGGATGACCAAGATGAATATATGACTGCGATGGCATATGCCACTCTGAAGATGCACGAGACCGCAAGTCTACAGCGTGACGGGAACTCGGCGTCAATTAAACAAAGGAGCCGCCATCGACGTGTAACATGCGATACGTCTACCTCAGTGAGCCATGGATCGCGGAGCACAATTCCTATGCAACCAAGAATAGATGGGATAGCCTCTTACGGGACATCTGATATCTTTTCGTTGCAACCCATGTCCGTAGCTCACTTCACCTTGTTGGTTGCGTTCTCTTTCCAACAACTAGCCTCGTAACATGACCGCCGGGTGCTTGACACAACACGAAGAAAGGCCCGAGTTGTATAGGGCGGTGTTTGTACATCGTTCCGTTCCCGTGTGGTGGAGGTGCCGTTACACCGTGACAGTCGGGTGCTTCGGGTGGCAAGGGCCACCACCACTGCTGCCTGTCTCATGTGCAATATCGTCCACCACACCCCATGCAGTCCGTGTCCTCAGCCGGTGAAATCGACGGCAGGGCAATGAGAACAGTATAGCTTATAGCTTCGTACACTGGCTCTGACGTTGGAAATAACGCGGCCCCCTTTCCTGGGCATGGAGCATCCGGCTTATCATGAAACTGGACTAAACAGTGGGTTGCACAACTCTGACGAGGACGGGAGATCGCGGAGAAAACTGATTTGAAAGTAAAGTCAATTTTGCGGTTAAACGCGGGTTTCCCTACACCTAATACTCCGTCCGTTTGAATACATTTTTTCGCTGAAATTGCAGCACACACACACACACATGCGGGCGCAAGTTGTAAGATGTCTCCATATAAGCACAAATGTCCGACCGAAGCCAAGCCAAGCCGCCACCCACTTCCTCTCCCATATCGGTGCCACGATGGGCGAGCATTTAGCCTGAGTCTCGTGTGTCAGCAGGATCCCGTTCCTCTATAGCTTTCCACTCTCTGGTGTGTCCCGCGAGGAACAGAGAACCAGAGCACGTGTATGTGCTTGCCGCGCGTTGAATCTCCCGCGGAGATGGGCAAGGTAAGGGTGTGCTCGGCAGGACCGGAGCGAACGGGGAGGGTGAAGGGGAGCGAAAGGGGAGGAGTCGGGGCTCACATTTGCACTCGCCGCACGTGTCCATGGCGTCGGAGCGGAACTCGCCGCTGTCGGTGCAGCCGGAGTGGATGTTGGACGCGCTGCAGAAGTTCTGGACCTTGGACGGGCAGTAGAAGCGGCGGTTGGTGTTGATGGCCTCGGCCTGCTTGGCCTGCTGGGCCTGCTGGGCCGGGGCGGCGCTGACGCCCGAGGCGGCGAGGAGGAGGACGGAGACGAGAGCGGTGGCGAAGGACTGTAAGGCGGCGACGATGGTCAGTTTAGGTTTTGCGACGGGCTGGTGTACGCGACGCGGGGTCCATCGCGTGGTGACGTCGTTGTTGCCGGGATGAACCTCGGGGGCAGGGCTCGTGATATCTATCGTGCAGGGAGGGTACGGACCTTCATTGTGACTGTGACTTGACTTGAGGTGAACTCGTGGAAGATGCGGAAAGACTAGGTGGCGTGATTCAAATCAAGAATAGATCTTCACAACGCTGACGACGATGACGATATGTAGCGACTGGAGAGGTGAGCGTGTTTGATGGGATGATGTCTTTGGGGCGACAGACGCGGGTTATCAGCAAGAAAGAGCGGGCTGCTGGTCAAGGGGGCGTGGCGTGCGTGCGTGTTTCGTGCAGAGGCAAGACTGGTTCGGGAGATCGACGCCCTTTTTGTCTTCTTCCTCCTCCTCCATGGCGGGCGAGGGGCAGCACCCGTCTAGATATATCTTGCGTGTCTTAGGGTAGCAGCAGCAGCAGCAGCAGCAGCAGCAGCGAGAGGGCCGCTCAGGCCCCAGGCGCGCCCAGGCCAGGGCAGACATTTACTGATGTCTGAGATGCAGGAGGGGGTGGCCAGGTGTTCATCGCCGCCGCCGCCGCCGGTCGGCGAGGAAGAGGCACGGGCGGAAGGGGGTGGCGATGGGAATTGTTTGTCTGTCCCGCAAGGGCGGCGGCGGCCTGGGAGATTGCGCGTGTCTTGGATCGTCGGGTGTGTATGGCTGTGGTGGTGGCGTGTGGTGTTTGCACGGACGGACAGCGGGCACCGGGAACGCAGCCAAGGCCCAAGGGGGGGAAGAAAAACTGGCTTTCAAGCGAAGAGCCTGGAAAAGAAACGAAGGCCCAGGAAAAGAAAGGAAAGAAGAACGACTCCAGACCTCTTCCAATGTCTCTCCGGGGATGCTTGGCGGAGTACGAAGGGGGGAGTGGGCGCCTGGCTGGGCTTGGGATGGGATGGGATGCGAGCAGCGCCTCACGAACGGCGAGTTCCAGCCGCAATGTGAATTCCACGGCCGGCCCGGACAGCGTCAACTACGACGCATTGTGGCCTTGGAAGGAGAGAGGGGGCGCGCGTGTTGGTGCGCTGGGATGTCTTAGACGCCTCTCTCTTCCTCTCTCTCTCTCTCTCTCTTCGCGCACGCCTCGGCAGGCCGCCGCGCGCCAAAATGTCTTGGAACTCGGACCAGGCCTGACCAAGCCAGGTCAGGCACGCAACACCAACGCATCACGCGCAAATGTGGAAGACGGCCGGGCGCTGCTCCTACAGCTGCTGAAAACTACCGGTTAAACGCAGTAGCACAGTACTGCATCTCTCACTAATGATACCGTAATGATAGTAGCAACACCAGTAATTAACAAACTCCATAGTCATAAGAATAGCAGACGGAGGCCCACCGTTCGCAGGAATGGCCGAGAACGCCCCCAACGACGGGAACAACAGAGGCCGTTCGTCGTCGCCGTGGAGCAAAACACGTTTACCATCGGGAAGAATTAGCATTTTTTTGCTTCAGATTGCGCGGGTCAAGCACGCTGCGCTCTGCGTCCAGTCGTCGGCACGAGTCTCTATGTCTCCGATGGTCCACGAGGGCGGTGCGGGATGGGCGTCTGGTGTCCATCGAACAGAACGAAACCGATAGCGTGCATGGAGCACGGAGCAGTCGGTTTTTTTGCTCGGCATGGCCCATTAAACACATACATGATTTATTACATATCTACATGTAGAATCCCGGCTCAACCTGTCGTGTGAGTTAAAAATAGGGTCTTTGACTTACAAGAGACCCCGAGTCCCGGTTCTGGGCCCTGTCCTGCTGTAAGTCAAATAATACCCACCACCCAACGCGCGGCTGCCAGGTGACGGTCTCTTATTAACCTAAGATTTGAGGCGATCGGTGAGCGCGGGTTTTGCCATGATGAGCGCGAGTCGCCCGTATATTGCCTACAGAGCATGTCAAATTTCGAGGAGATTTGGAGCACGGCTGTTGCGTAGGTCCGCGCCGCCCAACAGACCGACCGGTAGGTATTACTGACATTGCATTATGCCAGGTCTCCAAGTTGCTTGGTGAATGCCATCTGCTTTCCCTCTCGGCCCATCGCGCGCTATGAGCGCGCGTTTGTTCTCATAACGCGCACCCAAACCGCCGCGTATGCCAACTGAGACCTCATGTCTCACAGCCAGCTCAATCAACCCACACACAGCCGGCCGGCTCTCCCCGGGTGCCCTGTCAGGCGGCCGGCCACGAGTCTGCTCCCGCCGTCGGGTTCCCCCTTGGAACAAAGCCCCCCCTCTGCGTCTAAAAATATCAACACATTGCCGACCTTGCGGGCGTGCGTGTGCAGCAGTCAGTCCGTATGGAGACTCGTATGCGTGTCTCCGTTCCCATGACTGTTGGACGGGCTGGCCTAGCTTGGGGAAAAAGGGGGGCGTGCACATTGTGCTTGAGCCTCGTGAGTCGTGACCAGGAGGAACTCGCTGCGCGCGCGCCCAACCTTACCCTACCCTCTGCTCTGTCCGGGCCGGGACTCGGCTTTGGGAGGGAGGGGGAGGGAAAGGGTTATTACTTTGCATCCGTGAACGGTAAATCGCCGATTGAGCCGTGATCTCGGCTCTTCCATCTCGGCAGCAGCGGCGCCCTGGGGATACTCATGTTGCGCGGAGCACCGTCCATTAGCCTTCATCTCCCCTCCTCCTCCTCCTCCTCCTCCTCCCCCCTCCCAGCCTCCGTCACGCTCGCAGTCTGCAGAGCCAAAGCAGCTCGCCGCCGGAGATGGCGTGTTCTCCTCGGCACTGAGTCGGCAGAATGGGCCTTGTCGGCCGAAGTGTTGTCCGTGGACGGGGTCCGATCAAAGTGAGTCCCCTCCAGCTGAGACGTCTCGATGCCAAAGACTCACTTTCCACTCACTCACTCACCCACTCATGCGGGCACGCGGGCGGGCGGAGCAAAAGCGTTGAACACAAAACACAAACACACACGAGTGAGTCAACGGCCCGTCTCAAACCCACGGGAGGCCGAGAAACAGCACTCGGAGTGAGATCCAAACACATTTCTACACCATCACTGGATTATCGTGCGTGCGTACTACTCTGCCGCGGCTGTCGTGTCGTCGGGTGCAACAGAGCAGCCGCCGGGTGTCTTCTTAGCATCAGCATTCGATTCGATGTCGACAGCGTTCCCACGTCGCACACATCTGACACACAGAGGACCGGGGGGGCGAAGGGGAGGGGGCGTCCATCAGCAAATCCTCCGATCGATTCGGCACTGCGCGGGCCTACGCACCCGCTCGCCCACTGTTTGCCGTGTCGCACAGCGCGTGCCCGTCGTCACACGTGCTTTCTTGCTTGCTGGCTTGCTGGCTTGCTGTCCCGACCGCAGTGTCGCGTTGGCGAGCCTCGTCGCGTAGATTACATACTTTGTAGCGAAGAAAAAAAGGTGCCGGCTAGCTAGGTAGCTATCTCGTATCAATGGCCCGTCCCATGCGTGCCACTCTCCAGGGACGCCAGGCTCGCTCGCTCGCTCGCTCATCCGCGGTAAGCGTATAAGAACGAAGACGACAAAGAAGAATATAAAAGTCAGAGAACATGGCGTGAGGTATCGTAAGTCGTATCAGCCTACCCTCCCGGTGCCCATCCATCAGTCGTCATCCTCCCATCCTCCATCTCCGCCATCGACTTCTACTGTCGTTCCGAGCGCCTCCTTGCCCTGCCTAATCATGTCCTGGAGCCTCTTGTTGAAGGCCGCGATCCGCACGTCCGCGTCCCGTTCCTCCATCTTGCGCCGCGTTGCCAGCTTCTTGGCCTCGGCGTCGAGGCGGGGGCTCGCCTCGATGGGGTCCTGGTCTCTGCCGCCGCGGCTGGACGCAGTGGACGCGTTGCTATGGGTCCGGCGGTGAGAAAATGAGGCGTGTCCGATGGACTGGTTCAGGGAGCGCCGCCGAGAGTGAGTACTGGCGGCGTGCGTTGGCGATGCCGAGCCGGCAGGGTTGGGAACGGCCCTACTGGCCGCCTTGGCCGGCTCTGGAGACCGGAAGGAGGCCAGCGAGGCAGAGGAAGCCGGCCGGGGCGGTTCCTGAGCAGACGTGGAGGCGGCTGCGGAAGAGCTCAGACGGCTGGAGTATCGACGGGGCGTTGTGATGGCAGGGTTGGTGGCGCCGGCGTTGGGCGTGTTGCGGGGGCTGGCGGCGATCCGGCGGCCGGTGGTGACGGCAGGGCCGTGATTCCGGTTCCGAGGCTGTGATCGGTTTGCAGTCTGCTTACGAGGCGTCGGCGTCGCTGTCCCAGCATGCGGTTCCTTAACCATGACCCAGTTTCTGCCCAGCTCGTCTGCGGCACTCATATGTCTCCGCTTCGCGGCCGGCGCAGTCGGCGTAGACGCTCGGCTATCATATCCCGTATATGTATCCTCGGCCGCTTCGTTGTAGTGGTACTCGCCTGCGCCCTGGGGAAAGTACCCCGGCACACGGTGTTCATCGGCGACTTTATCGTCGTCGTAGTATTGCGGCGTCTCGGGCGCGAGCTCGTCTCCCGGCTGCACATCGTATCCCGCCCCGCCACCGGCGTAAAAGCCCTTGAAGGCGCCTGCCTTGCAAAACTCCCAGACCTTGCCCACGACGCCGCCGAGGGTGCTGAAGGCGACGCTGCTCCATCCGCGCGGCTGGGACGGTTCGGTGGGGAGGTTGAAGAGCGGCATCGGGCCGCCGGGGTCTGTCATGTCGACGTCCTCGCGGGGGCGCTTGCAGCCGAGGGCTCTGCGGTAGTTGGAGTCGGAGTACATGCTCTCGCCGAGGACGCTGCTGTCGTCAGGCCCGGCGTGCGGCGTGCCGACCTCACCGGCGAGCGTGTAGACACCCGGGTGACCGTGGGTGAAGATGGGGGCCGGAGGAGCCAGCACGCCGCCCGAGGGCTTCGTGGCCGTCGGGGGCGCATCGTCGTGGTCGGGCCAGCCGCTGGCCTTTTCGGAGGCGGTGTGGGGGGTCTGATGATGGTGATGGTGGTGTTGATGGTGGTTTCGCTTGCGCTTGGGTGTCGACGCGGTGTCGACGACGGCGGGGGCGGGTCTCGCAGCGGTGGGGAGGTATCCGGAGCTAGACGCAGGCGAGACGGGCGGGCGGAAGAGGCCCTGGTGGATTCCGTCGGCGTGGAAGGCGCCGGGCATGTGGAAGCCCGACGAGAGGGTCATGATGGTGCGTCTCTTGCGCGCACGCGTTGCGAGGACTGGAATGCAGCGGGCTCGTCGATGTGGGACTCTGCGACCGGGTGCGGGCTCGAGACTCGTGCTCTGGGGCTCCTACGCGCCGGCGAGACACACGGGCATGGCCTTGAATGATGCTGGAGGAGTTTTCGGCGGTTGCCGTTCGTGGGGAGCCGCGTCGTGTCCGCCCGTTGCAGACACGGACACGGAACAAAAGTCACTGGCGCTGGCGGCGGCGGCGCGAGGTCACGACACCCACCCCGCGAGCTGAGCGTCTCGTGACTTGCACGACCACAGATTGGCGGGTAGAGTTTTGTGTGCGCTGGCACTGGAGCTTCAGAGACAAGCCGCCTGTCCAGCAGGGCCAGAAGGATAGATATGAGGCAGATCGGAAGACGCTGCTCGAATGGCTGTATTTTTGTCGCCGCGGACTGTCGGGTCCGGGTCTTGAAGCTTGCCTGTCGTGGCCCGAGCGTCACGGCCCGGCTTCGAGATGCGGTATCTCGGGGATGAGGAGGACGCTGTCGCGACGATGGTCGGGTGATGCGCAAGCCCTCGTGACGCCGGAGTCGAGGGGGAGAGCTGGATTTTTGGCTGCGCCCAGGTCGGTCGGTCGTGGTGTTGATGGCGCTGAAGCTCGACTTGCGGCGGCCGGCGGTGATGAACCTACACCAGCTGGGTGCAGGTAGCGCCTGGTGGGGACTGGCGACCGCCTGGGGGTCATCGACTCTGGATGTGTTGCGGACCTGCGGCGGCCCCACGGGTGCTGTGCTGTTGGGGTTTGGGGCTCCACTGAGCAGGCGGGGGTCCAGGCAGCTTGACGGCGTTGCCAGGGTGATTACCTAGTAGGTTGGTGTTGTAGCATCGAGTTAGTGCAGGAATCACCACCAAGGCCGCTGCTGGGAAACCCTGCAGTCGTTGAAAGCGTGGATAGCGCGCGTACAATATTAAAGAAGATATCAAGGACATTTGCACAATGGACGGCAACGACGCAGGACCTGAAAGGGAACATTTAGATATGCGTCACAAGTGCATTCTCCACTTGTCCTTGCTGTCGGATACGTAGCTCAATAGAATCTGTCTCAGCACCCGTCCCCGCCCAACTTGACTCGACTCGGCACGCTGCCGTCCCACCAACTCAAAGACAGTACGCAGTCGTGCCGTACCCGTTGTCGATGCACTGGGAGCCGGTTTGCGAGCACTAGTTCCCCACGAACATTCATCATTAGCCATCCACTTTCTTATGTACAACTTGCGGCCTTGGGGTAGTGAGACTTACACTGGGCTCGCACGGCTTGGTCCACTGCCGTCCGTTCTGGGAGAGGACGCACTGGTTGGTCTGCGAGGAGCAGGTCTTTAACAACGAAACAATAGCTGTCTGTCAGTTGGCCGCTCATTGAATGACATTGGAAGTGGCAGTGGGAGAGGAGGGGAGTCTGTGCGGCTTTGCTTACGCCGTGGACGTTGAGCTTCGGCTTCGTCTGTGCCGAGACGGTCGCCGCCAGGGCGAGGAGCAGGATGCTGAGCGAGCGGTTCATGGTGAGGGCTTCGTGAGTGCACTTCTGATTCTGAACGGGCGTATTGGAAAGAAAACTATCAAGCAAGTTGCAAATAGTCTCTCTGTGTGGGAGACAAGCGGGTTTATATGCGCACCAAGTATATACATATTGCTCTTCTGTTTGTCACTGCCATATACTGGGCGCGGCGACGGCTCCGTGCACGACAGTCTGTCACAGCTCTTGTCGTGCCACCGACTCGGGGCAAATACCTTATTTAACAGTGAAACGTCAGCCGCAGCCGCATTGCTCCGTCCTTGCACCGTCGCTGTCCCAAATGCTCGTGGAGAGAGTCGCATGGACCACCGCTTTTCGTCGCCGACTTCGTCAGCGCGCAAGGCTGCAGCTTAAATCCACGACCGCACCACAGCATCACCTTACGATAAGCCAACCATGCTCCAAAGAAGACGCGTAATATCGCCATAATAACATGCTCGTGACGCGTCTATCCGGACGGGGGTCCAGCGCCCCGCCGCCGTGTCATGATTCCCGTGTGCTTGCGCAACGCCCTCTTTTCCGAAGCCATTCTATCCTCGTCCGTCCGCCCGTCCGCCCAACCCTCGAAAGAAAGCGCTGCATCTCAAGTGTGCTGAGTCTAGACCTAGGCCTCTCTGCTGTAGTAGGCGTCCTGCTGCACGCTCCGCTCGCTCGTCACGCCGCCGTCGACGCCCTGCTCGCCGTGGACGTGTGCCGCGCCCGCCCAGAAGCGCTCCCGCTCGGCCAGCAGCTCGTCGGCCCAGGCGCGCGTCTCGGGCAGCGTCATCTTGCGGGCCACGTACGCGAACTCGCCCAGGTCCAGCCGGCCCTCGGCGCGCTTCTCGTACTCCATCATCTGCAGCAGCAGCTCCATCTTGTCCACGTCGTGTACGAAGTGGCTGTCCAGCGTCTGCGAGTCCTCGTACTCTTGCCAGATGGCGCGCATTTCTTCGCCCGTCGACGCGCCGCCCGGGAAGCCCCCTAGTAGCGTCTTGGTCAGGTAGTCCATGGTCGCGGCCTCGCGCCGGTTCTTCTCGGGCTTGGCCACGCCGTCGACGGGCGTGATGTCGCCGACGAGCAGCTCCGCCATGTCGTGGATGAGGCACATCTTCATGCACTTGGGCAGGTCGAGGCGCGGCGCGAGAGACGGGGGCGCGAACATGGAGATGAGGGACATGCGGTACATGTGGTCGGCAATGGACTCGCCCCTGAAGATACTGCCGTCAGCGCAACTCAAGCTGCAGTATCCCGACCGCATATTGGGTCGGGTTGCCACCTTTGTGTAGATGTCGACTTACCGCTCGATGCCGAACCGCCGCCAGCCCTCGCGCTTCGTCGTCTTGAGCCGCTCGAGCATGTGGAAAAAGGCTAGCGGCGAGCTGGAGCCCTGCGCGGGCGCGTCTCCGGGCAGCGTCTCGAGGACCTTTTCGACCGACCAGGGCTCCGACACCTTGGCCATGGGCGTGTATCCGAGGTCTGCAGCTGCGTCAGTCCACAAAGCGTCCTCCCCAGGCCGAGTCCATGGGAGTGAACATACTGGCAATATCTGCCTTGGAGCCCTCGGGCTGGTCTGTTTGCGATCCCATGTCTTCTTGCGGCCTGTTTCGTCGATGTCTCGGGGTGTTGCCGTCGAACGTCGTCGATGAGGGTCGCGCGGGGCAGACGAAGCAGATAGGCGTTTGGGCACTTCAGGCGCGGCGCTGTGGGAAGAGAAAAGCGGTGGCGCTGCGGGAGACGGCGAGAAGAGGCCTGCCGTTTATGTACAGACGGGAGGGCAAACGATGAGCGGCAAGATGTGGGCGGTGGCCAGAGAGTGATGGAGGGGTTGTCTGCTTTTTGGTCTGGTGTAGGTTTGCGATGCATGGAGAACAACAAACGGCCAATTTCCAATGCTAGCGCCGTGGATGGTTCGATTGCCGGCAGGGCTGCCCCCTAAAGCCCCCACTGCCGGCGCCGGGGAGCCGCGCTGTCCTCCGGTCGGACACTTCGAACTTAGGTACCCTACACCGTTCGATCGCCGCAATGTAAACAAACAGCCACTTCGGTTACACGAGAACTGTAGCCAGAAATCTATTCGCTATCGTCCCCTCCAAATTGCTCTTCGTCGATGCGTATCTTTCTGTCCATGGCTCGCGCCGCAGAATCCAGCCAATCCTGCTCAGTGACCCAGTTCAACGAGTCAAAGACATCACGGAGCCGGTAGTCCCACGCGTCGTCCGGCCATGGTTTCCGCTCCCATAAGTCTCGATAAATACCCGTGCTGCGCATGTCTTCTTCTGGATCGACCCGGTATCTGTTTTCACTGTCGACTATTATAGGCAAGGGACAAGATACTGGGGCCTCGTCTCCGGCAAGCAGGAACTGAACGAGTGCCTGCTTTTGTTCGTCCAGAAGCTTGACAATGCGGTAGGTCACGTCGTGCCGGTCCGGATGAAGGTAGATACTCTCGGACTACCATTTGTCAGAAAAGTAATTGACGTTGGCGGAGAGGCGAGGCCTTGTCTCTTACATCAACAGCAGGTGCCGAGGCCGGTTCACGGCGGTCGAAGAGCACCACGCCGCCAAAGATGCGCCCCTCAGCCCAATATCCCACTCCGTCGGCCACGCCACGTGGGTACTGCTCGTACTCGCAGTACCACTTGTGTCGAAATAGTGTTGCTGGTGGGCCGTCTGGGAACGTGTACCACAAGACGTCGTCGCTTCTGGGCGCAGTCCAGGCTTTGATGTCCCTGTCCTTGTCTGGGTCGCTGCCGGGACCAGATCCGTGGAGCAAAGCAGCGATCTGGTGGATCGATACGGCGACAAGCTCAACAAGGCACGTGTTGAACGCCCGTGACCTCGGGCCCGCGGCTTGGTACTCTCGGCAGAGCTGTAGGCATCACCACTTGCAGTTAAGTAACCCGAGAAGTCGACCGTATTAAGAGGCATAGAACACGTACCTTGGAGTCAAACTTCAGAGCCCGGGAGTCAAACGTACTCCGGAATTGTTCCGCCTTTTCAGCAGCCTCGGGGCGAAGCGTTCTATGCAACGAGTGGAGGGGATGGCTCATCGACGCCGTCCCATCGTAAGTGTCCCTGTCCACCTCTGACAACGGTAGGCCATCCGCTATCTGGCCAAATGTGGCTTTCGCAACACCGCAGGAGGCGACGTTTCCTATCGCCCTGAGCAAAGCCTCGCGGTGAGTGTCGTCAAGGGACGCAATGGTAGCGGGCCGTGGCGGCTGGTGGCGCGCCCGCTTGTTCACTGTGGGAACGGACATTGTCTGCGTGAGCTCTTCCGGTACTTGTAGAGGTAGATAATGGAACGATGTATGAGCGCTTGGTCCTGCACCCGTCTTTTATTACATGCGACACGTCGAAGGGGGCATGGCTTTAACTCGACGTTTAAGCGCCGGGCTCTGCTAGCCGGTAGCAGCCATTGGCGGGCTGCGCGTCTACGAACCAACAGAAGCCCGTCTCGGCAGGCCATCAACATGTCACGCGTTCATGTATGCTGCGCGGTGAATGAGCTAGCAGCTCCTTCACTGCCTGGCGGATTGCAACCCTGCCACCAGGATCTGAGCCCCCCTTTAATGGAGCCTCTTTACTTACCATCTCAACGGCAAACTCGCCGTAAACCCGGGCAGCATGACTGATAAGATGAACTATCTTTCACGGACCTGTTGCAGATACATCCACAAATTGATAGGCCATTAGGGGCACGAGAGAAAATAGAGACGCAAAAGACAGTGAGGTAGCTACATAGAAGCTACTTTCCAAACAGTAACTAATCGACGAGTTCTCTGAAGCCAGAACTGAAGAAGGAAAATAAAAGGAAGAAATGCAGATTCCAAGTTTAGGCAGTCTGAAGTAGTAGTCTCCCCATATCCATGCGCCTTGCTGTTGCACCCCGAAGAAGTGTCGCCACCCTCCAGTGATGCCGATGCGCTCCCAAGTCCCAGCTCACACCGCCAATCCTCCACGCCAGGACTCGAAGCCCGTATGCAGTCTAAGAAGGAACAAGACAAGATCCAAAATCGCTACACGTCCATGGCGCGATACCTGTCATTGACCACGTCATCTGTGAGGCGACTCTGTCTCATCCGCAGGGCTTCCTGGTGCCAGACCCTCCACTGCAGCCATCGGTCGTTGTTGTCTGCAGGAGAGCCTCTCGTCGTCCTCCGCACGGGTCGCGCCAAAGCCGCGGGGCAGGGTGGCACGTGGTACGGGAACAGCGGTCCTGTTCTGCGGCGGGAGCCCTGCCCTCTCGATCTTCCCCGGCGCGAGGGAGATTGAACTTCCAGCTCCAACACAGCATCCTGCAGCATCTGGGCCCAGGCCCAGCCTCTGTACACAGGTGGGGGGACTCCCGGGGGAGTCACGGGGAGGAGGTCCTCGTACCGTGGGATTTCGCTGTAGATGGACGTCCCACGGACCGGGCCGGCGTCGCGAACGGGCGGGTGCACCGTAGCCTCATATCCCCCAGTGTGGGGAGCTCCGGGAAATGGCCCGTGAATTACGCGAGGCGTCCCCATCTCTACCTCCTGAGCCTGGCCATCACGGCGCTGCCGCGAGCCGCCGCCGGCAGCACAGGTACACCGGGGGTCATTGTTGGCGCTTCGGCGTCCGAACAGTCGCTTCCAGCCTCGCGAGAGCCATGCGAAGAAGCCGCGGGGAATGAGCCTTGAGACGACAGGTTTTAAGCTGTGGATTGAGGTGCAGGTGAAGAAGACGACGACTGCGCCGCCGACGACGAGGCAGGCAATGGCTCCCGCCGAGTCTAGGCTTGGGGCCGATAGGTCGATCCGCCGGAACAGGGCGACGCTGTGCGGGTAGTTGCGCAGAGTGGAAAGAGGTGCCATGGCTAGAGATCGGAGCAGCGGTGTAGGGAGCTTCTGATGAGATGGTATATTGGTGTACTGCGGCCGTTGGCAGAAGGTCCGCTGGTGATGATACGGGACACGAACAGAACGAGTAACAAAGGGGAATGACCACGGGAAGGGGGTTATATGTAGTCTGGTGGACGGCCCATGCTGGTGAAACCCCTGTGGCGCAGAGTAGGATGCCGCGTCGTTGAACCTTGAGGCATTGGTTTGGCTGTAGCCCTGCTGCTTCAAGGTTTAGCTTGGAGTCTTGCTGATGCAGGGTCAACTCTATGTGACGAGGTGAGGCACAAGCGTCTCCGCCATGCGCTCTCTCTTTGATACTAGGGTGGTCGAGGGCGTCAGCGACACGTGTGGGCAAGCCCCAGGGTCCTGCCATGATGTTGCCCTCGCGTGCGCCATGCCCGTCGCGTCTGCCGTGCTCGCAGTGGCAATCGCGTCCGCGGAGGCCACTGTGCCCGCGGTATCTGCCGTGCCCTCCTGGATGGGGTGTCCATCACGGCTACTGTGCTCTCGTGACCAGGACGGCTCCTCACGCTCCATCTCGACAACTCCCAGCTCCAGCCTCCCACGTCACGTCGTAACCCACACCAATCCCCCAGTAAACAACGTTCCCCTCAGTAGTTCTCCCACAGCTCCTTACTATACCCCTCCGTCAACCGCTCATCCGTGCCATACACCTCCTGCCAGCCAGAAAACCCCCTGTCCAGGACATACACAGCCTGAGGCTGGTCCGGCCGCGCCCTCGTCTCCCCCAGCGACTTGAGCAGGCCGTCCCTCTCGCGCAGGTAGCGCAGCGCCGCGCTGGGCCCCCGCTGCTGGCTCAGCGCGCAGTGGAACACCACGGCGTCCTTGTCCTTGAGCTTGCGCACCAGCGTCGGCATCATGGCGTCGAGCTGCGTGCTCGGCACGTTGGTGGAGCCGCGGATGTGCCCGCCGATGTAGTCTGCGTGCTCCTGGTTAGTCATGGGACGGGACCGGGCGTGGGAGGGGGAAGGGGGAATTGGGGGGAGAACGTGCCGTCGTCGCGCACGTCGATGACGGCAAAGGTTGGGTTCGCGGCCTCGTGCTCTTGAAGGAGCTTCTCCGACAGCGTCTTGGCCGTCATGCGCTGCAGGGTGTGGATGTTGACGGAGGACATGGCGCGCGAGGTGGTGGTCGTGGCCGTGGATGCTGTCTTCAAGGCTCTTGAGATGAACATGGGCCAGGGGTGTTTTACGCGAGTATTTAGATGAGTGTTGTATTGATCTCGATGGATGTTGGGGGTGAGATGCAGCAACGCAACTGCCGCACCTTCCCCCACGTCTCCACTTTGGCTTGTGGCATCTGAGCTCCGCACCACGTCTCGGCCATGGCTGACATTTATTCATACAATTAATATGACATCAACCCCAGAGGATGCGGAAACGGTCCATGATTGAACTCATGCTTCGAGCAAGTTCATGTTCGACTATGGATATCACTAAAAACACGCGCTGTCCGGCTCCAGCAGCCCTTGGAGCACCAGCCAATTCAGAAACGCATGCCAGCCATCACAGTGTTATAGACCATACAAGGACCTTTTGACGCCTTCGCACAATTCTCGTCCAAAGCTATTACGCTTTACCCAACCAGCCGGCGTTGATGAAAAAGTCAAAAATACGCGCGCCCTTTTGAGAATCCAACCGGCAGATTTCCTTGGCCTGCTTTTTCTTCAGAGTGCCGTTGGTCTTGAGCGCCTCCTTGAGAATTTGCTCCTTGATCATAAGATACGGCTTTGGCTGCAGCCTCACCACTTCGCACAGCTTAGCTTCCTCGGGCGTCAAGAGGTGCAGGTCTGGCGCGTTGTCCTGGCTCAGCTGCAGCGGCTGCACGCCCGAGATGGCCTGCGGTGTAATCTTGGGCCTCGAGGGCGCATGGCCATTAACTCCATTAACGCCGTTGGTGTGTCCATTCGTGAGGGGCTTGCTGTCGCCGTTAACTTCTCCGTTCGTCTGGGGCGCCGGGCGGATGGCCAATTCGGGCGCGACGAGAAGGGCGGCACCACTTGGAGGATCTGGAGGCGGAGCTTGCTTAGAACGTTGATTCGAAGCCATCCTTTCTCTGTCCATGGAGCCCATAGGGATAGCTTTTTGTATGCGCTGCGACTTCTCTGTTTCGTACTTTTCGCCGCTTTTCAGGTCGCCAATGCGCATGTTCCGCCATTCTTGTAATTGAGTAATCGCTTGGCGTAGGTTCAGCTCATCGATGAGCCCCTGGTTCAAATCCTCAAAGTCCTTGTGATTCATGATGCGAGCAAAAGGTTTGGCTTTTTGCAAAAGGTCTTTTTCGTCTTTGCTGCGCCTTTTCTCGACTTTTGTATTCTCTCTGTACTCCAGTAAATCGTGTTCGAAAATGACCTTTTTGCGTTCGACGCGCTGGGTGAGGCGGCTGTTGTATATCTCCATGACGGTCAACTTGAGCTCCATCTCGGGTTCGAGCTCGCCAGTCCGGGGGTTGACGCCATCGCCGGGATCAAACTGCATATGCTGCACGGCTTCTTCTGCTTCGTTGGCGTATTCCGTTTCGAATTCCAACCTACCAGGCATGTAGCCCTGGATTTCGTGACAGCTTGGAACACTTGCAGTCGGCTTGGTCTTTGGCTGCAGGGCGGGCGCATTCTTGGCTGCCTCGCGTCGGTCCTCAATGCGCCTCTTCTTGCGCGCCTGGAACTCCTCGCGCGGCACCTCGTTGGCCAGCTCGCAGTCGTGGGGGCTGCATCGTTTCGGTAGGGGAAATTTGGGAGAGTCGACGTAAGTGGCTAGGTAGTGGTCGCGCACTTCGTCCTTTTCGCGGAAGCCGCCAATGTGGTCGGCGATGTCAGCCCACGAGCCCAGGCCATATGTCTCGGCGCCCTCGAGGAGCAGCAGCTCCTCGTCGGCACCCCATTCGCGTTCGAATATGGGGAACGAGTTTTGCTCAATCACGCGAAAGGCATGTGTCGCGGGATCGTGGGTGTTTCGCGACTCGCCTTTGGCGAAGCACGAGACGCAGAGGTCGAAGTCGGAACATGCCGGGTCAGCACACCTAATGCGGACCTGTCTTTATGTCAGCGACTCACGATGCGGAGGGAGCCGGGGTGTCACCGCGGCACTTGGGAGGGACACATACCGTCGATGTGATGTCGGACGAGCACACGTCGCAGACATATTTGACGCCTCCTTCGCCCCCCCTCGTCACCGTCTTCTTGCGAATGACGCCCATCTCCCGCCGGCGCCGAGGTGTCGGGCTGGTGGGGGCTGGGACGCGGCCGCGATCGCTTCAGGAGCTGATGACGTCGGCCCACGGCGCGACGGAGGCGCAAAACCGGGGCGAGCAGGGAGGCCCGCGGCCGCTGAGCGCAATGCGACGTGTATTTTGATGGAAATGGAGGAGCGAGGCGATGAGTTCGATGGAGTCGCGCGCCCTCGTCGGTCGCTTGTAGTCGGATATTTGACGGAGCGTCGCGATGCGATGGTTGAGCCGCCAATGAGCGACTGCGCCACTGGCTGGTGACGGGAAGGATGCGAGGCCAACTGTGGAGGGGGCGCGTTTCCGATTTGGGCCGCTTACCAAAGCAGGCCACCTGGGGTGTATGTCACGTGATGAGCATGGGCCCAGCCGCCGCTGGGTGTTCCTGGCTCGGGGGTATCTTCGGTGCTGGTGGGGTGACCGCTTGGCCTGGAGGGGCCTGGGACAGGCGAAGGCGGGATGGAGGGGCAGCCCCGCCAGGCGTTGCTAAACCATGCCGTGGGCTGAGGCGCTCGACAAAGCGCTCATGGTCTGATGATGCACTTGACAAAGCCCGGAAGAGGCAGTCGAAGCTTCTCCTTCGCGATATCAGCTATGTCGAGCAGCAGTACCACATAACCCCGGATCCCACGCCGGGACAACGCCACTCGGAATTTGAGCGTCCACTGCAGCTACCCGTGCGCTGCCACTCAACGCAGAGCGCGCGGGCCTGACAGCTCCAACTGCCCGCCGGAGGGCCCCGTCCCGTCCCCCAGGGCTCCAACGGGGCACTCACCTGGGGCCCTTGACGCCCAGCGATGGAATGGACCAGTGCCCGAAGCGCCACTGGTGGACGCCCGGAGCAAGGCCCGAAGTCATCCCCGAGACGGACCCAGCGGGCGGGCGCCGCAAGCGGGTTCGGCGCCTATAAGCGCACCAAACAGAGAGTCGGCCCGCAGACGTCGCGCGCTGTGGAATGTGATGTTGCACCTGACGTCGTTCGTCGCTATCGTTCGTCCAACTTGCCATTATCGTGCTCCCAAATTTTTTTATTCCCTCTCATATAACGGGCCTCGCGTCCTTGTGGTTTTTTCCGTCAAGAAAGTAGAGCTGTCAAGGCCCAACAAGCAAGCACCACATCGCAGCCATGCCCGACAAGATACTCGACGACATCTCGCACAGGCGGTACAACCCGCTGACCGACAGCTGGCTGCTCGTGTCACCCCACCGGACGAAGCGCCCATGGCAGTGAGTAGACACCCCACGATCCGACGACGAGGCAGCAAGGGGACGATTGAAGCACCGTGCGACGAGGATGACAACGTCTCTGACCGAGATCAAGGGGCGCGCAAGAGGCTGCCGCCGCCAACACGCTGCCCGAGTATGACCCCAAGGTGAGAATCCCCCGGACCGCATGAGATGAGAGCTACGCTCACCGGCACAAGTGCTATCTCTGCCCTGGCAACACACGCGCTGCTGGAGACCGGAACCCCAAGTACGAGAAGACGTTTGCGTTTGTCAACGACTACAGCGCCGTCAAGGAGCAGCAGCCCGATTATGAGGCCGAAGCCTCCTCCGATGGTACTGAATCCTGATCATGAACAAGCAACGCAGGACACGTTCTAACAGACTACAGACCTTGAATCTCTGCTCCTCCGCGCCCAGGGCGTAAAGGGCGTCTGCTACGTCCTCACCTTCTCTCCCAAGCACCACCTCACACTCGCCGACATGCCCGCCCCCGACATCCTCCCAGTCATTGAGCACTGGACCCGCATCTACGCCAACCACCTCTCCGCCTCAAACCCGCTGTCCAAGCTGGTCGACGGCCTGCAGCTTTCCCTGGCCAAGGGTGATGCGCCGCAGCCCAAGGACGAGTATCGCTACCTGCAAATCTTCGAGAACAAGGGCGCCGCCATGGGCTGCTCGAACCCGCACCCGCACTGCCAGGTCTGGACCACGTCCACCATGCCCGAGGAGCCGGGCAAGGAGCTTGCGCAGATGACCAAGTACCGCAAGCAGCACGGCGGGCGCCACCTGCTGGGCGACTACGTGCAGCTGGAGCTGGGCAAGGAGGAGCGCGTGCTGTGGCAAAACGCCGGCTTCGTCGTCGTCTGCCCGTGGTGGGCCGTCTGGCCTTTCGAGGTGCTCATTCTGCCGCGGCGGCACATCCGCTCGCTCGTCGACTTCAAGCCCGAGGAGCGGCTGCAGCTCGCCGAGGCGATCCAGGAGGTCACGCGGCGGTACGACAATCTCTTTGAGTGCAGCTTCCCCTACAGCTCGGGCATCCACCAGGCACCGCTGCAAGGCACGGAGGGGGAGGTCGAGAACTCGTACTTCCACATGCACTTTTACCCACCGCTGCTGCGGTCCGCGACGGTCAAGAAGTTCCTCGTAGGGTACGAGCTCATGGCGGAGCCGCAGCGAGACATTACACCGGAGCAGGCCACGGCCCGGCTGCGCAACTGCGGCGGGGAGCTCTACAGAAACAACCTGAAGCAATAATTTCTTCAATAGAACTTTTCCGTACCTGCATTAAGCCTATCCGTTCCGAGACCCCTGTACCCTGTGATGTCGCCAGTCCTCCTCTTCACTCCATGTCTAGTTCTGAACCAACGCTCCGCATTGCCTAGTTGAACTGGACGTAGTGATCCCGAACCATGGGCATCCAGATCAGGGCGCAGCTCGCCAGCGTGAACGGAAAGATCTGGGGCAGGCCAAAGGTCATGCTCTTGAAGACGAACAGCTCGGTCGCAAAGTGGCCGAGCGCCACGACGTACGTCCAGATGGCAATATTGTACACGGGGCCCAGATGCAGGTGGTATGCGGCGTAGCACCGCACGATGCAGGTGATGAGCGTCCACGTCCCGAAGAGCCGCCCGGCGAGGGGCGTCAGCTGATCGGCCGCCTTGGGATCCGTCTGCGACTTGGCAGGCACGAGCTTGTTGATCGAGTCTTCGGGGTCGAACGTCGCCGAGGCGGGCGGCAGCTGCGAGTTGCGGACGAAGCGGCCGTTGTAGACGCGGCGGGAGAAGTGCAGCGTCGCGTAGGCCTGGAGGGAGTTGCCAATGGACACGACGGAGAGCTTTGACGCTGGTCAGTCGGGGGCGCGCTTCAGGAGACCAAGCGGGCGCTTTCGGGAGGCACTCACCACGAGCATGTAGTACGGGAGCACGCCCTGGGCGGGTGGGAGGAGAGACTTGATGACATCCATGGCTGCTAAGGGGGCGCGGCGCAAGACTGGCGCACTGTCGAGCTCCGAGTGTTGGACAAAGATGTCGTCGTGAAGAATGTTGGCGTGGTGATGTCCAGGGGACAAGCCGGACGTGCTGCGGCAGGGTTGCGATTTTAGTGCTGTCTGCCCGCATGCCGACGGGACCGGGAAGGAGCTCCAGTGGAGCCAGAAGCTGCGATCCATCCGCTGAGGCGCCCAGCATTGTGATGCGTTGATGCCAGCGTTCAAATCCCCTACGTTCGAAGCCAGGAGCACCAGACTGCAGAGCGACACTTTTCACAACAGCCAGACTGAGCTCATGAATCCGATTCGTATACTACCTGCAGATCACGCAGCCGACCTGGAGCCGTCCGGATCGTGCGCCACCACCTCAATCTCGACGCGCATGTCGTCCTCACCCAGCCTCGTCACCCCGACGCACGTCCACAGCGGCTCGTGCTCGGGCATGTACTTCCTGAGGTTGCGCACCATGGCGGCCAGCGCCTCGTCGTTGATGGGGACGTGGTACGAGTTGACGCGGAACACCTGCGACCAGCCCTTGCCCCCCGCGTCCTTGAGACACCGCTCGACGTTTGCGAATGCCAAATCGATTTGCGCGTTGATTTCGCGCTCGAACACTCCGGTGACGGGGTCCCAACCTCCTGCGCCCACTTGTCAGAGGCTCATCATCCTCTCGGGTCTGCTTCGCCGGCATCACTTACCCTGGCCGGCGCACTCTATCCGATCACCGACCCGAACGGCCTGACTATAGGAAAAGTTCCTTCTCTTTTCCACCCCCTGGCCTTCGTAGGCATAGTATTTCAAGTGTGACATTTTTGTTGCTGTCTGATCCGCAGCAAGAGCGGCGGTGGGTTTGGAGACAGGGCAGCAGCTGAGTTTATAGCTGGAGCAGCGTGTGGTTCGACCCATCGCTTGAACGGCCCAGCGAACGAATTCTAAGTCATCGCGTCCGAATTGCAGATAGGCGATGCATTATTAATGTCGGAGGAGTGCGGTCGGCGAAGCCCACGCTTATACGTCATTTGGCGGAAACGTTTCCGAGTTGCGAAGCCTAACTTAAGACGCTCGCTAATTATCTGGGCTCATGGCAGCCATCTTTTGCATGCCACGACCAATTTCGGTGCCACAGATAACCCTGTATTGTCGCCTCGGTCAATGTCTCCGACCGGCCATGAGGTCCACGCCGGACCAGCGCACCGAACATTTCCCTTTTGGCAGGTACCATGATGTGCGTGGAACAGACCCTTCGTAGTCGGTCAAGAGCGACTGTTGATGCGGTTGGTCTGTAGGTGTTCGTAGAACATGGGCGCCGAGAGCTTCGAAAAAGTGTGGCCTGCATGAAGGTGCTGAGACCCATGATCAGTTTTACAGCCCAACAACAAATCACTGTGTAACCAATATTATCACTCGCGCACCTCGCCTGTTGTCTGCGGCACAAACCCCGTCCAGAGGAGCATAGCTGTCATTCCGCACACCGACACCTTGAGCACCACCAGACACAACATGGCATCGCAGACCTTGGCCAACATCGATATCGTCACAGCGTTGCGGGAGGTACATCAGGACTTGAGTGAAGTCCATCAGTTCTTCAAGCAATGGACACCGGTCAAGGCAGCGCACCACCAAGGCCATATGGTGCTTATCGAAAGGCTGATTTCCGAAATCGAGAACGGTTACTACCCCAACATGGAACAGGACGAGGTGGAATATTGGCGCGCGTATGCGGACAGCGAAATGAAATCGAGAAGTGCCTGCCGACTGTGCACTGCGCCCGAAGAAACACTGGAACTCGCCGCTGCGCAGGAACGACGACGTGGCATACTTTGGGCCTGGGAAAGGGATCTCGCACGCTCTTCACTTCGTCCTCTCAAGATCACCGACCTGCCTCGAGAGCTTCTGCGCAACATTCTGGACTACTTTGAAGCCCCGGATCTTCCAATATATCGATCTATGGACATGGTGGAGATCCCCGGCAGAGATTCACACAAAGATACATGGCAGGCCACGCACTGGCTAAGGAACGTTCAACGCTGCCGACTCACGTGTCGCCTCTTTGACGAATTGGCCTCGCCGTATCTGCTCCCGTGGCTCAGGGTTTCGCTAAACGAGGCTTCCCTGCCCCGAGCTACCGAAATTTCACTTCGGCCGCATATTGCCGCAGGTGTCCGCGGTGTTAGGATCCAGCTGGCGTACTATTATCCCGCGCTCGCACAGGACTTTCAAGAGTGGGCAGCGGCCCGAGAGCAGAGAATGGACGCGTTCGTCAGCCAAATTTGGGCGAACCACCGTGTATACCCAAATCGACCGTGGCGGGAACGGGCCAGAGCACCGACAGGATGGCACTTGTACGTCGATGACAACACCCACGAGAAATATCCCGAGTTCAACGAGGTCCTTGACAAGTGCCATGAGGAGTATTGGCGCAGATCTGTCGAGCAGTCGAGTCTCCTCGCTGATGGACGTTTCGTCAACTGTCTTGCTGCAGCCATGGCCAGATTTCCACGCTCTGGCAGGGTAGAGTTTACAGACTCCACAGAGTACGAAGACATCATAACCCCTACCAGGTACCGGAAGCTCCGCTACTTGCTGGATAGCCCAGAGGGGTTTTGTCGATACCTGTGTAGGCCTGACCCGTGGGTGATGTGGGACACGTCGACAGGTGATGAAGTCCGCCCAGCGAAGATCATGGCCGAGCTACCCGTCGCTATGTGGAAAGCCGGGGCACGCCTCGAAGATGTCTGGATTCATTGTTTTCCGCACCAAGCGTTTTCCGCGTTGCGACCTGGCCAGAACCAAACGGATAGCCTGGTATGGCGACAACTTCAGGACGCCTGCCAGAATCTTCGATCGTTTTACTGCAAGCCTTGCGATTATGGCATTTCGTGCCTGATCCAAGAGCAAGAAAGGACGCATGTCGATGGTTTTTTTGCTGCCATGCTATCTGGCTCCAGGTTAGAAATCGTGCGACTTGAGCTGGAGGGCCTGGGCACCACTGGCGACGATGGAGTCACCAGAAACCGATGGCACCAAATCGGGAGAGCGATCGCCCCGGCTCGATGGCCACTGCTGAGGGCCCTTGCCCTTTAGGGAGTCTCGTTTCACTCGCATGAGTTTCAACAGCTTTGCCGTGGACTGGGACGGGGGATCTTGGAGGCGCTGCTCATGCAAGACGTGCAGCTCGATAGTGGCTCCTGGGCGGTCGCTTTGGACATTCTTCGGGGGCGAATGAAGGCACAACGCGTGAGGACTGTGTCCATATGGGGACTGGAAGGTGGGGAGGTTCGACAATGGTACGAAGCACGTCGAGGAGACGATCATGGATCGGAATCACCAGATGGCGACCCGCCGATCCTGATGGAGGAAGAGCTGGCAAGGCTGATGGCTCAATACATCGGCGGCTCCGCTGGAGCGAACGCGAACCCGCTCAGGAACATCTACTGACAATGCTATGCAGCGCTGTTGACATGTGGAGCGCGGGGAAAGAAGCAATCTGGAGGACGACGGGGGTGAGGCGGCGGGGAGCAGTGGCATCCATGGATGTGAATCAAAGACTGTACATTAGTTGGGTCGAGTCCCGATGAAAACGGAGGTTTGTAGCCCACCGAGGTTCTGTTGATACTGAGGCGGGAAGGGAGCTTTTAATGGAGAGGAGTGCTATTTGTAGAGCTTGCTAGTTGTAGAGCCCATGGGAGCAATAGCAACGAAAGCAACGGAAGCAACGAGAGCAACGGCAGCAATACTAATATGTAGGTAGCGCGCCACTGCCGTCCCATGCGCAATAAAATATGACTGGGGCAGCATGGGGGTAGGGCGCGGCAGAGAAAAAAAAAATGTAGCAGGGCTCTACAACTGGCAAAAGTTGGCTCTACGAATAGCACTCCTCTTAATGGATTCCAACAAGATTTTCACAAGTCAAGTGAGCGGCTTGCAATGTGCACCTGGAAGATCAGCCGGCGGGTTGAAAGAGTTGGCTGGAGTTGAGAAAAATGACGTGCCCGAGAAGGTGAAGCTCGTGTCAGTGGCCCAAACGGTGCTAGTCAGGTCCCTTCAGCGGTGGTGCTGCCGCGGCACCTTTTTAGCTCAGCGGGTGCGCCCAACTAACTCCCTGTCAGCTGCAGATTGTTGAGGCGAGGATTGCCGCCCGCCGACCCTCCGGGTTTCCTCGAGACGCCCTCCCACCAAACATCATCATCATCGACCGCCGTCTCTCTGCCGCGTCGCCCGCCCCCGTCACAATGGATCATCCGCTCGTGCAGAAAGCCCTGGGCTACATACGCCAGATCCCTCCCGTGCCGGAGCAGGTCCAATTGGGCTTTGCTGCCATCGGCGCCCTGTACCTCGGGTCCAAGCTCCTGAGCTACCTGTCGCTCCTCCTCAGCGCCTTCGTCTTTGTTGGCCACCCTGTGCGTGCTCGATCTGCAGAACGGAGACGACCGGAGGGAGCGTTTGCTAACGCGTTTCCGTGCAGCTTCGCAGGTATGGCCGCGCCGGCTCCTGGGCCGTCGTCACGGGCGCCTCGGACGGCCTCGGCAAGGAGTACGCGATGCAGCTCGCCGCCAAGGGCTTCAACCTCGTCCTCGTCTCGCGAACCCAGTCCAAGCTCGACACCCTCGCCAAGGAGATCGAGCAGAAATACCCCGGCAAGGGCCTGCAGGTCAAGACGCTGGCCATGGACTTTGCCAAGAATGACGACCGCGACTACGACCTGCTGCGCGAGCTGATCCGCGGCCTGGACATTGCGGTGCTCATCAACAATGTCGGCCAGAGCCACAGCATCCCCGTGTCCTTCATCGAGACGCCCAAGGAGGAGCTGGAGAACATTGTCACAATCAACTGCATCGGCACGCTCAAGGTCACCCAGATCGTCGCCCCCGTGCTGAAGGCGCGCAAGCACGGCCTGATCCTGACCATGGGCTCCTTTGGCGGCTGGACCCCCACCCCGTACCTGGCCACGTACTCGGGCAGCAAGGCCTTCCTCCAGCAGTGGAGCAATGCCCTCGCTTCTGAGCTGGCTGACGACCACGTTGACGTCTACCTGGTCCTGAGCCACCTCGTCACTACGGCCATGAGCAAGGTCCGCCGCCCCAGCCTGCTCATCCCCAACGCGCGCAACTTTGTCAAGTCGGCCCTGGGCAAGATTGGTCTTGGAGGCTACCAGACCGCGCCCAACACTTACACCCCCTGGTGGAGCCACGCCGTTATGCTGTGGCTTATCGAGAACGTTCCCGGTGTCAATAGCCCGATCACCATCTGGTACAACAAGAAGATGCACGTTGACATCCGCAAGAGGGCCCTGCGCAAGCGGGAGCGCGAGGCCAAGAAGCAGTAAGGGTCTTGCGCAGCCCTGAGGTGTCACGATGAGAACAATTGAGACGGCGACTTGAGCAGGAGTTGGAGTTTCGACCAGAGCGCAGGAAGGGCTGAAGCCATGAGAGAGAGGCTTCTGCCATGTCAGAGGACCATGTATTCTACCGACGGATGGAGTAATGGGGTAAAAGCAGCAAAGATGATACGACGTCTAGTTCGTGGGGTTTGGGCGTGCTACCCGAACGGCTTGTGAAATGGGGACCATGAATGGGTATGGATTTGCAATTCAGCAATTGAAAAGAAGAGGGATCTTCGAGCTGATCGCCACGTTCCCCGAGTCTGGCCTCAACCCGCTTGTTGACCTGTCGCAAATGATGCTCCCCGTCTCCTGAGGTGGGCGGATTAACGCGATGCCGGAGGCTGCTCTGAGAAAAAGTTGGTGTCCCAGGCCACCACGGGCAGCAACTGGCGCCACCCACCAAACCTGGAAGCGCCCAACGCCAGCGCCGGCACTGCTGCCCACCCACCCTCCACCCCACTCAGGCGCCCGGTTTGCTGCACAGTTGGCGATGACTCAAGTGCCAAAAAGCGCACAAAGTCGACGACCCTCTTTTCCCTCTATCCCGTGTGACGAGCTTGCCCAGGCATGCTGTTTGTGATCAGCAAGATCCGTCCCGCGTTGATTCGAGCCGCCGTCGCACGCCCTGGCCTCTCCCTTTCGAAACCACTGCCGCTCCCTATCCGAAGAAACTTTGCGACATCGCGATTCCTACAGACATCACCCCTCGCGTTCGACCCCGCGCAGCAGGACCAAGAATACACAATGGCGGCCCAAGAGGGAGGAAAGGAGGGCAAGAAGTCCGGTGGCGGCGTCACGCTCAAGACGCCCAAGGGCACGCGTGATTGGGCCGGCGAGGACATGCTCCTGCGGGACGAGGTCTTGTACGAGTTGCCATCGAGGAGACAGGCCATGATCCAGTGCTGACAAGCCTCCAGCAAGTCAATCACCGACATCTTCAAGCGCCACGGCGGCAGCCCCCTCGATACCCCCGTCTTTGAGCTCAAGGAGATTCTCGCCGGCAGTACGTCTCCCTCGCGCCGCTCGCCCGTCTCGACCACGCAAGCATAGACTAACAAGCCTGTAGAATATGGCGAGGACCAGCGTCTCGTGTATGACCTGGGCGACCAAGGTGGCGAGATCTGCTCCCTGCGATACGACCTGACGGTTCCGTTCGCCCGCTGGCTGGCCATGAACAACGTCCAGCAGATCAAGCGTTACCACCTCGCCAAGGTCTACCGTCGCGACCAGCCGGCGATTGCCCGTGGCCGGTATCGCGAATTCCACCAGTGCGATTTCGACATCGCTGGTGTCTACGACCCCATGATCCCCGACGCTGAGATTCTGCGCATCATCGTGGAGGTCTTCGAGGCGCTCGACCTTGGCATCACCATCAAGCTCAACCACCGCAAGATCCTCGACGGCATGTTTGCCGTTGCTGGCGTGCCGGCGGAAAAGACCCGTACCATTAGCTCTGCCGTCGACAAGCTGGACAAGATGGCGTGGCCAGAGGTCAAGAAGGAGATGGTCGAGGAGAAGGGGCTTGCCGAGGAGGTCGCAGACCGGATTGGTGAGTACGTGCTGAACAAGGGTACTGTTTCCCAGATGGTGGAGTACATCCGAGGAAACGAGCAGCTCATTGCCAATGAGACCGTCAAGGCTGGTGTCGACGACATGGCCCTGCTTGGCACCTACCTGGACGCCATGGAGGTGTCGGACAAGATCACATTCGATCTCTCCCTGGCCCGTGGTCTGGACTACTACACGGGCCTGATCTACGAGGTCATCAATCTTCCTCCCAAGGAGGATGGGACGGCTGGCAAGAAGAAGCTCAAGAAGGATGACCCAGCGAACCAGGTCGGCAGCATAGCGGCTGGTGGCCGCTACGACAACCTGGTGGGCATGTACGGAAAGAAGACGATTCCCTGCGTCGGCATCTCGTTCGGTGTCGACCGCATCTTCACCATCCTCAAGGCCAGGCGCGAGAGGGAAAACGCCGCCAAGACACGCACCACCGATGTGTACGTCATGGCCTTCGGTGGCAGGGAGTTCAATGGCCTGCTGCCAGAGCGCATGTCGGTGGCCAGCAAGCTGTGGAAGGCCGGCATCCGCGCCGAGTATTCGCCGAAAGTCAAGCCGAAGCTGCCCCAGCAGTTCAAGGCTGCCGAGGACAGGGATGTGCCGCTGGGCATCATCCTCGGCCAGGATGAGCTCGCGGCTGGGCAGGTGCGGTTGAAGCAGCTCGGCCAGGGCGGGCAGGGCGAGGCATCGGGCGATGAGGACAACAGAGGCAAGCTGGTGAGCTTGGATGATCTGGCAGAGGAGGTTAAGAAGCTGTTGCTGTAGACGATTTTGAGACAACCAAAACTTAAAGAGAAAGTTATAGACGGCACGGGATCTTGGCATGCATTAATTTGTAGCTCATGGCCAGCCTGTGTCTGTTGGCGACCTGTGTTAATTTTGCCCACCAATTGAAGTGTGTCTCACGCCTCTTTGCTTCAATCGTTAAGAAATGCATCAATGGTCCGACGATAGCAAGATTTTGCAAAGCTATTGAAGACGAGAAGCCGATTGTTCTCGGTCAATGCCGTGCAGCGAGCTCTCGAGTCTGAACTGTCGCGCACGTTTGGGGCGTTGTCACCCAAACAGGCTTAGCGCCACCGCCCCCGGCCCTGTCGCGAAAAATCCAAGCTGGTTCCAGCCTCCCCAGCTTCGGCTTCACGCACCTCTGAACCTGTTTACCGCATCATCACCAACATCCCTTTCCCCTCGTTTAGCTTCGCGACACGGCTGAACGGGCCAACGCACGCGCGCCGCGACATCCACAGCAGGCACCGCGATCGATACAAGCTTCGAGACCTCATCGACGACGATTGGTTTCGCCGTGCTGGCTGGCTTCATGCAGCGCCGCCAGCGCGTGCCGTTTCTTCCATCGACCTCGGGCTAGGCGACCGACCTCACACAGCGCACGCCCATTTCTGGGTAACAGCGATAGACAAAAGCGTTGCCCGACATGTCGTTCCCGCAGACTACGCCGGTGCGGCCGGTGCCTGGCGCGTTCATGAACACGCCGGCCCTCGCCTCGAGATTCCAGCCCAGCAACGACCCGGTACGACGACAGCTCTTCCCCGTCTCCGAAGAGACGCATGCAGGCTCTGGGATACCTGCGAACTCAGCGCCCCCCGGTCCGCTGGCACCTCCCTCGACGAACGCTCCGCCTGGCGCCTCGACGGCCATAACACAGGCTGGCTCCAGTCAACCGAATCTGGTGGCCATGACGCCACTTCCACCGCCCCGTGCTGAGAATGCTCCGCCGGTGGTCAAGGCGGCCAAGGCCATCAATGCGTTCTTGCAGCTGGATGAGAGCTTTCCCGACCTGGATTCGTATTGCAGACGTAAGTATATTCTCGGGAGGTTAAGTGAGTGGCTTCGCTAATTCTCGACGCAGAAGGCGCTTCGTCGGACTACGAGCTTCCGGGACCTGACTCTGCTTGGGCCCCCTTCCATAAAACGCAGATGTACCCTATTCCGAATCAAGTCTTCGATCATTATAACGCGGGCGAACTCCAGACCCTGATGGGCCTCTTCGCCGAGATCAACCATGCCTGGGTAGTCATCGACAACTCGCTGTTCCTCTGGGACTACACTCACCCCGACCCGGAGCTCATCGGCTTCGAGGACCAGCCGCACACCATTAACGCCGTGGCCCTGGTGCCCCCGAAGCCTGGCATCTTTGTCAACACAATCACCCACATTCTCGTGGTCGCCACATCGTCTGAGATGCTCCTTCTTGGAGTCTCTGCGACAGACACGCCCGCAGGCACCAAGTCTGTGGCTCTATACCAGACAAAGCTCACGCTGCCTCTCCGAGGCGTCGACGTACGAATCATTTCTGGATCTGCCGACGGGCGAATTTTCTTCGGTGGCAGCACAGACATCGATATCAACGAGCTGTATTACCAGTCTGAGGAGAAGTGGTTCTCGAACCGCTGTGGCAAGATCAACCACACAAACCCGGGTTGGTCGTCTGTTGTGTCTCTCCAGTCATCATTCTGGGGGACGAAAGCGCCCGAGCACCTGGTGCAGATTGTCATTGACGATTCACGGAGACTCGTCTACACCCTCTCCAGCAAATCGACGATACGGACGTACCATATGGAAGCTCCCGACCGGCTCAACAAGGTGATTGAGAAGGAAAAGGTGTACTGCCTGCGGGACATAGCGCACATGATTACACAGTCAAAGCTTCTCAGCGACCGCATGAGCATTGTCTCCATCAGCACCATTGCGAAGCAGGAGGCGTCGAAGCTGCACCTCATGGCTCTGACCGACACTGGCTGCCGGCTTTTCTTTAGTGCAACGAGCGCGTCCAGCTACCTCTACGGGTCCCAGTCGAACATGGCGCCCCAGAGCATGCAGGTTCAGTTTATCAAGTTCCCGCCTAGCGCAAACCCGCGACGGATCAGCCAGCTCGCCCAACCGGGACAACCTGGCTCCGAGTCTGTTGTCGACCTGGAGTCGGTCATGTTGCTTGGAAGCAGGCAAGGAGCTCGCTTCGCACCAGGGTTCTTCCTGGACTTCGTAAGCAGTACGAGCGATGCCAACGTGGACACCCTGTTTGTCTCAGGGCCGGAGACTGGACGGATCAAGCGAACTTCGCCGACAACGCCACTCCGCTACTTCGAGCAGGCCAGTTGGATAGATATTGGAAGCCGTGCCGAGGCTGTCGGGCTCATCACCAAGCCTTTCGCAGCCGCACAGCAACCTCTCGGATTTGGCAACGAGCTGGCGGTTCAGTTTGATGAACCCCCGAGCGAGTTTGCCGTTCTCACCAACACCGGTATTCATGTCATCCGGCGACGCCGCCTGGTGGACACCTTCGCCGCGGCCATCCGTGATGCGCCAGGCGATGAAGCTCTGGATGTCATCACGCGTCGTCTCATTCAGCTGTACGGCCGCGTTGAGACCGTTTCGACGGCTCTGGCTGTGGCCTGTGGTCAAGGCGGAGACGGTCGACCGGGTGCAGCCAGGGCGATCGATCAGGCCACGCAAGACCGAGCAAGGGGGCTCTTTGTCGATTTCGGTGGCCAGCCTACCATTACGGAGACGGACGGGATCGCGCTGACCACCGACTCCGTCAGACTGTCGTCTCGCCACGACGCCCTGGCTCTCTATCTTTCTCGCCTCATCCGTAAGCTTTGGAAGGTCCCGGTTATCAAGAGCGGAGTGTCTCCCGCAGGCGGCATTGTGATCGACTCGGTCGTCCCCATCCGCAAACTTGTTTCGACGCAAGAGAACCTTGAGCGACTGCGAAAGTTTATCGATTCCAATCGAGGATTGATCCAAGGCATGTCCGGCCCGTCGGACCTCCAGCGAGTGGCTAGCAGACAGGAGGAGGTGGCCCTACAAGCTGAGCATCAAGCGCTCTATGCGCTGCAAAAGCTGATGGAGAGCATATCGGAGGGCATCTCCTTCGTGCTGATGATGTTTGATGAGCGCGTGTCCGACATTTTCGTCCGACTGGACGAGACCGCACGCCAACAACTCAAAGACCTTACCTACGAGAAGCTTTTCTCGCAAGCCGACGGCAAGGACCTTGCTAAGCTGCTGGTCAAGGCCATCGTCAACCGCAACATTGAAAGTGGATCGAATGTCGAGACTGTGGCGGACGCGCTGCGACGGCGCTGCGGCAGCTTCTGCAGCCCCGATGATGTGGTCATCTTCAAGGCCCAGGAGCAGCTCAAGCGGGCATCGGAGCAGCCCCTCAACACGAATCTATCGAGAAGTCTGCTACACGAGAGCCTCAAGTTGTTCGAAAAGGTGGCCGGCAGCCTGACCTTTGCGAACCTGCAGACTGCTGTCGCTCAGTACATCAACTTGAAGTACTACGCCGGGGCCATTCAACTCTGCCTGGTGGTCGCTAGAGAGTCGGACAGAGGAAACACGGCACTGCAGTGGGTCAACGATGGTAAGCCCACCAATGACCCTAGAGGCATCGCCTTCGAGAAGAGAAAGCGATGCTACGACCTGATCCACGACGTGCTGCGGGACCTGGATATGGCGTCGAGCAAGGAGCCCGAGTTGATCGACGGGAAGCTCACGGTCATTGCGACCAAGAAGCTGGAAGCTTACGACGTGGTAAACGGCTCAGACGACGAGGTCTTCCACTTTGATCTCTACGAGTGGTATATCCAGCAAGGCTGGACGGACCGCATCCTGGCCATTGACTCGCCTCATGTCATCACCTTCCTGCAACGCCTGGCCGCTACTAACGTGGAGCACGCGGATCTTTTGTGTCGCTTCTACACCAACCGGAGTCGATTCTTTGACGCCGCCGAGGTCCAAGCCGAGCTTGCCAACTCGGACTTTGCTCTCGGCATCAAGGACCGAATCCGGCTGCTGAGCTTGGCCAAGGCCAACGCCAACGTGGCTACCGTGGGCGTAAGCCGGCAGCAGCAGCAGATGCTCAACCACGCAGTGACCGACCTGCTTGAGATTGCGAACATCCAGGACGACTTGCTCGGCAGATTGAAGGTGGACGAGAGGATCGATCCCGACCGGAAACGAGAGATTGAACAGGCCCTTGACGGCAAGGTTCTGGATCTGTCAGAGGTACATGACGTTCCCTCTAGTGATGGTGGATTCACGCGTGCTAACAAAGCGAAGCTTTTCAACGACTATGCTGACCAGGCCGGGTACTACGACCTGTGTCTACTCATCTACCACACGGCTAACTATCGCAACCCGACGACAATCTCTGGAACGTGGAGCAACCTCATTCAACAAACACACGACGAGGTGACGGCGATGCTGGAGAATGTTGCCGCTGGGCAGCCTTCACCACCAATGCCGTATGAGGCGGTGACGAGCAAGATCCAAAACATTGCTCACCACACGTCTCTCGATAGTTTCGTGTTCCCCATCCAGACGCTCCTACCGGAGCTGTGCCGCTATGCGGTTGCGTATCAGCAGGATGCGACCATTGGCGCAGACCCAACGTGGCCCGTGCAACTATTCCTGTCGCTCGGCGTGTCTCATGACATGATCGTGAGGGTGCTGGAGAACATTTTCGACACGCAGGATTATGGATTCAGCGGCATGGTCAGGAATCGCATCATCGAGATCATCGTCTATGTAGTCAACAACTGGGTGTCGGACGTGCGACGCCGCGGCGGCGCGGCCAAAGGAGGATCCATCGGACCCTGGGTTGGCGAACTGCTGGCGCGGTGCGAAGCCGCGCTGCCACCCCCCGGACAGGGGAGCAACAACGGCGGCGCGGACCTGGCCGATATCAGACGGGTGTTGAGGACGCTGCGCAGGGAGGTCTCTGGGTTGATTGAGCGGGTGCCCACGGGTAGCCTGAGATTCATGTAGAATGGGCGAGCGATGCCTTCGTTTTTGGTGTAAGGAAGTCGGGAATCCGGGACGTTGACGGGGCGTCAAGGTAGGGTCATGATGTACAAGTCTTGCACATAGCATAATGGCGAGGGAACAGTGAATGCGTTTGATCTGGATTTCGTCGCTCCCGCTGATCTGGGAGCTCGGATCATCGCCCCGCGGGCGTTTGAGACAATGGGTTTGTCAAAACGAGCTATCAAGGTTCGTTTGGCCATAGCGCCGAGTCATCATTACGGCGACTTTTCGGACACTTGATGTGGTATTTAGACCAGCGTGAAGATATCCAGTAACAGAGCGAGCACTCGGGCTAGCATGATAATCCGCACCAGACTCATCGTTAGATATCGCCCATCATCCGGCTTTCTACATCGCACCACGAGGACAATGGCGACCAGCGTGAGCATCGAGGCCGCGGCCGAGCGGCTCTCGAAGCACTACCACAGCGCGGGCTCGCGCACGAGCGCGGCGGAGGAGCGCCAGCGGGCGCGCACGTCGGGCAGCATGATGGGCGGGCTGGCGGCGCCGCTGCTGGAGCAGATGGGCCTCTCGTCGGCGGCGGCGGACGACGTACATGCGAGGCAGCCGATCCGACTGCTGGACAGCGCGTGCGGACCGGGCGTGTTTACGCGCGAGGTGCAAGAGGCGCTGCGGAGGACGGCAGAGGGCAGGGAGGTGCTCGCAAGGAGTCGCTTCGTGTGTGCGGATAGTTCGCAGGGGTTGGTGGACATTGCGAGGCGGAGGATTGAGGAGGAGGGGTGGGTGAATGCCGAGGCGAGGGTCGCGGATGCGATGGTGAGTGTTGATGTTTCCTCCCCCCTTGGATCTTTGTCTATGTGGGTTGGGCAGGGCTGACAATGGCTTCTTGCTGTAGGATACGGGGCTGCCGGCGGATGAGTTTACGCATGTGGCTATCACGCTGGGCTTGCATCTGATACCCAAGCCGGATGCTGTTCTTGCAGGTGAGCCGCCTTCCTTGCCATCGCCACCCCGTCTTCACACATGAAGCCACAAACTATATACCACCAGTATGAAGTCCAGCAGACTGATGACAACGCACAGACGTCAAGAGAGTGCTCAAGCACGGCGGCGTCTTCGGCGCGACCACATTCCCATCATCCAACGCGCAAAAGTTCTGGTTCCCGGACCTGCGGGCCGCCTTCGCGTCGATGCCGTTTGACGCGCCGCTGCCGGCGCAGATGCCGATGCAGGTGCACGCGAGCGGGCGGTGGTACGACGCCGAGTGGGTGGCGGCGCACCTGGCGGCGCAGGGGTTCCGCGACGTGCGGGTGAGGGTCGTGCCGGGGCGGTACCGCGTCGAGAGCGCCGAGGCGTGGCTGCGCACGTTTGGCGGCATGCTGCCCTGGGTCACGGGCACGTGGTGGCCGGAGGAGCTGCGGGCGGAGCACGGTGACAGGGAGGTTGAGCGGCTGGTGAGGGGGTTCTTGGAGGAGAAGTATGGCGGCGGCGGCGAGGGGTGGGACGTGGAGTGGGAGGTGATTTGCATGACGGGCGTGGTGGACAAGGAGACGGAGTGATGATGTGTTGAGTTTGGATATACAACAGCTGGGGATACAACAGGCACATATAGAGTTAGACATCTTACCTACATATTGTACCTGCTCCCAATCTAGGTCTGTAAGTCTGAGGCTGGTAGCGAGAACTATCACCAATACTACTGCGTATCCTGGCTCACACACTTCCCTTGTTTCTCGCACGAAAGAAAAGCTTGGCCCCGAACCGATGGTCAGTGCTGCCGTCCGTCATGTCGAACGGGTAGCAGGCTCGGGGACCCGCTGATCGACGGGCTTTAAGGTGCTGCTGGCATCATCGCAAGGCAAAGTGCTACGTATCTCGCAACGCAACAGATGGCGTCGTCGTTCTGGAAGTCTGGAATGTGCCAAACCCGAAACGCCCCCTGACGAGACAATACTGTGTCTTCAGCACTGGCTAGCCCCTATAGCTAGGTCAAGTCAGGGGGGCATATAGGGGACGAACCCCCCCACGTGATCCACTCATCCAACCTTGGAAACCTAATTCCTTCCGAGTTCCCTGTCGCGACAGACTCGATTCATCCCATCTTCTCGCAAGCATCGTCATGTCTTAGGCTGGCTCAGTGCCCGCTGTATCGCACGCCATGATTGCGCTCTATGCCGCCGCGCTGCTCGGCGCGCTGTCGACGGGCGCCGTTGCCTCGTCGCAGGCGCTGAGCGACGAGACCCTCCCGTCGTACCATTACCGCGCGCCCATCCACGTCGAGTGCATGAACCGCAGCTCGTATGTTTCCCTACGCATCGCTTGCGCCCGTTTCGTCCGTCTGCTTACAGCGAACCTTCCAGCGAAACCGGCGAACACATCGAAGACGCCAACCACCAGCTGCAATGGGTCCCGTTCCCCCTCTGCAACGAGACGGGCAAGCCGCTCGAGTTCCACTACGGCACCGAGGGCGAGGTCAACTGCACGATCCCCTTCGTCTCCGACCCCTTCTTCCACCTCCTCGAGTTCTACATCCACAGCGACGCGCCGTTATCGTGTCGCCTGCCTGCTCGACCTCATGGGCACGTCGAGGTGGTCGGCGAGGACCCGCCCAAGCAGGAGTACATACCGCTCGTCTTCGCGCTCGCCGGCACGCTGCAGCTGAGCCACATGCACATCAGCACGCACATGAACGTGCTGCTGCACAGCACGCCCAAGCACCACCTGCGCCCGCACGACAGCGGCGTGCTCGACTCGGGAGTCGCCTACAGCACCAGCCCGCTGAGCCACATGGAGGGCACGCAGAGCCGGCGCCTCATCATCGGCGACCCCCTGCCGCTGCAGTTTTCCGTGCGCTGGTTCCCCACGCCCGCGCTGCCCAAGACGGAGGGCAAGGTCGAGTGGCAGGGCGTGGGCGGCCACGTCTACGCGAGCACCGTCTTCTACAGCATGGTGTCGTTTGGCGCGGGCGTGTGTCTGGCCGGCATGTACACCATGGGCGTGGTGCTGCCGCGGAGGCTGAGGAACAGGGCGCTCGGAGGAGCGACGCCGTTGGGCTACGGCTTGGGCAACGGCGTGGGCAACGGCTGGGGCTACGCATCCAAGAGGATAGACTGAGTAAGGGAGGGAGTGTTCCGGGCATCTATGACGACATGTATGACTTTGCGGCGTTGTTTGGCTCTGTAAGACTATTGTGCTGGACACCCTGGCATAGAAGACATTGATATCATTTGCTGCGCATGACATGAGCTATCTTTACCGCGGGTGCGGAATTTAATTACCAAACTACTTTCACCACGTCTTTGCCTTGTGTGCTTCTTGCCGCTGGAAGCGGAGAAGAATGCGTGTGTACATGTCCACGGCGATGATGGCAGCTGGTCGAAGTTAGCATATAAGCGCAAATGACTCGACTCGACGAGTCGGAGAGCAAAAGGGGGGGGGATCCTCACGAATGATTGCGAACGGGAGATATGTAAACCAAAACAGCGACGACTTCTTCTTCGCCGACAGCTTGATGAAGCTCATGCTCCACAGCTCGGCGCAACACGCGACGGAGCCCATAAACGTGAGGCACGAAAACACAAGGGCGGCGAGCTCGACAAAGACGGAGGTGCGGCGCCAGCGGGACGACGACAGGCGCCAGACGAGGTAGACGGCGAGGGGGAACTGGACGAAGAGCTCGACCCAGAGGAAGGCCTGGAGCCAGGGGGAGTGGGGCGCCGCGGTGGGCGTGACGCTGAAGAAGGGGTCGCCGGTCTTGCGGATGTACAGGCGCCGGATGGCGATGAGGAAGTGCAGCGGCGCGGAGGACCGGGCGTAGAGGAACTTGGGGTAGAAGGCGACGAGGTCAAGGACTAGTCACGGCGCGTCAGTACAGCTTTGTCATAGAGATTTAGATGTTGGCCTGTGAGGAGGGGGTGGTGCGGACGTCGTTGGGCGACGGCGGATGGCCGGGACTCACAGATCATGCCGAGGAGCTGGATCGAAATGATGCCCAGGTACGCCCAGTCGCGGCGGTACTTTGACGACATCGCGAAGGGAGCTTCCGCCGATGGCGACTGCTGAAATGATGTCAGCGAGGGGATTGATGACAGGAATACAATGGACAGTCCCGGATTGAGTCGAGGTTGAGGGCTGGAGGATGAGAGGCGAGATTGTGGTGAGTGGAGTGAGATCGAAAAAGTCCGGGGGTTCGTCGTCGCTGGTGGGGCTCCCCTGTCAGTCTTGGGTGTGAATTGTTTGTGAGACTGAGACTTTCCGAAGTTGACCACTCAAGACGATCGCAACGCGGGTCCCCTTTCGTATAAATATCTCACATGGTGGCGCATCCAAGGCTCGTCTACATTTTCCCGTTCATGCATTGTTCTGCACTCGATTGGGCATGCAGGCCTTTGTTCGTCGGCCATTCACTTACGCAAGGGGCTGCTGGGACACCCGGTCTTTCACGCTCCGTCGTGCCCGCTCCGATCGCCGCGAATTCGAGCACTGAACGGACTGACCAAAAACAGCATTGTGCTTTCTGCACCTTGTACTCTACACGAGTGATTGTATTGATTGGGTGCAAGAACGACTTAGGGTCACTACTCGTCGCACATGGTTGTATGACGCCCTCCGGCTTGAACGTCACAGGGTGTAAGCCTACATGTAGGTAAACACTGAAAGGCCTCGAACAGCAGCGACACGGGGTCTAACGTCCGTCTTCCGTCTACTTCATCCTTTTCATCTGCCCGTAGTACCAAGACTAGATAAGAAAGGCAGCGTCAGCAAAATTCGCATACAAATGGGTGTCGGGGAACATTACGCTCTCGACGCCAGCGCCCAAGGCCTTGACGCCCAGATACTTGACAATCCAGGGTATGGCAATGTGCTTGGTCGCAACCCGCGCCTCGTCGTCGGATACATCGCGATTGAGGATCGTGGCATTTGGTAATGACGGCCGCAGGATCGCTGGTCTGGCCAAGCCGACCAAGTCGCAAGAGCCTTCGGCGATGGCTGCCTCCATGCCCCGTCGCGTGCGAAAGCCGCCCGTTACCATGAGCACCGTAGTTGGCAACGCTTTTCGGATGGCCTTGGCAAACTCTAGGAAGAAGGCCTCGCGTGCAAGTGTCTTTTCTGACTTTTCGTGGACTTGGGGACCGTCTCCCACAAACTGCGGCCAAGCCATCAGCTGGCATTGATCTTGCCAAGGGTACATGTACAACGGTACAGAAGGGGTGACTTACAACTGGATTCTCGTAGGACCCTCCGCTGACTTCCATGAAATCCACGCCTGCAGCGGCAATGGCCTTGGCTTGCTCGAGCACGTCCTGCAGCTCGCTCGACGACGCGGGGTCCACGGCCGCTTGGTGGTCCACCGAGTTGAGCTTGACGCCGATGCAGAAGTTGGGTGGCACGACGGCGCGCACTGCGTGGATAATGTCAACGACGAGGGTGGCTCGCTGCGCTGCTCCTCCGCCGTACTTGTCCGTGCGAAGGTTAGTCTTTGCAGATAAGAACTGCGCCAGCAGGTACCCGTGCGCAGCGTGGATCTGGACGCCGTCAAAGCCGGCTTGAGAGGCAAGTCTCGCAGCGCTTGCGAACCTCTGCACAACATCCTCGATGTCTTGGACCGTCATCTCGCGCGGCGTGCCAAAGATCAAGGACGCTAGGGTCCTTTGTGTGAGGCTCGAGCCAAAGTCCATCGCGACGCTGCTCGGCGCCATGGTCTTTTCGAAGTAGCTCCTCTTGCCTGCCCTGATGGGAGACTGTCGGCCGGGATGGTTCAACTGTAAGATGGCTGGGGTTCCTTTGCTTTTGCACTTCTCGGCCAGCTTTCGGTATGCGGCGAGCGTCTTCTCCTCGGACACGCGGGTGGTGTCCATGGCGAGGTCCTCGCGCGCGCCGTAGTAACGCTGGTCGACTTGGACCGCGCCAGTCAACATTAGGCCCCATCCGCCGTCGGCCCAGGCGCTGTAGAGGCGGTGGAATTGGGTCGAGGTTGGCAGGCCATCGCAATCGGCCAGTTGCTCGGTCGTAGCTGCCTTGACCAAGCGGTTTTGCAACGCGAGACCGCATGGCAGCGTCAAAGGCCGATCAAGATGTAGGTCGCCCATGGTGATGCCCTGAATTGGATGTTATGATTCTATGGATACCACCCTGAGAAAAGATGATAATGTACTCGAGACGCTGGGAGAGGCCATATTTATCTTCACCACTTGAGTCGAAGGTGAGAACAGCGCCTGAAGTCGTCCAGCGGACTTAAGGTACGGCTCGCGCTCTGGCTCGCGATCGGAAATCGTAATTACGTGCCATTCTCAGGTCATAAAGCACTCTACATGGCTTAAAATATCTGAAGCAACTCCAAACGAACTGGGTTCGGCGAGCAACGTGAAGGCAGCTCATTCGAAGACACGCTCGCAAGCTGTGACAAGTGGTCGGCATGGATGAACGCAATGCCCGACTTCGATGAGGTCGGGCTCAAGTTGTGCCGCTTGAAGCAGGCTACAACATGATATCGCGATGTTTGCGGATGTTGTCGTCGTCGCGTGGCTGCTGTGCTCAAACTCCGCTAGGCGGAGATTCCGGCATTGATCCGCTGATTATTCTCCCGTAGTCCGTTCAGCCTCACAACCTCGGTTACGCTGGATCCAATCCGAGTTATCTGTCCAAAACACCAAAAAAGAGGAATGAGTTTGCTTGAGAGTGACGAATGTACAAGGCTCCAGCTTTGGTTGAAGAGTCACCGTTGCTCGATGCGTGGCGCAGACGTAGGCGACAGCATAGATCCTGGTCTCGTCTAGTCACTGTAGTGTGCTCTTCGCAGCCTCGACAGGCAGCAGTTATTGACAAAATGCCACTTCTACCCCGCTAACCTCCTCAATCACCAAGCCATCGTCACTCATTTCTCAGACTGGTACCCTCAGCATTGCAGCATCCGTCGACATGCCCTTGACCCACGCTTTTGCTACCAAAGGCCTCGCCATCTACGTCGACAACCCGCAGTCCAGCTACAAGCCCGGCGACACCATCACTGGCCGAGTTGTCCGCCAGGTCCCCGTGGCCGTCGGCGCCGACCGTGTCACCATCACGATACATCTAACGGGCAACGCCGCCGCAAAATTGGTGGAATGGAGCGACCACATCGGCGAGAGCCAGAGAAGCTACCACTCATCCTTCCGTCTGGTCAACTCGGACGACACACGTGTCCAGCTCCACGACGGGCCGCTTGACATTCCACGGACAGTCGAGGGCTTGTCCATAGACCGTATCGACAACCTAGACAAGCAAGATCAGACGATTGGCCGCTCGTGGCCGTTTTCAATCACGATTCCACGGCAGACGGCAGCAGGCAATGTCCAGGAGAGCAGGGCCGACATTACACCCTTTGTTCCAGTGGATAAGAGCGGCTACGTTCCGTCGCACCCGCTGCCATCGAGCTCTTGGCGGGGTCGGGAGGAGACGGGCCCTGGGCAATTCGAGAGCGGCTTCATTGAGTATTACTTGAGGGCGACCTTGAGTGCGGCCCATGGTGGCAGCGGATCAGAGGCCATTTATCTCATAGAAATCGGAACGTGAGAACAACACGGCAGTTCTGTCGGATCGTCGCACGAGCGACATAAGGTAGCAATGGGCAGTTTCGTTTGCCTCTATTGCTTGTTTGGCGGCTAAGGCGTGCCAGTATGCTCGTCTTATTACAGCCAACGTTCATGTTTGTCAAGGACGCGAGCAGATGCGCCCTGTCAAGTCCATACCAGCTTCGAGCGCGATTGCGGCAGTACAATCCCAAAGCCAAAGCAATCATTCTTCAACAGTGAAAATCCACCATGATGGTGTCCTCCCAGTCGCCGCTCTTCCTTGCTGTCAAGTACGCCCTGGAAGGTATAAAGCTATCCTTGATGCCGGTCTTGTCACGGAATTCGTCCAGGGCCACCCCCCAGACAGCGCCAACGTTGCGATTGTGCATCGCAGAAACGCCCTTTGGGAAGCTTGCCTTGAAATGGCTGATCTCGGAAGTCTCGTCCTGACCGTCCTTCTTTATTTGTTCGTCCACCACGGCAGCGAGCGTGTCGCGTGCATTAGCCGTGAAGGGGACGGGCGCGGGAAGGCAGGGGAAGGGTGAGGATGGTCGCATGAAGGTGACGCAGCAATAATCCGCGACGCCTGCATCAGAGCACCGGCCAGAGACCTCAAAGTACGTGTAGGAGTCGTACTGGCCGCTGCTGAGGTCGGAGGGGCAGTCGAAGGTGTCTTGCTGCGCAAAGGCAATGCCCATCAGGGAGATGAGTGCCGCGGCGGTGGCAAAGGCAAACATGGCGTCGGGCTGTCGAACGGATGCAAGTTGGCGATGGCAATGGCACGAAAGCGTCCGCGGGAGCATGCAAACTGGTACGAAAGGCCAGATAGATCGAAGTTCTTTCTGACTGGAACTTTATACTCCTACGCAAAGAACGTGAACTCGTCAATGTCCGCATTTGCAGTGAATCACAGCACTGTAACGTTCAGTCCAGACGTCGCATGATGATCCGAACTCTATGTCGGCAACTCAACTTTGCAATGGCTTTGGCATCATAGAATAAATGGCCTTCTTCGAGCTCCTGGTGAATATTGTCACTACAGTGCTTCTTCTGCACAACACTGGAAAACATTGAATGCGCATCGACAACTTCGACAGTGACAGTTCACGTGGCTATCGCCTAACGCGACGACGGCAGGTGTCTCAGGTACCGTTGCTTTCGGACCATCTGGCTGCTAGCTAATAATAGTGACTGGACAGTCACACAACGTACGAAATGACCACTCCCTCTTGTATTCACCGACAACTTCAGCTGGCAGCATCACCAAGGGCAAGAGCAAAACACAAGACTGGTCCGGGTGTGATTACGCATGGGCGGGTGTGGCTCGAGCGAGGGCATTAAATTTAGTGGCGGCGCCGCACCCTCGATGTGAGCGGTCAAGGCGTGAGTAGGTCGGGGCCATCCAGGAACGGGCTGTGCTCGCCTTCGTGTGGCAGAACGCCATGTCTTGCCTACGGGATGGTGGCTTTGCCGCGCAGCGCAACGTTGACTGCACATCATCGGCCAAACGCGACGGCTACACGCTCTTCGGCACCGGAGCGTTCAACTTCATGCGTGAGTTTGGCGATGTGCAATTGCTGAAAACGTGTGGGTTTGTATATCGTCGCAGCAAGACATGCGTTGACCCTCACAGGAAGTTGCGGCTGCAGGGTGTATCAGCAGATCGGGAAGCCCAGAGTGCCAACAGCTTTCAGTGCGCTGGCTATGCGTGCAGAACAACGTGAAGGGAAAACCTTCCGCTGCGCATGAGACATGTGTCGAAGCGAGCTGCCGCTGTACCTCCAGCGTCTTACGGTTTTGCCGAGCCTTAAGCAAGCCATCGGACGTTGCCCTTGGGCCTAGCAGGTGAAGCGATCGCTAGCATAACTGTTCAGGCATACATGGCGAGCTTGGGGCTGCCTGACGAGATCAATGGCATCTGGTTGCAGCTGCCATTCGCTACATGTACGAGGACAGACGACCATCGTGGCTTCAGAAGCCGGACCCTCACCACATAGCCTCGTACGAGAGCGCTGTTCGGTGTATGCCGGCGCCAGACGGATTGCGACTAGGTGACTCGTACTGTGGGATACCGGCCAACCAACAGCAAAGCTTCATGACACGTCAAGCGGGCAGGCCCGCTCAAGCTGACCGCTGTGAGATCCAGGCCTCATGTTCTGTCGCTTCGCAACTTAGGCAAAATAACCGTGCATGGTGCTCCGAGGGCCTCGTCAGTGTCGGGCTTTCGGCTTGTCGGTCAGCTTTCGAGGCCATGCCGGTTCCGGTTCAGTTTTTAACGGCACGAAGCCGTTTACAGAGAAATGGAACGACTCCAAGCGGTTCAATGGTTCTGAGCGAGTCCAGAATGGGACAGGGCGACGCGGTGACGCGACACCGCAGCGCACAAGCCACGTTGTGCCGGCGTGGGCGCTATCGATTGAGGCCTCTCACGCTGGGACAAGGCCGCTGTGGTCGTGCACCGCCTGGTGTTGTGAGCCACTCACACGCTCTGGCAGATGCCGGCGCGGCACCATGACAAACGCATTGGCGGCTGTACCAGAGGACGGAAGGCAGGCAAGCGGAGTCCGGGCTCGGAGAGATGCGGGCGCTTATGCTTAACGCAAGGGTCACAGACTAAAGTAGAAACCACATCAGTTATCTGCGGGTCGTCGGAGACGCCGGACGGAGAGATGGCTCGGGGATTGGGCTTTTGTTTTGGGCTTCCGCTTTGGTGCCACTTTGGGGAGAACATTGGCGGGCCAGGACGAATAGCTCCGCTCGTGTGGTCTCGTATCCTGGCTGTATGGTCACAATGCTGGCTTACAACAGTCTCAACGAGCTCGGTAGAGAGGCAAAGACTCGGGCATTTTTCATTCTTTGCAGCAACCTTTAACATTTGCAAGTACGCACACCATCATGGAAGGTATTTTCCTAATTGAGAGCGACATGAAAACAATGTGCACATTGTCCTCAAGCACTCATTGTCACTTGTTCGTCCAGGCATGTCAACCTAAACGGGTCTAGCAACTGAGTTGCGGCTGAGGCCCATCCCGCTTTGCCCGCCCCTGGGCGTCCAGGTTCCCTTTCCCGAAAAGGAAACATGTCGAGTCGAGATCCAAACGGGGCCGGAGTTTGAGGCCAATTGGAGGCCTTGCCGTCTGCCACCTCACCCACGCCGACGGGGAGGCTGCGGTAGGGCAGACGTCCCAATAGTTGCCTGGGCTAAACGCTTCAGCTTCCACGAGCGTCCACCAGCCCTGCCGGGCGTGCCCTGAACGAGATTCGTCGGGCAACCTAGAGCAGCCACAATCAATATATTGCCCCATCCGGGGCCTCCACTCTAACCACGCGGGTGCCAGACTGGCGGTGCGATCTCGCGCGAGGAACACGGCAGTGCTCAGGCTGGCCCCAGGGCTCCCGGTCACCACGATGGCTTCGTGGGACTCCCAGCCGCAACTGGGCTGCGTGTAATGAGATCGGTGCGGGCAACTCGCAGGATTGCAAGCATGGCGTTGAAACTCAGCTGGGCCATTTAATCCTGTATAAAAGGAAGGGCACGTCCCCGATTACCAGATATTGAGACAGACAACCACCCCGCAAGAGTTCCCGAATAACGAGGCCTGCTCAAAGACTTCAATTGCCTGTTTCGAAGGACCAATTACCAAACACAGCCGTCAAAATGCAAGTCAAGCGTCTCGCTCTCTTCGCGGTCAGCGCCGCTGCCGCTGCCCTTCCCGCCGAGTCGGAGCCTTACTACGACGAGACGACCAACACTCTCTCGGAGCGTTCCGTCAAGAACGAGATCTTCGGCCGCACCACCAACCCCCAGGGCCAGGTCTGCAATGCCGACAACGCCCTCCGCAACCTGCGCGACGCCCGCTACAGCGTCAGCGCGAGCGCCTTCTGCTCGACCTGGATCCAGTCGACGGTGACCGACACCGACTACGCCGTCGCTACCACTTACAACACGGCGACTGTCACCCCTGAGGCTGCCACCATCACTGACCACGCTGTTGTGTAAGTCCAATCAAGCCCTTCAGGAACGCGCTATATAAAGTCCGGCTCTGACAACTTGCAGCGGCGCCACCGTGACCACGGGCACTGACACGGTCACGGTCTACACCACGATCCCCCCGGCCGGCCCGTACAAGCGCGGTGATGGTGCTTACCCGCCGTGGCTGTCCGCCAGCTACCCGGCCGAGCGTGTGAGCAGTGCTTGCTCGTGCTTCATCTCGTCGCCCTCGCCCGCGATTCACCAGACCGTTACCGTCACCACCTCGACTCAGACCCTCACCAACACGGTAAGCTTACATCCTCTCTTGAAAATGCCAATCCTAGCTGACACACCACTCAGGTGACTGGTGAGACGCCCACCACGACCATCACCGAGACCTCGACCAGCACGACCAACGTTGCCGCCACGGCCACGTCTGTCATCACCCGTCGCTGCGGCGTCGTCGGGTGCGGCAAGATCCTGTCCACCATTGAGGCCAGCCTCCAGTACAACACGCTCGCCGCCTGCAAGGCTCGCTGCCTGGCTGTTCCCAGCTGCAAGTCCTACTCCTTCGGCGGCCCTGGCCTGCCCATCTGCACCCTCGGCAAGGTCGCCGCGAAGGAGTTCTACTCTGAGCTCAGCCCCATCTTCCCCCAGTGCAAGCTGACCAAGCTCTACGATGCGACCTGCGGCCAGTAAATTTCCTGGTTCCTCGCATGCAAGAGCCGAATCTACGAGCCCACCGCAAATGGCTACGGTGGAGGGTAGTAAATGACTGCATGTAATTAGCGGGCGTGCCAATTCTGGTAGCGATCAAGTTACGAAGGTACACGAAATTAGACACGTGTGGAGGCATAGCGAATAGATAATAGTACTCGGACGTTCATTACGTTTACCAACACGGCCAATGCCATTTCAGAACCCATTGATGCTCTCCTGCAATTCTCTCACAGCGCAACCGCCACCTCTGTGGTGAAGTTGTAGAGGGGAATGTTGGCCCGATGTCTCATGCTTGAGTCGGCACGTGTATTCATGTTGGCTGTGTGAGGACATAACGCCCGCTTCGACTCAAGGCCAATGACGCACGGCGCGGCTCGAGGCTCAAGGACTAGACAGCGACTCGTGGTCACCGACGAACACGTCACAAGCTGATGTGCCCAACAGTGAGGCAGCTTGTAACAGCAGGCTAGGAGCGCTCGTAAACTTCGTCCGGCAACAACATCCATCTTGAGACATAGTCTCTCGGGCAGTCATGTCATAATCGGTGCGTACCTGCTACCGGCTATTTTCTGGTGAGCACCTTGTATAGCGCTCGTCAATTGTTACGGGGCCTAATTGACAAATGCCCCCGAGGCTCCGGGTCAGATTGTCTATTAGCAAACAATTAGGAGTAGGTGAGGGCGGGCCTTTGGATGATCGCTGCACATTACGTGAATCTCGCCTACATGACAGACACTCAACTGCCGTCGTCTGACAATTGGATTGAATCGCAATCCCTTTATAAGAGATGGCGCGGCCAAGCCGACGTACGACTCGTTTCGTTGAATTGCCACCGTGATTCAAGGCATAAAACTCTGGAGTTTGACAGTACCTCTCGATCAGGGACCCTCGTCCAAGCCACGACAACATGAAGCTCACCGTCGCTATTTGCTCCCTAGCTGTCTTAGCCACGGCGCTGCCGCAGCCAAAGAATCCGAACTTCGGAGAACCACAGCTAGGCGAGGGCCAACATCGCAAACCTCATGGACACATGGTGCGGGATATCAAAGACGCAAAGTTCGGCCAGCCAGTGATCCCGCGTTACATCCCCCCGGACGAATACTATCGTCGAGACACCGACATCGCAGACGCCGAGTCTCGTGGCCGCCAGGGTGGTTCGAGCGGTTCGGGCCACGGAGACGGGAAGCCAAAGAATCCAAAGCTTGGCCTGCCAGCAATTCAGAGTTACATACCCCCCAAGGAATACTATCGTCGGGGTAACGGAGATCCTCAGCTTGGGGAGTCGCCGTCAAAGGGCGATCCAGCATTGGGCCAAGGTACCCAGGGTCCGCACCCGCGGTATGACTTGCCGCCTCCTTACGAGCGAGGTCGCCACCCGCCGCGCGACATCAAAAAGCCGAGGGTCTGCTTGCATGGGGAAGGCTGTCAATAATCTACGGTTAGGGTACGTGTGGGTGAGATGGGACGCAGCTTGCCACCTACAGTCCCTCATCGGAGACGCACGACTTCAAGTACACAACCAGTGCCGCGAAGGGGACATGTTAGGGCGAATGGTCAATAGACGGACTACGGGAGAAAATTGAGTTGTAATTATGCAAGAACAGAGAAGAAAGTCCCATACCACAGCAAGCGTGCAGCAGTTGACAACGTGGCCGTTCCAGCTGTACATGCTTCGCCTCACATGGCACGCCCGTAGAAGCGCTCTCTCTAATGTACTCTTACATGATGTCCCGCGGGACTTCACCGAATTTATCACGCCGATGGCATTCGACATCAGACCCTCTGCGTTGTAGCTTCTCAGAAGTAGGGCGTTGCAGTTAGGCTACGGACGCACAGCCGACCACGACCCGAGCCTCCCGTGTGCCTTTCCACCACGAGAAGTGCGGTACTTCATAAACCTGCTAAACATGCTCTTTGTTGCCTGAGCGAGCCCATGGCTATACATTCGCTCCATGCAGGGCTCCACCAGCTAGACGACACGAGCTGCAAGGGATAAGGCGCGGATCCGCGGAACGCCTGGAGCCTTTGCAAGCGAGCAATCCACAGTCCCGAGAATTCCGGTCCTTGTTTGGCATCTTGAGAATAGTGTGGGACCCCGACCGCAGCCACTTGAAAGTCGTTTGCACGTTGCATACATGTGCAATGCCTGTTCCACCTACATGGACCAGCCCATGACGGGAGGAGTTGGCAGTGTCACCTCCGGAATCGGTCCATAGAACAACTCAGGCCAAAAGTCCATGTCCATATCTTCCAGGCTCACGTCCCCCCACTGATTCGCCGTTAGAGCTTGAGCCGGTCGCGCGCCTGAGGTTCGTGGTTGTTGTTGCTGATGGGGCATGTCGCTGTGCGAGATCTTGGAAAGGTACCATTGCCGAACCCACCGCAGCCTAAAGGTATACATGCAAGGGGCGTTCTCGGTATCCTCTTGCGGCCGACGGCGTCTGCCGGCGCCTTGAGCCCACCGGTCGGCTTGCTCAAACAAGTCTGCGATCCGGTCCAAGGCGGCGGCAAAGTCGAGTTTTCGCCGAGCAGGAGCTGAATCCCAGTCGTTTGAAACCTCCAGGAGCAAAAGGCGAGACGTGGTCACCACAACGAGAGCAAGCAGAGCATTTGCGGTGAGTGGCAGCAGCGGCAGCTGCGTCGACGGAATCGCTTGTAGGGAACCAAAGAAATCTGCGGCAGATTCCAGGCATTTCCACAAGGACTCCGTTCTCTGGAACGTCTCTGATGAGAAGGTATCCGAGCTGGATGCTGGGGATACTCGCATCGAAATGATCGGCTCGTACAGGCGCATGACCAGCCCGTGATAGTACGCCCAAAAGACATCTAGAACATATATCAGCAATCTTGCCTCCGCCCCTTACGTACGGTGCCTTGCTCACTGTTATGGCTGACAAAGGCGGGCTGGCTGTGAGCAAACCTGTCAAGTTCAGCACGGAGACTCTTTATGGCCATTTCCAGAGGCGGGCGGTAAACGCTGTTGTCCCTGTCGCCCGTCCCAGTAGGGGGCAAGAACCCAGAAACCCTGTCGGAAATGCACTGCATTCGCACCAGCGCCACGGCATACATGTCGCCTTCGTACTCCCGGGCGTCGAGAAGAGAGTCGCAGCACTGGCTCAGGTAATGGTTCCAAGGCAGCTGGGCACCACGGCGGAATAGCAGAGACACGCTTCTTCGAGATCAGCCTTGCACGCATTGAAGATGAGAGTTTGTCTTACATGGACGAAAAGTGGTAGAAGCCCAGGACGGCGCGTTTCTCTGCAAGCGTGTGCGGCACTCCCAGGCGGTATGGCGCGCCTTTGTTAAGGGCTGTCCAGGTCTCTCCGAGCAGCGACTTCGGCATGACACCGGTCGTGTCGGGGGACTTGTCCAATCTCAGGTCAATGACGAGTGACATTGCCAACTGCAGAAAGTTGGTCGCATCCGAGTAAACGTAGTAATGGTAATCGCTCCTACATGTAGGTTCGATCGAGTCAGCCTTGTTCCCGAGGTCGCGGTCCATCAAAGGGCGCTGGTGGATTCGTCTTGGCTCTTGTGCAACAACATACCATGCCATATGTAGCAGCAGAGTCTGAAGCAGTTGAAGCGATTTCTCTTGTTTGACAATCATGTGCTCGGCTATGTATTGTCGTAGCCACTTGCGCACCTCTTCCTGGATTGCCAGAGATTGGGGCGCCACCGCGGCCATGGTGACCCAAAACAGTGACGGGGATTGGGAGTATAGCGCATGAGCATCCATACTCGGCGGGATGACAACAAACGGGAAGTTTGGCATCAGTTCCGTTTGGTAGATTTCGAGGTACGCCGTCGCCTGCTCGCCCGTAAGCGAGAAGCCCGGAAACAGTCTGTACATTGCAGACAGGTCCTCCACGTCGCGTCCCAACGGTTCTCTTGAGTTCGCATTATTTGGGCGGACGGCCTCACGTGGGCTCTCGCGGGGTTCCTTCGACGGTTCGGGCGGCGTAGGAGACATGCTACTGGCTTGCAGATGCCTGTGGGCGGCGAGAAGCGACACGATGCCATCGAGCTTCTCTTCGAGTTGTGCTACACGCCTGCTAGTGGTCAGCGTCTACCCTCATAGAGCTTTGAAGTCGCGCGCATACGTTGATTTGCCCCTTTTGCGCTTCTGGGTTGCAGCCGGGACGTGGCATGAGAACTTCATACGGGCACAGCTGGGTGAATGGGTGTTAGTCTAAAGGCGACATGCCGGACCGGGGCGCAACGAACCGCAGGCAGGCAGCATCTGGATTCCCGTTTCCGTATTCCGGCCATCGGCACTTGATCTTGAGCCGCGCACAGTTGGCGCACGCCCGAGGCTTCGCACCTCCTCCGTCTGGGCCGGTCCGGCTCATGCTGTGAGCCTCGTGATCCGTGTCCATGGCGCCGACGCGATGGCGATTTGCGCAGTCGAACGCTCAAGTTCAAGCTGGACTCTTCGTCATGTACTCGACGATCGGGCTCCGGTCGTCTCTCACGCGTTCGACGGCCACTTTGCTTCCTGACAGTTGACAAACGTGATAACGGGACCGGCGTTGGATGACATCGGCTGAGGCGGAAGCCCGGGGCCCGGAGTCTTGTTAGGGGCCGATCCTGGGCAGGTCTTGATTGGTCAAGCCACCCGACGTGGACCGGTCGGCCGCCATTTTATCTCCCGACTCCGGTCTCAAAGTCAGCCAACCATGCCCGGTGGCTCCATACCAGCCAGATACCTGCGGCGGCACAGTCGTCGGACAACGGACGGCCGACATCACAGTGCCTGTCATTTGCCGGCAACATGGCCTCCACACTGGCAGCGGGCGGCTGCAGTCGTACGGGCGCTCCACCTGCACCTACATGCAGCACTTGGAGCATACTTGCAGCTTGAGCGGGGACAACAGAAGCCGGTGCTACTGACAACTGCCGATAGGGCATCCCGCGTGCCGGGTTCACCCCTACATACACCTACGTATGGGATGGTGTGGCGCGAGAGCTGCGGCAGCGGCGTGGTTGGGGCGGGACGAGCCGCGCACTTCTCCCGAGCCCATGCAGCTCACAGGGCCTCTACGAAGTACACGCCACGCTTGGACCGGGGACGGCGTCAAGCGACGGCGTACTGTGTACGAAGTACCTGCAGTAGGTAGCCGTCTTGCACGCAGGAGGGTGTGTACGGTTTCGGAATGCTGCACGCCGCGAGCCCCGTACTGTACTGTCCGAACAAGTACTGGTGCAGCATATACCCATGTGTTTGCTATAAGCTGTGTACCGAGTACGCTGTATTACGAAAAGTCGTGCGCCCGCCTCCGTTAATGGACGAACGGTGGACGCCACGATAAGCTTCCCCAGCTAGTCGCCCGTTGTATTGCGTTCTGAGCTCTCGACAATCCGCTGGTCTCAGTTCTCTGGGTTCTCGACGGATTCGACCCAATTGGATTGGCCGATGTTCTGACACCACCCGTGGCTATCCGCCGACCTCATCTCAGACATTGCCTCAGCCCCCAACGCGTGCTGCTGCAGCTGCAACCACCAATTGCTGTCACATTCCGCAGCACTCCACGCTGCAAGCCTCCCCCGGAGAGGATGAGAGGCTGCCTGCGAAGGCAAAAGGGCGGCTTTGAAGTCGCCCCCAGAAACAAAGTTCTACGCTCCCAACTATGGCCACCTGTTGGATGCACATGTTTCGCTCCCCGGGATACCCCGGAGCATGGAATTCCAACGACACAGCCACAGCGTTGAAGAGTGGGTGTAGACAAAAGTGACTGCTCGTCATCAAAGACTCGGCGAATGCCTTGTTCGTCTCGTTGTCGGCGAGACGACCACGCAAGGAGGGGCGAGAACGTCAGATGATTCTCGCTTTCGCTAGCGAGTGGAAGAGACCGGAGACAGTTGAGGGCTGATGGAGCGCCGCTCATGACGAGAGTGGCGGCGGACAGACCAATGCGGTAAGAAGATATCGAAAGATGGCGTCTCGGAAGGTGGCCGCGATCTCTGCCCCTCCGTCACCAGGCCGAGTCAGCTCATCCCCCTTGATGCCATGCAGGAATGATTGTCAGCTCCAGTGTCTACCCTGGACGCCCGTCGCCGGAGCACCGGCCCCACTCGGGGTCGGCCGGAATTGTGGGGCGCCGCGGATCGGTCCGCGTCCTGATTCGGAAGGGGCCCGGACTTGCAGGCGTGCTCATGCTGATGTCGCCCCTCGAGGGGTAAGGAGGGAATAATGTTCGAATTCTCAAGTAGCTGCCTGCTAGCGGCTCAGTATGTACAGTGTCCGCCTATCTGCAGGGCGGCTGAAGCGCTTTATGTGCGCCGCCATAGATACCATGCCTCGTCAGGGCCAAATAGATGCACCAGACCGCACCAAATGAAACCAATGCTCCCCCCACGCCAGATGATGAGACCCAAGCACAATGCTTTCCCAGATGCACAGTAGGATATTCACTCCTCCCAGTCAATGAGCGCCCACAAGGCGACAGAAATTATGCCCTTCAGCTATCCCAGATAGCCCCATACGCGGGAATGCCCCGCGTCTCCAGGCCGTATACGACCTTTTTGGTGATCTTTTCGTTTGCGATGATGATGACGGCCTCAGCGCCAAACTCTTTCGCAAGGTTGTATCCCATCTTGACGAGGTCAGGCCGGCCCTTGATCTTCGTGTCGTGGATAACCGCATCCGGGATTGTCTTGAAGATGGTGTCGAGCAAGGCCTTGCCGAACGTCTTTTCAGGATTCGGTGTTGACCAGATGAGTTGCGTCGGGCAGCTGGGCTGGCTGATGTGTCCAAGAAGCGGCCCGATACCAGAACCGGTGGCGATGACCACGACGCGGTTGAAAAGGGTGGCAATGCGCATGACGCCGCAGGTAGGTACGCCGCGGACCCAGAGCTTGGTGGGTGGGTTGCGGATGCACGACTTGGTCCAATCGCCCGCGTTGGAGACGACAAGAGAGTACCCCCTTTGGCTCGTAAGCTCGTTCGCCTGCGGCTGTGGGATAGTCGCGAACGAGTGCCACTCCAGCAGAGGCCGCCTCGAGATGCGTGTGAAGCTGCCGTTCACCGGGAAAGTGTAGCCAAAGTTAAGCATGATGGCATGATCCGACAGCGGAATGGATTCGACGTCGACCTTGCGAAGCCAGAACCACGAGGAGGCAATGCTGCAGGTTGCAATTCCGAGCATCCAGAAGCCAGGGCTGTGGACGAGCGCAATGCCGAGGTCCTCGCCCGCGGGCGTGGCGTCGTAGACGGACAGGATAGTGCGAATCCAGAACAGAGCCAGGGCGGTCCAGCCGAGGAAGCGGTGAAGACGCTCAAAGGTGTTGTGATACTTCTTGCGGAAGGTCGGGTATGCAAAGCCCACAATGGTGCAGCAGAGCAGCGACAACACCCAGGAGACGAAGATGGATGCGGGCGAGTCCGTGGTGTTCTTTTGCGCGTATGCGATCGTCGACCGGACCGTAGATGCCAGCAGCCAAGCAGTTGCGCACACGCCTGCGCCCGAGTGAACGCCTCCGAGGTGGTAGATCTTGGCGCATCGGCGACGGATAGCCAAAGGCGCCGCCTTGGGCACGGAGCAGAAGATGGTGTAGAGAACATTGATGACCATGTCCTGGCGGACGAGCACCGCCGTGACGAGGTTGGCAGCCGTGAGGGTGCCGAGCCATTCCGGTCCGGCATGCAGCAGAAGAAGGGCAATGAGCGCGCCGATGTTGACGATGCCAATGAAGCTGAACAAGGTGCGATAGACAATGAGGATCCTGTGTCGCAGACCGCGGAAGGGCTGCGGAACACCCTTGTCGGGAATCTCCTTGGAGAGATCGAACTTCTCCGGATCGGCAGTGAGGGTCGAGGTCGAGGAGATGGAGCGCGTCTCCACCAATGTTCCGCAGTCGCTGGCGGTCTTCTCGGGGGACTCGGGCCGCTCAGGTTCCAGAGCAAGGGCCCGGAGCGCCTTCTTGTCAATCTTGCCGTTGGGGGTGGTGGGGAATTCGTCGAGCTGGTGGACCTTGGTCGGGATGGCGTAGTACGGCTGCAGCTTGCGTGCGTGCTGGAGAACAGATTCGATGTCTTGTTTTGACGGGACGATGAAGCCGTGAATGTCTCCGTCGATCAGGAGCGCCGTGGCGCGAGTGACCCCCGGCGCGGATGCCAGCGACGAGGAGACACCATCGAGTTCCACACGGAATCCCTGATTCAAAAGGGGTGAGCGGGCGTTCATAGATATGACTCGAAGTCATCGCCGGGGCAGGCGGACAGGGGTTGAGGGGACGAGACGTCAGTCACTAGGGCAACTCGACTCACCTTGACTTTAACCTGGTCGTCGCAGCGCCCTAGAATGTCAATGTTCCCGTCGTGTCTCCACTGGCCCAGATCCCCGGTACAGTACATGTGCGATCTGGTGAGACATCCCTCTGTTAGCCCGGTACCGGCGAGCTGGAGCGCTCGGATCTCTCACAAACTTACCCGTCGCCAGCGAATTTGTCAGGAATGTAGGCCTCCTTTGTCTTGGATTCGAGCCCCACGTAGCCACGAGTGACGCCGTGGCCCCCAGCCCACATGACGCCAGCAACGCCGACAGGAACCGGGTCGCTCTTCTCGTCGAGGACGTAGACGGTGTTGTTTGGTGTGGGCCGGCCGATGGACGTCGGCTCGCCGGGGATATGCTTGGACATGGTGTTGACGATGGTCGTCTCGGTAGGGCCACAGCAGTTCCAGTAGGTGGCATGCGTGGCCCAGAGATCGGCCAGGTCCTGGGAGGTAGGCTCGCCGGCCGTGGCGACGACCTTGATCTTCGGGTACACGGAGGGGTGGTACTTGGACAGGATGGTTGGTGTGCAGATGAGGACGTCGAGCTGTACATGGTGCATCAGGAGTCAGTGGGTTGCGACAGATGTAGTGTGATATAAGGCGCGATGCATGGGAAGGCTGGGATAGGACAAGACGAGATCCTGTCATGGAACAGTAGGACCAGATTTGGGGGCCTTGACAGTATGAGCCGTGAACTTACCTCCCGGATGGTGGGCTCCCACTTGGAACCCCGGACAACAAGGGTGCCACCATTGCACAGACATGCAAAGATCTCCCACGCGGCTATGTTACAGTCAGCAGGGGTCCATCTCGCGCACCGCACAACATGATCGTGAAATTGAGCATGCAAGGGCAAGGGCAAAGAGGTATCCAGGGTCATTGAGGCTTACCCATGTCGAAACTTATATTGAGGACTTGCCCGACGGACATCCCTGGACGGACCCCTAGCCCTCCCGGGTAGAGACAGACCAGGTTGGCCACGTTTTTATGTGTGACATCGACGCCTTTGGGCTTCCCAGTAGTCCCTATGCGAAATGGGCGATAGCGTCAGTACGACGTTGCAAGCTGATGAGCAGGGGGGGCTCGTTCGATCTGAGCGGGCGCTGTATGAGACGCACCGGATGTGTAAATGACATAGCAGCCTGCATCGGGAGTCGCAAGATCGATCCAGTGGTCCGCGGCGAAGGCGCCGGTAGGGTAGTTGGCCATGCATTGGTCAATGAGCACGGGAGTGAGGCTAGGGAAGAGATTTCGGATTCGGTGCTCCGTCGAGGCGAGGCACAGGACGATTTCGCCTTCGGACTGTTCGACAACGTGCCGGACCGTCGAGTCTGGCACCACTCCGCCGTCGAGAGGAACGTACTGGGCGCCGCACGAGAGAATTGCCCAGATACCGACGACCATCTCCAGACCACGCTTGACGACGAGGGGTATCCTCTGATGCGGCTGCACGCCGAGGGCGCGAAGCCTCAAGGCAAGAATCTGAGCATGGCCGGCAAGTTCACGGTATGTCAACTCGCGGGGGACACCTGTGGAAAGATCGCGAACTGCTACGTAGGACGGGTATGTCGCGGCGTGGTGGTAGAAGGCGGCGGTGAGGGTCGGGAAGGGACAAGCGACTGTTTCACCTCGGGTGAAGGACTCGACGTCCCGCGGCGAGGGTTTCCTGGACACTGGGCCCATGACGGCCATGACGTCTAAGAGGATGAGGGTATGGGGGTAGGAGGAGAAGGATCAGACGGCAGGATGGAGGGGGAGGGCAGGCAGAGGGACCAAGGTCTAAAAGACCATAGCATATAAGAGCAGGGACGTTGACGGGAGGGAAGACCGAAAACCGTTGGATGATCCGTGCTCACTGCATGCTGCCTCGTGGCACAGCCGCGACGGGGAGCGGCTTTATATAGTTGTGCGAAGCTGTTCGAGGCGGAGGGCAGTTCCAGCCCAACCAGACGAGCCCTTTTGTCCCGGCAACCCTGACTACGGGCCGGGCGGGCGGGCGGGCGGCTCCATGTGAAGCACGAAGGAGGCGGACATGGGGAAGGCGGAGGTGCTCACTCGCGGCGAGGCGAGGCATGGGAGGTATGGTATGGGCAAGGCATGGCATGGCATGGCATGGCAGGGCAGCGCGCATGGCATGGCATGGGACTGGAGGGCATGGGATGGGGCCACCCGCCGCCGCCGCCGCCGCCGCCCCCGGGGCGCCGACATGGAGTGGACCGAACCCGCAGACGGACTACGTACGTACGGACGGGGCGAGCGACCTGCCTCACAAGCGCCGACTCCACGTCAGCGATAGTCCCTGGAGTCGACGCCGCCCGCAGCGCGCATGGCATGGTACCGTATGGTGCGGTACGGTTCGGCATGACAAGGGAAGAAGGGCAGGCCCGCAGGAAGGACGAGTCGCAGGCGAGAAAGCAAGGAAGCACGAGCAAACAGGGCAGCAAGGGCACGCGGGGGCAGGGCCGGGCATGAGCATGCATCAATGGGCTGCCAGCAGCCGGTGGTGGCCCAGTGTGAGCAGGCGGCCTCGGAGGGCATTGAGGCAAGGCGGGCAGGCGGCTCTGCCTGCTACAAACAGGCGACGGCGCCGTGGCAATAGGGCAGCGGCGGCAGCATGGCATGGCATGGGGGTAGGTCGGTCGGGTGTGGTTGTGGAGCATGCGAGCTTCGATTGCCGAGAGCACTTTGTGTGGCCGTACGTACGAAAAGCACAATAGAGCGCCGTGTTAGTTGTTGTCGCATTCCGGGAGCGGAGACCTTCCGGGGGGCGTGAATGGGGAGAAGGAGGGGAGGGGAGGGGGGTGTCCGCGTTGCGTCTCCTCCGTCTGCGTCTTGCGTCTGCCTTGCTGGCTTCGTCTAATTGTTGCGTGTGCGCGTGTCGTCCAACGACTCAACGTTGCAAGGGGATCCCTTGGAAGCTCCGACAGCCCTTCCCCTCTTACTCATCCTCCCTGCCCGCGCCAGGGGGCGTGGGTGGTGTGTGTGTGAGAGAGGGAAAGCATCGAGCAGGATGAAGCACAAGAGCATGACGAGGAGCAGAAGGAGGAGCAAGGCGGAGACGGGGGCGGGCGGACGGGCTGGCGGACGGGCGGCGGACGGAGGGGCGTGTGTCCCGTGTGTCTGGTCATGGTTGCGGTGGTCGGGCCAGCAGCCCAAGGGACCACGGCGACGGCGACGACGACGACGGGCTGAGGGCCAAGCCGGGGCACGTTGGAGGACAGACCCGGGCGGCCGATGAAGAGAAGGAAGAAAGGTACAAAGGGCCCGGGAGGAATGCCGTGTCTGGAGCCCGGAGGCCCCAAAGGGGAAAGCTGCGACTGTGTGTGTGCCAAAAGGAGCATCGAGCAACGACGATTGAAGCCACGCAGACGAGCAGCAGCTTGCTTGTAAACTGTACACACGGGTACTTTAGGGTTAGTGCTTGCTGACTCGTTCTTACGTAGAGGCAGGTTGCGCCCAGGCGGGCGTCCATTGTGAGACATTGCTCGAACCATGAGCTGCGCGAGAGAGCGAGTCGAGCGACGGAGCGAGATCGAAGAGGGCACGAACAAGTAATCCGGCGCCCCCGTCGGCGTCTCAGCCTGGCTGCTCCACCGCACGGGGACAAGGGTCTGGTGGTCGTCGAGGGTTTCTGTTGCACCGACCAGTGACCGAGAGTCCCACCTCGCCGGGACCACGGGAGCTGAGGTGCGTCTGCGGTGGCCGTGGTGGCGTGTTGAGCACGTATGTGAGCATGTACATTATACGCATGTCTGTACATACATACGTATGTGCGTGTGCGCTATGGATAGATGGGGGTCTTGAGGAGGCTTGGTGCTGTGCGTTGGGTGAGTCGCTTGCCAGGGACCGGCTCGATCATGCATTGTTAGCCTGCACGCTGACGATTCCCCAAGCACGAGGATGGAGCAGGGCGGCGCAAGAAGCTGCTGCTGCTGTTGCCGCTAGCAGCTGGAGCAGCTGCTCAACTCCAACGGACTCGCTCGCTCGACTGCGTGAGGGGAGGGGCTATGCATGCACGGCGAAAGATGGAGGGGCGTGCAGGTATGAGCCCAGCCCTGGACAGCGCAAGACCCAACGTACATGGAGTTGCAAGCATTCACGACAACCCGTCGGCCTGCTAGATTGTACGGATTGGTCGACGCACATGAAGGACAATTGTTGTTCATGTTGGGCAGTCTGCAGGCCGCGAGTGGATACGGCCGAGGCGGGTTTTTTTGCGTCCTGTCAGGTGCGCGTGAGTGTGTGTAATGCGAGCGAGCACTGTATTGTAGTGAGGCCTTTTGCTTGTGGGATGGCCGGGGGGTTTGAGCGTGACGGTGAGGTGAGGTGAGGGGAGGGGGGGAGGAGGTTGGACCTCGGCGCGGATTGACAGACAAGGGACCGGCGCCCGTTCTCATTGTTGAGAGTATGAGTTGAGTTTTGATCGTGAAGCCTGAGTTGAGGAAGAGCGAGCGCGGCAATCACACAATGACGATTGCATGAATGAATGAAAAGAATGAAGCTCGCCCACCCCCCGCGCGCCGGGCGTGTACTGGGGGCGATCCCGGCGAACTGGGCTCTACTGCTAGCTCGGCATCAGTTGTTTCTTTTTGCTGTTCGTTTTGGGTATGTGCATTGTCGCCAGACAGCCGTATGGTAATGGTATGGTGGGCTGTCAACTCACCCCGTTCCGTCAAGGCGCATAATCGTGCCTTGGATTTTTTGCTTTTTTCACTTCCTTTTTGGGCCAATGCCTTGGACCCGAGGAACCTCGATTTGCGCACCAGGAACGTCAATGATGGGGGTCATCATGGCTACTGTAATATACCAACATGAAGCTATCAGTCGTCACGTTGCGCGGGCTGTGCTGTGCTGTGCTGTGTTATGCTGACTCGGGAGAGCAACACAATATCACTTTCACTGCTTACAGCCCATCACCGTCGCTTTCCCGGTGGTGAGGCCATAAGCCAGCTGACTGACTGGAGTCGTGGAGCACCAACCGCCCGCACCGTCGCCCGCCCGCCCTCCCGGCCGCCCCAACGTGAACCCCCGAGACGCATGGAATGTGTGAGTCGAATCTGCCTCCCGGCCGGCACATGGCTTGCCCCATTCACGGCAGAGGGAGAGTCTCAACCGATCCACCCTCGACGTTGCCCACCGCCAGTTCGCGAAAAGCCAGCAGCACAGCGCTACGAAGCAACTACATGGCCGGCCCCCCGCTCAGGTCGGGTTGATCTCGCCGGGGGACCCATCTAAGAAGCCGGCTCCCCCGCTCGCCGTCCGTTCGCCGCCGCCCGCCCGCTCTTAGATGCTAGCTATCATTCCCTTTCCTCTGCCCGGAATACCAGACCGCGAGACTCTTGCACCGTTGTTGCCCGTTAGCCGCCACCGCTTCTCATTGGCGCCCTCCTCCTCGTCCGTTTTGCTGGCTTTACTACCAGAAGGTACGTACAAGGTGGTTCCGAAAACGAGAGACGCATCTCACACTTGCACAGTTCGTGCTGCCTCGTCCCCGCGCCGCCGCCGATACCTGACGCTACGCTACGCGCTCCGGGCCCCCGGACAGCTGATCACTGATTACCAACATGTCTGGATCTGACTCTGTTGCTGCTGGTCTCGTCCAAGCCACGTCACCCGTCGATGGCGTCAGGCTCCTCGCCCTGAACCGGTCCAGCAAGCGCAACGCGCTGTCCGGGCAGCTTATCGCCGAGTTTCTCGGCGCGCTGTCCACGGCGTCGACCGACCCGGGCGTCAAGGCCATCGTCATCACCGGCAACGGGCCCTTTTTCTGCGGTATGTACTTCCGAACGGCATGTAACACACACACACATACGGACAGACCCCGATATCTATCTACCTGCACGTAACACACGGTCTGCTGACACGGAACCATCTCTGGCACGCGCAACACAGCGGGCGCGGATCTCAACGACATCGCAGCCCTCGATTCGGCAGGTGCCCGATCGTGTCGCTACCTGGAGGATCTCTGCTCTGGCGTGGCAGCCGTCCGCAAGCCCGTGATCGCGGCCGTCAATGGCCCAGCGGTGAGACAGCGTCCCCTTTGAGCGAGCTGCATATGCCTCGACTCGAGAGGTTGCCTCGGGCTGACAGGGGGTGGTGTGGTGTCTCTTGCGCCGCTTGCAGCTTGGTGGCGGCTTTGAACTCGCGCTCATGGTAAGATTTTGATCACGATCCTGCAGCTGGTTGATGGGCTGCGTCTTGCGTGCTGCGCGCCGCCGCCTGACGCTCATGCTGCTGTCGCTCGCTGCTGATGCGGCGGCGCTCGCTCGCGCGCGCGCGCCTCGACGTGCACGCCCGCCGCCGCCCTATGCTGTGCTGCCCCCATGATACCGGAGAGAGGCTAATGCAACGCCCTTTCGCGACAACAGTGCGACCTGATTGTGGCGGCCAAGTCTGCCTACTTCGCCCTGCCCGAGACCCAGCGTGGCCTCATCCCCGGCGCTGGCGGCACGCAGCGGCTGACGGCCGCGGTTGGCAAGTACATGGTGAGTTCTTTTTTTTGCACTCCGTCTTCCTTGGTTTGACCTTGTTAGCCGCTGTTCTTCGCGGCGTCTGGAACCTTGCCCGCTTTGTATCCACCCGCTATCCCCGTGCCGTGTGGTGGTGGACCTACAAGTCTACTGCTGGTGCTGGTGCTTGGTGGTGGGTGCGTCGTTCTGTGCATATGCGGAGCAAGCAAGCAAGCAAGCAGCAGCGGGAGCAACAACACCAAGCATCATCCCATCACTGGGGGCCGCCAGACACGAGCTTGAGCCCGCCGCCGCCTCTAGTGCTGGACCCCCCCTCCCCTCCCCTCCCCAGCCTCTCGCCCCAGCGCTTCTCCGCACCCTGTGCTACTCGAGACTGAGACTGACGTGCGGGCTTTTTTTCTTCTTTCTGTTCCCTGTAGGCCATGCGAACCATCCTCCTCGGCAGGCCCATTGCGGCCGAAGAAGCCCTGTCATGCGGGCTGCTGTGCGACCTCGTGGACGACGGCGACCTGCTCCAGCATGCCATCAACGTCGGCGCCGGCCTGGGGGAGCGCGGGCCGGAGGCGCTGCAGTTTGCTAAAGAAGCCATATGCAGAGGTACGTCGGTCCAAATCTGTCTGTCTGTCGGTTCGGCCTTGGACTCCGATCTTCGTTTTTTACGTCTCTCCCGCCTCATGTTTTCATCTCCCGCTCCATCACGTTTTGCCGTTGAAAAACGCACACACAAAACTTGACTCGACGCTATCATCGAGTTTCCCTTCTTCTCCATCATCACCTGCACACATTTCACACAGCACAGCCCGCGTATTACCCAAAGCGGTATCCCCAACGAACGGCAACTGGACGGAACCCACAGCGCTAACACGAGAGTCCACCCCTCGACTCCCCCGCTTCCAATGGGGAGTCTGAGCGGTGGGCGTGTTCAATGGCAGCTGACGGCCTCTGCCGCGACGATCTCTTTGAGAGAAACCTCTACTACGCAACGTTCGGAACCGAGGAGAAGCGCAGAGGGGTCGACGACTTCCTGGCGAAGCGGAACAAGTCGGGCGGCAGCCGGGCCCAGCCACCCGGGGCCCCCAATTAGCTAGTGTTGAAGCACGAGGGGGGGCTGCACCTGCACGGCGTGCATGCGGTGGTGGTCTGGTGGCGGCCATGTTTGCGTTGTCAAGTTCATGTTGCAGGCTGCCTGCCAAGAGCACGGCCTGCGCTACGGCTGCATTGCCCTACCGTTGAAGAAATCCAGATGCAGCAGTGCGTTCGATCAGAGTTTAGGGCCGTGACCTGCTCAAAGAGGACACCATCTCCGCCGGACAGGAGGATGGGGGTTGCACATTGTTGCTCGCTTCCCCGGTTCGAGTGTGTATTGTGTCATGTGTATTGTGCCGTTACCAGCAAACGTTGAATATTCCGTAGCAACTAGCAGAATGCCAAGCAGGCGAGCGGGAGCAGCCAACCGACTCTTGAGACGCCTGTCTGTTCCGCAGACGGTTTGAATGGGTGACGATGCGTCCATGCAACTGGGTCACTCCCCCCGGCCGGCGTCGCAGGCAGGCCCCCCCCGGTGCGCAACGGCGGCACAACCCTGCCCTGTGGTCGACCCTGAATTATTCTTTCTTTCTATTCTTGACGCCGGGAATCGCCAGTTATTTGCAGGCTCGCCTGCGCGCGGGTTCCGCTTTCCCTCTGCATCGACCAACAGGCGAGCCCAGCGTCTTGAATGACACCCAGTGCTTGCGTCTCACGGCATAGCCGTCCCTGGGCAGAGGACGACCACGTGGCTGTGCTCAACACGGCCTGCGACCCAACAATGCATGGTTTGGCCATAACAGCAGGTACGTAAATAGCCTTCTGGCTGTGCAATGCAGCCTGTTGCTCAGAGTGTGTGTGCGCGAGTGCGTGTTGTGGAGGGGGCGGGCAGGGGGTCGGGGAACGGTTGGGGGCCGCATACTCAGTTACACACCCCCCCTTCACTGCCCTCGCCCCGACGTGCATCTGGGTGGGTGGGTTGCCTCGAGAGAGATCTCCATTGTCAACCGCCCTCCGTAATCGGGCTGGAATCGCCATTGGGATTGTTATCTATTCAGCACAATACGTGCAATCCATGCGCTCAACCGCGGCATGCGTCGCCCCTCATCAACAACAACACAACCCCTCTCTGCCTCGTCGTGGGTGTGAATAGGGCAGCTTACACGGGCGAAGGGGAACCGTAGAGGCAAGTCGTAACGGTTTGATCGGCCGTACGGAACTCGACCGCCGCGAAATGCCATTTGATCCTGCTGACTTTGCACAATGGCAGAGGAGAACATGGATCGTCGCTGCGGATCCATTCGTCGTCCTCCGAGCGTTGATTGAAGTCGGGCATCTGGTGGTCAAGATGGATGGATGAGGGAGGCCTGGACTCCGGTGGAGTGGTGTGTTTGCGACCCTCGAGCGTCCCAGTGACTGCCAGCGTCTGAGACATGGTCGTGTTGCCACGAGCTGCCGTAGATTGAACTCTCATGAGTTGGCATGTCGTCCGCGGACTCGACCGGCCCATCCGGAGCTATTGCCCGACGCCTCGGGTCGGGCAACCTGCGCTGGGGAGGGCTGAACTGTTCGCCGTCTCAATTCCTGTCGCCGCGACTACTGAAAGCTCCCTCGATGATCCTTGCCCCCGGACGAGGCGCCGAATTCAGGTCGCCCATTCACCCGGACCTCGCCGCCGGCTGGGTGCTGTTTCGTCACGCCGAAGCATCGTGGACCGCATTGGCATGCTGAGCGGTCGGTCACGTCGCAGATTCGACACAATGCAAGAAACCTTCAGCAACGGGGGCCACAGATCTTCGACCCGCGGAGTCCCCCCCGTCGACCTTCCCGGGCCGCCGTGGATCCTCGGATCCAGGCGGGACCCTGGGGACGGTGCCCTCAGTCCGTCCTCTAACCCGCCGCGTTTCATCCTTCGGGCATCAGTTTGACAGCTTGCAGATTGCTTCTCGACGCGCGATCGATATCGGAGCACATATGGGACGAGTAAACTGACTCGAGCTGCATGTGGCCAGTTATGCACCATGCGTCACAACTCGTGCGCGCCACGCTACGCTGCATGGCCCGATTGTGCCACGAGAGCGTGTCTCATCTGAGATACGTGACCCTCCAGTCATCATGACTTCCCTGCGACCGCCTCGAAAGAAAATAAATTCGCAGGCCACGCAAACACACCCTCCCTCGTCCATGCCAAAAGAAAACATAAACAGACCTCACCTCATCGCGCGCGCACAAGCCAGGGTTCGTGAGGAGGGGCAAGTGACATCGCCGCTCTGGAACGCGAAATCGGCTAATACGCCTCTGTCCACGTCGCCAGCAACCTGGCCCTCGGGATCGCGCGCAGCCCTCAAAGGAGGGCTGGATGTCTCTCTCTTAGTCTGCTTGGACGCCGATACATCACAGACACGATTCACGCCAGGGCGGCAAGATCGTCGACGCCACCAGAGCTGGGCGTCGGCCCCTTCAGATTTTCAGCTGTGCTGCTACGTGTTGTTGGCTTGCGTTTTCTTCAAAGACAGGATCCGAATATGACCTGTCAAAATAATATTCTGTTTTCTTCGGGTTGGGGAAAAAATGTACAGCGAATGTTACTCAAAGTCTCTCTGGCTACCACCAGACCAGACCGCATCACCAAACCCCGGGTCCCGATGAGGACACAACGCTAGCGAAGGAATGACGGAGAAGAAAAAGGAAGAGGGATGGTGGCAAAAGCAAGGTTGTCACGCTGAGAGTGCGTGTGCGAGTGAGCGAGCGGACGAGTCGAGTCGAGTCGAGGCTACGAGCTGTCTTGGGGTGGCGACAGCGCGGCATTAGATCTTATAAGAACCCTCATGTTGTATCCCTGGATAACATACAGCGGGCGTTGCTCCTGTTCCCTTTTCGCGCCGTAAAACAATCACATGTCTTTCTCACATCACTGCCTCCCAGATTCCACGCTGCTTGACGCGTCAAATGACCGTCTCTCCTTGATAAACTTGGGCCACGTGTTGGTGAGAACCAGGTACTTGATGCTCATCTCCGCGTCGTCAAACACGCCGTCGCTGAAGCCCTCGGGGATCTCGCCCCAGTAGCGAATCAGCTCAGCCGTGTCGTTGTGGCGTGGCGTGTCGTCAAAGGGCGTGGCGGGATCGGGTGAGCCCTTCTCGCCGTAGATGATGCGCGCCGCGGGCTCGAAGACGGCCTGCAGGTTCTTGAAGTCGGCTGAAGACAGGTTGACCTGGAACTCGGCGCTGTTGCTGCTGATAAAGTCCATGTAGATGCGCAGCGCGCTCTCGTAGCATTCGCGTGACAGCTTGTCCGTCGTGGTCGAGTCCTTCTCGCTCTCCGTCTTCTCCAGCGTCCGGTCAGAGTCTTTGCCGAGAACGAGATACGTCGCCCGCCACTCGCGGACCCGCGTCAGGAAGGCAATGTTCTCGCCGGAGAAGTCACGCAGCGCAGAGAAGTGCTGCAGAGGCTCGGGATTCTTGGCAAGCGTATGCTCCAGGGCATCCATGGTGAGGATACTGCCGCCCGAGCTGCTGACGGAGGCGGCCTTAGTCCGGCCCGCCCACGAAGACGCCGTGGTGCTGGAGTGAATCGACTTGGCCGCTCCGGCCGGAGCGCACTTCTGGCGAGACTCCCATCGGGCGATCGAGTCGAGAGTCTCTTGGCAAAGCACCCTCTGCTTGCGAACCTCCCAGCACGGCAGAAAGACGGTGAAGATCTCCAGGAACGTGATGGACAGCACAATCCTTCAAAGTGTGAGAAACAACGCCCGACGAGTCAGGGGCAAATCAGATGTTGTACTTACCACATGGGAGGAATAAAGTACTGGTTCACTGGTGCCATGCCAGGCACGTAAAGGGCAATCAGCCACATCGGCGCGGCATGGAGTCTACAATCAGTTAGTCAAATGGGATGAGCAGACTTCGTCATCCGATGAACATACCCCGAAAGGCAGCAGGCAATGGTCTGCGTGCGCCACCCCTGAGTGTCACGGAGGCCGCGAGATCGCCAGAGAATCATGGGCGCAACGATCCAAGCCCAGAAAAGCTGCCAGAAGACCGACGGCCACCACTCCCAGCCGCGGCCCTGAGCCGTCTTTTGCTCCATGGGAGTACCAGTAACCTCGGTGCCGGCGATGCCAAAAGACGCGTGGAACTTGCGCGACACGAGAAACATGAAGACGGTGAGGAAAAGCTGCCATCGTTAGCGCGACCGACTTCACCAGATACGGCGCGAGCAACATGTTCTTACCTGGAAGGCCATGCCGAGTCCGACAAGCAGAAGCATCTTGAAGCTGTAGTCGAGCATCTTCCAGCGGGCGACGAGGGTCTTGCGAATCCGGGGTCGCTCGCCGTTCCACCCAACATCAACCGTCTTCTTGACATACTTCTTCTGTGCGTTGGCGACGTAGAGGAAGCGACTGTTGGATGCCTGGAAGAGCGCTACGCCGAAGGGCAGCCAGATGCCCATGATCCAGTACTCGGCTACCTCGGGCATGAGAGGGCCGTATACATAGGCGACAGTGACGGCCATCCAGTATCCGTGTAGGAGACACACGGCGGCAAATGACAAGCCAAGACCGCGGATTCGAAGGATCGGCATGTCGCGGCGCATCCAGAGGAAGGCCATGCCGCCGAACAGGAGGAGCGTCCATACGATGGCGAAGACGATGTAGAAGACGCCGACGCCATCGAGGCGAACCTCGGGCTTCGTGTCGGGCGTGTTACCCAGTTCTGAACCCATGGTCGCTGGTTAATGGGGTGAACGGATTAAATCGACAGGAAGGTGGGGATAAAAGAATGTTCGAAGGTCGATGTGTTCCGGAGCCGGGAATCGAAGGCAAGGCCACGAGAGGGCCTTGAGGGGAAGGAGAGGACTGGCTCGGACAAGCTGCGTCGAGACTATTGCGACGATGCTGAGCTCGTCACAAAGTCCCTAGGCAAGTCGGGTGCTCGACTCCGTCGACGAACCGAGCAGAAGATCGCGACGGCGTTGGACAGAGAGAGACACCAGGAGGGGGTCGGCCAAGGGAACGGGACGAGAGAGGGCCCGCGCGTCTCATAAATAATTATCGAGATCGCGAGAGCCAGGGCCCTTTTTCCTTTCGCGAGGGTGAACAGACGACAAGGACGAGGTCGAGCCGCCAGGGGATATCCCACAAGGCGCGGCGGCGGCGGCGGCGGCGCCTCAAGCTGGGTCTTGCGAACAGACGTCGCCTAGGGCCGGGGTGAACGAGCTCGGTCAAGGTCTCGAGAGGTGCACGGGAGATGTCGCCCAGGTTTCCGGGTTTCTGTCGATCCCCATGGCACAATCAACAAGACCCCTTGTCCCGGCGCGGCGAGGGTTCAGCGTCTTGGTTTCCAAAAGGAAAGAAACCACGACAAAGGAAAGTTGGGGGGAGAGGGGGGAAAGGGTGTGCCCTGGGCCGTTGACAGCGTGAAGTCTCTCCTCGCGCTCCGCTCGGTCGCTCGCTCGCCCGCAACCTGGATGGATGGATCTCTCTCCCGGGCGCCCCCAGTCGGCTGGCCCTGCCCTGCTGCTGCTGCTGCAGGTGCTCGCTGGGTCGGTAATCTTAACAGCAGACCTGGCAGAGCGGCTCCGCTCCGTCCGGGGTGGTCCCAGGTCTCAGGCCGCCTTTCCCTTGCCGCTCGCCGCTGTGGGTGGGTGACTGGCAACTCGGCGTCCGTGTGGATGTGTGAAATCGACGGCTTGGTGTGTCTTGGTGCCTGTGCCTGGGTGGCCGAGCAAATGCTGATCGTCGCCGCGCTTGTGGTGGATAGGTGAGACAAAGCCTTTTTGCTTGCTCTTACGTAGCAACGCGCAATGGACTCTTGTGCTTTTGCTTTGCTCTCCCCGTCCGTTGTTTGTTTCCGTGCCTCAAAGGCTCAAGTCTATTCGCCACGAGTCGTGCAACGAGGCTTGAGGACGAACCTTCTCGCCCCTGCCACGCCCGTAAGCCTGAAAGTCCAAAGTCAATGCTCCCGCGACGAAAGCTTCGGGCCCTCCACATCAATCATCCCGTCACCGTCGGCTCCCCCCAGTTCGCCCCGGCGGACAGCTGAACTCCCGCGCGGCGCCATGCCCGTTTCAACGCCCCATGGATCTTCCCCCTCCGTGCTAGCGCGCAGCGGCGGCCCTCGATCTCGCGGCAGCCCGGTGGGGACGCAGCCCAGACTAGCACGCCTAGATCCAATGATCACTGCTGTCTTGGGTTCTTCGTGGCTGCTCGTGGCTGCAAGGTGCTGCGGTTAAACGGTCGGCCGTCGACAAGCCCGTGTGCCTGGCCCGGGGGGATGGGGGGGCTGCTGCCGCCGTTGCGCGTCCTCTCCCCAGGTCCAGTCGCCATGTGTCGATTCTCCTTTTTCGTTGGCGCGTTTGATGCTCATCTGGGCAATCTCGGCCGTACCGTTGAGCGGGCATTTGCTGCATCCAAGGTTAACCATGATGTCGGGTCGTTGTTCGCAAAGCGCCCCGACCCCGGGCCCAACATCGTTGACCCGAAAGGACGGGCTCCGCAGCTGCTGCACGGCCCAGCCGCCATATCATCACCACCACATGGGAGGTGGGTGGGTGTCGCACTTGATCCAAGCGCCATGTGACGAGCCAGTGAGCGCCCGTGGCCGACGCCGATGGCTGAGACCAGGCTGCCCCTTCTGGTTGGACCCGGCGATAGCAAGGGCAGGCAAGCTTTGCAGTTGCTCCTTGTCCGTCTTCTCGCCCTCGAGCCGACCGTGGCGCTCGCTGTGCCTTCCTGTTTGTGACGGTGGGCCGGCAGGAGGCTTGTCGGCTGCAGTTCCGGTTCCTGTTCACTCTCCTTCACATGACAGCCTCATCTTGTTTCGGTTGAGCTGCTAGATACTCGTATGCCCTCGACGACAGGCCCTGTGCTGTTGGCTCAGCCCAACGACAGGACAAGTTGCTGATATCTTTGATCGGAATTTAATGACTGCGCCGCACTCGGGCAGGTCCATCCGACGGTATCAGGAACAACAAGCATCCCATGCTGTGCCGCCACAGGTTACGGACGAGAGTCAACATGGAACATGCCTGCTTCGATACGTCGGATGCATTGACGCGCGTGTCCCAAGACTCGGGTATCTTGGCGCGCCTGCAGTCCCTACATGGGCGATGGAAGACAACTCCGTACCCATCGCGATTGTTCAGTTGCCCGACGTGCAATTGCCGGCGGAGCAAGCGAGAAATTCCTTCTGTTGTTTTCTCCGCGCGGGGTGGCTGTCAGATCTCAGGACGACCCCTCGCGTCTGTTTCTTTTGACAGAAGGAAAACGCCGCCCAACGTGCAACGAAGCGCAAGGAATGACAACTTGCTGTCGATGCTACCTCTGCAGGCCCTCCGAATATTCCGTGGGACTCCTCGCGTCGCTTCGTATCCCATCCAGGTCATGCTTTGGGTGTAGCCATAAGTGGGCGAGCACGACGAGAATCCATCACACCAAAAGCGCAGTCCGATGACGACTGCAACCAGGCGTCTTCCACCATCGGCAAGCATCAGGTACCTACTCGTAGCGCCACTCGCCGAAATTGAGCCCCGGCGGCCCGGCATCTTGCTAAGCAGGGAAGCGCGTGCCGGTGCCGCGGAGCCGCCTAGCCCTAATCAGCGTTGAGCTGCCAGTAAAAGGGCCTCGACAAGACACAAGCCTGTGTGAGAGAGCCGAGTCAACTGGCTTTACGAACCGAGCAAATGTGCCCTCGTGCCCTGCGCTGTTGGTTGTCGGGCTGTCGCAGATGAGCCGCAGGCTTTGCGGGCACGGGGCTTCAAGTGGCCCAGGCCAAAGAGCCACCCACGCAAGAGTCGGCGCCATTCCCGCCAGAGAATGGTGCAATCTTGTCGCCCTTTTGACGCCGTCGCCGTTGGCATCGTGGCAAGTGGGTTGCCGCCATCCACGAGCCTGGACGAAGCAATACTGAAAAGCACCGTGGCACAGTGCCTCCGAGGCACGACCGCGCCACGGTTCTCTGTCTTCTGTGTGGCGGTTGCACTCTGCGCAGGGAGAAAAATGCAAGATAAAACTCTTTGCTTTTGTGTTTCTCCACGTTTCCGCTTGTGACTGCCGGACAGTGGAGGCCCAGGCGGGCTGGGGAGAGGTTCACCTGCCAGGGCCCCTGAGAAAGAGTCCGTGTCAGCCAAGCAGACGCTGGATCCTTGTTCTGAATCATGGTATCAGACACGTGCACTGCACAGCCAGTGTCTCTCGCAGGCTGCGTCGAACAATCGGTCGTGCGGCCATGGATCTAATAGTATCTCCCCCAGAAAGATTGACGGCTGGTTTGGTCCGGCTCGTTCACACTGACGAACTTGACGTCTCGTTGTCCAAGCGACCCGGATTGACGATGAGCCATGTGCCTAACATCGCACACAAAGTTCAAACGCATGCTGCATGCAGCTTCAGTCCTTACAGCGCCTTGTTCGTCGGCACCCGTCTCATGACCACGCGCGGTTCCTTCCTGTTCACTAAACAGAACGCCAGTGTTTGTTTAGCCTGATGTTGGCACACTTCGGAACTTGTAAGCCCGCACTGCGAATTTAGACAGGGGTCCTCCCTTCTGCTGCCCCGGTCCCGGTCCCTCTACCACGGCCCTTGCCGGTGCACGGGCGCGGGAGCGCGGAGGGAAGCCCACAGTGGCGGGCGGCAGATCAAAGACAGCAAGCCACAAGCCGGCCGAGTGATTTTTTGGCGGGCGCCCATCGCGGCTATCTGTGAATTGGGGGAATACGAGGACAATACTTGCTCAAGCCATGCCGCAGCAGCGGGCGTCGAGACGCGACGCGGAATCTGCGTCCTTCTCACAGCCGTCACTCACTCAGTGTGTCGTTGGGACATGACACCTGATGTCCGTCACATTTGAGCAAGGCAACCCTTTCCCACCTGTGTGCCCTTGCGACACGGCCAGTGACTTGAGACCAGGATGCCAAGAACCTGGCTACGTGAGGCCCCCCAACTCCCTTCACCACCACCGTCCAGTACCGACGCCGGTGGAGCAGGGCCTGCGGGTCGGCGGGGGGGATCCAGCTGAACCAAGATGGTGTTTGTCGGGCCCTGCATGAATTGCCCATCACGCCAGCTTCTCTGGTCGCCGACTTCAATTGCTGTGCTCCGCAACGAATGCGACTGCGTTGAGTCGTCCGCTTGGCGGTTGCTTGTGTAGCGCGTGGCTCATGGCGCCGCTTCGTGGGGGACAAGTCTGCCGACTCGGCATCTACGTCTGTGCAGCACGTTGCTTCGCGCTGATGTGCTTTTTATGCTCGCGGGGACAAGACTCCGACAGGACGACGGTTCAGATGCGGACGTGGCTCGCGGGTAAACAACGAGCCCGACTGAGTAGAGAGGCTCTGGAAGAAGCACAAGCCAGAGCCTGTCACCGTCGCGAGGGTGGTGAGGCATGCCCCAAGTTACTGGTTGCGGCGAGGGGGCAGCAAGCCGCTGGCGACAGAAGAAGCAATTATTTTCGCCCTCGGTAATTTGTGACAGCTCTCTGTCGGCCGACCAGGCCTCGCTCAGGCGGCATTTCATCATGCACCATGCAGATTCTCTCCGGCAGGGCAATCATTGCATTGCATTGCTCAAACTCATCACCGGCGGCATCCATCGCTGGAACCTTGCACGTCGTGCCACCCCACGCCGAACTGGGTCGGTGATGTGCTTCCTGATGGGGACAAGGGCTCATCTGGAATCTGGATAACCGAACAGGTGGCTGCGCAGCTGCAGCCGAGGATCGGAACTCTGTTGATCACATTATTGGGATCATCGCAGAGGTTCCCAGCATCCCGGACTCGCGGTTCTGAGCGACGTCACGGACAGGGCCAGCGGCATGAGCGGGTAGATGGATGCCTCTCGACGTAACATCCATCTGGGAAAGATGCCATGCCTCGCAACCAGCGAGAGCAGCCCACAGCTGTGCCCATGCCAGCCATCCAATGTCCGACGCAGCCAAGGCACCGTGCATGGACCCCCCCAGCAGGCTCATCAGACGAAAAGAAGGGCTCTCTTGGTCCAGATGATCAACAGCCGCGCAGGCTCCCGATTCGCCCGCAGGACTGCCCCGATCAAAAACGTTGATCCATCTCGTCACAAACGCCATCCATCCATCCATCCATCCTAAGCGATGCGCAAGGGCAGTGATGCACGTCGCAAGGGCGAGATTTCTCCGCCAGCGCCCGCTCGATGCGAAATCCCACTTCCCGTTGCGGCATGCCCCATGCCCGAGCGCTCTTGAGAACGGAATGGCGTGGCGTGCGAAGTAACGCTGCGCTGCCCATTTCAGTGCACAGAACGTCAAACCCGCTCAAACCGACACCAGGAGATGCCATCACACCGAGCGGCAGGCCAGGTCGGCCGGCAAAACCGTCTCACAACGGTCCAGCCTGCCGAGAATGATGGTTCCTGCGCACGGCAGGCCGCGTAAACCGACGGCTGAAAGGCCTGCAAAGGACGCATCGACTAGCTCGACCACGCGGGCGACCATGGGACCTCAACGGTGTCGAATGTCCGCCCCGGGGCTGTCCCAGACACTACCGCACATGATGCTCGTGTCATTTGATGACAGGTCTGAGCGTCCGGGTTTTGTCCGGCATTGATGCCCTCGACGCCCTGCGTCCATCTTTCGGTCTGTGCCAAAGTCGACTGCAAGCTCCGGGCGCGAGACGCCGGCCGGAACACCCGCAAACACCGACCAAGCAAGCGCGGCGTTGAGGGCCCCATGGCTTTCTGCGCGGGTATCTCATTTGCGACATGAGAAACTGGACGTGAAGTTCGGCAGCAGGTCAAGAAGATGTTGATTCCACATACTCGGGCAGTCTCATGCGCTTGTCAGGCCTCTTCAAACGGACGTGATGTGATGCTCGTTTTACTCCCAACGTCTGTCTGAGGGACTCCAACATCATGATGCTCCACTGATCCCATACCTCGCTGACTAGGCCGACCAACCCTGAGCCAGCGCCGGCGCGGCTGGCGGAGAAATACGTCAACTCCATTATCATGCCGTCGGAGGCTCGGTCTAGCCCGTGCAATAAAAGCCAGCGTCACGAGGGATCAATGCTGTGGGAAATTACTTCACATTGGCTGAAGACCAACACTCTAGAAACAGCCATAGAACATTGCAGAACCATAGAAAGCTGTTCTCACGGGCCAACAGGCGAACGTCGATAAGAAGATGAGAAGTCATTTTGGCCAAGTCACAACTGCCGAAGCCGCGTCTTCAGGAACCATCTTGGCCCAAACGCCCGAGCCAGTGCGATTATACGAGGTGACGTGATACAACTACATATCTGTCTGGTCCTGCCGCCGCGCGCAGGCCAATATCGTCTGCTCCCTTACCCCCAAGCCATCTTCTGACAGCAGGTGCCGAATTGAATTGACGTGGGGTCAGCTTGTTGAACGTTACGCTCGAAATGTGATTTACAAGCGCTCATGGCCCAACGCTCTTGGCAAACAGGCCGGGCACAACTAGACGAACAGGGCTCTTACAATCTATGTGATTGCTCAACTGACCGACTGCGGCTATTCTTGTTGCGATTCGCGGCAGATAGGACGGTGGCTAGTTCCTACATTTAGCGCACAGTGGAATCTTCCTCGGATTATCAAACATAATGGCCAGCTCCGTCCAACTGCTCGCAGCAAGATCAGAGAATACACAATCGAGCACTGCCAGGCATGCGACATGCTCTTGGTACTAATCCCTTGATGGTTCTGAAAACATGAAGCACGTTCGAAACTACCACGGAGTTGATAGAAAAGCCCCTTTTCTCGCACTCGCAGGCTTGCTTGCAGGAGTACTTTTGGAATGAGATCGGTTTGGTTTAATGAGGCTGCGTTAAGAATTTCTCTCCAACTAAATACTACCAATGCTGCCACCACTCGATCATGAAATCTTCTTGGCATGCCGTCTCTCCTTTCTCGATGGCGTTGCTTTCTCCACGATCTTTTCTTGTAGAATCCAGCAAAGATGCGGCCCCGTGCCTTCCGCGTCGGGTCTGGTGAAACATCGTCACCAAGAGGGAAGATTCTGGCGGCAGCCAGCACTTTGCGCCCAAACATTTCAGGATAAGTACCTAGCATTCGAGCGGGCCCTTTACCGTGGGCACTTCCGATCAAGGCATAGAGGTCGCCCCGACGGCCGACAGTGTCGAGGGGGTGCCAGAAAGTACAGCAGGCAGCAACAAGAGGAACGAGAGGCACTGCAGCAACGGCAGCAACGGCAGCAACGGCAGCAACGACAGCAACGACAGCAACGACAGCAACGACGGCAACGACAGCAACGACAGCAACGACAGCAACGACAGCAACGGTAAGAGCTCGCTCTAAAACATTCGTCCACCTGTCTCATTATCATATACTTGTGGTCTGATGAGAAGTTATAAGTGCATTATACGTATAAGCCGAAACTTCGTGAACTGCCCGCCATGTTAGATCCAATCCCGGATCATCATGTGCAAGACTTTTGGAATAAGTCAATGCCGATATATCTCTTCACTGCAGCCAACATGGAACCAGGCCACACTCCAATCAAGATAGGCCGGCTTACGGATCTTATCGTACATGCCCTCCATAACTACATATATTGGAAGTGGTTTCGCCCATGCTCTAGCGACATCGAGTTTGGACAGTTTCTAGCGAAAGTAATCAAGCCTATGGAGTATGGGCTAGATACGAGTAGCGAGGCTGCCATTGTGAGGCTAGCGACAGCTTCTCAGCGACGCCATTCGCGACCAGCTTGACGCATCTTGGCACGCTACAGAAGCATAGGCCCTACATCGCCAGCGGACATACCCGGATGAACAACCCATGAACTCGGCATCAGAGGAGAGTGATTACAGACACGGCCCGGTATTTCACGAAATGACTAGGAAAACGTATAAATACTTCGCTGTTCGACCCCTCTTTAGAGCTATGGCACTGGTCATCTGTTCGCAGAGCTATGATTCAGCCGACCAGATCGCTCAGATCGCCCAAACGCCAGTCCTCCTTACTCTTACGGGGTCGCATGATGGCTTAAGCGCCCCGATTCTATTCGATCACGAACTCGCCAAGCAATCTACTGTTTTTAGTGGCAAGGTCGTCGCTAGAATGATGCTCGAGGCTGCTATTGACTTTGTTATGGCTCTAGAGGAGCGTGAAGCGCTGGCGCTTGGCCATCAGCCAGATATGGCCGCCGCCTTGCAAGATCCTTTTATGAAGAAGTTCTTCACCGGCATGTACGCCTTTCAAGCCCGCAAGTTGGGCTGGAATGAAGAGGAAGTGCCATTCCCCAGTGGCCCAAGCTCCACTTGGGTGGATAGGGAGATGTGCGCAGATTGGGAGGACGAAGGTATTGAGGGCCTGGCATAGCGGCATTCCTCCCGCGTGGATACTATCATGAACCTCGTTCGGAACAGCGAGCTGAAGAAGCAAGATTCTATACCACCCAACTAGTCACGCCGATGCAGGCCAAGCGAGACGTCAGTTCCCTGGAGTATAACATCCGCCAAACGAAGCAGGCGAAGGGCATTAATAATGAAACCGATACTTTCATGACAATATCAAGACTTCTCCGTTCGCAATGCAATTCATCAACTCATAAACCATATTCGGCCACAACTTGGCAAGACCCTCATTATCATAGTAGACGTTTGCTGCTGCCCCCTTCCGCCGCCGATGGTTTGAGATAAAACAGCCGCGACTTCGAGGATGCTACTTTTGCGGCTGCGGCTGCATCTGAGGTAGGGGAGAGGGCTGCCGCATCTCTTCTGCCCGCCTCATGTCCGACAGCCACATGTCCATCCTCCGCTTCTTGTCCTCGTCCGCCTGCATCCGCGCCTCATACGCCGACGTCGGCGACACCCTCAGCTTCTCGAAGCCGGATCCGCCGCCGGAGCTCCTGAAGCCTGACCTGGTGCCCGTCTCCGCGCTCATGCTCCACAGCGTGACGTGCTCGAGCGTCGCCAAGACGGCCACGGCCGTGATCTCGGCGACGGGGCTGCCGGGCCGCCACCGGCGGGGCTGCTGCCCGGCCGAGGCGCACGCCGCGAAGAAGATGAGCACGAAGGTGTCGGCCGCGTCGCTGAGCAGGTTGGCGGCCAGAGCGCGGTGCACTCCGGGGGCGCGACGGCGGCGGTCCGCGGCCGCGAGCAGCCCTCCGAGGATAATGTCGCGTGTGCCCAGTAGTGCCGTGAGGAGATGGTAGTAGTAGTGGTGATGGTCCGTCTGCGAATGCGCCTTCGTGGGTTCTTGGCCGTGGCGGTTGTTGCCGCTCGCGGACATGCCGATTAGCACGGCCGGGAACGCGATGAAGACGAACCCGCGTAGTATATGCAACGCGGAAAAGGCACAGATGGCAACGTGCTGCAGCTTGTTGAAGGGCGGCGGAGGGGGCGGATCGACCGGGCGGTCCCGGGGTTGTGGGTCCCGCTCCGGATCCGCGTCCGGGGTGCAGCCGGATCGCCGGGGCAGGAGGGGCGTGGTGACAGTTGGGGTCTCGGACATGGCCGCGACTGCAAAAACAAGAACAATAAAAGGTCTGGTGAGGTTTTGAGCCAACGATTTCCTCAATCCAAGCTCCTGGTCCGACCCGCGGATGCTGAGCGAAAAAAAAAGAAAAGGGTGCGAAATAAGAGGTCGGCGGTGATGTCCCCCCGCGCCAACAGGTCCAGCGCGGCCTCACAGATGGGGCCACTCCAGAGGGCAAATGCGGCCACCCGATGCGTGCTTTTGTCGGTCCACTGGAGGGGAAGAACCGATGCAATCTCCGCGTCGCCACCGGCGGGCAAGAGCAGCAGCAGCAGCAGCACGGGTCCACGGCCGTTGGCTTGGTTTAACAAGCCGCAAAACGGCGTCGACGACAGCAAGGACGACAGCAAGGACGACAGCAATGGCAGGAGCACACAACGTTGGCGGAAAGGGGGGAGAAACGCTCTTTCTTTACTATTGAGATCCCGTCACCGCTTTATGGGCTTCGTGGGTGGCTTGGGAACTTGCGGGGACGCACACACACAAAGTCTCTCATTCCCAAAGTGCTGCATCCTCCCTCCCTCCTCCTCCTCCTCCTCCTCCTTTCCCCCCCGCCATCTCACCTGTCACGTTGGTCACCTCCTGCGGCGCGAAAACATGCCAAAGTTCGGTCCCCCATCATGGGCAAATTTCGCCATCGCCCGCATGAGCCCCCTGCCTCCACCGCCACTGCCACCACCCATGCCCATCAGCCTCCCCAAGCTCCCCCCAAAAACACCGCAGAGCTGGGGCGAAGACAATGATGGTCCCCCCTTCGTCCCCTAGTAAGCCACCTCTTCGCGCTGGCTAGCCCGGGAGGCTAAGCGCCTTTGATGGCTGCTGCTCCCGCAATCCCGCTTCCCTGCAGCCAACGGGGTGGCACGAACGACGATCTTGACTCCGCATCCGCCGGTGCAACTTCTCCGGGGTGGTGGACAAGGACTTCCCGGGCCCGTTGGATCAGCCTGCCAGTCTTTGGCTGACGTCTGTTTGACCCTTCCTCCCCATCTCGCCTCCCCTGGCGAACGGGAGAACGTCGCAACGGTCCGAGTCGGTGTGGCGTGCGTGCAAGCACATCTGCACTGGCCCGTGAGACGCGGCGCGCGCGCGCTCGCGCGCCTGATAGAGAATGCAACAGCCATCCCGATTCGCCTGGCACCCTGACGGTTGCAGATCACGCAACCCACAGCGTCATCTGCGAGGCAGCTTGCAACCCCCCGCAGGGCCCTTTCGTGTATCGTGGCGTTGCCTGCCTGCGGAGTGCCACAGACGGCGACCCTGTTGCCTCTTGTCTTACCGGGGAGGGGAGCCGGGCTGGTGTTATATCCCTCGTGTGCGCCTGCGCCTGCGCCTCACCATGCGATGCCAGGCAGGCTTATCAGCGTTGGTTGACATCAGAACAGCCGGAAAACATCTCACAAAACAACTCATCAGCAGTGGCGACGGGGAGTAGTAGCATGTACGTCGACAGCAAGTCCATCCGCTGCGCGATGACCGCGCCATGCATGCGCTGCAGCAACCTCCCCACGGGGTATCAATGGTCTAATGCCGCCGTCCATGCGCCGCACGCGGTGGCGCCGTCCAAAAGATAAGACGGCGCGAGATTAAGTCGACTTTGTGTCTCGTCACGAGCGGCTTTCCGTGAAGCTAAGTCGACGGGTCGCATGTGACGCGCTGTTTTAGTTTTATGTGCAGTACTTCGTGGCATGAATGCTGCTGCGAATCTCTCCCTCCGTTGCTCGGCGTGTAAAATGCCCATGCTCCTGGGAGGCAACAATGCAGCCAAAAGCTGCCGTGCCCTCGTGTAGGTGCCCCTTATCTCGCTGCCAGCCCAGCCACCACAGTCGGTGTGCCCTCGACCAGGCAAGCCGGGTGCATATACCGCGTCGCCACGCAGCTGCACATCCTCCACGGGCGAAATATATGATCCTGCGCCCTGGGCAGGCAGCGAGCGTCGCAGAGGCAACACATCGTAATCGCTTCAGGAGGTGGTGGCCAAATCCCGTCATACTGCTTCAACGCTTCGCCACCTCGCGCTCACCCCACGACACAAAAGCCGGTGTGGCTCGTCATCGAATGCACGACCGGCCATCCTGTGCACACACACATGCGCATCCATGGGCATGCTTCCTGCTGCCCGCATATTCGTCCCTCCCCCCAACTTTCCACACACGAAACGGAAACGTACCCATGGATCCGTGTGCCACGGGGCGTTGGCCCAATCGCCTCGTGCGTCGAGGCACCCACGGGCGGCTGCCCGCAGGGCATGGTATCTCCTGCGCCACAAGCGCGCTTCTGGACTGCACGTTGCAGTGCGGAATCATGTCTGACTGCCTGTCAGTATCAATGTGCCAACGCCGTGTCTGTGCGCAAACATGAAGCCTCTCGTTGAAAGATTTGTTCGAGTTTTGGCGGTTTAAGGAGCTTTGACGGCGCTGGTTGGTCGGGTCTATGCACATAGTTGCTGTCCCCGTGCCGCTGCGGACACCAAGGAGCAGTTCCGCCTTCTATAGGTATTAGTCCGAGATAACTCACCGCAGGCAACAAACCACTCACGTCAAACGATCACAAACGTCAAAATCGGATGGCTCTCATTTCGCTCCCGCTCTCACTGCGATGTTTTCCTCCAAATCACAGTTACAGTCATGACTCTGTGTCATTTAATTGCTCGAGTCGGGCACTTCGCGCTGGCTCATGCTTCTGCGCAATGGCCACTCGGGCGGCTCAATCAGTCTGAGCATACGTCTCGTAACGTCAACAATCAGTTTCAATTAATAACATCAACTTCTCCAATGCGGTCACTGCTTGATGTGACGACGACTGTCTCTGTAAAGCTATGGGGTTATAGAAACGATTATATATAAACCAAAGGTTCTCGGGTTTTAGGGTTGCAGATTCTATTCAGGCTTTCGTCGTTCCCACACGTCTTGGCCAAAAATGAGATCCGAGTTCGTCTTCCTTCCTTTGTACATCCTCTTCGGCGCGGTCAGGGCGAACGGAGAGAGGACTATCCAGGGAGTACGTGCAGCAGGACCCAAGTCTTTCGCAAAGATGACAGTCCACGATGCAAGTGGACATGGACTTGGCGCTGACGTTCCTGGCAACAGAGTTGCGTCGTTGGGACGAATAGGTGCAAGGTCCGCGAGGTCAACTATGATGCTTCCGGCAATCTTATCTATGACGAGACCATAACGGACAACTGTGCTGGTACTGTAAGTGCTTCGACTGCCGGAGGGAACGCGCGCCTTCGCTAAGCAGGAGGCATTGCTGCTTTGTTCCTGCCCTCAGACCGGGTGTGCTGACGCTCAATGCAGTGCCGCACCGGCGTCTGCAGCTTGCATCTTCCGTCCAAGAGGATGCGCTGCCTATAGCGCAGGGAGGGGTTCGTTACGGCGCCTCGCCTGAGCGAGGACAGCTGTGCTTCCGCCAGTCAAGAGGGGTTGCGGCGGCTCCGAGCGCAATGATATGCTTGGAGACTTTGCGCCCGTGGACAGGCCTTTGTTGCTCGCGCTGAAAGTTGAGGGTTCGACGACATTGGCAGCCACTTCAGCATGTGGGACACAATGGGCTACAGATCGTCCCGACAAGAAAATATTGATCACTCCTTCGCAATGGTTTTGTGGGAGGGGCCGGTGTTTGAACCTATTGAATAGATTGCAGTGGTATGTCTTCAACTAAGTGAGCCTGGGTGTACGATGCGGAACGCCGGGATTCTTCCACATGCATATGTACCTGCACACAACCATTACGCCGCAAGACTAAATGCTGTCCTTTACCCAACGCCATCATCCACAGAGATTGCCTATTCACCTCCTGTTCTTCTTGGCCTTCTTGCCACCCCGTTCCTCGCTGTCGCCACCGGCCTTCCGCTTCTTCCGCCCCTCTTCCAGCAGCTGTTTCATGCCGCCCGTGGCCTTGAACTTGGGGTTGGAGGGGTCGATGGCGAACTCGTGGCTGTCAAAGACTGCCTTGAATCTGTCGTCGCCGACGTCCATGGCAAAGTCCTCCTGCAATCCGCCACGCTCCTCGCCACCCTTGCCCTTGCCCTTCTTGCCCTTCTTGCCCTTCTTCTTCTCCGCGCGCATAATTTCGTTCATGTCAAAGTGGTCCAGGTGGTCAGCCTGGTCACCGTCACCATCCTCAGCCATGACCTTGGTGAGCTGCGCCTTCTGCTGAGCAGACTCTGCCTCGGCAGCCTCGCGGGCCTGGCGCTTCTTAAGTCGCTCTTCCTTGCGTACGGATGACTTGGTGACAGGTGCGGTATCCTCAGTAGTGAAGAAGGGATCATCGAAGCCGAGCTCGTCGCCGGCGGTCTCTGCGCGATCAGGCTTGGTCTCCTCAACATCGTCCTCCTGGCCTGTCCGCTTCGCCTTGGCCGCAAGTCGCTTCCGTTCCTTGCGCTCCTTCTCCTTGCGCTTGTATTTCTCGATGGTAGTCTCTTCCTGCTCAGTGTCCTTGGCATTGCTTTCTGCGAGGGCCGGCGCAAAAGTGATCTCCATCTCTCCGACAGGTCCATCTTTGGAAGCCTTGGCGGCCGGCTCATCTGTCAGACCGAGAGCCTCGCGCATCTTTTTGCGCGCGAGTTCCTTCTTTGACAGTTTGGGCTCATCGGCAGCAACCGCAGCTTCATCGCCCGGGGCTGCAACTTCATCCTCTTCGTCGTCGTCTTCCGTGTCGCTGGCCAGGTAGGCGCGCAGGTCATTCTCTTCCAACTCGTTTCGGCTTCCGCTGAACGCTCGCTTGAGGGCGTCTTTGCGGGACGCCTCCTCCGGGTGCATGTCCCAGGTAAGCTTGACCTTGGAGCTCTGCAACGCATTTGTAACAAAGTCGACGGGCTTGTACGTGCTGGGGACTTTGTCGCAAGCGTCTCTGGGCTCGTCGTCAAAGGTGACGTCGTCCGGAACGAAGCGCAGGTCGATAACGTTGGAGGAGGACTGGTATTCTGTGCCGTCGGTCGCCTCGTAAATCTTTTGCGCCGTCTCGGGGCTCGAGCAGACCATGACGGCGTAGTAGTAGCGCAAACGGTCCAGCTGGTACGACCGCAAGGCGTCGCTGTCAAAGTCTTGGTCGTTGCCCTCCTTCATGAGCTCCTTCTTGATCTTTTCGTCTCCGCTTTCGCTGTCGCTGTCGCTGTCGCTCTCGGCGTCCTCGTCGCTGCTATCGGACTCGTCCTTGGACTCGTTCTTGAAAAGTTCCTTTGGCGGGCCCTCGAGCTCTTCCTGCTGCATGCGCTCCTTGCCAAACTCGCTGGGGTATATGGAGATGTTGAGGATTCGGCCGGAGTTGGGCGGGATGAAGCTGGAGAAGAGGGCCATGAGGTCGGTGGATTTGACGTGGTCCCAGTCGAGGTTTACGATGGCGATGCGATTCGTGACTTCGCCGGTCTCGACGTCTGCTTGGTCGTCTTGGAATCGCTGCATGTGGCCTTCGGTATCGGCTGCCACTTCCTCCTCCTCCGAATCGTCCGAGTCGGAGTCTGACTCGGACGAGGAGAAGCCGCCATCTCTCGCAGGGTCGTGCTTCTTTTGATTCGACTCTTCGTGCGCCTTTCTCAGCTCCCGCTGGACGACCTCGTCATCGTCGACCTCTTCATCAGCAGAACCATCCGAGTCTTGATCCTTTTCTTCGTCGTCCTCGGCCTGGTATAACCGCTGGAGGGCCTTCTTCTTCGCATCCGATTTGATCTTGCGCCCGTAACGGTCCACCCGAGCGGTCGCGGTGAACTCGTCATCATCGAGCATGCCAGCGAAGCGCTTGTCGAGGGTCGTCTTTGTTCGCTTTTTGGACGGCAGGCGGAAACGGGGGTCGGTTTCAAAGCTTGCGAATCGCGCATCAGCGATGCGGCCCGCAGACGAGCCTGCATCCTTCTTTTGGCCCTTCATGATGCCGACGTCGTCAGTAGAAATGCCCGTGGGGATGCGGTCGCAAAAGTGTCTGCTGCACGGTGGAGGGGCTCCGGCGCCAGACTTGTGAAAATTGGCGGCAACATCGCTAGACAGTCCCGGAATTTTTTTTTTCTGCCCAGCGGTGAGCAGGTCTGGGGGGGCAGCCAGTGGAGAGGTCCCACTACGGCTACCTAATTAGGACGGCACCTGCGGCGCATTGGTGGGGGAACTGTACGCTGGGGCTTCCAGGTCCCGTAACCTTAGGCACTCGGTGCCCTGCGTTCTCACCAAACGTCGGACATGATCGTTGAGTGCGTGTGAGCTGGCATCTGCATCCATCGTCATTATCATTGCACGCCATGATACTGCCCAGTAGCTACTACCCAACGAAGGCGAATCGATCGCAGTTATCTTTCAACCCATCAGGTGATATCAACGCGCTGCAACAAGGGTTCCCCTTCAGATCCCCGTTCGCGCTCGTCGCCCGGCCCTCTCGAGTCTCAACTCTCAGGTGAACTGACCAGCGCCCAAGAAAGCGGTAATGAGTGCGCCCACCACGACTCCAACGAGACTCGGCCTGAAGCTCGACGAAGAATCCTTCTCATCTGGCTTTCCAGTAGCGCTGCCAGACTGTCCCGATGCAGCCGTTGACCCGCCATGCGTCCCCTGCTGCCCCATGTCCGATTTCTGATACACCAGCGCCACCACAGGCGCGGCCGTCACGACCGTCAGCCCTGAGGTGTCAGATGGGTCGATCTTGCGCGTCGTTGTCCGGTAGCTCGTGTCCGTCCCGGTGATGAGGACGACGGGCTGTGTCAGGGACGATCCTTGGAAGCTCGTCACTGTGGCGACATCGTCCATCGGGATGAGGACCAAGCAGACCTCGGAATAGCTGCGCGAGAGAGGCCCGACGGACGACGAGCAGAATGCTGCAGAATCCGCCGTCATGCCGCTATACACGATGAGATTAGAACAGTTGCAGTAGGCAGGCAAAGGACATCGTACCTCGGGCAGCACCACGCCAGCGTCTCCGACTCTCCAAGAGGCTTCACGAACGCCTCGATCACTGACACGTGTCGAACCCCTTCGTCGGGATCATCGTCGGACTGGAACTTGGTGAAGACTCCTGAGGCACTCCTCCCGGATGCGCCTCCTCCGACAATGCTTCCCGCCGTCGTCCAGCCCGACGGGCAGTGAATCCCCGGGGAGCGGTACAGAACATTGCCATTGTGCGGCGTGGCCGAGAGCTTGGCGAGACTCGAATCCCACCCTTTGCCGTTGGGGATGCACCCCTCGAACTTGGGCGCGCCGCAGGTCGGATATCCGTAGATCTGGGCCTCCGAGTCACCCTTTCGTTGCGAGGCGATCCATTTATAGTCTAGGCTCGTGGCACACGACGGAGCGGCGGTGAATGTGGTGGTCAGTGGTCCCAGGTTTATGAGGCTGTAGCCCAGATACTCTGTTGCGGTGGGCATGGCGGCCGGATTTGCGCGAGGCGAGTGCCAACCGCGAAGCCGCCGTTATATTCGGATCTTGGACTGGAGATGACTGCTGCGCCGCACGGAGGCGTGACAAAGCACGTTGCACCTTGTCACGCGAGCTCCCGTCGCTGGAATGGACCCCGTCGTTCAAATAGTCCGGCGATCGACCCGACACAAGACCATTTGCCGTATTTCGCATACCACAATGTAAGACCTTTTAGCTCTCATCAACGCGGGGGAACGAACCAACCTCGCAAATCTCATTAGCATCCGGAAAACCAATGGCGGATGGCGCTTCAACACCATCAATGCACTCGGGCCCCTGACATTGTACTTGGGAAGGGTTTCGCAGACTGCCGCGTCTAGCTCGCCAATCGGAAGATTGCTCGCGTTCGAAACGAGCGGTTAAAATCACCACGCTTGCCTTCACTTGCACTGGCTCGTCTTTAAGCTTGCTCAGCTGGTGCGACAATCAGCCTGGCAAGATGCCGTTATATCCGTTCAGGCACACAATCGTCGTGAGCATGAGACAGGGGTTTGTCCCCGGTTGTTGTGTTTGACCGCGATCGTTGATAATTCGATGCGTCACCTTGCACGAATGGATTAATTGCGTGGGCCAAACCTCGATGGAGCTGCCAACACCTCAGTCATCAATGACAAGTCGCCACGTCAAGGGAATAGTCAGTCTTCCTAATGAGCGCAGTTCACGTCCAAGCATGCAACTCGCTCTTGCTGCCGCTTTCGTGTCACTTCGTTTCCACATCATGTCATGGCCCGAGTGGCAGCGGATAGCTACCTACTTGGAGCAGGTACCGATCGCAGACGGCGATGTGCACAATAAGGACGAATGCCCGCCAAGATTGCATACGTGGGCGCGCAGTCGTTTCAATGCCAAAGAGACAGGCATCAGCAATGTCACGGTCGCAATGTCACTGATAGCTGGACTTGCTGCATGGGGTACGTCGACATCGTGTCTCCCTCGTCTGGTAGTTACTACCAGAACCTTCCGAGGTCCCAAGGATGCTCCGTGCCCCCCTCGCGGAATTGCTCACCTATATGTTACAAGAACTGACATGAAGCCATCGAGTTCAAACCACTGGCTCGTGGCGAGGGACTCGCAACCCCTTGGATATTAAACCGCCACAGACAGTGTGCCTGCCCAGCACAATGTACCACCAGATCAGCCCACGATGTCAACGACCCGGTGGTGCCTGCAGACAAGTCCCGGGCGTCGTTGAGGTCCGCTGCCGCGCGTAGGCTCCACGTCGGGCGCCGGTTGTATGGGGCGCAGCTCCCACATATGCCATGCACAATGACGCGACGTGTACGTCGGGATGCGGTCCGCGCCGTTTAAGCCACGAGGGTTGAAGCGAGGATGCACAACAAACTTTGGTGCTGCGCCGAAACCCCCGCAATTGTCACGCGAACCATCCTTCTCGGGCATTGCCGTTTTTAGCATCACCGGGTGTCAGTTGCGTCCGCTTGTCCGAGGAGTGAGCGAGACTTGGGCGAGTTCACGGCAAGCTTCCAGTTGTCCGTACGTAAGTGGCCTTCGTGCCGGACGGAGACGTGCCGTCGGTGAAGCTTGGCATAACTTTGACCGCAACAAGACAGGCCGACTCCGGAGTGTCGCGTCCCTGTCCTGAGAACAATGGAGAACATCATTGCCGTGTGTCCCTGGGCGATATTAGCGGGCGGGAGATCGCCGACGCCAGGGATGGCTGGGCCTGTCGAGTCGAGTCGCGTCGACTCCAGCCGAGACGTCCAAATCCTGGCCGCGACACTCGAGTCCACCGCGATGCAGCATCGCACGTGTGAGATGTCGATTCGGGTGGGGGAGATTTCGCTTGCCCCTGTCGCATGAATGATTAATACGAGCGAGGCGGAGCGGCGCTGAAGCTGAAACGCCGCGGCCGTCACTAACCTATGGCCTGATATCGACGATACCTAGCGCCGGCCTGCAGACGCGGGACAGACATATGCAAGGGCAGGGCAAGTGGAAATGACGTAACGTGTGCCTTGGCTGGCGCCCCTTTGCTCTGTGGCGTCCCGTTTCGTTTATTACGCGGGCCAGCGGGCGCGTGTGTCAAGCAAGGGCTGCCGGATCTGTCCAAGGTTTGAGTGCCTACAGACGCGGCACACCACCACCGCTGCACGGCAACAGAACAGGTCTTTGGCTGGCTAACTAGCTGGCTGGCATGAAAGCCGGCCATCACCCATCACCCAGCTGCTGGCCGCCCCGGCCACGTGACGCCGGCTCGTGAAACAACTGGGAAACATACGATGCGGGGCTCCCAGGAGCGTTGCACAGGTTCACGCTTTTTGCTCCATCCTGTCTCATGCGCCTTGTTGGTGCTTGCCCTGCGCAGTTGTAACCGGCCGCCGCCTCCTTCGTCGTTCCGTCTGCGTCCCGGCGCGCTCGGCTCCTCCCCGACAATGTGAATTGGCAATCCGCCGCCGCAGTCAATTGATAGCTTCTTTCGCATAGCTCTTTCAGCAAGCAGCAGCAGCATCTGGTGCGATGGCGCCTCCGCTGCAAGAGGTGTGTCCCCCCCGTCAGCTCCAACCGCGACCCCATCCATCCCCGTGTAAGTCCCAACCAGCAGGCAACTAACGTTGGAAGCGGCAACAGATCGTGTCCTCACCGCAGGCACCCGCCGTGCTGCAGGACGAGGTCGACATGAACACGTTCAACCAGATTGCCGAGATCGACGACTCGGGCAACAGCTCCTTCTGCATCTCGCTCTACTTCGACTTCTTTGGCCAGGCCGAAGACACCTTCAAGTCGATGCGCTCTGCCCTGTATGCCTCACAGATAGACAACTACATACCTCGACGCTTGCGACAGATGACGCTCACACGAACCGCAGGGACATTCAAGACTACGACAGGCTCTCCTCTCTCGCGCACTACATCAAGGGCTCGTCTGCGACGGTCGGCCTCTTCAAGATCCACGACGGCTGCGAGCGCATCGAGCGCTTCAGCAAGCAGCGCGACGGCAGCACTGTGGTCTCTCCGCAGGACGCCCAGCAGAGCACCAGCCAGATCCGCGACGTCCTGGTCGCGCTGCAAGAACACAACAAGAGGGCCGAGCACGCCCTCCGGCGACACTTTGGCATGAAGACGGAAGCATGAGCCCGAGGAGTGCCATGTTGCGCACGGCGACGGCGTTCACGGGTTGCTTTTGGGTCTGTCACATGTGCCTTGGCTTTTTTTATATATCTGGCTTGCGTCGGCTGCAGCAGGCAACGGCCATTAATTATAGTATTCATGATGTACGACTTGAAAACGATGCGCCAAGAATAGAGCGCTTTGCAACAGTGCCACCCGTCCTCCACGTCGTCATTTGGTGTACGGGAGAGCCACGGCCACCACCTGGCTGCTCGACATTGTTTTAGACCTCAAACTATTGCTCACAGATTGAGCCCAAAACCCGATCAAGTGCTGTTCAAACCGCAAAACGGAATTCGTTTCTACATCGAGACCATGAAAGCGCATCTCGGCAGTTGGTCGTGCTCCAGGGTAGCCATCGCTCACCCAAGTGGGGCCAAGGTCGGCAATCGGGGTTCAGCGTCACCGAACTTGCGGCGGGACGCCAGAAACTTTTTGGATTTTTTTCCTCCAAGCACTGCGACACCGTCTTTGGCGGCTGCTTCGACCAACATCCCACCACCACAACCATGGCGACTCGCAACCCCAAGCGGCAATCGCTGCCGCACAAGCAGGGGAAGACGGAGATTCGCCAGCAAAAGAGAAAACGAGACCAGGACGACCTGCAACAACTCGAGGCCGCCGTTGGCCAGCTCGATCCTACCTCGACCGACGTCAAGGCCTTTGCGGACCTCCCGCTCTCGCAGGCCACAGCGAAGGGTTTGAAGGCGTCGCACTTTCAGACCCTGACCGATGTCCAACAGCGCGCCATCCCGCTCGGCCTCAAGGGCCGCGACATCCTCGGCGCAGCCAAGACCGGTAGCGGCAAGACACTGGCCTTTCTGGTCCCCGTCCTCGAGAAGCTGCACCGCGCGCAATGGACAGAGTTTGACGGCCTCGGCGCCCTTGTCATCTCGCCGACTCGCGAGCTCGCCGTCCAGATTTTCGAGGTCTTGCGCAAGATTGGCCGCTACCACAACTTCTCGGCCGGCCTCGTCATTGGCGGCAAGAGCCTCAAGGAGGAGGCTGAGCGTCTGTCAAAGATGAACATCCTCGTCTGCACCCCCGGGCGCATGCTGCAACATCTGGACCAGACGGCGGGCTTTGACGCAGACAACCTGCAGATTCTGGTCCTCGACGAGGCCGATCGCATCATGGACATGGGCTTCCAGTCCGCCGTCGATGCGCTCGTCGAGCACCTGCCCAAGACGCGGCAGACACTCATGTTCAGCGCCACGCAGAGCAAAAAGGTCTCGGACCTGGCGCGCCTGAGCCTCAAGGAGCCCGAATACGTCTCTGTTCACGAAGCAGCGACCACGGCCACTCCGACGAACCTCCAGCAGCACTACATCACGACACCCCTTCCCGAAAAACTCGATACCCTATATGGCTTCATCAAGGCCAACCTCAAGAGCAAAATCATTGTCTTCCTGAGTTCAGGAAAACAGGTCCGTTTCGTCTACGAGAGCTTTCGACACCTCCAACCGGGTATTCCTCTGCTGCACCTCCACGGCCGACAAAAGCAAACCGCGCGGTTAGAGATTACCTCCCGGTTCACGGCCGCCAAGCATACATGCCTTTTCGCCACTGATGTTGTCGCACGAGGCATCGACTTTCCCGCCGTCGACTGGGTGATTCAGGCCGACTGCCCAGAGGACGTCGACACATACATCCACCGTGTGGGCCGTACAGCCCGGTACGAGAGCAACGGCCGTGCTGTGCTGTTTCTGGACCCGAGCGAAGAACCTGGCATGATCAAGAGATTGGAGCAGAAGAAGATCCCCATCCAGAGGGTAAACGTCAAGGAGAAGAAGAAGCGCAGCATCAAGAACGACCTTCAGAACATGTGCTTCCAAAACCCCGACCTCAAGTACCTCGGCCAGAAAGCGTTCATAAGTTACACCCGCGCCATTAACCTGCAAAAAGACAAGGAGATCTTCAAGCTCAACAAGCTGGACTTGGATGGGTTCGCCGCCGCGCTGGGTCTCCCCGGAACGCCCCAAATCAGGTTCCAGAAGGGTGAGGACGTCAAGAAGATCAAGAATGCGCCCCGAGATGGCATGTCAAGCGGCTCAGAGTCAGAGATGGATTTGGACGGAGAGAAGCCCAAGAAGAAGAAGAACGAGGTTCGGACAAAGTACGACAAGATGTTTGAGCGACAAAACCAGGACGTCCTGTCGAGCCACTACTCGAAACTCGTCCTCGATGGGTCCAAGCCTGCGCAGGACGACTCAGACGACGACGACTTCCTGGCCGTCAAGCGCCGTCTCAACGACGACGACCTGGACAAGGAGGCCAGCAAGGGCCATATCGGCGGAGCCAAGGTCATCTACGGGCTCGGCGGCAACGAGCCCTTCGTCGTGGACTCGAAGCGCCGCGAAAAGGCGCTCCAGTCCAAGAAGAAGATGCTCAAGTACATGGGCAACCCCAGCAAGCTCGTTTTCGACGAGGACGGCAACGCGCACGAGATCTACGAACTGCAGAACGAGGACGAGTTCAAGCAGCAGGGCCCCGTCGACGAGCTGCGGCAGCGCTTCGTCGAGAGCGAGTCGGCGCGCGTGCGCGAGGCCGACGTGGACGACAAGCAGCTCGCCCGACAGCGCAAGCGCGAGAAGCGCGAGAAGAAGAAGGCGAGAGAGGCTGCGGAACTCGCGGGCGTGGACGGACGTGGCGCCGGCAGCGACGACGACGACGACGAGGCTCCTCGACTGGTGTCTACGGGTGGCGACGCAGACGAGGACCCGCTGGCGCTGCTGCGCTCGCTCCCCGTCGGCGACGATGGCGAAGACTCCGAGCCGGAGCCCCCGCGCAAGAAGGCCAAGAAGTGGTTCCAGCGCGACGACTCGGACGCCGACTCGGACGACGAGACGCGCGAGAGGAGCAAGGCCAAGGCCAAGCCCAAGGCCAAGACAAAGGGCAAGGGCAAAGTGTTCGAGGTGGAGGACGAGCCCGAGACGCTGGAGGACTTGGAAGCCCTGGCGGCGGGCCTGCTCAATGGGTGAGCAGAGCGCCCGGGGAGTTGGTAGTAGAGCTGTTGATATACCCTCGTGGGCGCCGTGGCTACGTAGAAATGTCCGCGAATACATACATGCGTCCGCTTTGGAACCTGGGAACACGTCGTCACTGTGATGCTCGCCGGTTTGATTGATTGGCGAAGCAGAAGACACTGCTGGTCCAGCATACGCGCGGTCACTTACAGATGCCCATGCAGAGGTAACATTCTCGACAACCATCTCGTACAAGAGCGCACTCCATTGGTATTTACCCAGTAAGGCAACGGTAGATTCCAGCGCTCTATCGATCAAATCCACTTCAGAACCAGTACCGCCAGAGACCCTCGGGTGAAAAGGGAAAAATAAAAGACAACCAGCTGGCCCTGACCCGACGACGCCTTTGCTCAAAAGCCCAACGAACACAACACCAAAGCACCAACCGTGCCGGAGCGACAGAAATCCAGACTACCTATATGAGCGCCGGCGCGTGCTGGCTTGCCTTCTTCAGCGCCCTGCCTCTTGGCAGGCAGCTCCATCTACAGCCCCCTGCTGCCTATAACGGGCTCGGCGGCTTGACGCTTGCCAAGGGCACGCTTCAGCCACCCGGTGCCATCTAGCCCACCGCGATTCTTCTTCCTCTCCTTCTCAGCGTCCCTCTTGGCGAGCTCAATATTCTCGCCGTAGAGACGCACCCTGTAAAAGCACGTCTGGTTCCGCGCGCCGTAGTTGCTCACCGCGCGAACGACGACGTGGTCCGTCGCCGCGCCGATCGTGAGCAGCTCCGTGCTGAGGCGCTGGACGTGCACCCCGTCGTGCACCTCGGCGCCCTCGTACGCAAACTGCGCAATCTTGACGAACCGATCGGGCAGCTCGGCGGGCGTGTAGTCCCAGTCGAGGCCCTTGTAGGCGGGCGGGTCGGGGTAGTGCGTGGCGGAGAAGTCGCGCACGCGGGCGTGCACCCCGGCGTCCCTGAACTCGGCGTAGACTTCGATGTCGCGGGGGCGGGTGCCGGGGTCGGGAGTCGCGCCGGGGAGGATGTGCTCGACGACGATGTGCTGCGGGATGACGCAGTAGCCGAGCAGCACGCCGAGCGAAGCGCTGTGCGGGTCGCCGTGGCGGGACTGCGCGCGGGCGCCACAGAAGCAGTCGCCCATGTCCTTCCACGGCAGGAGAGCCGCGATGGGTTCCAGGGGCTTGTGCACGCTGGCGCCTTTTTGGTCCTCGAGAGAGAAGTACTGGCTGGAGAAGGGGTCGTATACCGGAGAGGAGTGTTGGGGGTCGGCGACGGCGCCGGCACCGATGGAGAAGTAGTTGACCTGGTGCTTGAGGCTGGCGTCCCAGTGAGCGTGGATCTTGCCGTTGGCGAGGGCCTGGAGGTTGATTTCCGACAGACCACGGCGCACAAGGCCGTTGACGAGAGTGGTGATTTCCGCGCGGGTCATGGCGCTTGAGTGATGTTGCGCGGCGAGGTCGATGGTTTCGCGGACCAGCTTCTCCATCTTGGGCTTCAACTCCGCGACCTCTGCCCGCATCTCGGTCCGCATGGTAGCCACCTCGTTCTTCAAGTGCTTCATGTACTCGTCTTTCTCCACGACCTTGCCGGCGGAACTGGAGGGGCGATCACCGGTCTCCGCCGACTTGCTCTTGTCTTTACCATCGGACCCAATAATTTTTTGCACCTTGGCCTGATTTTCCTTGAGCCAGTCGTTCCAAGAGTCCGAAGACGACCCAGCTGAAGAGCTTTTTGCCGAGTTGATGGCAGTGCGGTCGATTTTGGATGTAACTTTAGGGTCGCTGCCCAAGCGGGCCACGATTGCTTTCCACAGCCGCTCCGACGTTGCATCAAACTCGTTTCGCTTGATGTCAAACGTAAATATTGATTCGTCCTCGCGCATTAGGCCTCTGAGGGCGTGATAGAAGTCCGGCGAGACAACTGGCCGACCGTCCTGCAGTTCCATGTGCACCACCTTTGGAACGATTGTCTCGAGCCTCTTGATGGCGTCGTCATGAAGCTTGTCCGCCGAGCCAAGTGCGTCAATGGTCCGACCCATCTTCTTGAATATCTTGTCCACCTTTTGAGGTGTCAAATCGTTTAGATCACCGTTTTTGAAAATGTCTTCCCACTGACGTGAGGACCGCGACCGTCGCATAGAAGGAAGCGAAATGGACGGAAGGGACATGGATGGGAGCGACAGTGACGGGCGGGATATGGACGGAATCTGAGGAAGCGACCAGCGAGAGCCGCCGTCGACCGGCTCCCACATGTCGTCGTAGCTACCGCTCCTCCAGGTCTGCAAGCGAACGCTAGAAAGAGCTACGCCAAGGACCACAACAAAGATGGCACCAAAGACGTATGGCAGCCAGTCGGCGTAGTCTGACAAGCGGTCTTGCATTCCCTCCGGAAGAAGAGAGTACACCGCGTCAAAGAGAGGCTGCAGCGTGTCGACGACGAATTGCCACATGCTGACGATAAGTTGCCACAGGCTAAGAAGAAGTTGCCATAAGCTGGCGAGAGGCCGCCATAGCGGAGAACGAGATCGCGAATCGCGATAGCGAGTTCGGCGTCCGCTGATCAGGCCTTGTACCGCGGCAACTAGGCGTTGGAACACGGTGAGAAGCACCCAGGCGCCGGCTTTAATATGGGTCCAGGGATTGAGAAGCTGCCACCAGTTAATAGCTGATCTGTTGCGCTCGTCAGAGAAATCAAGTCGATTAGACGGCTTGTTCCATGGCATTTGCCATCGTCGCTGCGCTGATCCCTTCATGTCCTCATATTGTTGTTGCTTCTGCTGAACCCGGCGCCCCGACTGCTTCGGCAGCTGCCGTCCGCTTGCCCCTTGAGGTGGCAGAAAGGGTTTGTTCGAGAAGAAGCCCGAAGGCACTGTTGCCCGTGTAGCGTTGCTGAGTTGACGTTTCGTTTCCTCGAAATCCTCATCCACGGTTCGTGCCTGACGGGGGTCAGGAAGTCCACTGCGAGACCCGGGTATCTCCAAGACGAAATTTTGACGCCTCGACCCTGCGTGTCGGAGCTTGATGGGCTTGGCGGAAGGGTCTTGCTCGCCACCACTCTCCTCGCTAAATTGATCGTCGTCCGGCAAGCCGTAACTTCGCACTGGCGGATTGTTTGGCATGAGCTTGGTGCCTCGGTACTGTGGAAGAGGTGATGGCTCCGGAGAGCTGCCCAAAGGTGGATGTCGCCTCTGGTTGGTGCCATGGGTAGACTGACTCGGTCGCGGAGGGGGCGGCATGCCACCGGGGGTCGATGTTATCGTTGCGTCCCCGTAGTAGTCGCTCTCCATGCCGAAGCTGCGGGTGTCGTCGGCGTCACTTCCATCGGACGCGCGAATCCCACCATTTAAGGTGCCCTTGAGACTCTGGAACAAGCCTCGCCCTTTGCGGCTTACGGCGGCTATGGCAAAAGGTCAGACGGAGAACTCGTGCATTCCCTGTAGCATCTTTAACGTGACTCACATGGCATGTTAGAACCGCCGGCCAGCTCGTCCTGATCCGGGTCCATGGCGCTACTCGAGCGCGTCCGTGTCCGGTCAGACCCTTCTTCATCGTCGTGGCGGCCCATGGCATGCCGGACGGCATTGCTCAGGTCGAATACACCCTTCGACTTGCTCCCTTGTCGCGTGGGGGCAGGTTCGGCGCCCGCGCCATACGAATACTGCCGGCGAGCACTGGGAGTTCCGCGGAGGTCTGGTAAGTTTGGCTTCGCGAACGCGGAGCTGGACGATGCATCTGAGTCTCTCCTAGGGTTTCTGGCGGATTGACGCCGTCCTCCCTGGGCTTTGGGAGGCATGCTGCGCGAGACTGGGGAAATGTGAGAGAGGGTGGAAGACTGAGGCGATGATGAGTTGCGGTGGGAAAAAAGAGAAAAGTCGTCGAGGAGTCGTGAGTATCGAGTTTTGTCGGGTGAGTTGTGATGGAAATAGATGGTGAGGATCTGGAAGAAAGACAATGCCGCCGAACACGCTAGGATCGGTCGCAAGGCAATTCCTTTGTGCTCGATGTCCGGCTCCAGTTCTCCCTGCAGCGACAAAGGACCTAGGTTGGTTGTTGTGGTGGCGGCGCAGCGTCATCAACAAAGGGCATTTTGCAGGCGCCCTCGGATGAGAAACATGCTGGATGAGAGAGGCGTAGGTCTGTCGCGTGTTGAGCGCACCTACCGCCTTTGCCGGGCAGCGCAATGCGACGCAGCGCAACGGAAAGCGTGCGTGGCGAGGATGGAAGATGCGGCTCGCTGTGAGCGCACCTCGGGCAATGAAACGGCGCGTGAAAGGATGCGGTGGTTTCGTTTGTTGAGCTTGACTTCTGAAAGTTGCCGTGGCTTGTTGTGCAGTGCAGGTGGTGGTGAGTCGTGACGCCCTGGTACCTGCTCAGGCAGCTGGTACGAGTGGTACTCGTGCTGGTGCACCTAGACGCGCCTGTGGCGTGGTAGCGTGTCGCGCCGGGGTTTAGGCGGCGCGGACAGTGCCCGTGGTGGGCGTTCATTCGTGCAGCGTTCTCCAGAGGTTCTGGCAGGCCGCTAGGTCACGTGGGGTGTGAGCCTGGTGTGCGTGGGAGGTTCAGGGACCAGTCCAGCAGCGAGCCCCGCCGCCCGCGTTGCTCCAGCACACACACACTGCATTCCCCAGGACGCACATTCCACACGGTGGCTGCTGTCTGGGACAATGGCCTTTGTTGCCGAAAGCAGGACACCGCCGTGCCCGTACCCGCATCTGCACCCGCACCAGCCCAGGACCCTTCGATGGGTAGTTGACGGCGGCATTCGGCTGGTCTCGAACACATGCATCATCGGCCATCACGCTCGTTGAGGGGCAGCCGACCGTCTCCCTCTTCGAGCCACCTGGCCACGAGCTCGGTCTCGCCACGACGGCATCACGTCGCCAGAGACGAGACATGGACGGACTCCGGAGGCGACTCGGGGGTGTCGGGGCGCGTGGCTCACCGCCGGCCCAGTGTTTGCCGCACCTTGCGCCGCGCGGCGGTGGCTCCGCCCACCGGAGGCTGGCGTTAGGCGCGCCACTGAGAGGCGGCGCCCTTGGGCCGGCCTGGGTCCGTCGCCGCCTGCCAGAGAGGCTTCGCTCGGACACGGGACGGGGACGATGGGAACAGATGGTGGAGCGAAGCCTGCGATGCCGCGGGATGAGCCCAGACGTGGTGGCCGAGTGGTTACACAGCGTCCGGCGTTGGGCTGCTGTGTACACACGCATGTCGTGACAGTTGGCGAATCCAACGAAATGGCCCACCGCTAACCACTCTATTTTTTCCTCAAACGTGATCGTCGCCGTCGGTCCAGTCACAACCGGCCAGGGGCACGGCGATAAACACCTCACGCACAGCTAAAATGACGGGCCGCCACAGCCCACGTGTACGAGGAATAGCTCCCTTCTCGCCTGGGTCGGCGCAAACGAGTGGACGGTTGGGCCGCCGTCGTCCCATCCTGGACTCATTCCAGCCGGGAGGCTGCGCTTACGGATCCGTCATACGAGCAGCGCTGTAGATTAACGTGACGCTTTTGGGTGGCACCAGGCAAAGACTCGAGAGAAAGGCGCGCGCCCCTTTCCACAAGATCAAACTCTCCCCGCGCTCTGCAACTTTCTGATTTCTTTTCCTCAACAAAACCCTCCGCGATCCCAATTGCCCAAGCTGTCGCGCACAATTTCTCTACCCCTTTCCCGCCCGGCGGCTGCGTCTTTCTTTGGCCCCCCGAGACTGTCGCGCCGATCTTACACTTACAACACCCGCCAATCTGCCCCTCCACCACCGCTGCGACGACCGCTCCGCCCTTATAACCCCGCCAACAACCTCCCGCCGTCCACGGAGCCCCTCTCCCAAAACTTCCAATTCCTCCACCACCGCCGCCGCTTCCTCTCGTCCTCGCCAATTCCGCGCACAATGGCTGTCGGCACCGTTCTCATCACCGGGTATGTGGCCGGCGTCTCCAATTCGCCTCGTTGATTGTCGCTGACTGACCGCCGCAGTGGCACCGGCTACATTGGTTCCTTCACCACCCTCGCCCTCCTCGAGCACGGCTACGATGTCGTCATTGTCGACAACCTTTACAACTCGTCCAAGGTTGCCCTCGACCGCATCGAGCTCCTCTGCGGCCGCCGCCCAGACTTCTACCAAGTCGACGTGACCGACGAGAAGGGCCTCGACGAGGTCTTTGCCAAGCACCCCGCCATTGACAGCGTCATCCACTTTGCTGCTCTCAAGGTTGCTCTCCTCGCGCCCATTGACCTGGAATTGTTACTGACACAAGCATAGGCTGTCGGAGAGTCGGGCGAGATTCCCCTCGAGTACTACCGCGTCAATGTCGGCGGCAGCATTGCCCTCCTCCGCTCCATGGAGCGCCACGGCGTCTCCAACATCGTCTTCTCCTCCTCGGCGACCGTCTACGGCGACGCGACCCGCTTCCCCAACATGATCCCCATCCCCGAGCACTGCCCCATCGGCCCGACCAACACGTACGGTCGCACAAAGTCCATGATCGAGGATGTCATCACCGACTTCATCAAGGCCCAGCGCAACAACCTGCAAAAGGCCGGCAAGCCCCACGCCCAGTGGAACGGCGCCCTGCTGCGCTACTTCAACCCCTGCGGCGCGCATCCCAGTGGCCTCATGGGCGAGGACCCTCAGGGCGTGCCCTTCAACCTGCTGCCCCTGCTGGGCAAGGTTGCGACCGGCGACCGCGACAAGCTGCTGGTCTTTGGCGAGGGTGAGTCGGAGACGATGCGCAGGAGCTTTGTTCCCGCCTGCTGACCAAATACAGACTATTCCTCTCGTGATGGAACGGCCATCCGCGACTACATCCACGTCGTCGACCTGGCACGCGGCCACCTCGTCGCCCTCAACTACCTGCGGGAGAACAAGCCGGGCGTCAAGGCGTGGAACCTGGGCTCCGGCCGCGGCAGCACCGTGTTCGAGATCATCAAGGCCTTCAGCGCCGTGGTCGGCCGCGACCTGCCCTACGAGGTGGTGGCCCGCCGACCGGGCGACGTCCTGGACCTGACGGCCAACCCCGCGTTGGCCAACGAGGAGCTCCAGTGGAAGACGGAGCTGACGATGGAGAAGGCATGCGAGGACCTGTGGCGCTGGGTCGACAACAACCCCCAGGGCTACCGCCAAGACCCGCCGGCGAAGCTGCTGGACGCGGTCAAGAAGACGAACTGAGCCTTGGAATGGGAGGCGCGGGGGACACGACGGAACGGCCGATCTGGTTGGGACAACGGGATAGATGGATGGTTGAATAGCATGGCACCAGTACAGTGGTCTCGGATCACAGCTTAAAAGGAGAAAACCGACCAGAGTCACAGCTTCAAGCACGCGCGCGTCAACAGTGAGGTCACGGCAACTTTTTATTGGGAATTGCGAGCTTACTCGCAGTCTATCAAGAGCTTGCCCGTTGTCTTGCGGCTCTCAATGTCCTGGTGGGCCTGGGCGACGTCCTTGAGCGCGTACGTCTTGTGGATGGCGACGTTGACCTTGCCCGACGTGATGAGGTCGAAGAGCTCGGCCGAGTAGCGCTCGAGGTCGGCGCGCTCGGCGACGTAGCCGTTGACGACGGGGCGCATGAGCTTTACGTTCTTGGGGCCGAGCTTGAGGATGGACAGGGGCGGGACGGCGCCGGACTGTGAGAGCGCGCGCGGGTCAGCACTTTACGTTACAAAGGGTTATATTATAGGTGGATGCGACGACTTACCGCGTTGCCAAACGAGATGAGGTGGCCCTTCATGGCAATCATCTCGAGGTCGGCGTCAAACGTCGCCTTGCCGACGCCGTCAAAGATGACGTCGACACCGTGCCCGCCCGTAATCTCCTTGACCTTTGCGACGACATCGTCATGCGAGTTGATAGTCCACTCCGCGCCGTTCTGGCGCGCAAGCTCGCACTTCTCCTTTGAGCTCGCCGTGCCGATAATCTTCGCGCCCACGCTGCGCAGCATCTGCACGAGCAGCAACCCCACGCCACCCGCCGCGGCATGCACGAGCGTCCACTGGCCCGGCTTGACCTCGCCGGCCTCGCGCACAAACGTCCACGCGGTGAGGCCCTGGAGGAACGCGGCGGCGGCGCGCTCGTACGTCAGCGCGTCGGGGATGACGACGACCTTGTCGGCGGGCACGGCCGAGAACTGCGCGTACGTCGCCTGGTCCATGTAGACGACGCGGGTGCCGGGCTGGCGCAGCGCAGGGGGCACGTCGGCGCCCGCGGCGACGACCTCGCCGGCGGCCTCGCGGCCGAGCGTCAGCGGGAAGGCGGGCGCGGCGTACAGGCCCGTGCGGAAGTACGTGTCGATGAAGTTGACGCCCGAGAAGCGGTTGCGCACGAGGACCTGGTTGGGGGCGGGCTGCGGGACGGGCACGTCGTTGAGCTCGAGGACCTCGGGGCCGCCGTTCTTGGCGATCTGGACGGCCTTCATGGTGGCGGGGAGGGGTGCCATTTTGGCTGCTTTTGCAGACGATGAAGCTGTGGTCGTGAAGTTTCTCGTTGCTGCTGCTGTTGTTGGAGCTGTGGAGGCTGGAGCTCGTGTCCGAGGCGCGGAGGAGGCGGATAATGCGTAGCGGGGATGGAGGGGCAGCGACAGCTGGAGCTGGTGTCGATGTGGGGCAGGGGCGTCAGAGCTGATGCGGCGACCGATGCGGGCGGAAGAGGCGTGTCGTCGTCTCGAGGCGAGAGAACTGGCGGACGGGGCAGTGACTACGGGACGGATTGCAGTAGCAGTTATCGTGCGGAGGGCTCGCGGTGCAGACGCTGGAATCAATTGGGCCATTGAAGCTGTATATATGTATGCCCGCTGCAGCAAGGTCGAGCAATGGACGCCGGCGGCTGACTGGTGGGATTGACGACGGGATGCGCGAGTGGGTGAGGGGCAGGTTCGTGAGCATTAATAATGCCGGTTGGAGGGGTCAACCGATGGCGACTTGGGACGGCTCGAATGCCGGTCTTGGTGATGGCTTATAAAACATGGCGGGCGAGCTGGTCTGCCACACGCGGATGTTTTATTCCCGGGTGGAGAGGGGGCAGCTCGAGCTAAAGGGGCGGGCCAAGGGCGTCGTCGACAGGGCCGTACGCTCCACCGGGCTTGCCATACTTGACTGTCCAGTGTAGGGGAGTTCGTGGTTGTAATTATCATGTAAGAGAATACCGATGCAGCCAGATTTGTCGGAGATCTTTGTGTAAAGTCTAGAAGAACTGACACGAGCTCAACATCCTACTTGGTTGCCTAGTTGACTCTAAGCGGCCACGCTGTATGATTCTATATAAAATACATTCCATTTAATCCTCTCTGCAAGTCTATACTGCCCGCAGCCCCGGCTTGACGCCCGTCAACTGATCTATAAGCGGCTTGTACAGCGCGCACCTCTTGTCCAGCACCTCCGCCTTCACCGTCTTCACCTCCGCCTTGTCCCCGTTCCCCAAGACGAGTACATCCGGCGCGCCGCCGCTCCCCCCAGGCCCCTTACTCGGGTCCTTGGCAAAGTTGGCCCACGCCGTGCGCATCGCCCGGCTGAGCTGCTCCTGCGCGGGCGTGGCCCCCCCGCGCGGGTACGTGCCGAAGACGAGCTGGATCTCGGACGCGTGGTACGCGCTGCCGGGGAAGAAGCGCGCGTTGGGGAAGCTGGCGTTGAACAAGTACCGCCACGTCGGGATGCCCGCCGCGGCACTGTCCTCGGCCACGACCTTGGCTGGGCAGTGGAACGACAGGTCGCCGTAGATGGCCGTCATCTGGTCGTTGGGCGTGCGGATCCCCGGCGAGCCCAGAGGGTAGGCGGACACGATCTTGTCTGCGATCTCCTTGGGCACCGCGCCGAGGACCTTGGATGTGTCGTTTTGGCGGATCATGAAGTGTCTGCCCTCGTCGGCGTTGCTCCCGATGAGGATGGGCACGCGAGCGAATGATGAGTTGCCCTTGGCCGAGTTGAGCCTGTCCAGGCGCTCCTTGAACGCCCATGTCACGCCGTCGGGTTGCGGTGAGAAGGTCAGCATCTCCTTCTCGGCGATATCCTTGAGCTTCTGCGCGGGTATCTTGCGCAGGCACGCGATGGCGTCACGGGGCGGGCATCCGGCCTTTGCGACGAGCTTGGCCCACGACACCGCAGTGTCGTTGTTGGGCACCAGGATGCTCGCCTGGCCGGACTGCATGATGGCGCCGGCGAACGGCAGACCACCCTTCGGCGGCGCGCCGAGCAGGGCGTCGACGCTGCCCGCGCCCGCGCTCTCCCCAAAGATGGTCACCCTGCGCGGGTCGCCGCCAAACGCGAGTATGTTGCGTCGCACCCATTCGAGCGCAAGCCGCTGGTCCAGAAAGCCGAGGTTGCGCTCTCCAGGCGGGATACTGGCGTCGCCAGGGAAGCCAAAAACATTGGTGCGGTAGTTGAACGTAACAACGACGACGTCCTGCTCGGCAGCGAGCAACGCCCCGTCATGCAGCGGCAGCGACCCGGAACCGAAGCTGAACCCGCCGCCAAAGAACCACAGCAGCACGGCCTTGCTCCCCGCGGGCGCGTCGCGCGGCGCCCACACGTTGAGCGAGAGGCAGTCCTCGGCCTCTTGCCCCGGCGGTGGCGGGGTGTTGAAGAGGGCGATGCTGAGGTTGCGCGCGGCGGGCGGGTTGTTGAACTTTTGCACGCACGTGGGCTTGAAGTGCGAGGCGTCGTAGGTGCCGTGCCAGGCGGGCGCGGGCTTGGGAGGGGCGAAGCGCACGGGTGGCGCGCCGTATGGGATGCCGAGGAACTTGTTGATCGTGGCGGAGGATGATGCTGATGATGATGCTGATGGGGAGATGGAGACGGCGGTGGTTGTGCCTGCGATGGCGCCGGCGTCGATGGCGACGGTGGGACGTGGTGCGGGCTTACATTGCGCGAGGGAGGATGTCGCGAGAATGTGCAGCACGAGTGCAACTAACGAGAAGGAAGTCATCGTGATGTGCGTAGGCCCTCGGCAGTCCAAAGCGGGCGTGGGTTTGCTTCGTCCACTTACACGACCGCCACATGCAGTCAGGGCGCCCAGCCGATTTATACACCAACGCTCCTCATCGAGTTTCCCACAAGGTCAGACTCCATCTCCCGAACAAAGCCAACGTCATTTCTCAGCCCTACTTGCATTAAGCAGGGCAATGCTTAAAACCATGGCAATGCCCGGCGCGCCGCGCCCGCAGCGGAAGCGCCGCCGGTAGGTCGACGTGCCGGCGATCGTCGCCGTCAGCAGAGACTACGGCGGGGGCTGAGCTGCTGAGGCTCCGGCGGTGTTTGCGATCTTGAGGCGAAAACCGCGTACAGCGGCCCAAGGTGGTTTAACGTGCCGCTCCCTGCCCTTGGCGGCAGCGGCCGAGCTTACGCGATGACGGACTGCCAGCTTGCTAAGCCCGCTTGGCAGACGTATTAGGGTGGATGGACCGCTCAGGCGCATTTGCACGTCAACATATTGCCGGATCGGGGCTCTTCCTGAAAGATTCGAGTGTATGTTTTTGGGTGCGTTTTCGCGGCTGTCGGTACAAATTAGGGCTTCATTTTGCGTACTGCGTGGCGGGTGCATTTATCAGCAGCTTCAAAGCCGCCCGTGAAGCTGATGCGAGGTGGTAATGTAAATGAACCAAGACGCTTGCAACCGGGCCAAGTCTGCCGGGGCTGTTCTATAACAAGATGATAAGTTGTCCTCGCCTTCTTCGATGCGGCTCACACCCGCCGGTAACCCTTTCGTCTCCTCCAATACACCATAGCCAATCTCACCACCAGCATCGTGAGCATACCAAGCGTCCCAACCACAGCAGCACCGGCAAGTATCGTGACAATCAAGTGGCTGCCCACCCATTGAAACACATGATTATCCCAGTTATCCCACGATCCGCCCTGCGTGTGCATGAAAAACACCCACGGCGCCGCCCCGGGCCGCATGTCCATCATGACGCGCGTGAGCTCCGGCTCGCCGCCAGCCAGCCCCGCGTGGTACCGCTGCCACATGTCCGTCAGGAACCACTGCCCCGTCGCGTAGCTGATGGTGATGTAGGGGAAGGGGTAGTTCCATGCGTAGCGCATCATGGACTCGGTGGTGAGCTTCCAGAAGGGGTGGTTGGGCGCCGCGCCGAGGATGTTGTTGCTGAGGGCGCCGTGGCCGCCGTCGGTGACCCAGACGGGGTAGTAGAGCAGCGGGTCCAGGCTGGTGAGGCAGCCCTGTGAAGCCCGTGTTAGACGTGCCTTGAAAGGAGTGGAGGGAGACTTGCATCGTCGAGGTCTATGTAGATGCCGCCGTAGTGCCGCATGAGCAGGTATCTCAGCGCATCCACCTTTTGGACCGGAAATTTGAAGTTGTCATATGTCTCTAAGAACCAAGAGTACTCCTTCTCAATGAAGTCCCGCGACATTTTCTCCGTCCATAGCTACGTAACTGTCAGTGCTTGTGACATGACAAGGGTCGTCTGATGAGACAGCACGAGAAGCAGCACCAACCTTGTACTCCCATCCTGGGTGCAAGTCGATGCACGTCTGTCGCGCTGCGTCCCATATGGCTGGAATCGTCTCATTTCCGGGATCTTTCCAGTTGTGGTAAATCTGATGTATGATGGGCGGCACGACGCGTGCGCGAGGGTCCGGTGTCGTGGCGTTGTGAGCGTGAGCAATCTCGCCTTGAGTGAGGGCAACGCCTGAATGGCCCAGGAATATGTGCACAAAGAAGTTGACTTTGGCGCCTACGTATATGAGAAGAAGGATAGCCAGGGCCGTGACGGAGAGGTGCACGGGCTTGCGCGCGATGAGTCGCATCGTGCGAGTGCCCATGACGGGCTTAGGAATGAGTCGTGCGGGACAGATCTTGTGCGGCAGTGCGGATCGTCTATGCCAAAGTACTATGGGTGAGGATACAAAGTCGTATACTTTGACACCGCACAGCTGGACACAACTGTGAGTATCAATTTGAAAGCATGATGAGCAGAGCAGAAGGAAAGGTTTGGGTTGCTGCAAAGGGGCTCATGAGACGTGGCGGGCTATGAGATCCGTGCAGCGCGCCCCCGTGGAGGGTGTTTAACAGGGGTCCTGGATGGCAAGATTTGGAGACCCAAGGATGCGGTTGGTACATCCGATGGGAGAAAATGCTGTCACAGGGGTGAGACTGGGTGACGGTATTCATGAAGGCTATGCTGGCAGATCGGCCAGCAATGACCTCAGCGTCTGCAATTCTGCATGCATCACAATGGACTGCCGCCTTGATGCCTATGGCTTCCATGACAGTAAAACGAAATTGAGGCTTCACTTTGGCCCAGGGCTGCTGCAGCAGTCGAGAGCACGAGTAAAGCGGAATGAACGATGCGCGGATCCCATGATGATGTGTTCGTGGCAATCCAATCAAACAAGGCCCATGCGGCGGCCCACGTGGTTGGGCGGTTCGACGTCGATGCGCGCCACGACCAGGCCGACAGAGCGACTGTCTTTCTAAAGAATCCTTCGTGTTAGGACCCTGAAAAAAGCGTTGGGACTCCTTTTCATGAGGTACTTGAGGCAACATGGCGCCAGATCGGGACGCTCAAGAGCATTTGAGGCCGTGAAGATACGGCAGTTGTAGGTGCTCACCAGGGAGCCTGGTGTAGCATGAAAAGGAGCCTCACCAGCCAGATAGGTGAGAACGGCAGTGACTGTTTGGCAGTGGAATCTTGCCCGCAGCGAAGAATTGAGTCAAAACAAGAGCTCAATTTTCCCAAGGGAAGAGCTACTTGGTGATTCAATTGAATTTGCTCCGGCACTTGGAGTTGCAGGGGGATTGGAGGTTCCCGGGTAGCCAACGGCACTCGGCCGACTTGGGATGGGATGTCGGCTGGCCCTCCGCCAGCGACATGCATCGCGGCCAGGACCAGTGGACTTCGGGTTGTCGCGTCAGTCGCCAAGCACCCGCTCGGAGACTCACCGACCAGCGCCTGAGTGGCCTGCCGCTCGGTCCTCCTCCAGAGTTTCCCGTGCAGACTTGCTGGGCCGTTTGACCGGACACGCGTCGCGATGAGGGGGGAAGATTGCAAGCAGGGAAGCGTCGTTGTCCGTCATCGCGCAAGGGCCACTCATGTACTAAGCGGTGCCGTTGACGAGCAGCCGAGTCCGGTAATAAAAATTTCATTACTTCTTAATGGCGCGGGTTGATGGCGTAACCCCCGTCTTGGTTGCGGACGGGGGGGTGCCCAGGCCGCGCAACCCTTCGCGACACCACTTCCTCAAGCGGCCGTGATGGGCCGTGGCAGTGCAGCAGAGGCCGCGACGCCTCTGGGGTGAGATGCGATGCGATGACGGTCCCCTTGGCTGCTGCCCCAGTGGTTCAGCGCCGCACGAGCCGGGGGGCGTCTTCAAGGTGGTGGGCGGGGCCGTACCAGCATTTGCCGTGGCTATTTCTGGCATCAGATCAGTTGAAGATGATAGGTGTTGCGATTTTGACGTACGGGAGGGCTCCTCTGTGCGAGGGAGGGCGGTAGCCGGCTCTGTTCGCACTGATGGAAAGCTTCATTCCAGCCTTCACGCGACAGACATTGATTGGGCTGACAGTCTGAGTGCCCGAAGCCAGACGCCGCAAGCCGGGCGCAGTCCAGGGCACCCGTGGACGGACCCGAACTCACACGACAGCGACAGTGGGGAGCCCACGTACCGCTGGAGCCACTGCTGGGCAGGGCAATTGGCATGGCGGGCACCTGCAGCTTCCATGCCCGCATGGAGAGAGAGCCCTGGAGGGTGCCCGCCCGCCCGCTGTGGCTTAGCGCAGCCCTCCCGAGCTTCGGGTGGGCCGCAGCGAACCACACCTCGCATGGATGCCGTCGAGGGTGTGACGACAGCACGAATCCAATGGCAGTACGTACTCGTACAGCACGACACGCCTCGTAAAGACTGCCCTAGCTACAAGAGAAGGGCCAACCTCCATCTCATCCCTTCACCACCCGCGCACGTGCCTGACGGGGAGAGAAAACACCAAGGCGCCCCGTCTCCTCGCTCGCTCAAATTCTCATTCTCCATTGCGCCGTGCGCCAGCGGGCTGCGGCTTCCATGACCTGATCCGACCTCGTCCGCCAGCGCGTGCGCCTCGCCTCATCCGATGCTGCCGCCTTTGCTGGCCTTCGCCGCATCACCATCATGCCCGCCCTGACGCCCAACGACCGCCAAAGGCGCATCATCCAGCTGTCCCAAGAATGGGGCATCCGCCTCCCTCCAGCGCCCGCGCCGCTCTCCCGCCCTCCGCATCCGCCCTCGTTCCGCACGCCTGCCGATGACCAGATCGCCGAGGAGCTCATGCAGCGCCGCGCCGCCGATGTCGCCCAGTATCGCCCAAGGAGCAGCATCAGACAGGCCTTTTCTTCCAACAACCTCAAGAAAGGCAAGAACTGGGACCCCCGCGAGGTCCTCGAGGTCCTCAGCGCATGCATTTCCAACGCTGGCTCGCCCGGCGTGGGAGAGGCCCTCATCGCCAAGCTGGCTGCCGCTGGCGTCGACCTCGCTGGCGCGCAAAAGCAAAAAGGCGGCATCCTGACCCGGCGCCGCAGTGTGGAGGGTTTGGGGGATCGCAGTCGGCTGCTAAGGCTGGCCGTCGATGGGAACCAGTTTGACATGGTTCAGCTGCTTCTCCCTAATGTGGACTCCTTCGCCATCGACGCATGCCTGCCCGCCGCCATCCGCAGCGGCAATGCGCCTATCGTCGAGCTATTGCTGCGTTACGGTGCGAGCGCGGCCCAGACCCCGGACGGACAGGACGCTTTCCGCCAAGCTTGCGCCGTTCACGGGCAGTCGCACATGGTCAGCCTCATCTTGCGCGCAGAGGGCCGCCCACCGGCCTCCCTGGCCTCGGCTGCCATGTGCGATGCCGCGAGGGCGGGCTGCTTGGATACGGTGCTTCATCTCAGCCGGTCAACCGCTGACGGTAACCACAACCACGCCGAGGCTCTCAAGGCCGCGATCAGCTTGGGCCGACGAGACATGGCCCTGGCAATCGTCATGGGAAACCGCCCACCACAGCGGCCCGGCCTGGACGAGGCTTTCCAGATCCTATACGACCATCCGTCGCTGAACCCCACCATGAAGGTCGAGGTGGCCGAACTCCTCCTCTGTGCCGGTGCAGATGGCGTTGTTTTGGCGCAAGCCCTTGAGAAGTCCTGCGAATCGCAATTCTTGGACATGGCGACATTGCTTGCCTCGCATGGTGCTTCAGTCGAGTACAACGATGCGACGACGCTCAAAACGGCCATTGCGCGCGGGGAAATGGACCTTGTCAGGTCGCTACTGCACGATGGCACTGCCTTGAGTTCTACACTTGCCTCCAGCTGCGTGCCTCTCATCGCAAAGCAGGCGCCTTTCGACGAGAGGTACACCATACTCACCTTGCTCCTTCGCAAGGGCGCCAACGGTGTTGCGCTTGACGAGATGCTAATTGATGCTGCCGAGGCGGGCGACATGAACGCTATAGATCTTCTGCTGTCGCCAAACTTCCCCGGTAGCTCGTCGAGCTCGCCTCATGACTCTCCGGCCTCTCCAGCGTCATACTCTGCCAATAGACACGAACTGGCATCCGTGGATCACAAATCCGGCGAAGCTCTGCGTACGGCTGTGATTCGCGGGGACACTCATATGACGCAGAGGATCCTAGCCGGACAGCCCTCTCCTGAGACGCTCGCGATCGTTTTCCCCCTTACTAAGAAGCTATCTAACGTGGATCGTTACCGAATGGTCGAGCTATTTCTGAAAAGGTCGTTATCTGGGCCTTGCTTGCACGCGGCCCTGCACGACGCTATCAACGAGGACGTTACCCAGCGAGACAATTCACTCATTAAGCTACTCCTGAAATACGAGGCCGACGTCAATTTCAGCCAGGGCACTGGCCTGACGTCTCTGATTAAACAGCGAGACATCGAGCTCCTCGGCACGCTGTTGCAGAAAGCATCCCCTCAGACGGCGGCAGCCCGCCTCCAGGACGTGATGCAGGTGTCTGATCATCGGGCTCGGTATGAGATGACGACGATGCTCCTCAGCGCAGGCGCAGCCATCGGAACGAAAGAGATTTCATCTGCGTTGCTCGAAGCACTCTCGGAGAAGCCTGTCGACATGTCACTCTTGCGTCTTCTCCTCCAGCAGGGAGGTGCCGATATCAACCTCGTTGATGGTGCCATCATCAAGCAGGCCGTGACGAACCCCGACCCCAAGGTCCTGGAATTGGTCTTTAGCTTTGGTCGACCATCAGTCTCGTCAATCACTAGCGCCTTGAACGACCTGGTGCCACTGCCATCTACCGAGGGAAAGGGGTGGAAGCTCAAGATCATCACGGGCAAATTGAGCCACAAAGAGGACCTCAGCTGGGTGCTAGTGCACGAGGTGCAATCTTTGTCCAAGACCAGGACTGACGCCGCCTCGCTCTCGGCTCTGAAGCAGCTGCTGGCTTCTGGCGCTGATCCAAACGCATACAAGGCTGCTGCGCTTTGCCACGCCGTGATTGCCGCTAATACCCAAGTCGTGGATATGTTGTTCGCATCCAGCCACCCTCCAACACCGGCAGCCCTAGGCACCGCGCTCCCGCACGCGCTACGCATCTCGGAGCCTATGGAACGCCTGGCGTTAGCCAAGAAGCTCGTCGAGGCGGGAGCGCATCCACTCGAGGGAAACCGGGCCTTGACTCACGCAATCGCTACGTATCCGGAAGATGTTGGGCTTCTCAAGGTCTTGGCCGCTGCTGCTGATACTTCGGATGGGGAAGCTCTCTCCATGTCGGTGGCGAAGGAAGTCCCCGAGATTCTAGACATTTTGCTCAAGCAAAGCCAATGTTCGGTCAGCAGTCGCAGTGCGACACTGGGCAAAGCAATGGAGGCCAAGAACCGCTCTGCGCGGCAACGCATGTGCCAGAGCCTGCTGAAAGCTGGGGTGTCTCCTGAGGCCGCCTCGAGCGCTTTGCTGGTCGCGGCTCGCGACGGCGACTCTCCTCTCGGCGACCTGTTAATGGCCCACGGCGCAAGCATCGCGAACAACGGTGGTCAGGCAATTGTTGAGGCGTGTCGGGGAGGGTCTCCAGAGGTTCTTGCAGTGCTCCTCAAGTCTGATCCCAATACCAGCAAACAGACTCTGGAAGCAGGATTCCAAGCGGCCACAGAGGTCAGGGATTTGAACAAGCGAGCGGTAATATTCGAGCAGCTTCTCAAGAGAGGCGTTCGAGGCGAGCTTGTCGACCAGCAACTCGAGTCGGCGGCGCGATACGGCGAAGAGGGGCAGCAGATTTTGAAAGCCCTGCTGCTGGCTGGAGCTGACCCCAACTATAACAGCGGCGAGGCGATAGTTGCTGCCACTCGAAGCGCTTTTATATCTAGCCTGGAACTCCTCCTCGGCCTGTGGAATGAGGGTGGTAACCAGGTACAAGCGATGATAACCTCTTACATTAATCTGGTACTGACACATTGAGCAGAAGAAGGCCTCCCAGCCGACACTGGTACGCGCTCTCAAGGCCTCATGGGGTCTGACACGCGACAACCGATTCCGAATCATCGGTGATCTCTCCAAGGCTGGCCTGCAAGTCACCGAGGACTTGCACATCGCCCTTAATGATGCTGTCAATGAGGACGACCCCGAGGAGCGACTGGTCCGACTACTTCTCCGGCATGGCGCTTCACCTTCAGCGAATGGATGCAAGAGTCTCGTCGACGCTGCTCAGAACGCGGCATCTGCGTCTCTCGCACTTCTTCTGGAGAAGAAGATCCCGCAACAGGACATTGCGCGTGCCTTCAACCAGTCTTTTACAGCGGAAACGTTCGACAAGTGGTTCACGAATGCTGGGCTCGAGACTGCTCGGATGCTCCTGGAAAAGGGGGCAAGCGGGGACGCTATAAGCTCAGCATTAGTCCTCGTCATGCAGCATTCTACAGCAGAGACGCGCGACTTGGCGGACAGGTTCTTCGATCTCCTCATCTCTCACGACCCCGATGTCAACTACAACAACGGCGAGCCCCTGCAGCAAGCCGCGTCAAAGGCGGACGTTCCGTGGACATCGCGTCTCCTGGAGCTCCATCCTAGCGCCGTGACTTTGTCGCTTGCCTTCCAGTGCATCTTCGATACTGCCCTATCACAGGACGGTGTTTTGGACCTATTCAAGATGTTTGCGGAGTATCAAGAAGGTGACGCCCGAATTGACGTCTTAATAGGACAGCAGGGCACAGAGCCAGTTCTTGCGAGGGCAATCAACCAGTACCCGAGATCGACCAAGATTCTGTCCACACTTCTGGATGCAGGATTCTACTATGACCAGGCCACAAAGTGCCGGATTCATGAAGGCGTCGACGAGGAAGACGTCACGCTCCTGACTTGGGCCATCGCACAGCCGCAGAAGCGCGTTAGCACGGGCGTCATTGAGCTTCTGCTGGAGAGAGGCGGTAAGTCTTGTTTGTTTTCCATGGCATCGCAAACATCTGCTGACGGCGTGTGTAGCCAAGGTCAACGTAGAGTCAAGCTTGTCGCAAACAACCCCACTGATGCTAGCCGTGCAAACAAAGCGGCCAGACCTGGTCAAATCTTTGCTACTTGAGGGCGCCGACGTCGATGCCATCGACTACTTGGGCAGGACATCGCTATCCATGGCGACGCATATCGGTGGCGACATTGCCGTCCAAATGATGTCGAGCTTACTTGCAGCTGAACCCGCCAGGGACGACGGATCACTGCACAATGCGGCCCGAGACTTGAACCTCCCAGCCGTCAAGGTCCTCGTCCAGTCCGGCCACGACCCCGACTATCCGAGCCAGCTGCACGGCGGTCGAAGCGCACTCGGTGAGATATGCCTGCACGGCTCGGACGCTGCAGAGATGACTGCGGATCGCGAGCGAGCCATGCAAAAGGTAATGACCTTCCTCATCGACTCCAACTCAGACTTGTCAATCAAGACGAACGGCAAGTCCCTGCTGTATCTCTGTTTCGACGCCGCAGATGCAGTAGTAACCACACGTGCACTCCTCAAGAGCGGCATGTGGAAAAATATCAACAAGCCGTTTAACCACTTTGTCGACGGCACTTACACTTATTCACCCACCATGTATATCACCAAAGTCCTGGCACAGTCGGATATCAGCGAACAGCTCTTGTCAGTCCTCCGTGCCAGTCGAGCAAACGACGTCTTCTACGCCAACGAGGGCGCGCAGCCCGAAGGGGCAGTCGGGCTGCCAGAGGACATGGCGGTCCAGGAGCGCGCACGAAAGGCACGAGCCACCCGCATCGCGGAAGAAACAGAGGAGTTCTCCCTCGCCATGGCCCGGAAGCGCGAGATCGCCAGCGTCGAGCAGCAGATCCTCGCGCAAAAGGCCGAGATGGAAGATGCCCGCCGCCGCAAGCTCCACGGTGAAGACGTCGCGGCGCTACGCTCCCGCGCCCAGGTCGAGGAGTCCCTCGCGGCGGCCGCCCACCAGCGCCGCCTGGTGGAGCAGCGCGCCGTCGCCGACGCGTCCGTCAGCCGCACCCGCGCGCTCGCCTCGACGGAGCTCGACGCCGAGGAGGCGCGCCAGCGCAAGGCCCTCGAGTGGGAGACGAGGCTCAACACGGAGCGCGTCGATAACGCCCGTGCTCTGAGCTCCATTCGCATCAGCGAGCGCCAGGAGGTGGAGCGCATTGATAAGGGCGCAGAGAGCCGCATCAAGGGCCGTCTCGACGCGCAGCGTAAGCTCGTCGAGAGTCAGGAGAAGCTTGCGAAGCGCCTGGCTGATGGGCCGAACGGGGGGCAGCACATGGGCAACGGGAGGCAGATTGGGTACGTGACGGAGCTGAATTAGGCAACACGGCATCCGGTGATGCAATGAGAGCTGCCCAGAAGGGCGGGCAGAGGGAAGAAGCATTTCAGCGACTTGGAGTCACGGCGGTATATCTTTGGTGCATGGCGTTTATAGGATAGCAAGTAATATTTGACGCGTCACGACAGAACTAGCATAGAGGAAAAGGCCCTGTTCAAAGAGTAGTGCTATTTGTAGAGCCAACTTTTGCTAGTTGTAGAGCCCATATGAGCAAGAGCAACGAGAGCAACGAGAGCAACGAGAGCAACGAGAGCAACGAGAGCAACGAGAGCAACGAGAGCAACGAGAGCAACGAGAGCAACGAGAGCAACAGGCAGAGCGCCGCTGCCGTCCCATACCTACGCCAGTAGGCAGTAAAATTCACGAGGGCAGCATGGGGGTCGGGCGCGGCCGAGGAAAAAAAAAACGTCAAGTAGGAGGGCTCTACAACTAGCAAAAGTTGGCTCTACGAATAGCACTCCTCTGTTCAAATTGAATTCGTCGCACGAAGTAGCTCCTTTCCGCCTTGATCGAATTCAGTGCTATGCTACACTGTAATCCAGCGCCTGTGATAGCAAAAGTACATGCATGCATGCGATGCTCGCTCGGGAATGCCCTGGGGCGGATTGTACAAGCAGCAAGCAAATCCCCTCATCGTACACATGTGTTTCCCCCCCCCAGCAAAGTCCAAGCGGCACCGTGCGACACTATTCAGCCTCCTCCCGCCCACTACTTCTCGTCCCTACGAGCCATTTTGATGGAATCCGCCCCCGTCTCCACGACGCGGTACTTATCCGCATCGCCCATGCCGCTTGCCGCCTTCTCAAACGCCTCGTCGGAGCGGTCGCAAAGGGCATCCAGATCCTCGTCACTGAGGACGCCGTCTCCGCCGGACGTCTGGTACACGAGGCCGTCACGGAGAAGGAGCGCGCGCAAAGTCTCAGCATCGAGGCTCTGGTCCTCCTTGTTGTCCATTTTCTGGCCCATCGTGCGGAAGCCGCCCTTGCGAATGACGAGCTTCTCAAGGCGGCGCTTGGCGTCGGCGGACATGAGGAGAGACTCTTCGACGGTGTCCTTGGTCGCGAGTCGGTAGACGATGACTGGGCGTGTCTGCCCGATGCGGTGGCAGCGGTCCTGAGCTTGGAGATCCTGCTGTGGGTTGAAGTCGGAGTCGAAAAGGATGACGGTGTCGGCGGATGCGAGGTTGATGCCCTGTCCACCAGCTCTGGTAGAGAGCAAGAAAAGTCTGTGCCTGGGGTCGTTGTTGAAGTCGTGAATCTGCTGGCGCCGGCTGTCCTGAGACACAGATCCGTCAATGCGGCAGACATTCCAGCCGCGCAACTCCCGGCTATAGTCCTCGAGAATGTCGAGCTGTGTTGTGAACTGCGAAAAGATGAGGACCTTGTGGCCCTCGTCGAAAAGCTTGGGCAGCAGTCTGTCAAGGAGCAGCATCTTGCCGGATGCAGTCACGATGGACTCATCAACCGGAATTGTGGTGCTCGTCGCCCAAGGGCTGTAGAAGTTGTGTGGGCTATTGCAAACCAGCCGCAGTTGGGCCAAGGGGTTGCCCAGCTTCTTCTGAGCAATTTGTTTTTCTGGACACTGGTTAGAATCGACACGGTCGGGGTCAGGGAATAGTCGAAGACACGTACTCGCGAGCTCGAGGGTCTCGGCAAGCTCGATCTCCTCTGGAGATCTCGTGTCTACAGTCTCCTCTTCCTCATCACTAGCCAGCTCTTCTGCCAGCTTCGCCTCGAAAGCGTCATCAGACAAGGCGTCTTCCTCGTCAGACACCGCGTCCTTGTAGGTCCTTGATTTGCGAGTCCGTCCCCGCGTAGTGACTGGAGTCGAGCCCCTGCTCGACTTGGCACTCTTGGATTCGGAAACGGCAGATGTCGGGGGGCTCTTGCGCTTCCCTTTTCCGACTTTCTTGACTGGTGTTTGCACCGGAGTGGGTAAGCTAGCTGCCGACTTCTTAGGTCGTCCAGGTCCCCTCTTGCCCATCATGAGGCTGAACGCGTTCGGTGCAGGTGAAACGGTGCGATCTTCTGTCTTCTTCGACCGCGGGCTTTGACGAACAGGCAGAGACAATTTCTTGCCCTTCGCGCCTTTGGAGCCCGAGGCTGGAGTGGACTCCCTCGAGGGAGATGCAGCCCTGGTTGAACGACCAGTCGACGTCTCGCTCATGATCTTTTCAACGACCTTGTTCTCGAGGTACGCGCGAGTATCAATCTCCTTGTCGGTGAATGCGTTGTACAGGTCGGTTTGCTCTCTGGTCATGGGAGCAAATAGGACGTATTCTCGCTTCTTCGGCAAATACGCAGCCACATCCTGCTTGATGCGTCGCAGCAAGAGTGGTTGGAGGATGAGGTGGATCTTCTTTACCAGATCCTGTTTCATGCGATCACCAATGAACTCTTCAGTTCCCTTCTCATCCTCCAGATCTGAAAAGTCGAACCAACTTTCAAAAGCCTCCCAATCGGTGAAGATGTTCGGAAGAAGAAAGTGGAGTAGCGACCAGAGTTCCTTCAGGTTGTTCTGAAGCGGTGTTCCAGTAATGAGAAGACGTGTTGCCGAGGAGAATTGCCGCAGTTGCTGGAATAGCTTTGCGTCGGCATTCTTCATGCGATGCCCCTCATCCTTTTGGCTTGTGTCAGCGAAAAAGATCTCGAAGCTCGGGTACTTTAACCTACAATGATGATGAATTCCCAATTGATTCGGGACAGGTTGTGCTGGTCGCGTAAGACCATCTCGTATGACGTGCAGACGACGGGGAATTTGGTCGTCGGACGTCCGCGATTCAAGTTTCTCATCATTCGCGTCTTGAAAATATCCTCGCGTGCTTGTTGATTTCCATGGTACATGACCACAGGGATAGATGGAGTCCACTTGTGAAACTCATCCATCCAGTTGGAGAGAGTGCTCAGCGGAGCGACAATCAGATGCGGGCCGAGGTAGCCCTCCTGCTCGCGGAGCAGCGCGATGAGAGCAATGGTCTGAACGGTTTTGCCTGAGCCGGTTAGCACTGAAGAGCCTAGTCTTTGAGTCAAATGGACGTACCGAGGCCCATCTCGTCGGCCAGAATGCCGCTCATGCCCTGAGAACAAATCTCAAACATCCAGGTAAGGCCCTCTAGCTGGTAGTCTCTCATCGTGCCTCCGACCATGCACTTCGGCTGGCTGGCCATGGTGAGGTTGTGATCGCCAAGCGTCTTTCCATCCATGCCACTGCCTACCCGACCCAGAACTTGGGTCTTCTTGGTGAGAATGTCGCTGAACGCGGCGCTCTTCATCAGGAGCTCATCGAGCTCGCGAGCCTTCGCTTCCCTTTCTGCCTTGGTCTCAGCTTTCTTCTTCCTCTTCCTCTTTTGCGCCAACGCCGCCTTGCGCCTCTCCGCCTCGGCCTTTAGGTTGTCCTCACGGGCTTGCTCCTCTTCTTGGAGGAGACTGTCGTCGACCAATTCGATGTCCTCGAGTTTCGGGGACGCCTCGCCGGGAGGCGAGCTCGGCGCGCTTGTCATCACGTTAGACTTCGACAGTATTGAATCAACGTCTGACGTAGCTGGCGAATCCATGATTGCACGCGCACAAGTGTCGCCACCCTAACGATTGCTGCGGATGTGTGAGGTTGGTGATGGTTGAACTGCGATGTTACCAACTTTGAGATGGTGAATATGCAAGAGCGCAAGCCTTTGCACGTTGAACGGCTGCTAGTAGCAAAGATATTGGGTTGCTGAACAGGTGGCGGCCGTGCGACAGCTGGTCGCGGTCGATGATGCGTTCAAGCCAAGTGTCTGATCCAAAAAGCAACTGCGGAGAGATTCCAAAGAGATCCCAAAAAACAGCTGCGAGCCCAGTCGCCAGCTGGAATCCGGCGCCAGGTGATTGACAGGTTCAAGGCCAGGCACACGCCATTGCGATGCAATCGAGTGGCAAAAGATGGGCGCGACGAGAGACAAATTCACGATCGGGTAAGAGTGCAAGGGCGCAGGCCGACGCGCCTTCCGCACAAGTCATGACGCACTAGGAACGCGAAACGGCAGCGCGGTCACGAGCCGGCGCGTAAATTGAAAAGCAACGGTCAAGCCACAGCGGCCAGCCACACTGGCCCGTTTCACCGTCCCGGCGCAGCACCGCCGCTAGTGCCTCAGTTGTCAGGCCGCAATTGGACCCCCTGCAACAACCCAATTGCCCCTCGCGGACCCCGCCATCCATGCCGGGACAGCAGAAAAATTGTCCACCAGCTGGCGGGAACAGCCGTCGAGTCACGCATTGCCACCACACACTACCAACTTGAGAGAAGAGCCGGCTACGACGACGGCCTTTTCTCACGACCCCCGCGAGCCATCAACCTGTCTCTCCTCCGCTCTTCCTTCCGTCCCGCCGTTCGCTACCTCGCCCGATTGCCCAGAATGGCCGCCTTCACCTCCCAGACCTACTCCCCCACCGAGGAGGCCGAGATCCAGCAGTGGCTCACCACCTCGGAGCGCCTCAAGACCGCCGGCGACGACAAGTCCTCCATCCTCGACACCCTCAACAGCCACCTCGCCAGCCGCACCACCCTGCTCGGCAGCAAGCCCAGCAAGGCCGATGTCGCCATCTACGAAACCCTCTCCCCCGTCGTCTCTGCTTGGACCCCCGATGAGCGCACCGGCGAGCAGGGCCGCCCGCACATTGTCCGCCACCTCGACTTTGTCCAGAACTCGCCCCAGTTCGGCCTCAGCCTCAAGGATGAGCAAAAGGTCAAGGTCGACCAGGATGACGTCCGCTACGTCAAGCCGCCTGTCGATGCCAAGGCCGAGAAGGAGCGATTGAAGAAGGAGAAGGCCGCTGCTGCTGCTGCCGCCGCTGGTGGTAACAAGGAGGGTGGTAACAAGGAGGCCAGCCTCGTGGACCGCACCAAGGAGAAGGTCAAGGAGAAGGCCGCCGAGGCCAAGGGCGCTGCCGCCGCCGCCGTCGGTGCCGACAAGCCCAAGAAGGAGAAGAAGGAGAAGGCCCCCAAGCCGCAGAAGGCTGCTCCCGTGGCCGCTCCCCTCAGCCCTGCGCTGATCGATCTCCGTGTCGGCCACATCCTCAAGGCCGTCAACCACCCCGACGCCGACTCCCTCTATGTCTCGACCATCGCCATGGGTGACCCTGCGTCCGAGGATACCGTCGAGTACGAGGGCCAGGTCTGCCGCACTGTCTGCTCCGGCCTCAACGGCCTCATCCCCCTGGCAGAGATGCAGGGCCGCAAGGTCGTGGTCGTCTGCAACCTCAAGCCCGTCAAGATGCGCGGCATCAAGTCCAGCGCCATGGTCCTCGCCGCCTCTCCCAAGATCAAGGAGGGCGAGGTCGACGACCACAAGGGCCCTGTCGAGCTCGTCAGCCCGCCCGAGGGCTCCAAGGCTGGTGACCGGGTCTTCTTCGAGGGTTGGAAGGGCGAGCCCGAGGGCCAGCTGAACCCCAAGAAGAAGATCTGGGAGACTTTCCAGCCGGGCTTCACCACCAACGACAGCCTTGAGGTTGCTTTCGACGCGAGCGCCGTCCAGCAGCTGGGCAAGACAGATGTCGGTAAGCTCGTCACCGAGAGCGGCGGCGTGTGCACCGTTCAGACCCTCAAGGGTGCTACGGTCAGGTAAAACCATAGACTGCCCATAGAGAAGAAGTAGAGCTGTGCCAAGGGACTGTCTATAGTCATGAAGAAAGATGGCCTACGCACGTCGTGACTGCATTGACACAATGACGCGATGTTTGCTTGCTTGTTGCAGGGTAGGCGAATGCCCCTGCTAAGACGTATTGTAACCTCTCACCACGGACCACTCTGGTCGGCAAACTCACACATCCAGACAGCAACGGAGTACGAGAGCTGGGGTCATTGTGTTTTTATTTTACACTGCTTTTTGCAGGTATTTTTACAGCCACAAGCGTACCTTACCTCCACATGAGTACATCTAGATCAGTGGCCTCGTCCCAGCTCATAAAGCCGTCCTTTTCCAAGCCCCAGTAATGCGCCGCTTGAATGATACACATAGGCGCCGTCTGCCAGCTTACATAAAAACGCCGCCGGAAATGCCAAATCGCTGTGCTCGAAATGAGAAAAACTACTGCGCTCCAGTCCACTGGCTCCCCTAAATGGTGTGTGTTGTACAAGATGTGTTGTCGTCGAGGTCGCTCAAGAGAAAAAGTACTTGCTCTCGCGCAGACGCGTTACATCAAAGTCGCCCTGATATGCTGTTAGTCTCCTCGCCTGTGAGCAACGACACAGGACTAGACTTACCTTCTCGGGGATTGCCGGAATGGTCAAGGGTAACCAGACCGGCACAGGGGTGCGACGGGCCTTGGCTCTGCTGCGCTTCTGGCCCGTCATCTGCGTTTCGAAGTACGTCGACTTCATGTCGTCCATGAGCCGCTCCGACATCTCCATGGCATCGGTGGCGCTGGACCCTTCAGCGTCACCCTCGCCGTCATCCTCCTCCATCATCTCATCGCGAATCTCCTTTGCCATCGACATTTCATCCTCGCCTTCCGGGATGTCTCCAAGGCCAATGTCCTTGGTGTCCTCCTGAATACCGACGTCGACCTCGGCGGCAGACATCTCTTCGTATACTGACGCGGGAGTGATGATCTTCTTTGCGGCTTCGAGATCCCAAGGATTGCCTGACAGGCGGAGCGAGTTGCGCTTGTGTTCCAGGAGCAGCTCTTCCTTAGGAGAAAGCTTGCTGTTCTTGCGAAGTTCCTTGATCTTCTTCGCCACCGGGGTTGATGGGTCAATGTGCGCGAGATACAGCGAGCCCTTGTGGCGCGCCTCGAATTCAGCTGCAAGGCGGCCAACGACATCCTCCTCGTGAATTTTGATGAAAGCATCTCGGATGACGCCGTTCATGGTGTCAATGTCCGCGGCGTGCGTCCAGAATGAGTCGTGAACAGCCGCGAAGCTGAGGCCCAGCTCATGGCACTGCAAAGCCGACAGCAACATGTGGCTGGCGTCGAGGGAGTGAATGAAGTTGGGAGGAAAGCCCTGTAGTTGCTTCCTGCGGTTAACCGGGTCGGTCTGGTCGTTCACCGGATAGACAACTGCCTGTAGGCAGGTGCGGATCTCCCGAGTGTTGCTCTTGCGGTAGGGCTGCGCGACGGGCATACGCAAGGGTGTCGTCCAGACGACGGTCGAGCGGAACTGTTGTGCTAGCTCCTCAAAACCCGACTTGGCCGCTGTCGAGCTCTTCCTGCCCGTCTTTGCCCGAGTCGTGTTGTCCGCGCTACCATCTGCGTACGAATCGGCAATTTGCTGCAATTGTGAGGGAGTCAGGGCCCGGCAAACCCGTCCACCAATCTCACCCAGCCAATATTGTATGTCATGGGCGCCGCGGAACATGGTCGCGAGCGCATTGAAGATGTGTCTCGCGATGTAGGTGGACAGCAGAAGATTCGGGATGCCACACTCCTTGCCGAGGTTCGGGTAGAGGGCGTCGATCTGCTTGCAGACCTGCTTCTTCGCTCCAGCAAAAGTGACGCCGTACACGTTCGTCATGACGGTCTGCTTGACGACCTTGCGAGTGATCTTCCCCTGCAAGATCTCGCCAAACCGATTCTTTGCGGCGGCATCCTTGTTGATGGCTTGCTTGACAAGATCAGCCACAGCTGAATAGACGTCGGCAGGTCGATCACCAGGCTCCAGGTTGACCTGCTTCGCGCCCCAAGTGTCACCACCCAGAGCTGCATAGTGCTGAAGACCGTTGCAGGTACCGTCCTGATGAACAGGCAACTCTGAAACATACTTGGTCGGATCCGGAAGATCAAGCGCAGCCTTCAGCTCGAAGCAGGCAGCGAGGCATTGCCAGGGATCTTCGGCCTTGAGCCACCAACGGCCGCCCTGGAGGGGGTTTGTGGCCGAGTCGACAATATTAGCAACATTGTCGTTGGCAAATGCCTCTCGCTCGTCGAAACTGGACTTGTCGAGTCCATACAGGTTGGCGAGGTGGATCTTGAGCCAGCGGAGGCCCCTCTCACCTAGCTCTTTGCCCTTGGCGAACTTGAGGATTGCACGTGTGTGATCTGCGCCCATATGGTTGAGGTATGTCGGGATGGGGTACGCGCGTCCACGATAGTCGACGTTGTGAGGGAAGTAGATGGTTTGGTTCCTGAACGCCCGTGCGATTTCGAGCTGGAGATTCATGAAGCACCGTTGGGAGTGCAATCCGGACCTCTCGTTTTCAATGGCCTTGACGGCGCGAACCCAGTTTCGTCGAACAAGCGGATCGCCGTCAGATTCGGGTTCGGGTGGGTGCTCGAGGTTCGGATTCAGGGGAGGCATGTTGGCGATTTCTTCGCCAGAGTTCCAAGCCTCCATCATGACGCCCAGAACGTTCTTGTTGACTTTCCACGGAGTCTTGCCCAGGATATCCAGACCCTTCAATACCTTGTCCATGTCGCCGCACTTGATGGCGGCATTGGTGTACAGTCGCTGTTCAACATCGCCGGGCTTGACTCTGACGAGCGCTGTTTTGCTGTCGAGGAACCCACCTTCGTTGAAGCGCTTCCAGGGCTTCGGCTCCACGATCATGGGCAGGTGCTTGGCAATGAAGTCGCCGACGGGCTCTCGCTTCAGCTGGTCGACTAGCCGAGAGTTCAGGAACAGAACACCGACCTTCTTTCCCTTGCGAGGCTGCAAGAAGTGGTGGAAGGCGGGTAGATCTTGGCTGACGAGTTCCTTGGTCGCTGAGTCTTCGGCTGTGGCCTTGATCTTGGCTGTCTCAATCAAGGTCTTAAGAAGGAATGAGCCGACTTGTGCTCTTATGAGCATAGACCACGGCTTTCGGGTCGTCTCCTCCAGAGATTGCTCCGCCTTGGACGAGTCGGTGATCAGGGTCGTCGCCTTGTTGTCAGATTGGTCGAGCTCCGTGGTGTCTGCCGAGGGCTGACCGTTGAATCGAACGTTTCGCCGCCGTCTGGACTTTTTCGCTAGCTCTTTTTGTTGCAACTCAATGTCTTCCTGCACAAGCTTCGAGAGATTTGAGATGAGCTTGCTGACGACGATGCCTTTATCGGCACCGTTCATCGCCCCAAGGTTCAGAACAGAAAGAATGGTGACGGCGGCGAGCCTTGCAGGGTCCGCCTGCTGCAACAAGGGCCCATATAGGCATCGCTCGAGATCTTGGTCGGACTTGGCGGTCTTGTTCTCCGACATGTCGATGAGCACCAGCTCTTCTTTGAGGCGAGCCTCCATGGAATCCAGCCAGGTTGCCATGACTTGCGAGAGCGAGCCCGGCGCGGAGGATGGCCCCAGTGCAGTGTTGATGTTCATACTCTGGAGGTTCTTGTTGTCCATCCGCCACTTTGCGATGGCAGAGCCGATCGAGTCGCGTTCAATCTGCAGCTGAATCTCTTGGCGGTCGGCCAACGACAGCTTGGAAATATCGACTTCTTCGAGGTCCATGAGCAGTCTCAGGCCTTTCTTCAGAGTAGCCAGCCCTTCGCCACGCTGAGGCGTCGGCACGAGGTCCGGGACAGCTTTGGCCACCGCCTCCTCCTCTTTGGCAGCCGAGTCGGCCATGGCGAGTTCGACCTCATCTTCGAAGTCGAATGCGTCATCAAACTCCTCGGCTTCCATGGCGAAATTGTATGTGGGGCAGATCTCAGTGATAACGGCAAGGTCTTGGTCGCTGAGAATGTCGGCCATGCTCAGAACCCGCAGGCCTGCCTCGTCTGGAGCCATACCCATGTAGCGCTTTACCAGCCGATCCAGCCTTGAGCCACGCTCGGAGAGCAGCGATGCCTTGAGCATGCATGCGATCGTCTCGGCCGTATGCGGTAGTCTCTTGCTTCGGATTTGGAGTTCGTACCACTTGTGGAGTTGTTCGGCCTGCTTCCTGTCGGGGCTTGAGCGCATTTGCTGCAACGATGCTCGCAGATACTGGTTGTTGAGGAGAATTCTCTCTTCGCCCGAAAGCACACCCATGGCATTGAATCGCTTTAGTACCAATGCGGCACGGTCTAGCTTGCCGACTCGGATACACGCGTCGAAGACTGCCAGCATATCTTCGGTATCACCGGGGATCCCGTACATGTTGGTCTTTGTCGCGGGTCGGGGCGGCCCTGGCTCAGGGACTGTGAGGGGAGATGACGGATCGAATGGTCGTAGACTGTGAGCCGGTAGCGGCGGAGGCTGAAAGGGGGGAAGCGTCGAGCTGGTAAGGTGATTATATGGTAGTGATTCGAATTTGAAGTCGTCGACTGCCGTGGCTAAACTCCTTTCGTGAAGCAGATGGCCGTAGCCTGCGTCGGATCCGCGTCGCCGCCACGGGCGGCACTGTCGCGTGACGACATATCGTCGCTCCAGCGAAGGAGTATGTGATCGAAGGGCAGCACATCTCGGCGATGAGATGGCGCTCCTGATTGCGGCAGCCCGGTGCGCCAGGAGGCTGCAGCGGGCCTGTCGCGGAAGCATCGTGGCAGCCGGCGCAATCGGTAATGCGCCGGTTGGAAGGAGTGGAAGTCCCAACGGGCGCTAGGGACTGTACAACGGCGGAATTAAAACATTTGCCACGAGAAAGAATGCCAAGTGCGCCGCAAAACAAAATTAGAGCGAAGTTCGGCAGAATGTGAAGACACCGGACGGTGCACGGCTTGTTGATGGAGTGACAGGAGACAAGCTCCGAATTTTTCGCCTCAATCGGTAAGAGCTTTGCCTCTCTCCCCAGATTGGCCACCCGTTCCAGGGGGGTCACGTGGTCAGGACAGCCGGTTGGACCCACCTAAAACTACGCTGGAGCTCTGCCGTCTCAAGCCAAAAGTCCGGCCCGTCTAGATTTTGATGTGACGTCTTTGAGGAATTATCCCGACACTCTATCTGCAGCTCCTGCTGCGCAACTCGGCAACAATGATTGCGCGGCCTGCAATAGCGACCCTCGGCTGTTGCAGCTGCAGGAACTCGATACTCCGAGCTGTACTGGGCTCGACGGCGACGAATGCTCGATTCTTAACACAACCCCAGCGGAGACCCTTCCAGAGCTCGACGCGAAGGTTTCTCTCTTCACAACGACCGCATGAGACAGATGCAGCTCGACAAGTAGAAGAGACACCAGAGTCTGATACCAAAGATGAATCCGAAAAGCCATGGTTTCTCGAAGAGGAGCCGCCTCGCCACGCCCCAAGCCTGCACAAGCCGACGCTTCCCCATGCCCCGGAAGGCGCCCCGGCGCTTGTCGACCCGATGATCAACTACATTTACGAGGACATGGGTCTAGACGATATCTCACTGCTGGATCTGCGCGAGTTGGATCCGCCCGCTGCGCTTGGCGCAAACCTCATCATGCTATTCGCGACGGCCCGCAGCGAACGGCACTTGCACGTATCTGCCGGCCGTTTCGTCCGGTGGCTAAAGCGAAACTACAAAGTCAATGCCAGGGCAGATGGACTCATCGGGCCGGGCGAGCTGAAGACGAAGCTCCGCCGTCTCAAGAAGAAGGCGAAACTCATGGGTAACAACACCATGATTGTGCCTGGTGGGGACAACGGCATCTCGACTGGATGGGTGTGCGTCAACTTTTCAGCGTCTGGCCACGACACAGACGAATTGTCGAGCTTTGACGAGAGCGGGCGCTTTTCCGGCTTCGGGTCGTCTTTGACTGGCACGACGGTCGTCGTGCAGTGCTTGACCGAGTCTCGCCGGAGCGAGCTGGACTTGGAGACTCTCTGGCAAGGGGTCCTGAGGCGCAGCCTCGAGCAGACGAGCAAGATCAAGGGCGAGAAAACCGAAGACAGGGCAGCCTTTGAGAAGATGGTTTCGTCAAGAATGCAGCAGCCATCCAACCCATCAGCATCACAATGGCAGGCCCTTCAGCAGGCCTCTCAGCAGCAACGACACTTTTCGACGATGGCGCGTCGCCTGCAGCCTCGGACTGAGCGTCGCGCTCCTGCTGCTGGCAAGGGCGTGCAGGAGCCAGCGTCGCAGGTGGTCGTGGAAGATGCGAATCAGCTGGACTTGGCCAGGTTGCGTCGACAAATATCCGAGCTGCAAACTAGCGGCATCCCTCTGAACCAGGACGTTTTGCAGAGCCTCATTTGCGCGGTGTTTGAGGCCGCACCGTCAACACCAGACAGCTCAGGCGAGCGTCTCGCCCTCGTTGATGAGCTCCTGCTGACGGCGCAAGAGCGTGGCATGACCGTCTGGTCCAGGGAGATGCTCGTCACCCTAATTGAGTCCGTCGTCAATTCTCCGGTCTATGGCCCTGAATTGCAACGGTCGCAGAGCAATCTTGAGTTTCTGCTGGTGGAGATGCAGTCGGCCCTGGACGAGCCGCAAGTGCTGCGCTTGATGCACGCATACGCGCGCCACCAGGACTGGGAAAGATTCTGGGACGCCTTCCGCTCACCGGCGAGATTTCAAGTCGCACGGTCATCAGAACTCTACGAGCTGGCCTACAGCACCATGGCGGCCACGCGCGATCCGAAACTCTGCACGGACGCGCTGCGCTGGGTGTACCCCGAGATGCTCAAGGAGGAGCCGCCCGTGCTGCCGACCGGATCGCTCTACACTGCGCTCAAGGCGTGCATCCTGGTCGCCGATCCGGCGGCCGAAGATCTGCTCCACCACCCGCCCGCGTCGGAGACATTGGATCTCGTGGGCAGGCGGCGCCTGCAGCGACGGGAGTTTGTGAGGGTGCTCAAGGAGGTGGAGGATTTGCGACGGCATCTTGTGGGGACGCAAGCTCGCCGCGAGAGAGCGCAGGCGCTCAACAAGTTTTCTGACGCGGTCTCGCCCGGCTCAGCATAGATGCCATTCCCAAGCCCAGATCTCTCGGGCTCTGCATGCGGCAGCTCGTGTTCCAGTCTTGGATCGACCATGGCGCCATCTACTGTACTATCGTGTATATCCCCTGTACAATTACAACCACTTAACACCGACTGCATGGACCATGACTCTCGTAACCTCGTAACCTGCAACTTACAGCCTCTGCCTTGTTTCCTGCATGTTTGTAGGGCTGCTAGGTTCCCCACCGCTGGGCCAAGCCTTCGTTAGACTTTTGCGCGGGATGCGTGCTCGCCGTCCATCGGCACTCGTTCGGGGCAAATCGTCGTCACGATTGCGCACGGACCGTGGGAGAAGCGACGAGGGGAGGGACGACTACTAGTAGAGGAAAACTCACCCCATGCGCATGGCCTCGCGCAGCAGCGGCGCGACCTGCTTCCTACTCGCCGCGAGGTCGTGCTGTCTCCACGCGAACCTCGTATTCTGCCCGCGACCACCAGCACTAGCCTCTCCCGCGGCGCCATCGGCGGCGGCGTCGACGACAGCAGCGTCCAGCTCACCGCCCTGCCACTGGTTGAGCCCGAGCTTGTCCCCGGCGATGTCTGCGAACCTGCTCGCGGCGGCGGAGCCTCGCGGGTTGACACCCCAGACGAGCAGGTGCCGCTGGAACTCGCCGTCTGGGTGGGACGTGGTCATGACGGCGGCGACGTCGAGGTTGCGCTCCTTGGCCCAGGACGACAGGTGCTCTAGGAGGGTGTCGGCGCTGCCGTCTGCCCTGTCGAGGAGGTAGCTAAAGTCCTGCACGACGCAGCTCACGCCGAGCGTCAAGCCGCCGTCCTCCCACTCCTTGTAGTCCTTGCGGAAAATGTCGCGGAACGACAGGCCGGAAATGTCCTCCTTGACGGCGGAAATGTCTTCAAAGTACTTGTCCCTGCTGAAGGACTCGTCCTGCGCCTTGGACTCGAGGTACTTGACCGCACGGACGTCCTTGTCCTTGACCTTTGCCTCGGCCGTGAGGTTTACCGTGTCGAGGAGGATAGCGGCGAGGCCCAGCCTGACGAGGTCGTCGTCCCCACGGCTATCCCGCTGGCTGAGCTCATCCCACGCGGCGCGGCACTCGTCGACCACGAGGCTCATGCAGCTGCCGCATGGCTCGACGACACGCGGCGCGGCATCCTGTGGGACCTGGTGCTCCTCTACGTGGTGATCCACGCAGCCCACGACACGGGCGGCGTAGCCCGCGGCCTTGAGCGGGCCCGTGATGGCGTTGTGGTCGACGAGCACCCACCGCGTGTCCTCGGGCGCGAGCCCACTATCAGGGCCAGCAGAACCAGGAGCAGCAACACCGCCACCGGCCCCGGAGCTGGTGGCAGACGGTGTGCCGCCGGGCGACGGGAGGGGAAACTCGGACAGGGTCAGGAGATCCGAGGGGGCCAGGCCGGCGCGGCGCAGGACGGCAGTCATCTCGGTGCGCAGGCCGAGGTCCGCGCGGGGCAGGTTGGACAGCGGGACATGGAGGCTGTGCGGTGGTGAGTGTGAGCGGATATAGGCGTAGACGATGGCGCAGCAGAGCGAATCAAGGTCTGTTGGGGCACGAGAGAAGTCGTCAGTCAGCCTTCGTGCCGCTCCGCGTGGTGGTCGTGGGTGTGGTGGTGCCTCTCCACCACACACTCACTCACTCACTCAGTCCCCATGGGAATGACAGCTCCCTCGCATTACACGCGGGGGTCTTTAGCTCCAGAAGGAGGGAGGGGGGGAGGAGAAGAGGAGGTAAGGCTACGCACCTGCGGACTCGTTGCCGACAACCACGGTCAGGGGTGCGGTACGCTGACTCGCGGGCGCCGTGGGGGCGGCCCTGGCCGAGGCGAGGAAGCTCTTGAGTGAGGCTCTCGGAGGAGGCATGGCGTCGTCCCTGGATCACGGCCGGCACTCGGCGGCGGCGGCGGCGCTACCTGGACACACTCGGATGAGGCTCGGTGGCAGGGTGCTGAGCGGGGGGACCCGAGACGTGAGGCGTGGGAAGTTTGCAAATATAGAAACCTGCAACAAGAATGACCGCAAACCGCGCAAATGCGGGCGCGCGCGCTGGTGTGTCGCGTGTTGTTGCGGGCCGGACGGGTTGCCGGGGGGCGTGTGGGATGGGTGAGTTTGAGCTGCCTTTGGTACCTACGTATGGGCTGTAAGTCGGTTGGTGAGGTGCAGGTTGGACTCGGCGAGAGAAAGAGAGTTCAAACATCAAACATCAAACTCCCATTGACGGCTCGCTCCCCACTCTTGGCGTGGCTTGCCTTAAGGCGAAAGGGCGGGCTCCGCTGTTGAGCGAGAGAAGATGGTGTGCTATTCTTGGGCCTCTGGGGCCAACCTTGGATTTTTTTTTTGGTCTTTCGGGCCCTTTGGGGGGTCGAGGTTCCTCCATGGCATGCTTTTCGAGCTGTCCGGGACACTGGGCTGGACTCGTACTCGTGTAGGCAGGCATGCGCCGGCGTTTTACGAAGTACATGGGCCGGCAAACGTTTGATGTCCGTATGTTTCTTTAGTAAGTCGTGAGACGGGCGTGTTTTGGGGCCTCTGCATCGCGCAATGCCTTTGCTGGGAAGGTGCCATGTGGAGGCAGGCAGTCAGTCAGTGGAAGCCTGATGAGGTTGCGCCCGAAGAGGATCCATCCATGCATGCATCGGCCTCGCTTGCAGAAGAAACATGATGGAGCCAGGGCGAGCAAGGGCATGGAGCCACTCCAGGTTCCAGGGGTCCTCCCCTCGTCCCTGTCCCCTGCCCTGCCAGTGGCAGCATCAGCAGCACCAGCAGCAACAGCTCGCAGCGTCTGGGCAGCGGGCAGCACAGCGATGGAGCACAGCAAATGCAAGGTGAAATGCCCCATCCGACCCAGCCTGTAGCACCCGACCCTGTCCCTGGGCCCCCCATCCGGGCACCAAGCAGCAGCCTGCCCGGGCGAGACGTCGTCACCTCACCCACTGTAAATGGAATGGCCCGGGGCGCCCTCCACCGCTCTCAGTGCCGGTGCCCCCGACCGCCCGCCCGAACCGCCCCGGCCGCCCGACCAACGGACGCGTGGTGCTGGATGGAGCCCCTGGAGGGCCACAATCGGGGCTGTGGCAGCACCCACCCTCACTGACGCAGCGCCCGCCATCCACCCGACCTCTCCTCGGGCGGCGGCCATCCAGGGCAGCTGGACATCCATCCATCCATCCAGGGCGGCGAACCCGCATCCCGCGCGATCCACCACCACCATCCTTAATCCTCCGCGGCGCGACCACCGGTCCCCACGCGGGTTGCGCTCGTCGTACGAACCGCGACGCCACGCCGTGTTGCTGGGCTGGCTGCCGTTCCGGAACTCGCTTCCCTCTTGGCTCTCGCTGCCTTATCAGCGGGCCGGCCTTTTTTTGGTCCTGGTCCTGGTCTGGTCCTCCCTCGCGCTCGCCGCCGCCGCCGGGCCAGTGGCCGACGCCTCGCCTCGCCTGGCCTTCCAACTCCCTCCTGCTCCTTCCCTCTATCTCTCTCTCTCTCCCCCCCTCCCCTACCTCCATTCTTCTCTCTTATCTATGCCGCTGTTCGCCACGCGCCGGCTCCTATCCGCCGTGCTCGCTCTCGCCTTCCTCGCCCTCTGCTACAACTACGTCCTCGTCGACCCTCACCACCTCTCGCGGGGCCTCCGGACCACCACCGGCGCCGGCACCATGGGCTCCTCCGACCCGCCGCGGGTCCTCCGCCTCGCCGTCCTCGAGTGCGACTCGCCCCAGCCCCAGACCCGCGAGCTGTACGGCAACTACACCGGCGTCTTCACCGCGCTGCTCTCCGCCGCTGCCGAGTCGAGCGGTTCGCCGCCGCCGGGCCTGAGCGCGCTCGTCTCGATCAAGGGCTACGACATCGTCAACGAGCTGCACACATATCCAGATCTTGACGAAATCGACGCCGTCCTCCTCACCGGCTCGCGCCACAACGCCTTCGACAACGACCCGTGGATCAAGAACCTCGTCGACTTCACCAAGCGCGCGCTCGACACCGACGGCCGCGTCAAGGTCGTCGGCATATGCTTCGGCCACCAGATCATCGGACGTGCGCTCGGCGCCAAGGTTGGCAAGAGCGACAAGGGCTGGGAGGTGGCTGTGACCGACGTCGATCTCACACCCGCGGGCAAGGAGATTTTTGATCTCGACATCCTGGTAAGTGCATGACATGGCATGACAAGGGCCCCCAGGCGCGGTTGCTGACGTTGCACCAGCGAATCCACCAGATGCACCACGACATCGTCTTTGGCTTCCCGGACGGCGCCGAGCCCCTCGGGTCCAACGCCTTTTGCGACAACCAGGGCATGTACTCGCCCGGCCGCTACCTCACCGTCCAGGGCCACCCCGAGTTCACCCCCGACATCATCTCCGAGGTCCTCTTCAACCGCCACACCGTCCAGATCTTCACCGACGAGCAGTACGAGGACGGCATGCGCCGCGCCACGGTGCCGCACGATGGCGTTGCCGTGGGGAGGGCCATCCTCAAGTTCATGCGCCAGCGGTAACAACCGGCATGTGCGCGGATAGGTTAATTAGGTGCCACGACGCCACGTATGCGATAATGAGGACGAGGGCGAGGGCGAGGGCGCGGACCAGGACCAAGTACAGGTCTGCGTCGCCGCAAAAAGTTTCACGCGCTGGGCGCGCTATCATTTTCGGGCGCCATCGGTCGGGCAGGATTTACGATAGATGGCAGGGACCTACAGGACAGACTAGACGACTATGTCGCGGATGCGGTTCAAGGCCGGAGCTGGACGCGCGGCACTGCCTACGCATCAGCGACAGCAACACTCAAGGTAGAAAGTGATGGAGAGAGGCAGAGAGAGGTGCGTAGGGCAACCCATCGCCTCTCCACATAGAAATCACAGGGAGGCTCAGGAACGGCGCTGGACATATTATACATCAACACTATTTACAACACAGGGAATAAATACATTTTCTGCAGTCATGTGTGCCGCCGCCATGCCCGCATGCCGGGGGCATCCTCATATGCCGCTCCGCCGTCCTCATTGCCCGGGGTATCAAATGCCGTCCAGTCTGTATGCGACGTTAAGAGTGTCCCTGCGCCAGCCAGCCCGGAGCCAAGACGCACGGTCCATGCGCGACGAGAACCGTGCTCCTTTATCGCTCGTATGATGCGCCGCCCATCGTCCATGCCCTCCCCTCACTCACTCCTCGGCTCGTGGCTCACACTGACAGTCCTGCAGCGCTGTGTCCCACCACTCCCGCCGCGCAGGTCGCGCCGCGCCCCGCGTGAGCCTCCTCTCCGCGAGCTCCTCGTCGCGGCGCCGGCGCGCGATCCTGCTGTCGACGAGCATCTCCTCCCTCGTGCGCCCGACCTTGGCCGCCGTCTTGCCCTCGGGCCCGTACGCGCCCGGCGCCCCGGCCAGCCGCCGCAGGATCCAGCACGACGACGCCGGCGCGTCGGCCCGTCGCGGGTGCCGCCACGGCTTCTCCATGATGCAGAAGACGAGCGCGTCGGCGACGCCCTGCAGGCACATGCTGGCGACGGAGCCGATCACCACGCTGAACGGCGACTTGCGCCTGTCTGCGCCCATCATGTGCGACACGTAGGGCACGAGCCACACGGCGGTGTAGACGGCGGGGTATATGAAGAGCTGTCGCAGAGATCGCCGGATCTTGTCGCGCGTTTGGGCCGTGCTGGTCACGCCCAGCGTCATGGGCCCGGCGACAATACCCGTCGTCGAGTCCGCGCCACGCGAGCCCAGGTTCAGCATCGCCATGTCGTTGGACGGCGTGGAGGCCTGAGAGTCCCTCGTAGTCGTCCTCATCAGCGGTCGCCCCCAAAGCGGCCGCGCGGCGGTTGGGCTGCTTGGCGTCACGGGCTGGGAGATTGTTGGAGGCGGCGGAGGAATGTCGCCTCTTGAAGGCGGCAGCTCCAGAACACTGGGACACTGCGGGAAGTAAGGATTCGAGAACGAGCGGCCGCGGGCCTGGTTGGGAGTCGAAACCTCCGAAGATGGCTCTCGTCGGATACTTTCCTGCGAAATTGATACTGAAGATCCGGTTTCCAGTGGAGGAATCCCCGACATGGTCCAGATCGATGGTCTCCGGCCCTTATTGGCGATAGACTCCCCATCGCAAGACGGCGTCGGTGGTATCAACCCGTGATACGCGATAGGAGGAGTTGGTGGAATCGACACCGTGGTCTGTGGTCTCACAGGCGGTTCCGTTTGTGGTGGTGCCAGCATCACGCTTCTCCGTCCAAACATGCCCGTCTTGCCGAACCGCCCCAGGATAAGCTTGAAGTACACGTACGTCGACAAGTACATGGTGAGTATGCCGAGCAAGACGATGGTCCGCGGGATCCAGCTGAGCACTCTCCGCGTCCATCTTGGCCTAGTCGGCAGGTAGCAGTACGGGCCCTCGTTGGCAAAGGCCGGCTTGTTGATGAAGGCGAGCGACGAAAGAAGCAGCGGGATGAGGATGAAGGCCGCGTAGGCGATGCGTCTGTACGGGTAAAGACCACTCCCGCCGCGGAATATGTACATGGTCTTGTGCAAGGCGAACAAGACGACGGCGACATCGCACATCTCGATGCCCAGCGTCAGGAAGAAGCCAGAAATTTGGCAAAAGGGCGTGGCAGTGTCGATGGTCCCCTGCGTCAGCTCCGCGGCAGCGAAGATGACGAGCCACAGGGACTTGAGCATGTCACTTTGAATAAGGAGAATGATTAGGCTGCCCGCACGTCAGTCTCCTCCTGTCCTCGAACATGGCTAATAGCGCAGCATAAACACCTACTCATGACGAAAGCTGCGCCTCATCCGCAGGAACCAAAACGTCGTCAGCATCGTCGCCACGACGCTGAGTGAAGCCAATGTCACCGAGGTGACTCGAAACGCCTGCAGCTGTGCCTCGTTGTACTCGCGGCGGCCACCACCGTCGTGCTCGTGATGCCTCCGCATCGGCAGCCCCGTCGCCAGCCATTCCCCTCCCGCTGAGGCTTCATAGTCGAGGACATGGTGCCCCATGGGCACGATCCGACCGCCCAGCCGACGGCGTTCCTGGCGGAGGGCATAAGATGTCGAGGCTCGTCGTCGTCGTCGTCGTCGCCGCCGCACGCAGATGGATCAGTGAGGCTTGGAGGAGGATTCCCGCCAGCAGCAGCAGCAGATCCGATCCGAGTACAGATGCCCAGGGCGACGGCAGACGGCAGCATGACAGGCCTGGGTGGGCCGCGCTCAGGACAAGTGAGGTTTTCTTTCTTTGCAAACCCGGCCCAGACGCGTGGCCGGCGCGTGGGACGATCGAGGACGAGGACGAGGAGTTGATCCGGTACTGTGCTGTACGGCCACAGGAACAGAGGGAAGGACTGTAGAGGTACAGTACGGGACGAGATGCAGGAGAGCCAGCGGATGGCCCAAACAGGCGAGCGAAACGGCGTGGGTGTAGCCTCCAGTAGGTGTTCAAAGCTCCTCCTGACAATGGTGATGATGATGATGGGGGTCAGCCATTTAGGTTAAAAGGTAAAGACGCAGGAAAGGCGAGAGAGTGTTGGGAGCACGGTGGCCTGAGCACCACCACCCGGCCGCGGCCCCTGGTTGCTTTTTCCTTCCTCGAGGGCCGTCTCGCGGGCGTGCGTGCGTGCGTCCTTGCGTGCATGCTGCTCCCCCCCA